AGGAAAATCGTGGAAATACCGAGAGCTTTTTGGCTTCAAATCCGTATACAGGCGGGAGGCGGAACCAAGTTGTCTATAGTATATACAGTCTATGGGGGTTCCAGGTTAACAGGAGCAGTTTTAGAAATAGTTTTCATTTTTTCATTTTTCCTTTAGCAGTTTTGGTTTCTGCTTTTCAAGACATAATTAGAGTTTTGAATTTAAAGCGAACTGCAACTAGAGGCTAATTGGGAAGGAATGAACAGCTTGGTGGTAGCTATCTTCAACATGTAGGTTATTTGTGCCAATATTAGTTATTTTGATCCATGAAGCATACATAACTCTTTTTTATACTTTTTGAACTTATCCTGAAGGCGAGTCAAATCAATTTACTTTGTAAAATTCCTCCCCTTTGGAATCATGTCTCTGACCATCACTTTGAAGAAAGCACAGCTACAGCCTATATCACAATAAAACCATTCATAGACTAGGAGATTAGCCAACCCCCCCCCCCCCCCCCCCCAAGCGCAAGCTCTTTTGTCTTAACCAATAATCGGCTTCATTTATGCGCTTTTTTTCCTCCAAAAATTCCTCTGACGTATCCTTTCGGGGGGGCGGAACTACAACCGTACTTATCCTTCGTCGGCTCCGAGTCGGACTCATTACAGTGGAGCACAGCGGCACTCAGACGGAAGCTGTTCAGAGGAAGGCACTATCCAGAAGATGTGGGTTCAGTCGGTGTTGTGGCCTCTCATCAGGCTGTATTTCTGCGGGGCTAAAGTCCTTTTCTATCAGATGTTCAACAGATCTTTTAATCTTCCAGGTCAGAACCCTTTTTTTCACATCTATGTTTTTCTGTCTGGTCGAATATCACCGGTAAAATAAGGCTCTTTGCGTTAGCATACCGAACCCCCTCAGAAATGTTACTCATAACAAAAATATCACCTGATTTATCCACAGCTGCGAATCTTAGATAATTTAAAAGTCATTATTTTCCAAAAAGAACAGATTGCTGTAGATTCGGCAGACATTAGACAAGGTTTTCGGGTTGATTTATTGATTATTTTAATCCCTGGGTTAATGAATGAGAGCTAACTTTATGAAGCTAATTTGGGAAATTGAGTTGGTATTAAAGTAAACACTGCAGCACAAACATTTCATATTTAAAGGAAATAACGAGTAATTTAATCTTCATCTTCATAAAACGAAGTCAAATCATCATGGGAGTGTCGTTTCAGAGCATCATTAAATTTTAGATATTTTGAACGAGATTTGGTGAGAAGATTTTAGTCAGTCCTCAGCCTGTCATTACTTTATTCTGGCAGTTAGAGCAGAATTTAATCAAATTAATCTGGAGATTTTTCAATCATTTTCAACGAATTAAAAAAAAAAAAAACAGAATATCTAAAACTGTATCTCACAGTGAAATAAGGGGAAATTGTATTGTCTGGGTTCTCATGTCTCAAGTTTTAAGTCATCTATTATTTACAGTCAAGTTGTTAAGTCAGATTGCTGAAAGTACAAAAGATGTTTTGAATCTTTCAGTCCTGCATCAAAGTGAGTGAAGCCTACCTTCCATCTTTATTAGATTGAGCTGAAATAAAACTGCATGATATTAAAAAAAAACATTGAAATCATATTGATTAATATTGATTCTTAAGCTGTTGATCACAAATGTACAAGTAACCAGATAGTTAAATAAATAACAATATTATCTGTTTGCAGCCCCTGCTTTGGTTGTTTAACAGGATTAAGAAGTACAGCAGGACAAGCAAGAAGAATAGACTTGTTGTTTCATGTCTGTTTCTTGAATAGACTGTAACATCAACAGTGAGGAAAATTCAAAAACACCGGATAAAGCAGATAAAGGTTTTTTAAAAAAATCACTTTTAAAGCAGCCCATTTAACCTTGTTTTACCTCTTTTCACCGACAATCTCAGATTCTAAATACGTTTTTTTGATATCTGATCAGTTTTTGAAGACCACTTATGTAAAATTGATAGACTTTTCAATTTCTGATACACACTGGGACCGTTTTTGTCATGCGATTATTTCCGACGTCAGTGTTTTTTTTTTTCGAACCCGTATCCTGTCAATACAAGCATTCACGTCAGTGACGTTTTCCCGTCCTGTGATATTTCGGCGTTTATTTTTTCAGATCATGGTCGATTTTTCTAAAGTTTCGCATACTGTGTGTCCACTTCTGACCAATCAGATTTTGGTGTTGTTGCGACGTCTGATTCACCGGTATATCCAACATGGCCGATCGGCTGATTGTTTATGTCTCGGAGAACAGAGTGCTTTTTGATTAAAGACACAAACATTACAAAGATAACAACCTGAAGGACAACTTGTGGAGAGTCATAGCGTCGGATTTCTCATATGACCATGGTTTGTGTGCTTTAACAGTTTGCTAACCGTGTTTATTTTAACTTTCATCTGTGCTCAGTAACTTTAGCTCGTAAGCTAACCTGTTCAGATACAACATACCATATGTATTTTCACTGTCTCAAACTCAATCGCGTTGCTGTCACAGCACCATTAGGTCTCGGTTGTTACCTTACGTTTATGGATTATAGTTTAATGTGCTTATCTGGTACTGGCCCCGACTCAGTACATGCTATCATGACAGACAGCCATCTCAACACTAGTGTCTAATCAGAACTGAAAACAGTCAGTCTGCTGTTGTGTCAGTCTTCTCACTTCCACCCGGGACGTGTCTTTTTTCCCCCCGAAAAGTTGCAAAATCGCATCGGGCTTGATGTGTATAGTCAGGCGCGTCAAAATTCGCCGTAATTTTGCGTTATATATTTGCGTCGGTCCCGGTGTGTAAGGACCTTTAGCATCATCTACTTTCAGCTCTTTTAAGGAATCATTGTTCCAGAGGGTTTCAACAGTTTTTCAACGTTCTTGGAGTTACACTCTGTTTTTGATGTCTTCTCCATACAGCCTGTGAGATTGGTCCATAATGTGTAAAATATGTGTAGAGAAAGTTGATCCCCTTTCTCTGATAGATCATTTTAGGCCTCCCATCCCTCAGGGTAATATTGTCCTTAGTTTGTGTCATGTGCTCTTGAAATCCACAAATGACATAAAAGAGTCAGCATAAACATGATTTATAAGTATTTTCAGATAGTATGTGTGGTTATTTTGGTGGCTTCTATGTATTTAAGGCATCAGCGAGGCTACAGAAACACTGATCATCTCTATTCATAATCAAACATCTAATTGACCATACATAAACGGATCAAAAGAATAATCATGAGTGAAAACACCTATCTGTAAAAATCAACTAAAAAGCAAGTCTAATGGACTAATTTTCATGCGTAGTATTTGATAAGAAGTTTTGATAAACTCTTAACTAGAGTGTCACTGTTTGTGCTTTACTGTTTGGGGTATATAATTTAGATTTAGTCCATGAACCAAGAATATATTTTTGTCAAAGCCTCTGAAGATTATTAGTCATCTCATAAAAGAGGTGATTGTGCTCTGACGTCTGTAGGTTTTACTCTGTGTAATCTTTCAAAGAATTCTGTCAGTCAGGGAATTTCCTGGGATTTGTTACTGATATGAGATATTTGCCATATTTATGGACCGAAATTCCCAGTTTTTGTTTCGCAGGTTATGATGTCAGTGCTTTTCCAAACTAAGTGACTCCATCTATGGTTTTTTACTGGAAATTCCTCGGTTACATTTTCAAATAGAGCAGCTTCATCTTTGTTATAACCCTCGAGCAGCCTGGAAAACCCCAACAGAACAAAAAAGAAACACTCAAGCAGAAAATCAGGGATGTCCCAATCCTGATCAGCCTTTCAAAATATTGAGTACCTGCTTAGTCCTAGTCTGATACTTGTGTTTGCCTGGATTATACAAGACTCTGCACCCCATATTCTGTTGCATGTTTACTTTAGATGGTTATCAAATTGTTGCATCACAGTGTTGAATGCAACTCTACAGCCATCACCACAAAAATGTATTGCCTCTACTGCAAGTGTCCCTTGGACTGTTTTTTTGTTTAAATATTTCTACACATTTTTGCTTATGTGTCCAGTGTTTTTAGTTGCCTTTTGAACCATCAGAACGTCTGCAAACACAATTGAATCAAGTTTCAGTCAAAGCTCGATTAAGCAATTCAACTGGACTACTCTCCTTGTCTCAGTTTAGAAACAGGCAAGGTCAATCTATCAACCACCCAAGTATCTCTCCACCTTGAGTGGGTGGCCATATGCCCCTTTTTGGCTCATTACTAATCAGCGGTCTTCAGGTTGACCTATGATATCACAAATTAAAATAATCTACAAAAAATCCAACTAGGAAAAGTGCAACTTAGTGCAATTCCAGCTGAATTAATGAAGCCCAGTTTCGGTCAGACTAACTCAACAATTCCATTCTCCAGTCGCCATAGGCTGCCGTATTGTGGATGTTGTTGCTGTAACCCGGCAAGTTCTGCATGTGCATGTTCATGATATGAAGTTTAAGTCAAGGCTTTCATGTCCTGTTTAGTATTTTTTTTTTTTTTTTGAAGTAAACAAAACACTTGGTTTTGCTGTTACTTGAGTGTGTTCTGCAACAAACTATGCTCTGCACCAGCTGACATAAATGATGAGCTCAGAAATGCTCAGACTTGCTCCAGTCAAATAGCTGGGATCAGGATTGGGACACCCCTATAGAGAATACCTAATGATGAATTTGTATCCTTCATGTTTACTTTTAAATCAGAGGTAACCACCAATTATTACCTGTTGTACACGCAGGAATAACTGTAGTAGAGTTTTCTAACAGATAACCAAATCTAAGTTTTTGTCTTTGATATAAGATCAACCAACATCAAGAGTAAAAGTTGCTCAACCCTGTAGCCCCCAGTGCCAAGTTTCCTCCGTTCCATAACTTGTTTCTTGTTGTACAAAACATAGCAAAAGGATTAACAGACAATCTTTAGCTTAGAAAATGTATCTGTTTCTGTCAACATACAAATGTTTATGTCACCACTCTTGTTAGGTACTCAATAAGTGAAGGAACCAATGGAGGGTAAAAGTTCAGGACCTTCGTGCTCAGGCCTCAATCTGGTTGCACATCCACGAGCAAAGAGCAAAGTGTGGAAATACTTTGGCTTTGACACAGATGCAGATGGCTGCATTTTGCACTGGAAGCGGATTTACTGTCGAGTTTGCATGAGTCAGATAGCTTACTCTGGAAACACTTCCAATCTGTCTTACCACCTTGAGAAGAACCACCCTATTGAGTTCAGTGAGTTTGTGAAGAGCAACACTGATCAGATGCGTGAGGCATTTGCCACAGCATTCTCCAGGATTAAGACTGAGCCTTCAGGGTTACATGTTCAACAACAACCCCAGGATACAAGTTTAAGGCAAAGCCTCAGCTACGAAAACAGACGTTACAATGATCTGACTGCTGCTGTGGTCAACTTCGTCTGTGAGGGCTTGTACCCAGTATCTGTAATCGAGGAGCGTACCTTCAAGAACTTAATGAGTATTGTAGATCCTGGGTACTCTCTTCCCAGTAAAACTGACCTAGCAGTTAAAATGCTTCCTCAAATGTATCATCGTACGCGGGACTTGGTCTTTAGTGAGCTTGCTGGAGTTGTGCACTGTGGTGTTACTACAGATCTATGGCAGAGCCGAACCCAGAATCGAACCTACATTTCACTTTCTATGCACTCAGTAAACTTCAGCAGTACAGCAGGCTTCACTATGACCAACAAGTGCCTGAAAACCTTTGAAGTGCAAGAGGACAACACTGCCGAGAACATTACCAGAGCGATGTATGAGGCCTTTGTCGAGTGGGGTATAACTCATAAAGTTGTCGGTGCCACCACAAATGGCTCTGTGGACATCGTCAAAGCTTGCTCCCTCCTGGAACTATCTGTGGAAATGCCATGCCTTGGTCACACCATCAATCATGCAATGGTTGAAGCCTTCCAGCTGCCCCAGATTGACAGCTTTCTGGGTTGCTGCCGTAAACTTGTTGATCATTTCCAGGAACCAGCAATGTATCTGCTGAGGGACAAACAGAAGCAGCATGGTCTCCCTCAGTGCCCACTCATCACAGATAGAGGGAGGTCTTGGTTAGCCACATTGACAATGCTGCAGAGGCTAAAAGAGCAACAGGTTGCTGTGACTGCTACACTCATGGAGAGTTCCAGCAGCCACCACCCCAGCTTCATTGGTCCTAACTGGACCTTGTTGGATGGTTTGATCGAGGTCCTCCAGCCTTTCAAAGTTGTGGCTGACATGATAACCTTGTGCAGGTACCCAACCATCAGCATGGTTCGCCCTGTGCTCCACATGTTGTTAAGCACCACCCTCAAATTGAGGGATGGGGACCTCAAAGAGATCAGCATGATTAAAGAGGTTCTCTCAAAGGTCTTATCCAGCACATATTCCCAGAATTCGCCACTGTCTCATGAGATTTCTATGTTACTCAACATTGCTACTTTCCTGGATCCTCGTTATAAGAAGTTGCCCTTCCTGTCAGCACAGGAACGCTCCAAAGTTGAGAATAATATCATTGAGGAAGCCAAAGCAATCCTTGAAAAGCAGTCGGCAGAGCGACCATGCTTGGATGATTTCTCCTTGTTATCAGAAGAACCACCTTCCAAAAAGCAGACACCTCTGCGTGAAGCTCCATCCAGCAGTGTGGCCCAGGACAACCCTTTGGCAGCCATATTCTGCCAGTCTGATTCAGACCAGAGCCAAGAGGAGCTGCACGCTCAGGTGGTGGAGGAGCTGAGCAACTACAAATCCCAAAGAGTCCTTGGCCTGAACGAAGACCCCCTATTGTGGTGGTCCAGTCATGCCCCCTTGTTCCCCACCCTCCCAAAGGTGCTCCAAAGGTACTGGTGTATTCCTGCCACAAGTGTGCCCTGTCACCGGCTGTTCAGCTCCTCAGGGACAGTTCTGTGTGGAAAAAGGAACCGGTTGACTCCAGCTTTGGTGAACCAGCAGGTCTTCTTGTATGAAAACTTGAGAAACTACTATGAACCTGAACCCTGTGAGGACTATTTGGACGAAGTACCCCGAGGGAACTCTTGTTTTGGTCAGCCTCTGGAATGATTAAGGATTTAAATTGAGAAAAATTGTACAGATGTACATAAAAGAACTTGTTAATTAAACTTTCCTGAGAGTTTTAACTAGTTTTGTCTTTAAGTTTTAAAATATTTTCCAGAAAAAAAAGAGTGAAATTGCAAAATTTGTGCCAACTTAATAAATGTGCGTTTTAAAAAGAGTTGATTCTTGTAATGGAATTGTAAAATTGACCTAAAATAACAAACCAAGCAAATTAACCTGCAATGTAAAAGAAATATAATTATTATTATACAGAAATGTCACCATTGTTTGTTATTTCCCCCCTTTCTCTATTTCTTCCTCAAGCATCTCCAGGGTTTTCTCGGTCTTGTGGGTCCTGTTCTATAATTCATTTCAACAGGCTCGTTTATAAAATGTCTTTCAGTGTGTTTGGGGTGTGCTTTGTAAATATTTGATATTTTTAAGCATATGTAATTGTTAATTTTGAGGATAACTCCTTATGTGCATAAATTATGATGCATTTAAATGACAAAAGTAAAGACTGTTTTACCGCTGATCTTATAGTTCTGATTTTTATTGCAAAAGTCCATGAATTTGTTTCACGCTTATTTTCACATCAGTTCTCCTGGTTGATTCCTCTCTCTAAAGTGATTATTTCAATCTTGGCCCTATTATTTTTGGATCTTTTGGGTTCCAGATGTCTAAAATGAACAAAAATTGAGTGTCTATGGTAGATTTTGTCCTCCTGCAGCAGGTAACATTGTGAATGTCCAATTTTGGTATAAATTCAACAAAAAGATCTCTTTTAAAACACTCTGGGCACCCTCGTGCTGTCTTTTTGTTTTACTTTGTGAGGTTCTCCATCAGCAGTGCCGCTTCTTCCTGAACTTCAGCACTTAAACAATCATACACACTTTCCCAAAATTTATCATAACCATACAAACAAAGCCACAACCAAAAATAAAAAGCAAAAAAGCTTCTCAACAAATTAAAAAAATGCATACAGAGGGGAAAGAAAATGGCCATCCATTTAACTGACATTGGGCTAATATTCAAGCCAAAGATTATGTTTTACCTCCAGATAATACGATATATGTAATTATATATACATCTGTATGCAGACACATGGGAATGACTCCAATAAGAAGCAATATTAACCCAAAACACAGGAGTTGGTGGTCAAGCTCTACCTCAGTTAAGCTATTTTTAAGTATTGCATTGGATCAAGGACAACATTTAGGTAACACAAATTAAAAAAAACAAAAGCAACAGAGGCCAGGGTAGAACAAAAACCCCTATGTTTTACAAGGGAGTTGTTGATCTACTCAATAAGCATTTGTGTAGTGTTTGGTTTCAGCCAACCATTTGAAATGTAATAGTCATAACAGGAAACTGCTGAACCACCACATAGTTGGACCGGCAGAACAGCAACTCCCATGTTTTGTGAGATAGAAAACAGTCTTAGCCTGTGTCACTGCTGCTAACTTGACAGAATACAAGAGTTGTTGGTCTTCCACGACCTGGATCAGTTGGTTTAATTCATATGTTACAAAATATCTTGTTGAACTCAAATGTCACACATCCCAAGAAAACAAACCAGAGGTAGAACAGCAACTCCCATACTCTTCAGGAAAAAATGACATTTTTAGCCAGGGGAGTGTGCCAGTCTTAGAAAGAGAGGTGTAACAGCTGTATTTGGTAAAGTTACCTAAAATGAAAGGTGCACAGTGTTCTCACCTGGTCCCGTCTCTCCTCCTGCACAGTCCTACCAAAGCAAAATGGAAGGGTTGCCATTGTGACGGGGGGGACCAGAGGAATGGGTTTTGAGACAGCGAGACACCTGGCAAGCCTGGGCATGCATGTTTTCATAGGTAGGCTCCTGTCCAATCACATGCCTGCAGACATACTGCTTCTTTTTCTTCATTTATATTAACTCTTAGCCTCTGCAAGCCAGTGTTACTTCACAATTTACCCTGAATCATAGTGTAAACTAACCAGGCAGATGTAGTGCAGACATGAAATAAGTGCAAAAATCTTTTTTTTTTAAATTATTATTTTTTACTGTAATAACACAAATTCTTTCAAAGTGTAATACTTAAAACAGAACATGTCTAAAAGTCTGTAGCATACCTTTTAACCATGACTCTGTCTTTAGTACTAATTAGTATTCAGCTTCCACATGCATGACTTAGGCTGATCTCTGCACCATGTCAGCTGAAATGATAACTGACTTATTTTAAGATATGACTCAGAAATTCAAACAAAGGGAAACACCCGCACACTGTCCAACTTGCAGAGAAAAGAACAATTTTAAGCGATGTTTCGGGACTAGACCTTGATCAGGCAACAGTTTAATACCTAAACGTTGAATTAAATTGTTCCTTTCACTGCAAGTTGGACAGTGTGTGGGTGTTTCCCTTTATTTGTTTAATTATAGATGTGCGAAGTTACCTCTTGATTTAGAGAAAATAGTGTGTTGTATTTTAAAACCACTTAAGAGCTTGCAAATATTTTGTCTCAGTTACTGCATGCCACTTGCATAATTTGAAGGTATAAAAGTGTAGAAAACTAACACCTTGCATCTTTTGTTTAGTAGAAAATTAGATTGATTTTCCTCCATGGTGCATTAATGATTGGCACCAATATAAACTGAGATGATGTGGGCTTTAGGCACTTTAAAAATAAGATTAAAATCTGCTGGACTTCTCCCCAACTCTGATCTTCATCACCTCCAGTTGGAAACGAAAGAGAGGAGGGAGCTGAGGCCGTCAAGAAGATCCAAAAAGAAGGAGGCGAGGGGAAAGGTAAACACCTGTCTGTCTACACCTGAATGTTTGACAGTGGTCCCATCAGAACACCCTCCGTTTAGGGAGGTCTGCAGATGTAAGCAGGTCAACTATAGTGTGCACACTCTGTTGTGTTAAATAAACCTGTTGTAGTCCAGATGTTTAAATGTGGGAGTGCAATGCTTTTCAGATGTAGGATCTGTAGAGGGTAACGGCTTCTGTTTAGGTAAGCTTCTTAAGAAAGATGGGATTAAAATGTGTAAAATATTAGCCTCAGTTTTACCAGAGAGGCCTGTTGTAGCTTGGTTTATAATCTCCAAAAATGCAGAACAATGAGTTCTGGATAACTTTATATGGAAAACTGATCCTGACACACTGATCTGACTGTGTGCAGCTCTGAATAAATCTCATTCAGGCTTCGGCTCTTTCTGATTTTGTTAGTTTACAACTGTGCAACCATAGAGCATAGGCATCATCAGCACACACAGCTCTCTGTTTTAATGCAACTCTGCTTTACATGCTTTTATTATCACGCTAGTGTAATTTAATATGGGTGTTGTAGCGTAGCGAGGGATATTGATGCAATTAGCGGGACCTGTGGATGAAAAATACCTGCAGAAGCTCAGACTGCACCAGGATTACAGCTTTAATCCAGGAGGCCTCATTCAGGGTGGATTCACATATCTCTCTCTCTCTCTCTTTCTCTCCTTCCATGCCTCTCTCTCTCGCTCTTTCTCGCTCTCTCTCTCTCGTTTTCCCTCTCCGTCCACCCCCCCTCTCTCTTTCTCTCTCCATCCGTCTCTCTCTCTCTTTCTTTCTCCGTCTGTCTCTCTCTTTCCTTCTCTCTCTTTCTCTCTCCATCCGTCTCTCTCTTTCTGTCTCTCTCTCTCTTTCCTTCTCTCTCTGTCTCTCTCCATCTGTCTCTCTCTCTCTCTCTCTTTCTCCGTTTCTCTCTCTTTCTCCGCCGTCTCTCTCTCTCATCTCTCTCTCTCTCTCTTCATTCACCCCTCTCTGTCTTTCTCTTTCTCTCTTTTCTTTCCATCCGTCTCTCTCTCTCTCTCTCTCTCTCTGTCCCTCTCTCTCCATCTCTCTTTCTCTCTCTCTCTCTCTCTCTTCGTCCACCTCTCTCTCTCTCTCTTTCACCATCTGTCTCTCTCTCTCTTTGATACGGTACTACAGTTTCAATCAAATTTAACCCATTAAATAATCACTCAGTTACTTTAAAGCTGCTCTCATTGATGCATTTGATGCTAATTAATCTTATTCAGCTTCTCATACAGAGAGTTTTGACTCTTTTGCTCTAAATCATACCCTCTCCTGCAGCAATGGGATTTGATCTGGCCTTAATTTTAGCAGCAATTTCAAAATTGCAAAGCATTTTGGAAAATTTTAGTTTTTTTCCTAGATTTTGACTGTAGTTAAGTGGTAAATTACATTGCGAAAGTTAGGAAAACATGTTATTCAAGTCAGCTGGTATGGTCTATTTCCTGGCAAATATAAAAGCTTTAGTCATGGTTAAAGCATCAATAATGGAAATCAACTGAAAAGCAGAGACTAAATAGAAACAAGTAGCATAAGTTTTCAAGTTTTGCATAGTTGTTTGTTTGTTAGTTAATTCCACTTGGACCAGCTGTCTTTTTAATAAAGTCTGTGTTGACTAAGAATCTGAAATAATGGCAGAGGCTTCAAATAAACAAATGAACCAAAGCTGAAGGGAAATATGCTGAATCAAAAAAAAAAAAAACTCTCTCTGAGACTTCAGTTCATCATTAATATTTATAACTTTGGGCTTTTAATCTAGAGCTCTCCCCAACATTTTAAATCTTTATAAATTAGAAAACATTGTTAATTTCTGCTTGTCTCCACTAGAGAGTCAGGTTTTAAGATTACCACCATTTTTGTAGAAATGTGGACAGAGAGGAGAGTGTATTTTTTTCAAAAGGTTCAGACCATTGTCATCTCAGTTTAATTCACTTTGTGTTATCTGCATGGAAAAAACATTTGCAAACCATTGAGAGATTAAAAAAAGAGGAGTACAAAGGTAAAGCAAGAGGCAGGAGAGAGTAAGAGCAAAGAACACAGATCATATAAAACAGTGGTTCTGCATGTTTTGGATGTTTCCCTGCTCCAACACACCTGATTCAAATGATCAAGCTCTGTAATGGTTTACTAACGAGCTAATCATTTAAATCAGGTGTGTTGGAGCAGGGAAACATCCAAAACATGCAGGACAGTGGGCCTCGAGGACTGGACTTGAGAACCACTGATATAAAACATTAAATTCTCTCTGTTAAGTAAGAGGATGGGTGCATTTTCACAATTTCTGCTCAAATGATTCCTCTTATAATCAGTCAGTAGAATTAAAACCATTATACCAAAAGCATAACAGCATTAAGAAATGCAGAAACAATCTACATGTCCAATAAAAGGTTGCAACTCTCCAAAAAAAAATGGTAGATATAGAAAATCATTTGACCAAAGCAGAAAATTATATCCTTCACAAAAACATATTAATAAGCTGTGATGACACTTAAAGCAAAGGCTCCCCAAAGTCTACATTCTCCCCCTTGTGGTGTCTTTGGGTACTGTAGGCTGGCCACTAAGGATTATGCATAACTAATAAAAATAAGAAGACCTTTACCCCTTTTATGATATAATATTGGCACTTATTTATCTGCTTTTTAAAAACTATTTGTCTTTGCAATACATTTGAGAGTTGATGGATTAAAAAATGTTGTGAAAGTTTGAAGTGTTATGTAGAGTTGTGTGTTTGGATGTTTAGCGGGTTCAGGGGTATTTTTAAACGTTTTTGCACAGGGATTAGTTCACTCAATAGGATTTAAATCCTAGAGAGAACTGGTGCAGAGTTCAGCAAGAGCACAAACAGCATTAAGACGGCTCTGCATAACTTAAGAGATCTTGTAGGTGGAATTTTCCCTGAAATGCACCTGTTTACAAACTTTCTCTCAGAACAATGATCATGTTTTATTCTCTTTGTGCAGCTGAGTTCGTGTTTCTTGATCTGACCTCACTGAAGTCAGTTCGACAGTTTGCACAGTCGTTCAAAAACAAAGGACTCCCACTCCACCTGCTGGTCAACAACGGTAACATCCTCACCTCCCGAGCATGAAATGAGTAAATTCATGATTTAGGGTTCAATCATCAGACTTGGTTTGTTGATTCTGTCCTCAGCTGGCACCATGCTGGTTCCTGAGCGTAGGACGGAGGACGGCTTTGAGTTTCACTTCTGTCTGAACTACCTGGGTCACTTCCTGTTGACCAACCTGCTGCTGGACGTTCTGAAGAAGTCTGGAAGGCCGGGCCGCTGCTCCAGGATTGTCAACATGTCATCAGCCACTCACTACGCAGGAGTCATGCAGATGGACGACCTCAACAGGAGGTGAATCTTCTGGTCTTTAGGACACCAAGCAGTCATGTAAACTGTATTTAGCTAAGTGGTTCAGTTCATTTAAGTCTGACACTAACTCCACCTGTTCTCCTGAAACCCGCACAGTGTCATCTGTACTCATCCATATGCTAACAAAAACAACCACAAACACCATGCCCCTCTCTCTCTGACTCCAGGAAACACTACAGCTCCCATGGTGCCTATGCTCAGAGCAAACTGGCTCTGGTCCTCTTCACCTACTACCTGCAGGAGCAGCTGACAGCCGGCGGCTACCACGTGATCGTGAATGCTGTTGACCCGGGCATGGTGGACACGGCACTGTACGACAACCTGTGGACCCTTGCTCAGATGCTGAAGAAGCCGGTGGCCAAAATCCTCTTTAGGGTACAACTTTAATAAAATCAGAGTTTTCTTTGCATAAATTTTAGCTCAAAGTGACTAAAAAGTGCAGTTAATTTTGATCATGTCTGAAGTACATGTCTTTATCCGAGCAGTTTAAACAATCCAACTGATCAAGGCAGACTCTCATGTGGTTTTGATCCAGACTTTTCTTAAACCAGAAACAGCTGTTATGTCACTCTCTCCAGACACCAAACTACACTGAGGAAAAAACTAGTCTTATATTGGGAAAAAGCAGGAGCTGTTGGTCTACCTTTTACCCTGATAACTTTGAAGAGGGGATCCCAACCGAGATAGAGCATTTTGTTAGAGAGGAAGAGGATTTATAACCATCAAAAGATCAAAAGAATAAACATTTTACTTTGCCGGACACAGGAGTTGCTGTTCTGCTTCAGCCTAATTTTGTTTTGCTGTTTTGAGATGTAGACGTATTGTGTTGCACCATGTATGCGATCTAAGAAAACAACGACACACATCAGCTGAAATAAAAGGTTATAATCAAAGCAGAGGTAGACCAGCAACTCCTGTGTTCTGTCAGGTACAATAACAGTTTCCTGAAGGAGCAGGTGTTTTATTTGAAAGTAGAAAAAACTGTCACTTGAATTTCTCTAAATAAACCAAATATTATTGACAAAATAAGTAATTGTAACTTGCAGAACGTGAGTTGGTGGTTTACTGCGATCAATTTCTTTGTTTTTTAATTGTCAGTTTTATAAGGTTGTGTGCAGAAAACAAGCCATTGTCATACTAAAGCCTTAACACTGCATGTAGATAAAATATTAGGGAGGCTGTAGACCAACAATTCCTGTGCTTTGAGTTACTGCTCTGCCCCATTAGCTTCTGTTTGTTGTGTTATTTACTGTAATACTGATACCATGGTAGATCAAAAAAAACTGTTAAAAACACCAGTCTTATATTAGGACAAACTAACTAAGTAACTAAGGCAGAGGTAGACCAGCAGTTCCCATGATCTGTAAAGTAGCATCCCTGTTTTCGACAGTGTAGTCTGCTGTCTTTAGAGAGAGCTAGTTTCTTCAGTTTCTGTTCAGACTTTCTACTTGTTCGACATTCAAGCCCCAAATACACAAAGAAGAAAGTCCAGATTTAAACATAAACAAAGTTGTTTATCCACACGCATGTATAAAGAAGTCATTCTTCCTCCTAACACAGCCTGTTGATGTTTGTTGTTGTCTCCTCAGACTCCAGCAGAGGGCGCCTCCATCACCCTGCTGGCTGCAGCAGCCTCAGAGTTTGAGGGCATTGGGTCCTGTTACCTTTACAACGGGGAGAAGAGGCCATCTGCGAAGGTCTCCTATGACCCTGAGCTACAGGCCAAACTATGGAAGAAGAGCTGTGATCTGGTGGGGCTGCAGAAAGCCTGAGCCCGCCCCAAGTACCCCCCAAACACCTTAATTAAGCCTTAGTTAAAGCTGATACAGCCCTCTAACTTCAAAATACCCCAAATGCTGCAATACAGATGAAGTCTGTTTAGAGTAGTTTACATCGTGTCCATTAGGGGGAGCGTTTGCCTTTCAAAAAACAGCTGCTAAAACATCTACGGGTCATGTTTTACAACATGTGCTCCTCGCTCCTCATATATCAAAGAAAAACTGCACAATCAGTAGCCTGGTCTGATGATGTCACATATGAATTAAAGCTATGGTCTACGATCGGAATTTGACAGATTTGAAAGACGCAGCCTGACCCCCTTCACTCACCCATCCCCTCCGTCTTCCAAGATCCCGCCCCCCCAGCTAGTGTCGCCTCCTAACAACATGCCCTCTCTGATAGAGCAAGTAGCCGGCGTCTTGCCATAGAATGCACTGTTGCCGTAGAATGCAAACCCTGACGGGAGCGCGGTTAAAAGTACATAAAGCGAAATAATCCAAGTTTTCCTTACCATTGGATGGATTCAAGAGCGTGTATCTTTAATGATTTCATTCAGGCTATTCAAATAAGCCAAAAACAATAGCCCTCTGATTCTGAATATTTGCTGTCCCGAAAATATGATGTTCTCTACCGTGACTTACTGTACACCTCTATATGTGCATTTTTGAGCCTTATAAAAACAGAACGAAAGTTTGCTGCTCCAATTGACATGCTGTCATGATCCGATATTTGCGTTTTTTATTTAAATGAGATAATTTTCCTCCACTTTAAAAAGCTAATGGGTGGATGGGCTGAAAGGGTGCATTCTACGGCACAACACCGGTCGTACACTTCTCCAATGTAGACTCTCCATTGGCACCTGTATCGCTCATATTTCTTCCTGACTTCAGCCTTATCCTCGAAACTTTTACGTTTCCTTTCCTTCGATGTGGAGGGTAACAGAAGCGGCCTCCTGGTTTCGGTGTTTGTCTTCTCTGGCTCCATTACGCTTCAGTAGCTGTGCAGCTCGCTAATCATATGTACGTGAGGGGCGTAGTGGGGAGGAGGCAGGACGGTGCGGAGCAGGGGAGACAGGGGATTGGATGGACTCACGGACCAATCCGAACCGCCGGGGTACGGAGGTTCGGATTGGTCGATTATTATGCCTTTTTGCAGCGGATATACTGAATGGGATTTTTTTCGTTCTTTTTGATCTTTATATTGCGTAGATCAGACCATAGGACCATAACAGCCTTATAAACCGTGTTATTAATAAGTACCAGGCTTCCAAATGGTAGACCATCGCTTTAAGCACACGTTACTATGTGCAGTTTCCCGTCCTTATTTTACTGCCTGCACTTGTGAAAATCTTAAATGTCTGTCTGTGTTTTTTTTGTGTGTGTGTGTGTGTGTTTGTTTGAAAAGAGATTTGCCAATCAGAGATTAGATTCTGGGATGTCATCCTCCTGCAGAGCCTTTTCAAAAAGCTTTGTGATCAAAAGTGACCAAGTCCAAAGTGGATGACCATGAGGTGATTTCTGCAGGTGTTTAAATGTTTGAGCCTCTATGAGCTTTGACAGCTCATAGAGCTGAACCCCGCTCACACTGAGAACAGCTTTGGTTTAAGTTGAATGCAGTATTAGACACTGAAATGCTTCTGCTGACTCATTTTATTGATACGTTTTGATTTTATGACATTATCTGCAGACTCGTCCATGAGCCAAATGCACTTGTTGTTTTGAATGCACAACACCAAACCTTCATATGTGAATCCTGTCGAGTTTTTTCTACTGGAGCAACTTAATTTTGATGAATCATTAGAAACTCTGTGCTCAACTTTAACCCCTTTAGTGCCTTTTTAAAGCTACAGACTAAAATCTGTAAAAGTTAGTGATCAAATTTGACTTTATATCAAAAAAAATAAGAGTAAATATGAATGTTGATGTTAGGAGGTTGTTGTTCCACCTCTAACCTGTAAAAAATGCCGACTGTATTTCAACTGTTCTTGAATCAAATGTCAGATTTTAATCATATTTTGCACATAATTGATTTTTTGACCAGAATGACTGAAACCTTATTTCAGGGTGTGCTACTGTCAGAGATGTAGAGTTTCTTTATGTCTGTCACATCAACAGATGCAGTAAAATCGTGAAAAGAGTGTTAATCACTAATGAATAAACTGCATCTGAACTTCTCAATCCTCTGCTGTGGTGTTATTGCTTTGTGAAATATTTACATTGTATTTTATTATGTTTAAGAGTTGTTGTTTTTTCTCCTAAAATTTAGTATAAATTATAATTATTTGAGCTGTATGTAAGCAAATCTTCCCTGTCTTTCTACCTTTGCATCAGCTTGAATGGTTCAAACAGTTATTCACATTTAAAAAGCAGGGATTTCATATTTTGGGAGGTTTAAATTTGCAGGTTATTCTTTCTTTGTTGTGCAAACCTGGAAAATTTTACGAAATATGCACACAATTCTAACAAAATACAAACATTTCTATTAAAATGACTCAAAATTATTCTTAAATTCTGTTTTATAAAATAGTATTAAATTCAGTTTAATTCATTTTTCTTGCATTGAAAATTTTGAAATTTTCAATGTATTTCAATTGTATTTTTTGCAAGTTATTTTGCTAAACTCACATGTTATTAAATGTTTGATTAAATATCTTTGCATTAATAAAAAGATTCAACATTACAGGACACACAAATAAATTTGATTATATTTTTTTAAATATATTTAGCAATCATAGACTGTAATATTTGTGCTGTTGCCATTCAGAGCCACCAACATGTGGGATTAAAAATGTTTGTTGGTGTTATTTGAGTCCTGTTTAGTTTTTTAATGTGACATAAATCTGGGGAATTTTATGCCTGTTGTTGCACTGACACTTACTGTCCAGCAGAGGGAGCTGATATTGTTTTAGAGAACCGTCCACCATGAGCTCTGAGGAAAGTCTATAAAAGAAATACCGAAGGGATTTGATGTAAATACATTTTAACTTTAAGCCTGAATCTTTATCCTTATGGATTTATAGGTCACCAAACTCTAGTCAGAGAAACATTTTCTTTATCAGGTGTTCAAATGCTGAAAAAAATAGCTTATCAGGTTTTAATTCCTGTAGGGCTCCAATGAAGTTCCTGGAAGTGACTTTTTAAAATTTGGTTTCCCACTTTAAGCCTCCTCCTCCTCTTCTCCTCTCCTCCTCTCTTCTCTCCTCCCTCACAGTGGCTCTGTCACTCTGAAGAATGGAGGAGAGGAGTGAAGAGCAGCTCAGTTTCTCTGTGAGGGTCTTCACTCTGCAGGAGGAGCTGAGGGGTGAAGAGGAGCACATGGAGGAGCATGGGGAGGTAACAGAGGCCGCAGAGTCCTTATCTGTGCAGCTACAAACTGTCTGGTCTGCCTTTTTTTTCCCTTCTAATGCAGTTAGTAAGAAAGAGGTAACGAAAGTTTTCTTGCTTGTCAGAAATTGGTCTGCCTTCCTTTAGAGCTTTTTTTCAGCCTTGACTTGTTTTGTTTTTAAGTGGTTTGGGTCGAAATGATGAATATGTATCCCTTTTTCTGGAGTTAAGTTGAATTTCATGTGTTGTCTTTGCACTATTTTTAAGTAAAAATTGTAAAACTTTACTTACAGTGGATATAAAAAGTCTACACACCCCTGTTCAACTGCCAGGTTTTCGTGATGTAAGAAAATGACAGCAAGATAAATATTTTCACAACTTTTTCCACCTTTTATGTGACCTATAACCTGTACAACACAATTGAAAAACAAACTAAAACCTTTAATTTAAAATAAAAAAACTAAAATAACCTGGTTGCATAAATATGCACACCCTTAAACTAATACTTTGTTGCAGCACCTTTGGCTTTTATTACAGCACTCAGTCTTTTTGGGTAGGAGTCTATCAGCGTGGCACATCTTGATGTGGAAATATTTGCCCACTCTTCTTTGCAAAACCGCTTCAAATCTGACAGATTGCGAGGGCATCTCCTGTGCACAGCCCTCTTCAGATCACCCAACAAATGTTCGATGGGATTCAGGTCTGGACTCTGGCTGGGCCATTCCAAAGTCTCAATCTTATTCCGATGAAGCCATTCTTTTGTTGATTTAGATGTGTGCTTTGGGTCATTGTCGTGCTGAAAGATGAAGTTCCTCTTCATCTTCAGCTTTCTAGCAGAAGGCCGAAGGTTTTGTACCAACACTGACTGGTATTTGGAACTGTTCATAATTCCCTCCACCCTGACTAAGGCACCAGTTCCAGCTGAAGAAAAACAGCCCCAAAGCATGATGCTGCCACCACCATGCTTCACTGTGGGTATGGTGTTCTTTTGGTGATGAGCAGTGTTGATTTTGTGACAAATATACCTTTTGCAATGATGCCCAAAAAGTTCAACTTTGGTTTCATCAGACCATAACACATTTTCCCACATGTGTTTGGGAGATTTCAGATGTCTTTTTGCAAAATTAAGCCGGGCTTTGATGTTTTTCTTTGTAAGATAAGGCTTCCGTCTTGCCACCCTACCCCATAGCCCAGACATATGAAGACAGCAGGAGATTGTTGTCACATGTACTACACAGCCAGTACTTGCCAGAAATTCCTGCAGCTCCTTCAGTGTTGCTGTCGGCTACTTGGTAGCCTCGCTGACCAGTTTTCTTCTCATCTTCTCATTAATTTTGGACGGACGTCCTGTTCTTGGTAATGTCACTGTTGTGCCATATTTTCTCCACTTGATGATGACGGTCTTTACTGTGTTCCATGGTATATTTAATTCCTTGGAAATTCTTTTGTAGCCTCACCTGACTGATATCTTTGAATAATGAGATCCCTCTGATGCTTTGGAAGCTCTCTGTGGACCATGACTTGTGCTGGAAGATGTGTCTACAAAAATGTCAGGAAAAGCAACTAGAACAGCTGAACTTAATTTGGGGTTAATCAGAGGCACTTTAATTGGTGACAGGTGTGTGCTGACTCCAATTTAACCTGAGTTTGAATGTTATTGGTTAAATCTGAACACAGCCACATCCCCAGTTATTAAAGGGTGTGCACACTTATGCAACCACATGATCTCAGTTGTTTATTTTTACTTCACCTCCCTGAAAGATTTCTGTTTGTTTTTCAATTGTGTTGTACAGGTTATAGGTCACATTAAAGGTGGAAGAAGTTGTGAAATTATTTATCTTGATTAGATTTTTTTACATGACAAAAACCTGGCAGTTGGGGTGTGTAGACGTTTTATATCCACTGTATCCTTTTATCAATAAGTAAGATTTGGGGGTCTTTGTCTTGCGGTTTGGTGGAGCTCGTTCTCATTTGGTGTTTTATATCTTTGAAGGAGGTGGATGAGGAGCAGCAGGTCAGAGTCTGCAGACAGAGAGGAGAGGAGGAGCTCACTCTGTTCCTCAGATCAGGACAGGACTTTCAGGAGGTTACTGTGCAGGATGGTAAGCTCACAATTACGGGTTGTACTCTCTGTAGTCACTCTGACCCTCGATAGAGTCCTCTGATCAATCACCCAGAGTTATTTTAAAACACCCCGTGTTTTTTCTGTGTTTATAGCGAACAGAGCATCAGTCCACCAGTTCACAGTCTCCACAGAGTCTGAACAATGTCAGGTCGGAGGTCAGTCCTTCCTGATCACCGTCGACAAGTTGAGTCTCCTGCTGCAGTTCAAGACTCCATCAGGTTTGTGCAGATTATCCCTTAGACTTCACTGATTGGGTTAGTTTTTCACAGCATGTTCAATAAGTTCCCTTTTTGTTTTCCAGATTTGAAGAAGTTCCTGCAGTTCCTGAGGAGAGAGACAAACGAGGAGTTGAGGAAAGGTTTCACAGAAAGAGGAGGCAGAGAAAATGAGAGTGTAGAGACGGGGCATGTCTTACCTGCACAGTGCTACGAGGTAAACCACTTTGCCGTGTGAAAGAAGAATAAATGGACACAAAGGAGGAGTTTGATTTATATTTTTGTATGTCTAGTTCCACAGCTGTCTGTCCCAGCAGCAGAGCCTCCTCCAGGACTTCCCGAGGATCGCCACCTATCACAAAGCTGTTTTAGACAATGAGGCCGACTTCAGAGACAAGGTTAGAAAGGAGACTTAGATACTTAGATAAGCAATTAATTCCTGGCTCAATCATCCAGCCAATCAAATAATGCTAGATTGGTCATGTGGCACTGACCCTATTGGAAGATTGAATTCAATTGATTGCTTCTCCCTGGTTACCCAGATGCAGAGTCGGTCTGTTTTACACTGAATTTATTGACACTGAAGTATTTAACACTGAAATTTTTTTTGTTGCATTTTTTTTTAAGTTGAATTTTTACTAAACGAATATTTTGAGAGATTGAGTTTCTTTTACACTGAATTTTTTTAATCATTGTGAAAAAAAATACTGTCAGAAATAAAAATGTGTGCTTGAAATTCAGTGGTTTTAAAATTCAAAGTCTTATTTTGATGAAAAAAAAAAAACAAGACTCAGCTTTAGAAATTCAAATTCAAAATCAGATGGCACAGTTTTACTTCCATACTTGTTCTAAGAGTCTAACAGCACTGGAAAAATGATCCCTGCAAAGACATTATTATTAATTAAAAGAAGCCTTTTATTCACTTCTTTCAAAGCTACCTGACTCATTTTACAGACACTTCACAACACAGGAGTTGCTGCTGTGCGTCTGCTTACAAGAGCGAAAAATAATATAACAAAGCAATTGAAGTTAGAACAACAACTTATGTTTCTTTGCACGGGAGTTGCTGTTCTACCTCAACATTTATTTATTTATTTTTTTTTGGGGAAATGCAAGATGCTTTATATGATTACAATGGCTCAAATAAAACAGCACCATGATGCAGATAAAATGCATAGAGCAATGAATGATGTTGCACAACAGTGACTCTATAGTTTTCCTGTTAGTAATTGGAGTTGTTGGTTTACGTCTGCTGAATTTGTTGATTTTTTGCTATATTGCATTGGATTAAACAGTTACAAGCATCTCTTTTGTTAAACATAAATTAATTGGACACATTTGATTACCAAGTTTGTGCTGCAGCCACTACAGCCTGTTTCATGCCTGCAGGTTGAAGAAATCCACTTAAGCAATTTCAAATCACCCCAAATTTTTCTGATCTCTGAGCTTAGGTTGAAAAATTCAGGAATATTGTGGTTTGGCTTTGGTTGGCAATAGTATTTACATTCGCCGCCCTTACATTTTATGATGAATAATTTCAATAAAACACAGTAACCTGCTTCTTTCTCCTCTCTGTAGGTGGTTCTGGATGTGCGTTGTGGTTCTGGTATCCTGTCTTTCTTTGCGGTCCAGGCTGGAGCCAGCAGAGTTTATGCTGTGGAGTCCAGACCCATGTCCAAGTTCACACAGGTCTGTCCTCTATCTTCGGAGTTGTTTGTCTCATTCTGGTGTTTGTTACTGGACCTCTGGGGTCTCCAATTCGCTGAATTTCTCAGTTATGAGTTTGTAGAGTGATATTTAGTGTGTGTTGGCCGTTATAAAGCCTAAAGAGAAACCTCAGCAGCGCTCTGGATGGAGCACACACACAGAGTACATACATCCCGTGCAGAGCGTGGCATTCTGGGGAGTTAATGGGTTGCGGCAACATCTGGCCCTGAATTCAGCAGGAGGGGGGCCACACTGCGGAGAGATGCTGATGCACATTAGAGATACTGTAAGTGGATTAAAAATGTCTGCAGCAGCTCTGAGTCCAGAAAGAGCTGCTATAAATTAACTTAAGACTCCTTGTCACCCATCTACATAGTATTATAGAAAACTGGCATTCAAAATTCTTTCCTTAAAAACTGCGGTCTTCGTCTCCCGGATTATCCAGGAACCACTGCAATAGTAATTTCTGGTAATATGTTTAACTCTTGAAGTGAATTTTCCAGAGCTCTGAACAAAACAAACATGAATGGGGGTATTCATGACAAATGTGGTTGGCAGACACAGATGAAAGATATTTACTAAATGTACATGATGAACCTTTACAGCATAAAGTATGTAGAAGGATTTGATTCAATATGACAGTGGTTCTCAAGTCCAGTGGCTCCAACACACCTGATTCAAATGATCAGCTCGTTAGTAAGCCATTACAGAGCCTGATAACGAACTGATCATTTGAATCAGGTGTGCTGGAGCAGGGATATTCATTATATTATTATTCATTCGTCACATAGCAACACAACACACTCATAGAGTGATGACTGAAATGTTCAAACAGGGAAATCATGATGTATTATGACTGCTTTATTTCCTGTCTTCTGTGTAGATCCTGGTTCAGAGTAACAGTCTGTCTGAGCGGATCAGGGTCCTGGAGGGGGATCTAGAGGAGGTCACCTGTCCTGAGATGGTGGATGTGATCATCTCTGAGCCAATGGGACACATGCTCCTCGGTGACAGAGTCCTGGAGAGCTTCATCAGGGCCAGAAAATGGCTGAAACCAAATGGTAGGAGGGGGGGACGTCAGAAACTGTGGACTCAGAATATGAAAAAATTATATAGTGAATAATAAAGTGACCGAATAAAAGAGTGAAATCTCTCACATTCACCCTGCAGGTCTGATGTTTCCCTCCTGTGCTGATATCCATCTGGCTCCCTTCACTGACGAGCAGCTCTACTTTGAGCACCATGCACGAGCTAGTTTCTGGTCTCTCGCACACACACACACACACACACACACACACACATGTTTACACAGGCATAAATCCATGCATGAGGACGCAAACACACTGGCTCCCTTTCTCTCTCTCTCTCTCAGAAACACTGGTTCCCAGCTCGACCTCAGTCAGGCTTGTTTCCTGTCGGGTGTAAAACGCTCGGGTTCAGTTCAGTCCTGACTCAGTCCAAACGTTTGACTGGCTGAATCTGCTGCAGGACGATCTGCCAGGGCTGAAACTTTCACCTAGATATTACATTAATAGATCAGTATCAGAGGTGGTCTTTCCTTTTGTGGCATGCAGCGTCCTACCCCAAACTGAAAACTAACATATCATATCTTAGTGTTAAGGCTCTGTTTTAAAGTATTACTTCAAATAATAACTGGCAGCATCCTGAGACAGACAGTCATGCCATATCATACTAATCTAACCGTACTGCATCATGAGTAGTGCATAGTATCTGATCGTATAGAAGTGTTTCGTAGTGTAACGTATCAAATCATATCTTATCATGAGTTATAACATATTTTGTCATAACACATTATCTCATATCTGATTAAATTGTTTCAGTCACATGTTGCAACGTATCATATTAACTGTATTGTGCTTTATGACATCATAACTTATGTAATCGAAACTTACCATACTATATACAGTATATATCATAAGTGAACACATCACACTGTATTGTGCTGTGTCATATCGTATCATGTCAAATCAGATCGTATCATATCATATTGTATCATGTCATGCTGTATTGTTTCCTCTCGTCTGGTGTTGTGTCATGTCGTGTCATGTCATATAATATCATATCGTATCGTATCGTATTGGATCTTACCATACTGTACGGTACCGTATCATGTCGTATCAGATCGCATCATATATTGTTTCATGTGATGTCCTATTGTATTGTATTGTATCATATCGTATCACATTGTATCATAACGTATCGTATCATTTCATATCATATCGTATTGGATTGTATCATATCGTGTGGTGTGGTGTGGTGTTGTGTTGTATCATGTCACATAATATCATATCATATCGTATGGTATTGGATCGTATCATACCGTACTGTACTGTACCATATCATGTCATATCAGATCGTATCATATATTGTTTCATGTCATGTCGTATTGTATTGTATTGTATTGTATTGTATCATGTAGTGTAGTGTGGTGTTGTGTCGTGTCATATCGTATTGTATCGTATCATATAGTATTGGATCATATCGTATGGTACTCTACCATATTGTATCGTGTGGTGTGGTGTGGTGTTGTGGTGTGACATCGTATCATATTGTATCGTATCGTATTGTATTGTGTGATGTGGTGTTGTATCGTATCGCATCGTATTGTGTCGCGTCGTATCGTATCTTATCGTATCATATCGTGTGGTGTGGTGTTATAGTGTGTCATATCGTATCGTATCGTATCGTACTATATCTTATCGTATCATATCGTATTGTATTGTATTGCGTGATGTGGTGTTGTATCGTATCGCATCGTATTGTGTCGCATCGTATCGTATCTCATCGTATTGTATCGCGTGGTGTGGTGTTGTGTCGTGTCATATCGTATCGTATCGTATTGGATCATATCGTACCGTACTGTACCATATCGTATCATGTCATATGGTATTCTCTCGTCACGTATCATGTTGTCTTGTGCTATTGTTTGACATTATAGCCTATTATACCAAATTATGTCCGGAATCCGGTCCGGTACGGAAAGTATTACATATTCATTTTTTTATGAACCAGAGAGTAATCGATCATATTTATCATACTCATCTTTATATATCTGTTATTTAACAGCTCAGTGGTTCACATAATGTCATCATGTAGTAATCATCATTAACTTCACTCAGTCTTTTAAATCTAACCCAACTTTTATCTTCTACGAAAGCTAGGATTCATTTTTCTTTTCCATGTGCAAACAAAATAGCCTCTGCTGATTGTGTGCGTGTGTGTGCAGTGTTTGGGTGTGTGTGTGTGTACCATATGGTGTGTGTACACTCTCCCGCTCCACCTCTATGTGCAGGTCAGGCTCAGTCGACCTTGAGGAATGAAGGTGAACTAAACTGATTTAGCATGGACTGCAAAAACAATAAGAGAGTCTGCAGGAATCACAGACGGATAAACACAAATAGAGGATACTGTCAGATACCATATAATAGTGTAAACCATCTCTCTTTTAATAACTTCTGTGTTCATTTTTCTCTCCTCAGGCAACAGAGAAACTTCTACGGCGTGAACCTGAGCGCTCTGCACGGCCCTGCAGTGGACGAGTTCTTCAGACAGCCTGTAGTGGTAAAAACACAAGCCCTGATGCTGAAACAGTACTGAAAATTATTCAGAAAACATCTGAAATATTTCCAGAGAGATGCACTGGGTCAGTTCTACCCTGAGGTCTGCCTGACAGGCAACATTCAGAGAATTAAAGACCCATTAAATCCATCGTGGCTGAAGCTGAAGCATTTATATCCAACAGGTTTTACCTTTTTAAGTATAATGTTTTTTTAAAAATTGTCCTGACTGTATCTTTTAGGACTCTTTTGAAGTTCAGATTCTGATGGCCCGGTCAGTCAAACACAGGATCAACTTCATGGAGGCTACAGAGGAGGATCTACAAAGGTTAGAAACGGCCAGAGATCATTTCTCAAACTTGAGAGGAAGTTCCTTTTCTTGATTGAACATCTATTAGCAGGCAGACACGGGTTATTTCAGGCTGTTTGGAGGTTTTTGAGTCATGTGTGAATATCTATGTCACCCTCTCAGGGTGGAGATCCCCTTCCTGTTCACTCTACTTCAGTCCAGTCTCGTTCATGGACTCGCCTTCTGGTTCGACGTGGCCTACCTGGGATCCAGGTGAGACCCAGACTCCTGTCACCTTGTTGGTTAGTAAAACTAAAACAGTTAGGTTCTGTCTGTCATCAGGTCATCAATTTGGCTCTCCACCTCACCCTCTGAGCCGCCCACTCGCTGGTCTCAGGTCAGGTGTTTGCTGCAGACGCCACTCTTCGTGAAGGTGGGGCAGACGCTGTCAGGGACTGTGCTGATGATTGCAAACAGCAGGTAAACCTGAGGATTTATCTGCCTGATTCTGTTAGAGAGAAGCCCATTTTTAGTCTAATGACCTTCTTTTTGCAGACAGAGTTATGACATCCACATCACAGCCACAGTTGACCAATCAGGATTCAGATCTGGAAACATCCTGGACCTTAAGAACCCTTTCTTCAGGTGATGTCAACAGTTCATCCCGGATGTATTTAAAGCTGGGATGGTACGAGATCACTTTTGTGTCAGGTTTGCATTGAAAGGCATGACAAAACAGTAAAAGTTTGCAAAGAGCAATCAAAAGAAAACTAAGTAGAGCTAATCTATAAAAGATTCAAATGAGATCAGAAGTTTGGTTTTCTATTTTTATTTTATTTAACTTTTATTTAACCAGGTTTGTCCCATTCAGATCTGAGGATCTCATTTGCAAGGGAGACCTGACCAAGAATGGCGGCAATACATGGTTACAACAAACAGTCACACAGACTCAATACAGAATGAAAATGTGAGTAAACATCAGTTAAAACAGCGACATTCTGAGAGTTTGTACTCCAGCCTTTTAACTGCAGATTTAAAAATAGTCAAAGACACAAAGTTTTGCAGCTTAAATTCAGTCTGCAGATTATTCCACACAGAGGAGGCAAAGAACCTGAAAGCCTTCTTTCCCATTTCAGTTCGGACTCTGGGAACAACAAACTGTATAAATCTTAATGATCTCAGGTTGTGTAATCCATCCTTAATGATCAATAACAGCTTTTTTCTCTGACAGTGTTTCTTGTGATGCTCTTGTCGATGAAAACAACATGAGTTTACTTTTCTCCACATGAAGCACGGGTTGCAGCTGCCTAAGCTGATCTTGGACCAAAAGCCAGCGCAGGTGTTGGTGCACAGCAATAAATGACTGTATCATCTGCATAGAAATGAATATTTGCATTTGGAACATTTTGTCCCAGGGCGGTTGACATATATTGTAAATAAGAGCAGTCCCAGAACTGAACCTTGAGGAACACCCTTGTGAATTTGAAGTACCTCTGATAAGAGGCCGTATGACTGAACAACAGATAATTCGCAAACAAGAAGCTTTAAGACGGTCTAATAATGAAACAAACACACCACATTGGCATCCTCACGTGGTAAAAAAATCAATTAGGAGAGAGTCTGAAATATTTTTTTGTGTAAAAAAATCAGCTGTTTAATAGGAAAACACTTTCAAGAGTGTATTTACGACACGCGCACAGCACCATCTTGAGTTTACGACAGTTGTGACATCACCGGTTGTGTAGGAACAGAGCGGTGAAATAGTAATTAGTGTACGTGACTCAATCGCTTAGCAATAAGATGTCGTAGGACGTATTTGAAATGGATATGATGGAGGTCTATTGATATATATTATAAATAAGAGCGGTCCCAGAACTGAACCTTGAGGCACACCTTTGTGAATTTGAAGCACCTCTGACAAGAGGCTGTATGACTGAACAGCCTGGGTTCTGCCAGAGAGATAATCCACAAAACCACCTGACTGCTTGTTCTGAGAACCCAGAAGCTTCTGGGCCTAATAAACGGCCTAATAAAATACAGTAATCCACGGTGTCAAGAGCCTTAGAAAAATCAATGAAGAGAGAAAGACAACACTGCTTGTTGTCTCTAGGATATCATTCACTACCTTCATTGCAGCAGTGGTAGTGCTGTGGTTCTTCCTAAAGCTGGACTGACATTGAGAAAGAATAGAGTTACAGGCCAGGAACTCTTTCACCTGGTCACTGACCAATGTCTCAAGCGCTTTAGATAATACAGACAGTTTAGATATTTGGTTTCAAATCCAAAAGGTCTGAGTTCAGGTCAAAAGTTCAAATGTGTCATTTCTGGATGCAAAAGTTGATTAATTCCGAGAGTTGTTCTGTGGTTTCTATTTGGTTGAGGCATAATTGGCTGCTTTGTGTTTCTCTTTTAAATTTGTTCAGTCTGACAGTATAGTAAAGACTGGAAGGGGACCTCTGTGACCTCAATAAACATCCCTGCAGTAAACATGAAAACAAAAACTGAAGCTGTGCCTTTGTATGCAGGATACCGTCATGGTTCCACAGTTAGAAACCTTCGGACTGTTGGAGTCAAACATGCCGAGGTCAGGTTACCTCGCCACGTGGATATGTGCAGGTAAAACTGTGACGCACAGACTAAAACCCTCATCAACAGTTTCCTCTGCAGAGTGCTGAATATACTTTTAGACCAGTTATTCTGATGATGAATCCTGACAGAAGAGGCTTCACATGGACAGGATATAAAGTCATGGGTTTGAATCCGGTTGAAAATGTCATGCAGGTTATATTATGTTGAAGCGTTTTAAGATAAACTCAGCTTACATAAAACATTTTATTTTATGGTAACTGTACATTTGATATGAACAGTCGATTTGTGTCTTTCTTTCTTTGCAGAGGTCAAACTTCCTCACATCTGAACTTTGAGCCAAAGATAAAGACCTCCTTTTAGTATTCATCTCATCACAAATGTCTCTTTTAAAAAATGTTGTCATAAAATAAATGATTCATGTGTGATTGTACTGAGTCGAGTAATTATTCATTTAAAATACTGACAAATGAAATGTCTTTGTTTGACGGTTGCTTTTCCAATTTCTGAAAGAAAAGAAACAAGAAACCTTTTGAGTGACAAATCTTAAATAAACAGTGCAGACAAGTTTGCATTATTACAAAAATCTTTCTCTAAAGCTGAGGAAAACAAAACCAGGATGTTTACATTTTTAACTGGAAGCGAGTGGAGGGCTCTGAAATTTTAAAATGTTGACTACAAACAACAAAACACAGCAATATTGTGATATTCCCAAATGTCATCAATGACTAATAGCTATTTACTGACATTAAAAGCTTTTTTGTATGTACACCACAAAAACAGATGCTTCTTTAACGGATATCTGCCTACTCCACCTTTAAAATAAAAACGAAGGAAATTTCCAGATCCAGCTTAATGGGGATCTTTGTAGTCCACCTGGTGGCGGTAACGCGGCATTTTGGATGCAAATCGGCGAGAGAAACCAACGAACAAGAAAAAGCAGGAAGTTGATGCAGCTAGCAGAAAATCACCAATGTAGCCACCTTTGTGTTTTGGAGCAGAATAATTCAGTTTTTTCTGCTTATAACGTTTTAAAAACCTGATCAGAGGATTATTAAACATTTACTGGGCTAAAACAGGGTGCTGGGCAGGATGCTGGCGACCGGAGCTGTGAGTAAAGAGCATCGTTAACTTATTAAAATAGTCATGCTATGATTATGCTGCTTTAAAGGTGGTTATTTCAATTTAATTTACGGTTCTACTTTATTTATTTTAAGGGTTTAATTCATTTTAATTTAAGGTTCTATTTATTTTATTTTAAAGTTCTATTTTAACTCAATTTAAGGTGTTATTTTACTCATTCAAAGGTTTTATTTGACTAATTTTAAGGTTTTATTTGATTAATTTTAAGATTTATTCCCTCAAGATTATAAAGGGAACAGAAAAGAGGAAATTATGAGTTAATTAAATTAAATAATTTAATGTAGAGAAAGCTCTGTAACAAATTAAAGGGTTTTTAACAGCTGAAAATTAAATAAAATAATCACAAAAACATAAAAATTAAAGGATTTAATTTGTCAGTAGGAGAATTTCTTATTTTTATTATATTAAATGTAATCTTATATTTCAGGTAACTTTTACTTCTCCAAAAACTCAAAATACTTAAAGAGGATTTAGCTCAAATGGACCAAGATGGCCTTTAGATAAATGTAGACCTAAATGTTTCTTAGAGTCTGGTTAATGTTTGGTAGATCTGATGTCTCTATAGAAGAGTGAGTGATTCCATGAAACTAGTGCCTGTTCAGCCTAGAAAATTTAAACTATATTTAATTGTTAATTTTTAAGTACCCAGGAATCAAAAAATGTTTAAAATGGCAGGAAATGATATAGTGCCATCTCAGGCTGTGTTATTTCATATTTTATAACCGTTTTTCTCCTGGCTGTTTTCATAATCTTGTCAACCCTGTTACCGACATAAACTTTACAAAATACAATATTTCTAATTAGAAATATGCAATATATGGTACATATATTAGCAGTACTTTAGTCTCTCTTTCCATTGAGATTATTTAATTTTGTGGATTTTTTTCACCAATTAGATATTTGTCATTCAGATGATGAAATATACCCTAATTTTGCATGGCGATCACATGTCTCAACATATATCAGATATTTTTTAGAAGAGAAATGTTGAAAAATGGCCCAATCTAAAATATAATGTAATTTAATTTATAATGGTAAGTGTTTAAAGCCCATTTGAGTTGTCATTTTTTTTTACATTTTTATCAAATTAATGACAACAACAGGATTGACGTCATGGTAACAGGGCTGACAAGAGTAAAAATAACTGGACACAAAGTAACTGGCTGTCCACCGGCAATATCAATCGATCAAAAATAATTATTAGCTCAATAATGTTCACTTGATGACCTAAACATGTTTTAATTTTAAAAGGTTAACCTTTAAAGAGAGTACAACGAGGGTAAACACTATTCTATGTCATCCCTGTGACTCACATTTTAAATCCTGTTACTGTGGAAAGGTAACAGTGTTGACAGTAACAGGGTTGACCATTTTAAGCTAATCTGCCTGTGGCTAGCTTAAATAAGTGCTAGCTAAAGTGCAAGCTGAGTATTTTGAAAGGTAATTACTTCTAGATAATAATAATATTTTGAGAAATAGAAAATGGTTTAGGTTTATTTGTTAAAAAGTGGTAACAGGGTTGACGTTGTACGCTTGTCCCCCCTGGTTAAACCTTGAAAAAACATCAAAAATAGCACATCAGAGGTGAGAGAAACTTAATTGTCACTGAGCTGTTAGCATCCTGGCTCAGAGAGGATGCAACCTCCTGACAATCATGTCAAATCTGGAATGTACCATTATTTTTTTTAGGGTTTTTTAGTTAGGGTAACAGGGTTGACATGAAATCAGGGGATGCCGATAAATTGGTAAATATTTATAATGACTAATATATATTATTACCAAAAACACTGTTTAACAATAAGATCATACTTAAAACAATATGTCAATGTGAAAATTGTAACATTTTGCCAACATTTTACAAATTTAAAGTCCTGTATACATCAGCATAAAAGTAACTTATATTATTTAAAATGATATTTAATTGACTTTAATTTGATGTTATATTAAGGAGAGCAGACATGGTAATGTTATATTTTTAGATTACATGTCAATTTGTAAGGCACCGATTTCATGGAATGACCCAGGTTTCAGAGTGTTAATTAACTCTGATAAATCAGGAAAAATTATCATTAAATATCAAATATTATTGCTGAACTAAAAACGGGGAAACACGTGTCTGATGTATTTCAGGCGGTGACCTCTGCGCTGGCTCAGGTGGACAGAGAGAAGATCTACCAGTGGATCAACGAGCTATCGAGTCCAGAGACGAGAGAAAATGCTCTGCTGGAGCTCAGCAAGAAGAGGGAGTCTGTGCCAGACCTGGCCCCAATGCTGTGGCACTCCTGTGGGACCATTGCCGCCTTGCTGCAGGTACGAGCATCCAGCAAGTCCAACACATTCAGACTCTGATACTTAATCAATCACAGTGTGTAACAGGGGATACCCTTAGCTGTTTTTACTGAGGATAGAGCAGAAACTTTGAGAGAACCAGAGTCAAAAAAGGTAGAGAGAGAGAGCAGGTATTGAGAGACCTCAGAAGAGAGGAAATATTTGGAAGAGTGTGAACTTTACTTTCCAGAGAATTCAGCTCTTTATGCTCCGATCTGACTCTTAAGGTCATTATATTGGTTAAAATAAGTGCAGAGTTCTTTCAAAAGCTTTGTAACCACATTTGTGTGTCTTCTGATGTTTCTGTAATAGCCACAGAGAGATGCCGCTGTTGTCTACTGTAGCAGTAGTGAAGACCGTTCCCTTTACTCATGATAATTTTTCTGTTTCAGGAAATTGTAAACATCTACCCATCAATCAACCCCCCCACACTGACGGCCCATCAGTCTAACAGAGTGTGTAACGCCCTGGCTCTGCTGCAGTGTGTGGCCTCACATCCAGAGACCAGGTACAGCTCCTCTAAACACGCTGACTATAAGAAAACCTCAGCATGACTCAGCAAATAAACATTCAAACCCTGATTTCTGTCATCCTCAGGTCGGCGTTCCTGGCTGCACACATCCCGCTCTTCCTCTACCCGTTTCTACACACTGTCAGCAAAACTCGGCCGTTTGAATACCTCCGCCTCACCAGCCTGGGAGTCATAGGTAAGTTATAAGCTTATGGTCTGTTCATTCTTTGGAGTCTGTCATTTGTTGGTGTCTGAACCCTCTGCTCTGATTGGTCCATTCCTGCAGGTGCTTTAGTGAAAACAGATGAACAGGAGGTGATTAACTTCCTGTTGACCACAGAGATCATCCCTTTGTGCCTTCGTATCATGGAGTCCGGCAGCGAGCTCTCTAAAACGGTACTCTCGGAGGATGTTGTCATCATGATATTACTGTAAGTGATGTAAACGTTCCGTGTTTAAATTCAGTAATAAAACGAGGTTTGTGGTTCAGGTGGCCACGTTCATCCTGCAGAAGATCCTCCTGGACGACACGGGGCTCGCATACATCTGTCAGACCTACGAGCGCTTCTCTCACGTGGCCATGATCCTGGTGAGTTCATCTGATCTGGATGATTTCTTTCAGGTGTTTGTGAGCAGATTTTTCTCCTTCTTTTGTAAACGTGAGAGTCATTTTTGAAACCGGCTCTTTAGGGTAAAATGGTCCTCCAGCTGTCCAAAGAGCCATCGGCCCGACTCCTCAAACACGTGGTCCGCTGCTACCTTCGCCTGTCAGACAACTCCAGGTACGACACCCACCTGTCAATCAACCATCGAACCATAAAACACTATCTATTTACTATCTATCTATCTACAGTGGATAGAAAAAGTCTACACACCCCTGTTCAACTGCCAGGTTTTAGTGATGTAAGAAAATAATAGCAAGATAAATAATTTTACAACTTTTCCCACCTTTAATGTGACCTATAACCTGTACAATGCAGTTGAAAAACAAACTGAAACCTTGAAGGGGAAAAAAATCTTTTTGGGTAGGAGTCTATCAGCGTGACACATCTTGATGTTGAAATATTTGCCCACTCTTCTTTGCAAAACTGCTCCAAATCTGACAGATTGCGAGGGCATCTCCTGTGCACAGCCCTCTTCAGATCACCCCGTAAATGTTCGATGGGATTCAGGTCTGGACTCTGACTGGGCCATTCCAAAGTCTCAATCTTATTCCGGTGAAGCCGTTCTTTTGTTGGTTTAGATGTGTGCTTCGGGTCATTGTCGTGCTGAAAGATGAAGTTCCTCTTCATCTTCAGCTTTCTAACAGAAGGCTGAAGGTTTTGTGTCAACACTGACTGGTATTTGGAACTGTTCATAATTCCCTCCACCCTGACTAAGGCACCAGTTCCAGCTAAAGAAAAACAGCCCCAAAGCATGATGCTGCCACCACCATGCTTCACTGTGGGTATGGTGTTCTTTTGGTGATGAGCAGTGTTGATTTTGCGCCAAATATACCTTCTGCAATGATGCCCAAAAAGTTCAACTTTGGTTTCATCAGACCATAACACATTTTCCCACGTGTTTGGGAGATTTCAGATGTCTTTTTGCAAAAAACTTGCAAAAGTTTTTCTTAGTAATATAAGGCTTCCGTCTTGCCACCCTACTCCATAGCCCAGACATATGAAGACAGCAGGAGATTGTTGTCTCATGTACTACACAGCCAGTACTTGCCAGAAATTCCTGCAGCTCCTTCAGTGTTGCTGTCGGCCTCTTGGTAGCCTCCCTGACCAGTTTTCTTCTTGTCTTATCATCAATTTTGGACGGACGTGCTGTTCTTGGTAATGTCACCATTAGGCATGTGCCTATATGAAAAATTTGATATCACGATATTGGTGGCCCAAAATATCACGATTCACGATATTATCACGATATTAGCGCATTGCTTTTAACGTTATTAAAAATGGCAAAAAAAATGCGAAATCACTTCGCTGTGCACATCTATCTATCTATCTATCTGATTTACCACATTTATATGTCCTTCTTTTTTGTTCAGGGCCCGTGAAGCTCTGCGTCAGTGCCTTCCTGACCAGTTGAAAGACACCACCTTCGCTGCCGTGCTGAAGGATGACACCACCACCAAACGCTGGCTGGCCCAGCTGGTGAAGAACCTGCAGGAGGGTCAGGTGACCGACCCACGGGGCATCCCCCTCCCCACACAGTGACCCTGTCCCTGATGAGGAATACCAGCGAATACCTGCCTGATGACTTGACTACCTAACAGACTGATGACCTGACGAGGACCTGACAAACGTCTTGGTTTGAGTAAAGACTGTTAAGTTGGCATCTCTGTGGTCCTGGTGGATTTTCTTCCTCCAGCGTGGAGCTGCTGATTTCTGATGAATAAACTGGCCAGAACAAAGATACTTAGGGGTTTTATTCTGCTGCAGAGACACAGAAATGATCTGTTTGAATCATCTGTCAGATTCACAGGGTTCAGAGGGTTGAAGAGACCACTCAGCACAAAGATGACTGATCTGGAAATGAGCCTGAAATGGGGTCTGAAAGTCGGTGTTGGGGTACAACAGAGTATATGGTTCCATGTAAAGAAAGAAAACAAAGTTGAGATAACGGGATTAAATAAATCGTGAGAATACAGCTCTGTTGGTAACATTTAACTTAAGTCCTGAAGTGGACCTGTTGAGGAGAAGGACTCTGGATGATCAGCACCTTAAAATAAAGACAGATGTTTGAACATGTGAAGTTGTTGTTTTGACTCGGACAGCTGCCTTTGGATGTTTGACCGTTTTTGTAATATTAACTACAACTTTATTGAGTGAAACTACATCTTTAATCTCCAAATCTTTATTCTTATCATTCATCAGATTTAGAAAAATAGGCCTACCTTTATTGAAAATGTTAAAAAAGTGATGTTAGAAAGTGAACTTTTAATAAAAGGTGATACAATAGAGAGAGGGAGTCGCTTTTATGGAGAGCCATAATAAAAGAATAGTTACAATAAGATGTTATCAATTGAATTTCAACTATTTACTGTAAATATTTAAATCAAAATTACATTACGAACATTATAATACATTATTTTCTGCAAAGATGAAAGAGACACATATAAAAAGATACAAAAATATGATCTTTTAGAGGTAAATACGACTTTTGTTTTCCTCTCCTGATCACCTTTTCTCATTTAAAGCAAACACTATGTTACAGGACTCACAGTCCTCATGCTCCACATCTGTCCCATCATGCTTTGCTGCAGCCGAGCTCACCCATCTAAAGTTACAAAGACGAACTCATCAAAGTTTGATTAGGATGCCAGGACACAAGGAGAGGAGATGAGGAGAGGACAGAGAGACAGTCACAGCAAACTCTGCAAACACACTCGAGACACACACACACACACACACACACACACACAGGCTCCAGAATCAGAGGTCTGAGCGCCCAGATTATTCAGCGTGTGTGTGTGTGTGTGTGTGCTCCCTCTCAGGTTCTGATCATTAATAATCCACAGCAGCAGATCAGTTTACTGCTCAGATTACACACACAGACACACACATTAAATGGGAGGAGTTTCCTCTTAGTGACCTCCTGCAGGTGAAGAGAGGCACTACAGTTCCCACCAGCCCCCTCTGCAGCAGAGTCCTGTAGGTCAGTGGTTCTCAAGTCCAGTCCTCGAGGCCCACTGTCCTGCATGTTTTGGATGTTTCCCTGCTCCAACACACCTGATTCAAATGATCAGCTCGTTATTAAGCCATTACAGAGCTTGATAACGAGCTGATCATTTGAATCAGGTGTGTTGGAGCAGGGAAACATCCAAAACATACAGGACAGTGGGCCTCGAGGACTGGACTCGAGAACCACTGCTATAGGTGTATCTGGAAATGAGGATGACTGAGATCTTGTTTGTGTAAAAAAAAAAAAAAAATGATTGTGAATTTTTTAAAAAATTTTTTTAAAGTTAAAGTTTTTTTCACACAGACTCAAACTCAAAAAGCTGGTAATTCGCTCACCTTTTCCCTCTTTTTTCAGTTCTTTTTATTGTTTATGATTATTTTTTCTCAGTTATTTTTAATTTCTAAAGTTTTTTTTTTATGATTATCCTAATTAGATTTTCAGGTCAGGTCTAATTATCATTATTTTCTCTTATTTGTATTATTTTTGTTTTTATCAGTATTTTTGTTTCTGTTAATATCAGAGTTTGGAGACTTTCAGAAAGTCTTATCATAAAATAAAATACTTAATGTTGATGATTAATTGTAACATTGCAGTAAATAGATATTTTGTTCCTCGATGAGGTTGTTAATCATAAAAATTTGAATGAAGTAATCAGAGTTGAGTCATCATGTTACGAGAATATCAGAAATAATTTTACAAAACAAAGTCATACAGTAAATACAGCGGTTATGTCATAAGAATCAGGGTGTTTTATCATACAAACACGTAAGAACAAAGTCATAAAGTTACAAGAATAAAGGTCTATGAGAGTAAAGTGGTCTTATTGTGGCCCCACTCCTCCGTGGTTTATTGTGCAGCATATGAAAAACTTCAGAGGTATAATTCTGAATTATTTTTTTGTCCTGGAAAAAAAATTTACATTCTGTTAATGACAGAAAATACTGGTTTTATCATCATAATCATGTACTTTATGAAAAGAGCCAAAAGGGAAGGAGGAGGGGAGGTAGAGGGGAGGTAGAGGAGGGGCAGAGGAGAGGCAGAGGGGAGGCGGTCCAGGTGAGCGTCACTGTGAGCTGACTTTGTCTTCAGTCTTTCTTCAGCTAGGCAAGCAGAGGACCAGCAGAGACCGTCTGATCTAATCCTGCAGAGACCAGGACTGAGAGATGATCCCAGAACAGGTCAGACACAGACAGAGAGACCATCTGTTTTTCTTTTACCGATTTTGTTTTCTTAAAAAACTTTATTTTGAAAAAGAAACAGATTGGCTGTATGTTTGAACGTAGCTGCTGTTCTAGTTTGAGGTTCACTTTTTTAAGGCTTTATGCTCTGGGTTTGATGTTTATTCATCTTGAACTGTCCTCATTGGTCACTTATGTTTTTCTGCTTCATTTTAATATCAGTTGATGGCTGTTTTGTTCTTCTTCTGTCAGATTATTTTCTCTACAGCAGGGGTTGTAATCTTTCTGTTTTTAACCTCCTTAAATTTTCTGAAAGATTTTTTAATACTGCTTTAAAATCTGTGAACTGTTTTCTTATTCTTTAAACTCTACAAATGAAAAAGGCTTATTCTACTCCTCTCAAACATAGTAAAATAGGGTGACACCTGAGTTTATCTGCTGTATAACACCAAACCTCCTTCACTTTTAGAGTGATTCTAAAGTTTATCATCTTGCTTCCATATCAGTTTTAAAACAACATACTCAGGTTATATTCTGCTTTTTTATTCTATTTATAAAAAGAGACAAATGATGATAATTGTCTGTAGTTGCTCTAATATTTGTTCCATTCATCAGATTTAGAATAGTTTGTAGTTGCAGCTTTAGTATTTCACTGTTTATGATGAAAGACAACTTTAAACCTTGTTTTTTCTGCATCTTATTGGTGTTTATTGGTTATAAAGTAATACATCTTTGTCTCTACTGTGTTTAAAGTAGAAGCCGAACAGTCCTCCTATTAGAAACTAGTCATTTATTAATTTTAAAATGACTAAATGTGGCTCTTTACATGGACCAATCTCATTATGGTGACTTTTTTTTTGCCTTAAATTGGAGTTTAATCAATCCTAAATGTGACTATTGGTCTTCGAACTCAACCCCCTTTTAAACCACATAAATGGCTGTGTTAGTACAGGTCACTAGTGAAAGGCATTCTGGGAGGATGGTGGGGATTTTGGGAGATTATTGGCTTAGCGAGACAGAACAAAAGTGCAGGACAGCGAAAACACAACTGAGCAGAAAAAGAGCGTCCGGTCGGATCAGAGAGGAGGGAGGCTGCAGGAGGAGGAGGAGGAGGAGGAGGAGGGCTTTGTACATCCTGAACCATCCTGAAAACTGAACAGAAGTGAGGTTTATTAACAAATCGACAGATTAGAGCAACATCTGTTCTTTCTTTCTGCAACATCTGTTTCATGAGGTGAAGGAGAATCTCTGTCAGAACTTTTTTTCTGTTGAATAAGAGCATCTAAATCCACCAGATTGCCTGAAATATTAGTTCTCCTTTTCTGAGGCCTCAGGTTTATGTTCAAATAAAAATGTCAAATAAAGTTTATTATTGAGCAAATGTGTTTTATCTCTGTCATCTACAACATTTCGATAAAAAAACTTAACTAAAATCTATAAATCAACCAATGTGAGAAAGGCCATCTGAGAACAGCATACAGACTTAAAGATGGATGTAGAAGAGGAAGATGTGGAATTAATAGATGTCATGACTATCATATAAAAGTCTTAATAGAAGGTATGAGATACAGTTTGAAGAAAGTAAGTCATTCCTTAATTGAAAGAAATCACTTAATAAAATAAAAAGCCAAAAAAATGACTTGAGATTAAGAAGTCATAACTAAGGGATAGCAAGTCATGATTTCTAGATTATAAATCAAAAGTTTTGAACTCAGGTCAAACCTCCTCAGGGCTCGATCCTTAGACCACTATTGTTCATTTGTGCATGCCGATTGGAGCACAGCAGATTGTCTAGTATTTAAAATGATGTTTACACATCAAGTTATATTTGATGCCGTTTCTAGAGCTTTTAAATCACAGACCAGTGTAGCTCAAAAACACAAGTCCATCAGCCCCTGAGGTTCTGTAAGAGGTTAAAATAACTTAAGAATAAAAGAACTGAAGTCATGAGACTTCATGAGACATCTGACCCCAGGTATGTTTGCCTCCAGAAAATGGTTTACATGCAATTGTTGACCAAGATTTTTTGTCAGTTCTTTTGTTTATTTGTTGAGTACATAAATAACCCCTTAAGAATGAAACCTATCAACGATTTGACCTGTTCTCTAGCGCCACCAATAGGCCAAACTTTAAAAGTAGAACTAATGTATCTTGAAAAGTTTTCATACAAATCTTCTCGAATTTACTGACAACCTTTATGACCACAAGAGGATGAACCCCACTGGTTTCGGTGATGATATGACCTTTCCTGTAGCGCCACCATCAGGTTAAACTTTCAGTTTTTAGAGTTAGTGTATCTTGGAAATCTTTCATCCAACATTTTTCTGATTTTGGGGTGCACATTCATGACTCTCATAAAATGAACCATATTGATTATTTTGCATTAACTACCCATGTTCTTGAGGGAATACCCCACCCTCCACAGCTCAGGAAATACAGTATCAGTCCTATACTTCGACATGTGTGAGTACAGTAGGTCACTCATACACACACTCACACACCTTCATGCCCATGGTGCAGGAAAGTTCTCATGAGAATATTTTTCCTCCTCTCCCATGTCACAGTAGCACCAAAAATGGAAAATTATGGTCCCTCTACTGACGTCAACAACAATGCAGACGTGCTGCTATGAGCGTGTCTCACCAGACACACAGTCCCCCATGTTGAAGACGTTCATTATTCAAGCTCTGCGTATAACCATCAATTGAAAATATTGTATTGAGATGATCATTTAGGAGGTATTTGTAGTTGAAAAGACTTGAGTGTGATCAACTTGCAAGCCTACAGTGGCTTCCTCATTTTGGCAGGAGCTTACAAGTCAAGTTGTTTCCCACATGTCCGCACCACGAGAAGTATCAAAGTTCTAGAGGGAATAGCTGTTTTCTCCACCTCCCTGTTATGTATCAACTCAAAAGTATCAACTCTGCACCTGTAGGTATGGGAATGTTTTACACAGGCAAGTTTTACACAGCCAAAACAGCTTGGGGTCAAATCAACCCCAGAGGAACACCAATGCGTGCAATATGTGTACAGCACATTAAAAAAAAAAATATCATCATGATAATTTTATGCTAAATCAGTTGTCCCCATCAAATTAGGAAAAGTCATAAAATATGAAGCAAAAAAAACAAAAGTCAACTATTATTTTTTAAATGATGAACACTGAATGGGGTCAAATTGACCCCAAGGATAATAGGAGGGTTAAAAGTCCAGTGACTGTTCTTTAAATATGACATATGCTGATGTTTCTCTCCCATCAGATGGCAGACGACTGAGATCACAACGAATGGCTTCCACAGGAAGTGGCTTCCGTAAGTCTCAGATGTTTACTTTTATATTTTTCACCTGACACAGACCGAAATTTTCAAAGTTTAAAATCCTGATCGATAACCTGCAGTTCGAACTTTGAACTCAGTGGAAATTAATTACTGACTTGATAGACATATAAACTTCACTATAAGTTGCTATGGTACTGACATAAGAACCAAATGAATATGAACTTTTAGTGCAGATTCTCAGGGCTGCACTTATAAACAGAAGTCACCTTACACTGTGCATTTTTGTGTGGAAGACAGCAGATAAAAATATGAATTTTTTTGTCAAATTCCAGCTTTTTTACACCAACATAACTGCTGCCACACTGCAAACATTTCACAGCTTGCTCCAATATTGTACCATTCAAACTGGATGTAAATTCTGAGCAGACATATTGGCCTGTTACACTTCATCTTTATAATAGCTTAGTCATTCACTGTGCAGGGATCCAGGGGGACGATAACCTCCAGTCCATGCTGGTGGGGACTGTGATGAGGAAGGTCAAGTCTCGTACCTGGAAGAAACAGCGCTACTTCAAACTCCAGGATGACTGCATGACCATCTGGTACCAGTCCAAAAAAGCAGGAAATGCCTACTCCACATGTAAGATCACAAGACATGGAGACAACACAGGAAATTGTATAATAACACAGGAGTAGATCAATGTAATAGATGAGATTTGATTAGATGGAATTATGTAGGTAATAATGATAATAACAATAGATGTTGTCCCTGTTTTCTAATACCCTTCCAGTGGAAACAACACCACATCATGACCTACAAGACGCTCTTGCACCACAGCAAATACAAACAAGTGAACTGATGCATGAGTCAAATTAAAGAAAGCAGGATCAGATGCATTTATTCTTACCTTTTTAATGGAGAAAGTAAGATGAGTGCCTAAAATGGAGAAAACACAATGCTATAGTCAAAATGAGCGAACACAGTTGGAGGAGCTTAGTGCAGAGCAAGGGTGAGCAAATACTAAAGTATAGTGCACTGATAGTTTATCTTTAAATAGAGAAAACACGTTTTAGTGTTTACATAGGTGTTTTCATTTTTTTAATGGAGAAAACATGATGTCGAGCAGTGATAGCGCCACAGAGATTCAGAAAATAAGAAGCAGAGCTCTGTAAGATGCTTGAAATTGAGACCAATTGAGAAACCAACATGTAGTCCATTCTCAGATACCCAACAACTGGAGAAAACATAATAAATGTACTTGATGCATAACTTTTGGTTTGAGAAAAAACAGGACACTTTTGGATAGTGTACCTTAGATTGGAAAATGAAATTGGCTTCAAAATTCGTATAATAACACAATGCAGAACCAAGTTGTTCATATTCTATACAGTCTACAGTAGGGACAAGGCATGAACCAAATTGAACCAGAGTTTATTTCATTATACATGGTCTTTGATCAGAGGAAACACAACAGCTAGTGGGATCTTTGATAGGAGAAAACCAAAATAAAAACCTTAAATTAGAGAAAACAGGATTTAGTTAAGAATAATACATGCCCAATAATTCACTGGGCTAACACACAGCTTAGTTTTAGCTAAGATGACCCTAGATTGAAGGGAGCAGGTTTTACTTACTTTATGCATACCCATTAAATGGAGAAAACACACAATGATTTTAGCTAGTTTGACCTTCAACTGGAAAAAATATAAGGTTTAATGTTATTACCTGTGACCCTAAAGTTAAAAAAAAAAATCTAGTTCCAGCAAGTTGGTACTTAGATTGTTAAAAACAGGATTTATTTTATTAAAACTTACCTTAGAATGGAGAGAATTGGCTGAACCACCCATATCATGACCTTATATTAGAGAAACCCAAATCCACACCATGAACAGTTGCCTTTGAAATGAAGAAAGAGAGATGAGGTAGATTAAGAAAAGGAGAAAATATTAAATATGGTGCATTGTTTAAATGGGCACCCTTTAGTGGAGAAAACAATTCATTTGTTTTGCAATGGTTAAACCATATCTGAAGTACTACTTTTTGCATGCAGCTCCCCTCTATCTCAGACTTTGAGTTTTAGATGATTTCTGGCTGTTCTTACCAACATATGGATCGGTTTCATTCCTACCAGTTCACCCCCTTCGCTTTTAGTTTCAGTAGGTGATGTGGAGGCTATACGAGAAGGTCATCAGTCTGAGGTCCTGCTCACTATCGCTGACGAGTTTCCCGCTGAACGATGCTTCACGGTGGTTTTCCGTGGACGCCGGGGAAACCTGGACTTGGTGGCTGAGTCTGCTGAGGAAGCACAGACCTGGATCACGGGCATGAAGAAGCTGATCGAGAGCCTAGAGAACATGGGGGAGCGAGAAAAACTGGACCAGTATCTTTAACCTTGTGTTTTACCTATTTACTTTATTTACATAGTAGCGTTCTCCTCTAAGCTCAAAGGCTGTTTTAGAGTTATTCTGTAGTTCCTGGTCGATTATCATATAATCCAGTCCTGAACATCCTGACACCGAGGCTTGGCCTTCATCAAGAAGGATAAAATTGTAATATGTCTGTGAAATAACAAAATCAGCCTTGAAATGAGTGGAAATTATTGGTAAGCCATAGACCATGTGGATAATACTTTTTTCTAACTTAACCCAGTTAAGATCAGATGGAGTCCAAAGAGCTTAAGAGTGGTTTGTGAAGGATTTCTGGATAACAAAGTTATTCAAAGTTGGAACATTTGTAAAAGTTAAATGTCAGGACAAATGCGTCCAGAGTGATTTATAAGCCCAACATTTTATTTTAACGCGGGAATAGACAGAACTTGTGTGGTTCAGGGAGACTGTGAGTGATAGACTGTGTCAATGATAGTTTTTAAAGTGGAACTTTCCTTTAATGGTGAATTCAGATGGATTGGTGACTGGTTCAAGAAGGCGGACAAGAACAACGACGGCCGGATGAACTTCAAGGAAGTGCGAGATTTACTTAAGATGATGAACGTAGACATGAATGAGCACCACGCCCATCAACTCTTCACAGTGAGAGCTTTTAGTCTGACCTTTGATTGTTAATGTGATTTAAGTATTCGCCACTTTTCTATCACCAGTTTGAGGGTCAAAAACCATGCTCCTGGTTCTTCTTTAGACAGCGGATAAGTCAGAGTCAGGTACGCTGGAGGACGACGAGTTTGTGCTCTTCTACAAGATGCTGACCCAGAGGGAGGATGTGCTGACAGTTTTCCAAAAGTTCTCCTCAGATGGCCAAAAGTTATCCCAGAGTGACTTAGAGGACTTCCTGAGAGAGGAGCAGCTAGAGGACAACAACATTCAACAGTATGCCAAGCATCTTATCGAGTGTTATGAGCCGTCTGATGCAGGTACGGTGATGGTGAACCACCTGTCTCTTTGTATTCAATGTGGACCCCGGCCTAAGATGTGTGATGTTCCTGACTATTCTGCTGTTTTCCAGCAAAGCTGATGAACGCCATGACATTCGATGGCTTTTTGATGTACCTCGGCTCATCCGAGGGCTCCATCTTCAACCCACAGCGGCGAGGCGTCTTCATGGACATGAGCCAGCCTCTCTGCCATTACTTCATCTCCTCCTCCCACAACACTTACCTGATGGAGGACCAGCTTCGAGGACAGAGCAGTGTGGAGGGATACATCCGGTAAGACTGCTGCCTTCACTCTACTCAGGTTTGATCATATGGAGAGCTGACTTTGCCCATCCTTCAGCTTGGTCTATACCTCTGCGGCAACTCTAGCTGTGCTGTAATGGTGGATGCCATTGTGAGCACGTTGGGGTGTCCAAGTCACTCTGCAATAAAAATGCTAATTAATGCTAGTTGTTAGTACTATGCCCATATTTGTTGTATTTCCATTCCCAGTTTCACTATGTTTGTGCACATGAAACCATGGCGACTGAATCTAAGGGTATAATATCGAAGAAGGAGCTGATATCTGTTGTGCAGCAGTTGATCATGCTGGAATTATTGCCATGAAGGGAACAGGGAGATTGAGTTGGACCATGTGGCTGCTGAGGACAGAGACCGGTGGTGATACTGGAAATGTCCACTGCTAAGTTTGTCTCAATGTAAAGTTAAACTTTTGCACAAAAATCCATGGATGTTGGTTTCAGGTTACCTTAGGGGTAAGGCTAAGAGTAGAAACCATAGGGGGTACGCTGTTTGAGCCGAGCGTCATCACAGCAACTGTTGGTGACTCTCCCACCAAATGCCTGCAAGGCTGCTGCGTAAGTGGTGGTTCCAAGAAGTGGAGAAAATCACGTAAATACCGTGAGCAATTTGGCTTCAAATTCGTATAATGACAGAAGGCGGAACCAAGTTGTCCATAGTATATACAGTCTATGGTAGGGACAAGGAGTCCCTACGAGGGACTTGTGATCAGTACGTTGGGTGGTGGACATTCCAGTAACACTACCATCCACTGCTGTCCAACAGTGGACGGTAGTGTTGTATCGGGACAATTAGGGGTGTCCCGATACAACTTTTTTACTTCTGATACGATACCGATATTGTATCTTTCTGTATTCAGTATTGATCCGTTTTTAACACAAACTTGCACATGACAAGTTTTACACTCAGCTGCAACGTCTTTTTCGGGCTTTAATGTAAATAACTGCCACACAGCCGACATCACTCCTACTCTTTTCTACTTTGTTAGGACTTTAGTACTCACTGTTGTTGTGATCACTTGGGCTCCATACGCTGGATCCAGGTGCTGCTAGATAGAGATGCTAGAACAGAGTCTAGAATGGACTGCTTGAGTGCTGATATTGGAGATTTAAGATCCAAGCCGACAAAATCTGATATTTGTGTTTTTGCTCGGATCGGGACACCCCTACCTACAAACCAGTCCCCATGACTTCCTGTGCCTAAACCAGGATGAAATATGTAGCGCTTACAATGGTGTTGTCCACCTGGTATAGATACGTGACTAGGTCAGTGCAGAAGCTTAAACCAGAATTAGAGACATTAGAAGCAATATTTAAATCTTGACTTGAGCATGATTTAGACTGGTTTCTAGTTGTCAACTGCACATAAACTTGTGCAAACCCGCCTGGAAATCGTAGAGCTAAGATACTTTCATGAGTGCAAACAGGACTACAATTTTTCCAAAGGTACTGACCTCTTCAACTGTCTCTGACCCTTTTATCTCATCATATTTAAAGTAAACTAGGATTTTCACATAAATCCAGATTTAGGAAGAGATTTAAGGGTATCAGGGATGTCCTCAGAGGAAATTCTTCTCCCCTATTGTGTTCTCGTTGATGCTCCATTGAGCCTCTCAGTGGTGATGAGTTTCCCCAGAAAGCTCTGAATTAATCGTCCAATGATAATCAGAGAGCAAAATGTACTCATCCGGTTCGTAAGGTGGAAATCCTGGCTTCTCTCCGGGTGATGACTTCTTATTTTAAATCAAATTTATTAACATAAATATCAATCCCATAAGACCTCATTAACCTTGTCGTTATGCTCCTACCTCTCTGTGACCCTGAGCCAAATCATCAGAAAAAGGTTTGTGTGTTTGTGCTCAGGGCTCTGAGTCGAGGCTGCCGCTGTGTGGAGGTGGACTGCTGGGACGGTGCGAACGGAGAGCCCATCGTGTATCACGGACACACCTTTACCTCCAAGATACTCTTCAAGGATGTGGTCAATGCTGTGGGAAACTATGCCTTCAAGGTAGCATCACCTGACCCAAACAAGGCCAGCCAACTCAGGGCAACTCAGGTCATGATGAAGAGCCAAAAAGTTTAAGACTGTGTTAATGTCATGGAATGCGATATAGGCAGACTGTTTCAATGGAGAGAACTACATTTTTCTGTCTTGACTTTAGAGCGGAGGTGAATAAGTCATACCGACAACCGACCACTCCAAAGACCAGAAACCATGCAGACATACCTAACTAAATTTGATGTATTTTGTCTAAGTCATCTGATTTTTGATAATTTGGGACAAAAACTTGACTCTAGAAGTAAACATCCAACCACTACAGCCTCTCAAAGTCAGCTCAGATCTCACTTAACGTGTCCAGAAGCCGTCAGTAAGCTTTGACCCATTTGAGGAACTGCAAATGGTTTGTTGCTTTTGGATGAGCCCATCATTCAAGTTTGTAACTTTTGATTTTTACCCTCACAGTCAATAGAAAGAACAATCACATTGACTAAATTTAGCTTCCTTAATGTCCCGTTGACTCCTTGGGCTGTCACTGAAGTTGTTTCTTGCTTTTATCATCCTGTGATGCTGTATCAACAAACCGCTTAGCATCTCATTCTTTATTTATGAGGGAGTACAACCACGCAACAATATCCAGGACATCATCCAAGACCCTGATAAAGAGAGACGGTCAGGGATCAGCCAGCCTCATGCCAACGCTAACAGCTGCCAGGTTCAGGTGTTTGTCAGAGTGTGCCATGTATGAGCATCTGTCTGCAGCTTAGTATTATTCCCTCATGACCCCGTGTCCATCCATCTGCTGCTCTGTCAGCCAGCTGAGCACAACCCACAGGTGTATGCAGCAGGTGTATTAGCTTTCCCCTGTGATAATGCTCCACAGTGTTGGATTACAGACTCCCCTCTCTCTCTCTCCCTCCCCTCTGTCCAGGTATCAGAGTATCCGGTCATCCTCTCCATCGAGAACCACTGCAGCATCGAGCAGCAGAAAGTCATGGCCCAACACCTCAACCACATCCTGGGTGACAAACTGCTGAAAAGCACACTGGATGGGAAGGCTCCCGTCGGGCTGCCATCTCCTGAGGTGAACAGCGATCTGGTGTCCTTAAACCACCTGCTGCTCAGATCCTTAAAGAAAATCTAGCTTTAAAGCTGAATCCACCTCTGTCGGACTTTTGAGCATCCCACCATTAGACTATATTTGTTGACCACATAACTACACTACATTTCATCAGTGAAAGTATGATTTTGACAAGATTTTTACTATTACGTGCAGTATTATCATGTGTAAAATATTGTAGAATCCTATCTTGCACAAAAAAGTATATTTTCTGCTGGAGACATGTTTTAAACTTGAGGGAATAAGTTATTATCTTTTTTTTTTTTTTAATTCTTTATTTTGGGGATTTGGCGAGCAGATCACATCACATAGCATAGAAAAGGCTGACAACTAAATTACCTCTGCAGTCCTTGATTTTTGGATAAACCTATAAACAAGGTGGGAGGAAGAGTATGTATACTCCGGAGTGGTGGGAGTAAAAAAAGAAAAAGAAAAGTGATTTGGGCAGAGACAAAAAAACTCACTGATCAGCAGCACTCGCAATAAAAAAATGAAAAGACAATGTCATAAAATTCTTAACTGGTCACCTCTACAAAATCTGCTCACAAAGGCCTTACATATTTAACCCACTTAGAACAGAGTTGAACAAAAATGTCTTTCTGATGTAAACAAAAGGTAATCTTTTCCATAACGTACGTATATGCCATTTACAATATCAATCCACTCTTGTATTGTGGGGGCTTCAGGAAGTAACCAAATCAGAATTCCAGACAGGTATTTATCAGGCTGAAAATCAACATTTCCAAAAAATAATGTTGTAAATTGCAAAGGCGGCTTCTAATGTTTTATGGAATTCTATCCAGAAGGGCTTTATCACTAGATAAGTTATTATCTGCTATGCATGGGTGCAACACAGGTCAACAAGGGGGTTATCTTACGGGCCCAACGTGATTATCTTGTACCTGAGGCAGTATCTTTGATGCACAATACAGTAACCAGGTGAGAAAAACTTCACCTGCAGTTGTGCAGATTTTTATTCTGTTCTTGTGCATAGAATAAAAAAAGTCATAAATTGAAGTTAGTCATGAAGTAAAAGAAAACTGTGATGCAGTTGTCTTGTAAGACTTTGGTAATGTAAATATTTTGCGTGATGATAGCAAGATGAATATTTTGTGTGCACAAGTACCATTGATTGATCTATTTGACTCATCAGATCTCTTGGTTGTCCTGGTTCCCCTTTTGAGTCAATCTGAGTCCACATGCAACCTGATTTACTCAACGCTGTAATGATTTTCCCTCTGAAATGGTGGAGGAAGTTACAATTGTCTGAAAATCAAGCAGGATTGGACAGGTGATGATGTGGTTTTGTTCGGTCCTCCTCTCAGGATCTGAAGGGGAAGATCCTGCTGAAGGCGAAGAAGATCGGCGGTCTGGAGGAGAACTTCAATGGGATGGCTGAGGACTCTATGACCGGAGAGGTCAGCGATGAAGATGAGGCGGCGGAAATGGAGGAAGACAACCTCCACAGAGACAGTGTGCGCCGCCTGCTGAAGGTAGGTCAGGTGGTTTGACAGGCAGTGGTGAACCTCATTGACCCAGACGGTTTATTATTCACAGTCTGATGAGCCGGCCTGGTACAGAGTCAGGATACTCTAATTCAGGCTGATGATAAGACTCGGAGGCAGATCAGGAAGAGGACTTTAATGCATGGATGGATTAAACTGGGTGACTCTGAGTACAGCCACTCCTTTTAATGAGGAACATCTAGTTATGGACTTAATTTAATGAATAAAGCTGGTGGAGGAACTCTTGGTTAATTAATGAAACCTATGGACTTCAGAGGTCTCCAATAAAGGACTTTTAAAATATAGCATAGAGCTTGTTTTAGGACACCCCTGTCAAATTTTTTATATACTATGAAACATTTGTTTGGAGATAAACTTTAAAATCAGTTAAAAAAAAGGTATTTTGTTTCAGTTTTTAGGTTCTCTTGGCTTTAGTTTTCAGACACCCCTGCTGTCTGCTTTTAGTTACCCTTTTTTACCAGTTTCAAGGTCATTTCTATCATTACATCAGATTAACCTTTCGTGTCTGTTTCACAGCATCTTTTGAGAATTGTTTATTGGCTACTTTAAAGTCCTTTCTAGTCAGTTCTTTGTACCCGTCCCTATTAGTTTTCAGGTGTCATCAGCTGTCTGCTTTGAGGTACCCTGTGCTACCAATTTCAGGGTCATCTCTAGAATATATCAAATACATCAACGTATATTAAAAGCCTTTGTGTCTTTTTTGAGGTAATTCTATGTATCTGTTCACTGGCTACTTCTAAAAATCTTCATATTTAGAATTTGGTGCCTAGTCCTGTTTGCTTTTACATACTCTAGCTGTCTGCTTTGAGGTACCCTGTAGTTGCCAATTTTAAGAGTACCTCTGCCATATGTTAAATAAACTCTTTAACCCCTCACTTACCTTTAAATGGTTCCTTAAAGGCATCTTTCTTCAGGAACAGTGCCAAGATTTTTCCTAAAATCCTTGTTTGGGGTTTAAGGTATTTTTTTAGTTTTTAGGTACCTTTGTAGTTGGACTAATTGCACTTTTTGAGACTTTTTTTTGATTTTTCAAATTTGTTTTTAGATCATTTTTAAAATCTGTTTTAGAAATCTTAATATCTCTTTTGTGTTTGTAAGTCCCAGTCCCAGGTAGAAGCGAGAAGACTGACTCAACAGCAGACTGACTGTTTTTCAGTTCTGATCAGACACTAGTGCTGAGATGTCTGTCTGTCATGATAGCATGTACTGAGTTGGGGCCAGTACCAGAAAAGTACATTAAACTATAATTCATAAACATAAGGTAACAACCGAGACCTAACAGTGAAGTGACAGCAACACGATTGAGTTTGAGACAGTGAAAATACATATGGTATGTTGTATCTGAACAGGTTAGCTTACGAGCTAAAGCTACTTTGCACAGATGAAAGTTAAAACAAAGACGTTTAGCAAACTGTTAAAGCACACAAACCATCATCACATGAGAAATCCGACGCTATGACTCCCCACAAGTTGTCCTTCAGGTTGTTATCTTTGTAATATTTGTGTTTTTTATCAAAAAGCTCTCTGTTCTCCGGCACGTAAACAATCAGCCGGTCGGCCATGTTGGATATACCGGTGAATCAGAAGTCGCAACAACACGAAAACTGATTGGTCATAAGTGGACCCACAGTACAAAAAACGTTGCTGATGTGAACGCTTGTATTGTCAGGATACAGGTTCAAAAGAAATACTGACGACTGAAAAACGGTTGTGAGTCACAGAAAAAACATCTCCTCAGGTGTCCTTAAAGGGTGGTTTTAAGGTATCTTCAAGAGTCTGGTTTATGGTACCTTTTTGGTAGGTTTGAAGAAACCCTTTTAAAGCTGATTATAAAAGTACTTATCTGCCCGTGTTTTCAGGTCAACTATAAGTGGTTTTTGAGTTGACCTCAAAGTCTGTTTGGAGGTTTCTGTTACTTCATGAGAAATACTTTTGTTTTACTGAAACAGAGTGTAATCAGAGAGATAAAAAAGGATTCAAACCTAAAGAGGAGAAACTCTGGTTCTTTTCTCCCTTCTAGTGTGATTGTTGTCACACTCTGAAAGGACGAATCTGTTGGGCTTTCTAACCCAGCGGAAAAGGATTGTATAAACTTCTGTCATCCCTCATGAAAAATCCAGAGGATTGAAGGGCAGGGAGCAGACACAGGGTGTTAGATAAGGTGATCTGTTTACACTGTGAGAGCTAAGAGAGACAGGGACGAGCTCACCCTCCTGACACTTAGCCTGTCTGATCTAAGGTGAACTTTTCCGAACTCAGAGACAGAAAAAAGGGAATATCTGTATATTTTCAGGCATTTCAGATCACACCAAAGTAGCAAATCTCTGTTTTCTTCTTATTTGAGCCTCAAGTGGACAAGATGTATGAGAAAGGAGGTAGAATAAGGTCTTTTGTCCGCCAGACAATGCCAGACTGGTTTGAGTATGTAAAAGTTATTCAGTCTCCTCGATATGGGATACCCGATGCCCTGAAAGCAGTCATGAACCACCTCTACAGCTAAATATTAGAGGTCTGATGGACCATGGGATTGAAAAACAGGTGAGCTGATCTGCCCTCTGAACTCCAGCTATGGTAATAACATTGAATTTAACAGATACAAATGACTAAAGGGAGTTTGTTTCACAATGTGGTTTACACATTTAGGTCTGATTTCTCTGGAGGTTTCATGGCCCAGTTAGAACCCAGAGCTCTCTGGAGGGATTATATCGCTTTTTACCTGGAAACATCAACATCCCAGGATCTCCAGGAGAGGGCTGGAAAACATCCTTCCTGGGATTGTAGGCCATGCAACTGTTTAAGTCTGAATGTGAATCTCCCTCCAGTGCAGCAGACGGGGTGTGCAAAGGACAGGCTGGCCACTTAGAGTCATGTTTATTGATGGGCATTTGAGAAGCTGAAACGGCACACTGGGATGGCTGTCAACATGGTCATCAGAGGTGAGGCCAGCGTCGAGTCTGGCAGCGATGTGAGCCCAGCGGTGCCTCAGCTGATGGTTTAGGTGTCTAGCTGTAGACAGGTAGACGGGGGCAGGTCGAGTACTCTGAGCCTCATCTGGCTGAGCCGGATCAGCTTTCATGTGGTTAAAGGAGGCGTGCATGCAGCGACGCTCTGTTGCTGTTGTGTTTGGGACCGCCACACCTCTGATCCCCACAGTCATGGAAGCTACGCCACCTGGCAGTGCACCTGCTTCTGCTTGGCAACATGCTGGAGTATCACTTACCCAATTCAAGAGGAGGTTTCAGTGCGCCCAGTGCTCCCACCCATGACGGGATTCCTCTGGTGGAAGAGGGTTTACCCAATCACGCGATGTGTTACATTGACAGTCCGTTCACTCTTACCCTGGGCACATTTGGTTGATCTGAGTGATGGTCTTAGCATGTTTGACTGTTTAAAGATGGATCATCATATCTGAGAGTTTTATGACTTTTGGTGGAGTGAGGTGAAAACCTTCATGAAGAGCAAATGTCCAACTGCCTCAACCCCTGAACTCTGGCTGTTGTACAATGAGAATTAGATATCAGGGAGAGTGGGGTAAGTTGAGCCACCCACTGTTGTTGGGAAAAGAAATTGATCATGTGACCAAATATTTAGGAGATGGGCGTCAATTCGTAGAGTCTGTGAAGGTTAGAAGCACGTGGTTAGACATTTATTTCCAAAAAAACATTTTTCACTCTTCAGGTTAGCTTACGAGCTAAAGTTACTTAGCACAGATAAAAGTTAAAAAACAAAGACATTAAGCAAACTGTTAAAGCACACAAACCATCGTCATATGAGAGATCCGACGCTATGACTCTCCACAAGTTGTTGTCTTTGTAATGTTTGTGTCTTTTATCAAAAAGCACTCTGTTCTCCAACGCCTAAACAATCAGCCGGTCGGCCATGTTGGATATACCGGTGAATCAGAGGTCGCAACAACACACAATCTGATTGGTCAGAGGTGGACACAGAGTATGCGAAACTTTAGAAAAATCAACCATGATCCGAAAAAATAAATGCCGCAATATCGCAGGACGGAAAAAAGTCGCTGATGTGAACGCTTGTATTGACAGGATATGAATTCGAAAAAAAATATTGACATCCGAAATAATCGCACGACAAAAACGGTCACTTTAAAAGTGAATTTAGTCTGTCATTAGTTTTATTAGAATGGGTTCAGACCAAAAAAGATTTTATTTTAAAATTTACACATCAGTTGTGGTATCTATGAGCTACAACATTAGGTCAAAAACCTAGCATCAACTGACTCCATACATGTGTTAAGTTATGCTATATCATCAAGACAGTTATGTTAACACTCATTCTGTTGGTTTGCAGGGATGCACAACATCTTAAAATATATGCAGATGTACTAGTTAGAGACAAAACTATGATTGCCTTGATGTAGTGATCCAAAATATGAAAAAATGGCCCAGCTTACCCCACTCTCCCCGAAAGTATGTGGACAGTTTTGGCCTTATGTCGCCATGAAAACAGACTTTCATGTCAATGAAAACAGATGTTTCAGAAAACACCTTCTCAGGTGGAGATTTTTCTGTATTAATGGTGGCAGCAAAAAGCTGAAGTTTTTGGGGAAACTGACTCCATGACCTGAACTTGTGCAAAACTATCTCTGTTTTTATACTAAATCAAATTTCTTTGTTTTTTTTAATGGCACAGAGAATTTATTTAGATACATATATTTATCATAGCATGTGTAATCTAACTCCAAGGAGCTCTTTCTGTTTTTGGTGTCAGCCTTGCAATCTTCTCAGGGGATCAAGTCTTGCCTGACGACAGTTGAGATCCCAGCATGACTCAAAACCTTAATGAGTTGATAAAGGTTGGATAGAAGGATGGATCGGTGAACTTTTTCTCTTTTAGTGCTGGAGTCCCAGGGGCAGCCTGGGACTCAAGAAGTGAGCGAGGGGGAAGAGATGAGATCTACACTATTGAACAGTGAAGTCACAGTCAGGTGACCACTGAGGGGTCTCTGGATTATTTGATTGCTGATTAGTTCCATCTCTTTCACTTCTGTTAAACACTTGGCGTGAGAAACATCCTCTCCTCCTTCTTTTTTGTCTTTGTCTATCCACAGAAGTCAAAGCAGCGCCTCTCTAAGGAGCTGTCAGATTGCGTTGTTTACTGTAAGAGCATCCACTTCAGTAGCTTCAAACACTCTCGGATCCACTCCAAGTTCTATGAGGTGGCATCTTTTACAGAGTCCAAAGCTCGGAAACACCTGAGAGAGACAGGTGAGTAGCAAGAGGCATGACTGCATATTTCATATTCAGTGTCTGAGCGTTTGATATTCTTTGGCCTTAAATCTGATCTGTGTCCTTCACAACATGAATACTGCCTGGGCACTCTGAGTAAGTCCAGGTCCACTTTAACCCTGGGTCTGTTAACATCTCTGTTTCAGGGGTTGAATTTGTGCACCATAACTCCCGCCAGCTGACCAGAGTTTATCCAAGCGGCTTCCGTACTGACTCCTCCAATTTCAATCCTCAGGAAATGTGGAACGCTGGCTGCCAAATTGGTGACTGCAACTCAAAGACATATCAGACATCCATATTTCATACTGTTCACCCTTTTGATACTGCAGAGCTACAGTTTTCAGTGACTTTAAATCTAATAAAAAATTACATGTAACCTCAAAGACAAGATAAATGTCCTTTAACTCTATATCCTGAAATGTTATAGATCAGTATAGATCAAGTCCAGTCCTGGAGGCCCACTGTCCTGGATGTTTTGGATGTTTCCCTGCTCCAACACACCTGATTCAAATAATCAGCTCGTTATTGAGCCATTACAGAGCTTGATAACGAGCTGATCATTTGAATCAGGTGTGTTGGAGCAGGGAAACATCCAAAACATGCAGGACAGTGAACCTCGATGACTGGACTTGAGAACCACTGTTATAGATTATAACCCCAAAAAGAGAGAAAGACCTCTCTGTTGTACTTCTTAAACAAGAAACAGCTTTCTCATTGTTCCTGTCAAAGCTCCAATATTTCATGTCTTGTTCAACTATAATCAATCAATCATACTGTTCATGAAAACATCACAATACAGCTTTTTACTGTTTACAGTGAAACTGAGACTCACCACAAACACATAAGGCAGGATTATGAGTATTTCCTCTTAAAATGGAGGAGCTTTTGGATTAGGAGCAGCATGGCAAACCTAAATTCAAGACTACAAATATTTGTACATATTTTGGGGTCCTTTTAACAGGCTCAAAACCTTTGCATGAATTTCTTTAGCCTGCAGCAATGTAATCAAAGTTTAAGTTGTTGAGTTTGTCCCTTACAGGCTCAGGTTATTGTCCAAAGTGTCAGAAATAATTCTAGAAAGGATCCCTGCAGAGGTAGACCTTTTAATTTTTAAAGAAAAACAGGTGTCACTTCACTTTCATTTAAGTTCTTGGTATCCATGTCATGTCTAGATTATGATCAACCTCTTCTTGTCTTGGCTTCTTGTCTGTGCTATCTCAAGTAAAGTGACCTAAAGCATTGTCAAACAGGCTGTAATGGGACACAGCTAATAGCAACCAGTATCTTAGCAGCACATTGTTCCATCTTCAATATTTATGAGTATTTTTGTTTTCCAAATAGTTTCTCAAAGAAATAAACCTAAGGCTTTTTTGTTTTTTTGTTCATACAGTTGCATTAAATTTCCAGACCGCAGGGGAGGGGATGGATCTGAACGACGGGCTGTTCAGCCAAAATGGTAGCTGTGGCTATGTCATGAAGCCCAATTTCATGAGAGTGACAGAGAAAAGATTTGACCCTGAGACGCCTGAAAAACGAGAAGGATACCAACCCGTGGTCTTCACTGTGCAGGTTCACATCACAAAGAAAAGTAGACAATATGAAGCCCATTGTACATGTAAGACTCACACTGTGTGCTTGTGTTTCAGGTGATCAGCGGCCAGCAGCTGCCCAAAGTCAACATTAAGGAGGACTCTATTGTGGATCCTCTGGTGCGGGTGGAGATCCACGGTGTTCCTGCAGACCAGAGCAAGCAGGAAACCAGATACATCGAGAACAACGGTAAGGGGGATGGGGATCTCCGGTCCCTTACTAACTGTGTAAGAAGATAAAACAATCCATAAAAAAGGCGAAACTTAAGCCGATGAAGATTTCATAAATACCTCTTGGGACATCTATCATTTATCAACAACAAGGCGTGAGGGTAAATGGTCCAAACTGAGACCGTAGAGGAAAATAAAGCTGTGTGTCATCTGTGTAACACATAATCCAGAACTGGATAGTTGATAAACATAAATGAAAAAAGTGGAGGATCAAGGACAGGGCCCTGCAGTATCCCACAGTTCAGCAAACACAAAAACAGGCAGACTACTGAAAAATAGCTCACAGACTTGCAAACAGGGTTGCCCCATTTAATCCAACTGTATATAAAATGGGTTTACTTGTTTTTGAGCAGGATGTGTGCTGATGTTGTCTGGTTTCTGCACCCTGCAGGGTTCAACCCCGTGTGGTATGACACTCTTCGTTTTAAGATTCACACCCCTGAGCTGGCCATGGTGCGCTTTGTGGTGGAGGACTACGACAAGACATCTAAGAATGACTTTGTAGGGCAGTATACGCTCCCTCTGAGCTGTATGCAGCAAGGTAAGGCCAGGAAGGGTTGTGTTACCTACTTTGACAGCGAAACTGGAACATGCCGAAGGAGATGAAAATGAAGCATGTGTTAAAACCTACCATAGCCATTGGAAGAGAAACTCATAAATACAAAACCCAATTCCACTGAAGTTGGGAAATTGTGATAAACGTAAATAAAAACAGAATACAATGATTTGCAAATCCTTTTCAACCTACATTCAATTGAATACACTACAAAGACAAGCTATTTAATGTTCAAACTCATAAACTTTATTTTTTTTTTTTTTGCAAATAATAATGAACTCAGAATTTCATGGCTGCAACACGTGACAAAGTAGTTGGGTCAGGATCATGTTTACCACTGTGTTACATCACCTTTCCTTTTAACAACACTCAATAAACGTTTGTGAACTGAGGAGACTAATTGTTGATGCTTTGAAAGTGGAATTCTTTCCCATTCTTGCTTGATGTACAGCTTCAGTTGTTCAACAGTCCGGGGTCTCCGTTGTCGTATTTTAAGCTTCATAATGCGCCACATATTTTCAATGATAGACAGGTCTGGACTGCAGGCAGGCCAGTCGAGTACCCGCACTCTTTTACTATGAAGCCACGCTGTTGTAACACGTGCAGAATGTGGCTTGGCATTGTCTTGCTGAAATAAACAGTGGCGTCCATGAAAAAGACGTTGCTTGGATGGCAGCATATAGAAGCCGGCGGCTTTTCTGGATATTGTTGATAAATGGTTTTCGTTTTGCATAGTAGAGTTTTAACTTGCACTTACAGATGTAGCGACGAACTGTTTTTACTGACAGTGGTTTTCTGAAGTGTTCCTGAGCCCATGTGGTGATATCCTTTACACACTGATGTCAGTTTTTAATACACTACAAAACACTTTTGATACTGAGGGATCGAAGGTCACAGGCATTCAATGTTGGTTTCTGGCTGTGGCGCTTACATGCAGATTCTCGGAACCTTTTGATGATATTATGGAACGTAGATGTTGAAATCCCTAAATTCCTTGCAATTCTACTTTGAGAAACGTTGTTCTTAAACTTTTATGAGTATTTGCTCACGCAGTTGTTCACAAAGTGGTGAACCTCGCCCCATCCTTGCTTGTGAATGACTGAGAATTTCTGCTCACCTGTGGGATGTTCCAAATAGGTGTTTGATGAGCGTTCCTCAAATTTCTCAGTTTTTTTTGCCACCTTTCCCAACTTTTTTGTCACGTTTTGCTGCCATCAAATTCTGAAGTTAATTATTATTTGCAAAAAAAGAATAACGTTTATGAGTTTCAACATTACATATCTTGTCTTTGTAGTGTATTCAATTGAATATAGGTTGAAAAGGATTTGCAAATCATTGTATTCTGTTTTTATTTACGTTTATCACAATTTCCCAACTTCAGTGGAATTGGGTTTTGTACTTTTCTACCGACAGTGGAGTGGAGAATTACCAAAGACAGATGAATAGGAAGCCCCTGTGACTTATCAATAATAGCAAATTTGACACTAAAGCAGATGAACAGGAAACCACTTATAACTTACTATGTACAGTGAAACATGGAGTCACCAGCGACAAATAAACTGCCCTCCTCTGGGGATGTGATGAACATGTGATATTTTTATGTATGTCTATGTAACTGTAGCAGTGAAGGCAAGGTCTGGGAGCTGTTTATTGCAAATGGCAATAGGGAAATAACTTCTTTCTTGTAATTTTGTCTTCTGTTTTCAGGTTACCGTCACATCCACCTTTTGTCCAAAGATGGAACCAGTATTCCTCCTTCCTCCTTATTTGTTCACATCAGGATCACAGAGCTGGAATAAGACAAAAGGAATCTAAGAAAATAAGATTGAGATTTTCCTCCCTTTAGAAATATTCTTCCTCTAATAGTATTTATCATTTGATGTGAATAATTACGGCGCCAAATGTGTAGTTGTTCTTGTGTAGTATGCATGTTGTTGTTTTGTTCATTGTGGTGTAAATCACTTGTACTCATGAATTTAGCTGCTCTTGTTTTATGTTGTATTTGTTTCATGTCCGTGTTGAAGAAGAGAACGTGCCACCATTAAGTTCAGATCAAGATGTAAACTTTCTAAATTTCTAGTCAACAAACAGCACTTCAACGTCTTCACTCTTCTCTTCTTGAATTTATTCAATGTGCAAAACTCAAATCTAAGCTTTACAGACAGCATGACAGCTGAAGAGGATATAGGGGTGGTAGCAGCAGGAGTTGATTCTACGGTGGCCCTCAAGGTCAATAGCACAAATATTAAATGACAGCAAAGACATATTTTAGTGAACGTGGAGAGTGTCTCCTAAAACACAAAAATATTCATTTTATCCAAAAATATTCATCAGAAATATAACATCTCAGCAAACTTTTAGAAAATGTTATCAATTCTTTCTGGTCCCTTTTCATAATAAAGTACACAGGTTTAGCATAATTACTGAATAATTAATGAGTGAAAAACTGCAAGTTACCCATCAGTTAACTAGAAGATACAGTGATAGATAAAGGACGCACTTAACAAGTTAACAATTAGTTAAGCCAAAGTCAACAGGAAAACAGGCTGCAAAAATTTTGCTTAATTACTGGATAGCCAATTAACAACTACTAGTTAACTATATGTAACCAGGTAGATAATGCACACAAATTGTGACGGTTAACTGATGGTAAACAAGGACTTATTCACTCACTGATTACCTGGTTTTGAAAATGCCTGAGCCTGATAAGTTCTGGTTAACTGGAAGTTAGTTACTTTTTCCAGTAACCTTTTCTTTTACGGTACACTTATTACCAGGTAATTACCTAGTAACAACATGGAATTATCTGGTAATTACATGATAACTACTAAGTCATTACTGTCTAGTTTTTCTTTTTTTCTTTTTTCTGTGCAGCTCCATTTTTAAAAGCTATTTGGGTTTCCCATTTTCTGTGATTGACACTTGATACAGCCTATGGGCGTTCGAAGATTGCATAGCGATACATTGTTTGAGCCGAGCATTATCACAGCGACTCACCCACCGAATGCGTACAATTCTACTGCGCAAGTAGTGGTTCCAGGAAGCGGTAGTGGTTCCTGGAAATACCAGAGCAATTCGGCTTCAAATTTGTATGATGATGGAAGGTTACCTACCTGGTAGCTAGACAGTATTGACTTAGTAGTTATCATGTAATTACCAGATAATTTCATGTTGTTACTAGGTAATTACCTGTTAATTATCTGGTAATAAGTGTACTGTAAAAGAAGAATTACCCTTTTTCCTTACCTAGTAACTCTGTAAAATGTATCTACCCTATCATAAAGTGTCACTGTCTTTGGGTATTAACTCTTTTTTCATTCTGTGAAATGTTTATCAAGTTGCATTAAATATTTTCACATTTTGTGGGATGGCTTTTCTGTTTATGAAATATTGCATTTTATTAATTTTTTTATTTTTTATTTGTGCAGTTTACCTTGAGGGCCATGGTGGTTGTATCGTTTGTTTCTAAAATCATGATAAAATCAAGAAAATGTTGTACAGTGGTAATGTTGGCTGTTGATGATAAAACTACAAAAATGCAGACAAATTCCTGGTTATTTCTACAGTCGGCTCAGTATTGGTTAAAGCTATTATTATCTCTAAGTCTACTTTAGAGTTTGATAACCATTAGCAGTTACTTCAGGGGTTTGTATATATTATCTATTTGTGTAAAAGTGTTTTGATATGTCTATTTTTGTAAAGATGGAAACAGTCACTGTAAGGATAAATTGCTTGTTTTTTTATTGTGGAAGTGCGCATATTTATTTGTCAGATCAAACTAATAAATTAATAAATTATGTGATTTTCACTTAACCATGAAACTGTTTTATTAGGGCCCGAGCGTAGCTGCTAAGCAGCTGCGAGAGCCCTCTTGTTCCTGTAGTTTCCTTCTTTTGTTATTATTATTATTATTATTTTTCCTCCCCTTTGAACTGGAAAATGGCCCACTTCCCACTGGCGAAAACTCATGAAATTTGGCAGGACGACCGGGCCTGGTGAAAAATTCGATATTCTGAAGTCGCCCAAACAATAAAATGCAAAATGGCTCCATAGCGCCCCCTAAGGTGGAAATTCACACTATTGACTGTCACGCCTGTACGCTTTGTCATATTGACACAAAAATTGACACACATATGTATCTCAATAAGATCTACAAAAAAGTCAGTGCGGCCGTATCTGTCAAAATTACGGTTAAAGGGTTATTTCGCATTTTTTGCCGATCCGCACACATTGGAATTTCGCTAACTCCTCCGAAGGCTTTCGTTCCACCGGCACCACATTTGCTCAGGCCAATCTACACCCCATGGCCATTAAAAGTTATTCAAATCATGACGCTGCACCCCACGGTTTAGGTTCTAGGGGGCGCCAAAGATAACCCTAAAATCCACATATTTAAAAGTCTTATAACTTTTTATTTTTGTCCTCACTGGCCTCCAAGTTTTCTAGGATGATGCAATGTCCAGCCATCAACACATTTGTGAAGGAATTTTTACTCCCCAAAAGAGCGCCCCCCCATGGCAGGAGAAAAAAGTCAATTTTTTCTTGTCCCCTAAGGTGGTAATTCACACTATTGACTGTCACGCCTGTACGCTTTATCATATTGACACAAAAATTGACACACATATGTATCTCAATAAGATCTACAAAAAAGTCAATGCGCGCGTATCTGTCAAATGTACGGTTAAAGGGCTATTTTGCATTTTTTGCCGATTCGCACACATTGGAATGTGGCTAACTCCTCCTAAGGCTTTCGTCCCACTGACACCAAATTTGCTCAGGCCAATCTACACCCCATGGCCATGCAAAGTTGTAAAAATCATGACGCTGCACCCCACGGTTTACGTTCTAGGGGGCGCCAAAGATGACCCAAAAATCCACCATTGTTAAAGGAATCCACATCCCCCCCCCCCCCCCCCCCCCCCAAGGCAGGAGAAAAAGTCAAGTTTACCCTGCCCATCGCTCAATGGCTCAATCGCATCGCTCTCCAGGTAACACCGTAAGGAGGAGCAACCTGCCATTTCGATATATCATAGCTGTGTTTGTGCCCTCACTCATGGTCCAGACTTTTTTCAAATAGGACATGAAGTTTGTCTGCAGCGAGTGTTTTGGTAGAAACTGCGCCTCCCATTCATTATAATGGGAAATGACCACAGACAAGTGCGCACACCATCTTTGGACCTTGAGTGTGACGCGATCGGGAGGGGGAGGCGGTCGCGCTGGGGGCGGCGCGACGCGGCTCGGGCCCGACAGTGCCCCACCGGGGCCCTAGTTCTGTCTTATTCTGAGTTTTACGGAACCTAGATTTGATGGAGATCCTGAGGGCCCTTGAGGGACAAAATTTCCAATGCGTATTTCTGCACTTGATGTTATTCTAGTTTCAGGTTGCTTAGAACAGATAGAAGGTATGGATACCTCTGACACAGAAACTGTCCTTCAGGTGTCAATGACCATCAGTCAGACTTTTTCTTTCTTTCTTTCTTTCTTTCTTTCTTTCTTTCTTTCTTTCTTTCAGCTTTGGAGGCATTTGCTGCTCCATATTCCCCATTTTTGCACTTGCTTCAGACCTGATTTAATAAATCTTCTTCAATGTCAAAGTCTAACAATGAAACAGGAAATCACGGTAGATCCTCCATCCACAGTTCAATCAATTTGATATTTCATACACATCAATCAATCAAACTTTATTTTTAATGCACTTTTCATACATGTAATGTAGCACAATTCCATTCAAGCAGGATATTTAAAAACAATGAAATAAAATAAATACAAATACAAATACCAAACCCGCCCACCCTCCCAACCCCCATTCAACACATACAGCACTCACACACAGACAGATGCACACACAAAAAAACAGGTGAGGACTCTTCAACTTGCCACAGATGACTGAGGAAATGCTATCTTGAGTTAAAAGAAATGAGGAAACACTGGATCTAGGACTAAAACGATAAAACCATAATAAAATATAATAAAGGTGATAAATTGTTAAAAACTTAAATAAATAAAACAAATAAAAAATAAAAGAAAGTAAATTAAAAAAGAGGTAATAAAACACAAAATTGTTACTCTACAACTAAAATAGGGTAAAATCACATAATGCAGATTAAAAGATCAAAACAAAATTTAACTAAAAGCCAGACTAATAAAGGTAGGTCTTGAGTTTACTTTTAAAAATATGAACAGTAGGTGTCGCTCTCAGGTCTGCAGGTAGGTTGTTCCATAAAAAGGGGACCGTAATGTTGGAACGATGATTCACCATATGTTTTAGTTTTTACTTTGGGGGCAATTAAAAGACCACCACCTGAAGACCTGAGGGCTCTTCTATAAGGCTCATATAGTAAAAGCAAATTAGATAAATAAGAAGGACCAAGACCATTAAGAGCTTTAAAAACTAATAAAAGAACCTTAAAATCTTCTCTAAAAGACACAGGTAACCCATGCAAAAGATTTTGAAATTGGTGTGATGTGGGCTCTCTTCCTGGTCTTTGTCAGCATGCGTGCCGCTGAATTTTGAAGGAGCTGAAGCTGTGAAATGTTCTATTTAGGAAGACCAGAGAGGAGAACATCGCAATAGTCCAGTGGTTCTCAAGTCCAGTCCTCGAGGCCCACTGTCCTGCATGTTTTGGATGTTTCCCTGCTCCAACACACCTGATTCAAATGATCAGCTCGTTATCAAGCTCTGTAATGGCTTAATAACGAGCTGATCATTTGAATCAGGTGTTGTTGGAGAACCACTGCAATAGTCAATTCTACAGGTGATAAAAGCATGAATAAGAGCATCTGCATTCGCTTGAGAGAGAAACTGGCGCACTCTGGAGATGTTCTTTAAATGATAGAATGCCTTTTTGGTAACATCTCATATGAGTGGCTCAAAACCGAGGTTTGAATCAAATGTAACACCCAGATTTTTAACTTCTTTGCATGGATTAAAAGCTAGAGCTCTGTGTTTTTGCTCCAGTTTCTCTCTCTCTCTCTCTCTCTGGGACCTGTACCAATAACTAAAATCTAATTTTTGTCCTGATTCAGCTGCAAAAAGTTGTCTGCCATCCAGGACTGGACATCTAAAGTACAATTAAAAAGGTCCAACGCTGTATGTATTTCAGCGCCCAATGCGCAACTTTGGTGATAGCGCCATCCTGTGGATACATGGTACAGTCTAAAAGAAAAGATCCATATGCAGGGACCCAAGTTACACACACAGAAGGGGCTTTAAGATTTGATCAAGACTAAAGTGTCAGATAGCTGAGTCATGCTACAAATAGGGGTACATTTCAGGTCGAGCAAAAACTCAAAATATCAGTATTCTTTTTTGATAATAATAACAATACCAACAAATTCCAGTATAATACATGCATTTATTGCAAAAAAAAAGGAAAAAATGTTAAACTTTTTGTATTAAAGAAAAGGGAAAAGTGCCCTGATATAAAATTGATCAATGGTTGAAGTTAATATTTGCTCAAATTGATCAATACAGTCCATGGACATGACATGTACCCCTAATTATAGAATGACTCAGCTGCAGCAGTTTAAGTACATTTAAATCCATGCTAGATCTTCACACTTTAGGGGTGTAAAAGCTGCGGGCTGCCTCCTGGACTTGATGAGTTATCTTCCTCTCAAAGTTGAACAGCTTTATGTTTAACTGGTTGTCATTTTTGGTTCAGTTGCCTAACTTCCACTAGATGGTGCTGTCGCGACAACAAGAGTCCCGTCTGGTCTGCAGGAAAACTTCTATTTCGCCTTCAAAATATGTTATTATGGAAATAATAAACTCTGAAAACATTCTCACCAATGTTATATATTTACTCCTCTCGATATTATATTTCCACTTATGTTTTATTATCATAGCAGATAACAGTAAAACAAGAAAAACATCATCCAACTGCTATGTTGGAAAATATCACTTTTTTATTTTGAAGGTGATCCCGTTTTCTTCCGGTGTTAGCCTCACATGCTGTGAACACCGGAGAGCAGCAGCACGTCTGTCTCTGTTTAGTGTGTGAAAAAGTTATTTTTGTGTTGTCAAAATGGTTGGAAAGATAAAACACGTCCGTCAGAGGATCCATCAGGAGGCGGTGAAGCTGGAGAGGCCGGGCAACCTCACACAGAAGCCGGAATCAGAGTCATTGTCCCCGGGGTTAGAGAAGCCCCCTGTCGCCTCGTCTTTCTCCTTAAAACCTTCAGTTCTGGAAAATAAGAAGAGTGAAGCCTCCACAGATCTGAAACAGGTGGGGTTTTAGGAAGGACACTTAGTAATCAATGTGTGTGAATATTAGTGAACCGATGTTAAAAGAAAGTGGTTAAATATCTGCGTGTAGTTGTAAACATGCGTCCCATCAGTGGATATCACTGAAATCAGAGCTGCTTTATTTTGAGGACTCACTCCGCTCAGAAACTAAAACCTTAAAAAACTTAAACTTGAAGGATAAAACACCAAACCTAAAACTCCAAATTCACTCCAGTATCTGTTGTCGAGGTGTTACAAATCAAAATATGATGAAATGTGTGTGAAAATAAAAATCATGGTATACCTAAAATTAGGTTTGTCAAATGTAAGACATATTTTTGTCAGGATTTTGTTTAGTTGTGGTTTTGTCATTGAATACCACATTTTGTTTAAGGATGTGTAGTTTTTGTTTCACAATGTAAAAGTTTTCACGAAATTCATTCTGTCAGGATAAACCCTATGAGATGCATCATCTGGTTTTGAGGGGGGCTTAAACAGACCTCAGAAAATGATTTTTCACAATTTTTTATCAGATTACAAAGTTTTGTTGTCAAACCTAAAATATATACAAGTTACAGATTATGTTACTAATGTGACACTCCGACACAGTGGCTTTATATCAGTGTGATTACACAGTTATGTACTAAACCCAAGTCCAGTGAAGTTGGAAAAATGTGTAAATGGTAAATAAAAACGGAATACAATGATTTGCAAATCCTTTTCAACCTTTATTCAATTGAATATACAACAAAGACAAGATAATTAATGTTCAAAATTATGAACTTTATTGTTTTTTTCATTGAATGCCCGTGACCTTCGATCCCTCAGGCGGCACTGTAGCAAAAACCTGACATCAATGTGTAAAGGATATCACCACATGGGCTCAGGAACACGTCAGAAAACCACTGTCAGTAAATACAGTTCATCACTACATCTGTAAGTGCAAGTTAAAACTCTACTATGCAAAGCAAAAGCCATTTATCAACAACATCCAGAAACACCGCCGGCTTCTCTGGGCCCGAGCTCATCTAAGATGGACTGATGCAAAGTGGAAAAGTGTTCTGTGGTCTGACGAGTCCACATTTCAAATTGTATTTGGAAATAGTGGACGTCGTGTCCTCCGGGCCAAAGAGGAAAAGAACCATCCAGACTGTTATTGACGCAAAGTTCAAAAGCCAGCATCTGTGATGGTATGGGGGTGCATTAGTGCCCAAGGCATGGGTAACTTACACATCTGTGAAGGCAACATTAATGCTGAAAGGTACATACAGGTTTTGGAGCAACATATGCTGCCATCCAAGCAACGTCTTTTTCATGGACACCCCTGCTTATTTCAGCAAGACAATGCCAAGCCACATTCTGCACATGTTACAACAGCGTGGCTTCTTAGTAAAAGAGTGCGGGTACTCGACTGGCCTGCCTGCAGTCCAGACCTGTCTCCCATTGAAAATGTGTGCCGCATTATGAAGCGTAAAATACGACAACGGAGACCCGGACTGTTAAACAACTGAAGCTGTACATCAAGAAAGAATGGGAAAGAATTCCACCTTCAAAGCTTCAACAATTAGTCTGCTCAGTTCACAAACGTTTATTGAGTGTTGTTAAAAGGAAAGGTGATGTAACACAGTGTTAAACATGCCCCTGTCCCAACTACTTTGGCACGTGTTGCAGCCATGAAATTTTAAAGTTAGTTATTATTTGCAAAAAAAAAATGTTTATGAGTTTGAACATTAAATATCTTGTCTTTGTAGTGTATTCAATTGAATAAAGGTTGAAAAGGATTTGCAAATCATTGTATTCTGTTTTTATTTACGTTAATCACAATTTCCCAATTTTAGTGTGAATCATTTTTTTCTGTGTGATTCATGATAAAAACAGACTTCGAGAAGCCATAGCACCACTATTCTGTTCAATAATTTATTTTTGTTGTATTTTAAAATCTTCGCAGACTGCTGCAGCGAGCTCGTTCCCCTCTGGGATATTTGCGGGCACCAAAATCAGTCCAGAGATTCTCAAACAGACGCTGAAGTTTGAGGAACCTCCCGATCCACCTGCACCTGTTCAGAAAGGTAAGAAATATATGGACAACATCTACTCTAGTGCAACTAAAGTACTTGCCTGCATATACTACAATCAAAAGGTCCAAAAAGTTGAGAAATGTGTGAAAAGTTGATGAAACAGAATTTGATCATTTGAATAAATTGCTGTACAAAAGGGACCAAAAAAAATACTGGATGGTCCTCCTCAGCACTGCATTAAAACAGACAGGACCCTGGAGTGGAAATCACTGCATAGGCCCAAAATCACTTCTAAAAACCATTGTCTGTGATCACAGTTTATCACTGCATCCACAAATGAATTTAAAACCCAGTCATGCAGAGAGGCAATCAAATAGAAACATGATTAAGAAATGTTGCCAAGAACTCAAGGGTCAAGCTCATTTTTGGCAGGGTAAGGGAAAGTGAAAAAAGTTACTGCAGTCTGACAGATCACAACCTGAGATAAGAAGAACTATATTTATCTCTATAGGGAAATTTAACAACCTGATATTGTTGTCAGAAATCGCAGACGAACAGAGTAACTTTCCGGCTTGCTCTCAGCTCCCAGTCCAAAGCCAGCATCTCTGATGGTATGGAGATCATCAGTGTCCATGGCATTGGTAACCTCCACATCTGTGAAGGCTCCTTTCATGCTGAACAATGTGTACAGTAGACCTGACCGTTATGGATTTTTGGGGGCCGATGCTGATACTGATTATTAGGGGGGAAAAAATATATATACTGTAGGCTACTGCTCTTCACACTGACAGGAAGACCAACTGATCAAACTCGGACCAGAAAAGCATTTTCAACACCCCCCGCCGATCTGTGCCGCGTCTTAACTCACGTTACTCATTTCCGGTCCGGTCTCATCTGGAGACATGCAGCTGCCTCAGTAAGAGAAGTAGTTCGATCACGTAATGTGTACTGTTGTTTATTCTACCGTTACTGGCACGACTAACAGTGTAGCAAGGCTAATAGCAGATGGCTAACTCTAACTTTAGCTTGCATATTACATGGTGCTTCACTGTTAACTCGGCGTGACCGAGACCAGCACAGCGGGGAACATCATGAAGTGGGTTGAACTGAAACTTGTTGACTTATTGTGTATTTCACAAACTAGTTTATTTACCGTTGAGGTGGACCACTCTCCTCTGTGCGTCCCTGAGCTGCCTGCTTCAGATCCGTCACTCTGCTGTGCTGTGAGGTAGTTAGTGGATGAAGATTGTCATGAGGTCGCTGCGCCATCTACAGGATAAGTCGGGGATTTTTTAAATGGCGGAACATTTTTTGAGTGAAACCGAATCTTATTCTCAGCATTTTATTTCTGAAAATATCAACGAAAATCTGCAAGTTTTGGTCGTTTACCGATTAGTCTCAAATGGGCTAAAACTGGCCGATTTAATCAGCTCACCGATAAATCGGTCGGGTTCTAGTGTACAGTCTTGGAAAAAGCAAAATTTGGAAACCATTAATGCCACATCTTCTGATCTGGAGGTCTGAAATAAACACTTGCAGCTAAGGTGATCTCTCAAGATACGTCTTAATTCTAACAAGTAAAAAGTGGAAATGTTTTGAAAATCAAAAATAAAATCTGCAGGTAGAACATGATCAAAACATGTTTGTGACCAACTGAGGTGTTGTCATTTCCACTCATGTCGCCAATTATTCTGCATACTCCCCGTAGTTTGTTCAAAGCAGAAAGCTTCATTATCACGATTATTGTATATTTATGACCTGTGAGTGTGTTGTCATTAAGTCAAATCATAAAGCACAGGAAGTGTTCTTCAGTTATTATCAGGAATTAGGAGGAAGTTAAGGCGCTTAATTGAAGCTATGTTTCCTGCAGCCACTAGATGGCGTATCAGAACTGAAATGATCCTCCTGCTGCAGATGAACCCCTGCAGACTCTAGTGTGGGTTATTTGGGGATTTCTGGTCTCTAATTGAAGCTCCTGAATCGTCTCCTCCAACCTTCAGAGGCTGGATCAGAAACAAACAGAGTAATCTCACAGGATAGAGGTGCAGTGAAAGCATCCCTCTGCGTGTGTGAAGAAAAAGTGATGATGTAGGCCTCGTTGCTAAGCACGCCGTGCTGCTCGCCGTGCCTCAACAGACAAAGCTCAGTGCTATATATAGACCAGCACGGTATAAATTTAGCTCATGCATGAAATCAAGGTTTGGCTGCATCAGAGTGTTCTCTGAGGATGCTGCTGTTTCACTCTCATCCCTGCCTTATTCTGGTTTCTCGCTGTAATAAGCTCCTGATGACTAAAACTTTGAAATGGAATGAGTCTCAGTTACACAGATATGTTTTTGTGAATGTTTGGACTCCTTAGACCATTACAATTTGCAGCAGAAATCTCTGACTTTGCACACACAATTATTACCCTAAAAGAACGACATGGTGAGCTCAAGAAATAATAGATTTACACATACAGTCAAGCCCAAAACTCTTCATACCCCTGGCAAATTTTGACTCAAAGTTACTTTTATTCAACCAGCAAGTTTTTTATTAACTGGAAATGACACAGGCATCTCCCAGAAGATAATAAGATGATGTACAAGAGGCATCATTGTGGAAAGAAATATTACAAAGCTTTTATTTACATTTGAACAAAAAGTGTCATGTCCAAAACCCTTCTCAATAATCAATAGAAAAACCTTTATTGGCTATGACAGCAATCAAGCACTTCCTATAATTGCTGAGCAGCTTCATCATTCATCTTTAGCAATGAGCTCCAACTCTTTGTCCACTGGTGCCCAAGGCCAAGTTTCTCTGCAGACTGCTTGATGTTGTTGTTGAGAATCTTGATGTATTCTTCTTTTTTCATGATGCCATTTACTGTGATTAGGTTCCCTGGTCCATTGGCTGAAAAACAACCCCAAAGCATTAGGTTCCCACCACCATGTTTGACAGTGGGGATTGTGTTCTTGGGGTTGAAGGCTTCTCCTTTTTTACGCCAAATGAAGGCTACACCATTGTGGCAAGACAAGTCCATTTTTGTTTCATCTGACCACAAAACAGAAGACCAGAAGTCTTCTTCTTTGTCCAGATGAGCTTTTGCAAAGGCCAAGCAGAAGTGCCGTCCTCCTTGGTCTGCGTCCGTTGAACCCAGCAGTGTGCAGTGTCCGTTGGACTGTCTGCCTTGAGACGTTGCCACCAGCAGAGCCCAGTTTCACCAGGATGGCCTTGGCGGTGATCCTTGGATTCTTTTTCACCTCTCTCACTATCCTCCTGGCCAGCACAGGTGTCACTTTAGGCTTCCGACCACGTCCTCTGAGCTTTTCCACAGTGCAGAATGTCTTGTATTTTTTAATAACACTTTGCACTGTAGCCACTGGAACTTGAAAACATTTAGATATGGCCTTATAGCCCTTTCCCGACTTGTGAGCAGCCACAAGGTGCAGCCGCAGGTCCTCAGTGAGCTCCTTTGTCTTAGTCATGACTGTCCAAAACCCAATTGCAGAGAGCAGTTTTTCACCTGTTGAGTTGATTAAAACAGCTGTTCCTAATCAATCAGGGTAATTAGGATGCTTTAGAACAGCTTGGACTATTTGGAATGGTATGGCCATTACAGAGCTTGATAACGAGCTGATCATTTGAATCAGGTGTGTTGGAGCAGGGAAACATCCAAAACATGCAGGACAGTGGGCCTCGAGGACTGGACTTAAGAACCACTGGTATAGAGCTTTGGATTCTCCCATAGACCATGACAGTTTGTTATGGGTATGAATAATTTTGGACATGCCACTTTTTGTTCAAATGTAAATAAAAGCTTTGAAATATTTCTTTCCACAATGATGCCTCTTGTACATCATCCTGTTATCTTCTTGGAGATGCCTGTGTCATTTCCAGTTAATAAAAAACTTGCTGGTTGAATAAAAGTAACTTGAAGTCAAAATTTGCCAGGGGTATGAATAATTTTCCTGCAATCTTGGTTAAAATTCCTGCATGGCTTCTAAGCTAATGTGAGAACACAGCAGGAAATTAATGGAAATATTCACTGCAACGGAGCGAGAGGGCAAGGGTCATGATGTTTATGTCCTATTGATATGATCTCAGTGAAGCAACCCACAACAGGATCAATAAAAACATCCATGATTGAAGACAAGAACAGAGGAGATCTGTGCACATCCATCTGCTCCATCAGGATCTCCCTTGTCCTGTTTTTGTGTCATGATGCTCCAAATGTTTTCAGTTGTTGATAAGTCAGGACTGCAGTCAGTCCAGTTTCTCAGCAGGACTCTTCTACTACAGAGCCATGCTGTTGTAATCCCTGTTGTCAGAATGTGGTTTGTCATTGTCTTGCTGAAATATGAAGGTCTTCTCTGAAAAAGTCTTTGTCTGGATGTCAGCAGATGTTGCTCCTAAACCTGTAGATATTGTTCAGCATTAATAGAACTAAGGCTGCACGATATTGGAAAAAATAATATTGCGATTTTTTCAACCCTGCGATATATATTGCGATATTAAAAATACAGTATTTTCACCAGATGACCTGAATAGCACTTAATGTTATGCTGCACTGCTGAAATCTTGAGGACAGTTAATCTGCTCTGATCTTACCTCTTTTTGTGAATGTTAGTAGAACGGCTTCTGTCTGTCTCAGAGATATTTTTAGCTTTTATTGTGCTGGGACGTTATTGTGGAAACAGATGAACACAGAAGACGTGTTTTGGTCGACATCATCCTTCTTTAACCGAAATAATTCCAGATAACTGACTTTCCTTTTCTTTTTGGCAACAAATCTTCATTTTCGGTGGTTTTCGCTTGTTCGTTGTTCATTTTGCGATCGTTGTTGTTGTTGTTGTTAGCGGTGCTGTACCGAGAAACGCATGTCCTCCGAGAATTGCATGCACCTCGCAAAACGCGCACTGCTTATAGTAGAGTGGTCCACGGAAATGTACAATTTAAAACCCATACAGTTCTTATTTGTTGGGCTTAATAGTCATGAGTAAAGTTCCGAAAGTAATTCTCAGCGGACACACGTCTCCCTCCATGTGCAGAACATGTGCAGGGGTGGGTTTTCTCCTCCCTGATTTTGATTGACAGCTGGCAGGGTAGTCTGATTGGCAGCTAAGAAGTGAGTCTGATTGGCAACTGAGTTAAGGACGAAGGCGATTGGTGGATCGCTGCACAGCACATGCAGAGTCACATGGAGTGTATCTCAGTCGGTTACCCTTGAAATTAAATGAGCTCATTCACCTCCAATATCGCAGGCTCTGCGATGTGACTATCACACACACGTACATCGCGATGACGATAGTCAAACGATATATCGTTCAGGCCTAAATAGAACCTTCACAGATATAGAAGATACTCATGACATGGACTCTGATGATCCACATACCATTAGGGATGGTGGCTTTGAACTGGGAGCTAAGAAAAAGCCTGGTTGTCCCTTCAATCTTTAGAGAGGAGGATGCAGCGTCCATGATTTCCAGAAAGACGTGATGTTCAGATAATGATAGTATGGACAGCAGACGATGAAATCCACTCAGTCTTTAAACATTATTCTAAAACTTTCAAGGTCCTTTTGTTTTAGATACAGTTGGTCTGTGTCGTCCGTCAGTGTAAAGTCCTGTCTGTCCTTTGACAAAGTGCTCTGTCTGCAGTCTAATTAGAGGTATCGTTTCACTACCAGACCCTGAGGACAGACCCTGACTCTTCTTTACTCTGAGGTCAGCTCCCTAAGGACCCCCCTTTCTTCCTCTAACCTTCTCGTCTTCCACCTCCTCCACTCTCTTCACCATCTTTCCCTCTCCATCAAATAGAGATAATTTCAGACGAATAATATCATCTCTCCTGTGTTCTCTTGTGTTTTGTTTTTGACCCGTCTCGGTTATTTTTCTCCCCGATGAGCCGATTCACCCGCAAAGAGCTGTCGTGTTTCCTCTTCATCATCACATCCTGGCTGCATGCATCAGGGCAGCAGAGCGTGCAGAGGGATGATGATGATGTTGATGTTGTGCATGAAGAGCTGAGAAATGGCGTGAGGATGAAAATGGTCTCTGGGTGAGAAAGTGAAGCGTTCTTAAAGGGTCCTTCAGTTAGCGTGCTGATTCTGTTTTAGTCAAAATGCATTGCAGAGAGGAATCGAGCAGCTTTTTGGAGTTTTATAAAGCTCTCGCTCTACAGGGATAATACTGTAATGCCGTCAGACTCTGAGAATAAGTACTCGAACCTGAAGCATTTAGTGGATGCTCTGAAATTTTTTTCTGTTTCTATGGTGGCCCTAAAGTGTCTGCACAAACATTGTGATGTGGAAATTCCATTTTTAAGATGACAAAACCATTTCATTATGAATGTGCGTTTACTTGTCTTTGGCTCTCGATTCGCCATTTCATCCACCCTAATCTGCTCTCATTCAATTGTCAATACGCAGGCTACACAACCGATTACGTCACGTGAAGTGGTCCTGCTAAAGTGGAACTTCTCTCACAGTTTTCTAGAAATGTATTACATTTTGAGAGTCATGAATACAGTGATTTGTGAAGTCGAGAGGCATTCTTAAAAATAATGATAACTTGGGTCAGTGTTTCATGTTCTCTTTAAAGAGTATTACAAAAACTTTTACAATTAAAAAAAACTCATCATCAATAACATAGGATCCAAAAATGAAGAAAAAATTTCTCAAAACCCCAAATTTTACAGAACTTAAAAGTTTTTCACATAAAGGTTAGAAAACACATTTCCGATCATGCAAAAATGTTATTTTTTTTTCTCCTAAAAAGCAAGAAATGTTAAATCTTTTTTAATTATTTACAGTTATTTTATTACCCATATCTTTGGGAGTTAAAGCGTCAGTTTTGGCGCCCCCTGTGACAAAGTAGTCTTTGCTTGTCTGCTACATGCTTGAGTATCGATTTTGACAACAAATGTTATTCTGCTGTCTTTTGACAGTCAAATGTTTCGTTCATATTAAAAACTTTATGTGGAAAAAGGCTGTTTCTTGAGCTCTACGGCCTGAACCTATCCTCTCCCACTCGTTTCAGATGATAAAATTGGGTTCTAATAATTGCATTCTTGCTGCTGGTCTTGTTTGCTTTTGTTTATCATTTAAAGACATCAAAATGAATTTCAGTCTGTTTTGTAAAGGTCAATAAATTCCTCATAGAGCTTTAGAAAATTTAACTTTTTTTTTTTTTTCAAAATATAAAAAGCGTCAAAAAGGACAGGGCATAAATAGATATATTAAAAAAGATTTTAAAAATTTGGAAAAATTGCACAACATTGAAAGACAGTGTAGTTGATTTTTCACAGACATTGAAACCTTTTATAAAAAAATTGAATATTTTACCAACACACAACACAAAACATTTCCCCAAGTTTTGAAATATTTTAGGGTAAAGAGAAAAAAAATTATGTAACACAGAAATATGTCAAAAAATGAAAAAAAAAATGTTTTAGTTTGGCCTAAAACACATTTAAGTTTTGTAGTTTTGTTTTTTTATTTTATGAACTGTTTCTGTGCTTGAGTTGTTTCTACATGCGATGAAGTGGTTATCATGGTCTCTAAAGTGTTTTTGCGGTCATGAAATATTTATTCATTTGACCTTCAGGGCCACTGTATATTTCACTGCTGCAGGGTGAAGAACTCTGGAGGGCTGATGAATAACTTTATGTGCAGACTCTGTAGATTTTCTGACCTATATCAGTTTAATAGTTTTTCCTGTTTATTATGCAGACATTAACATTTACTATCAGGGCCCCAGGAAACATCAGTTCAGTCCACGTGTGTCAGTCAAGCACTGTAGCAGGACGTCACTCTGACATAGAGATCAAATATTGATCCTATCCGGCCCCGATGTGACTGTTTATAAAGTATGCAGTCATATTGTTATTAAAGCATTCATACCTCAGTGAGGACAAACTGGGTAAAAGAAGGCCTGTGATTGGCCAGTAACAGCAGTAGTCTGTGTCGTTTTCACGTCGCCACGACACTAAAACGCCATGACATTTACACCTCATTAAACCTCTCTGCAGACACGTCCCTGTTAAAGACCAGCATTCAGGCTCGTGTGATGGATTATTGTGGAACTACAGCAGATTTTGAATCTCTGTTGGCACGAACATGATCTGATCCCATGAAAAATGACCTCCAGCAGGAAGCTGCTAGTGGGCTTCAGCCGCTGAACCAGTTTACAGCCCGCCTCCACCCTACCTCTTTCTTTTTATGCCGTGTCTGATTGTCACTGGTGTGGCTCTGTTCTGTTCTCTGGGGGTCTTCGCTGCTGATCTCCCTGTCTCGGTTTTTCATGCATGCTCTCCCTGCCACATGATTTAACATTACACATATACAGTGGATATAAAAAGTCTACACACCCCTGTTCAACTGCCAGGTTTTATTTGATGTAAGAAAATGACAGCAAGATAAATATTTTCACAACTTTTTCTACCTTTAATGTGACCTATAACCTGAACAATGCAATTGAAAAACAAACTGAAACCTTTTAGGGGAAAATAAAAAATAGAAAAGTTAAAATAACCTGGTTGCATAAAAATGCACACCCTTAAACTAATACTTTGTTGCAGCACCTTTGGCTTTTATTACAGCACTCCGTCTTTTTGGGTAGGAGTCTATCAGCGTGGCACATCTTGCTGTGGAAATATTTGCCCACTCTTCTTTGCAAAACCGCTCCAAATCTGACAGATTGCGAGGGCATCTCCTGTGCACAGCCCTCTTCAGATCACCCCACAAATGTTCGATGGGATTCAGGTCTGGACTCTGGCTGGGCCATTCCAAAGTCTCAATCTTATTCCGGTGAAGCCATTCTTTTGTTGATTTAGATGTGTGCTTTGGGTCATTGTCGTGCTGAAAGATGAAGTTCCTCTTCATCTTCATCTTTCTAGCAGAAGGCAGAAGGTTTTGTACCAACACTGACTGGTATTTGGAACTGTTCATAATTCCCTCCACCCTGACTAAGGCACCAGTTCCAGCTGAAGAAAAACAGCCCCAAAGCATGATGCTGCCACCACCATGCTTCACTGTGGGTATGGTGTTCTTTTGGTGATGAGCAGTGTTGGTTTTGCGCCAAATATACCTATTACAATGATGCCCAAAAAGTTCAACTTTGGTTTCATCAGACCATAACACATTTTCCCACATGCGTTTGGGAGATTTCAGATGTCTTTTTGCAAAATTAAGCCGGGCTTTGATGTTTTTCTTTGTAAGATAAGGCTTCCGTCTTGCCACCCTACCCCATAGCCCAGACATATGAAGACAGCGGGAGATTGTTGTCTCATGTACTACACAGCCAGTACTTGCCAGAAATTCCTGCAGCTCCTTCAGTGTTGCTGTCGGCCTCTTGGTAGCCTCCCTGACAAGTTTTCTTCTTGTCTTCTCATCAATTTTGGACGGACGTCCTGTTCTTGGTAATGTCACTGTTGTTCCATATTTTCTCCACTTGATGATGACGGTCTTTACTGTGTTTCATGGTATATTTAATTCCTTGGAAATTCTTTTGTAGCCTCACCTGACTGATATCTTTGAATAATGAGATCCCTCTGATGCTTTGGAAGCTCTCTGTGGACCATGGCTTGTGCTGGAAGATGTGTCTACAAAAATGTCAGGAAAAGCTACTAGAACAGCTGAACTTAATTTGGGGTTGATCAGAGGCACTTTAATTGGTGACAGGTGTGTGCTGACTCCAATTTAACCTGAGTTTGAATGTTATTGGTTAAATCTGAACACAGCCACATCCCCAGTTATTGAAGGGTGTGCACACTTATGCAACCACATGATCTCAGTTGTTTATTTTACTTCACCTCCCTGAAAGATTTCTGTTTGTTTTTCAATTGTGTTGTACAGGTTATAGGTCACATTAAAGGTGGAAGAAGTTATGAAATTATTTATCTTGATTTAATTTTTTTACGTGACAAAAACCTGGCAGTTGAACAGGGGTGTGTAGACTTTTTATATCCACTGCACATATACGTATGAAAGGCAGAGACAGAGCAGTGCCTCTAAATCCCACTGTCGTTCTCCCTGCTTTGGCTTCTCATGGAAAAGTGAAATATATTGTATTGATTATCTTTTAACAGAGGTTGTAATTCAGACGTATAAATTATTTAGAAATTCTCCAAGAAATACAAATAGAAATAAAAATACATTTTTTAGTTCAAAGGGGTAAATACTGTAAAACACTTCCTGTGCTCACCTTTATCTCAGATATCAGACAGTTCAGAAAGGTAAGCAGGAGGCTCAGTCTGGGTGGGCAGGTGAGAGTGTGGTGGGGGTGTCCTCCATCTAGCTGTAATCACAGGTATCCATTTCAGCTACCAGCAGGAAGACAATGCCCCTGGTGGGAGCAGAGTGGTGGTAAAGACTCCCCCCTTTCCACTCAGGGATCAGGTTCCTCCTCCTCTGCCCACATGTGTTTCTGCAGCAGATTTCTATCTGAACCTGTAGAGCAGCAGCAACATGTCTGTTTGTGGTGAGAGATAAAGACTGCTCAGATACAGAGCCTGTCAGGACACAGCTTGCTGAAAACACACTCAGACTCTCTCACAGCTCTGTTTGCGTCTAAATCTAATAGAAACAGTCTAGATGTTCATATTTCTGTCTTTTTTATCAGAGATTTGAAAGGCATGGTTTTAATTAGGGCTGTCCCAATACGATATTGATTAGGGCTTGACCATTTTTTGGGGCCAGTGTCGATACCGATTATTGGGGCGGGTGATTACCGATTAATCTGCCATTTTTTATATTTTTTTATGAAGTTTTAAAATTTGTTAATTTCGGTAATATATCTAAATATTTCCTTTTTTTTAACAAATGGCTGCTTTTGAGCCTTTTAAACACTTCTCAGTAATATTAATCTCAGTAATATTCCACGTATTTATCATGAATCAAACTCGGACCAGAAAAGCATTTTCAACTACCCCCCCCGGGCCAATCGGTGCCTCCGCGTCTTCACTCACGTTACTTATTTCCGGTCCGGTCTCATCTGGAGACATGCAGCTGCCTCAGTAAGAGAAGTAGCTCAATTACATATTGTGTACTGTTGTTTATTCTACCATTACTGGCACGGCTAACAGTGTAGCAAGGCTAATAGCAGGTGGCTAACTCTAACTTTAGCTTGCATATTACATGGTGCTTCACCGTTAACGCGGCGTGACTGAGACCAGCACAGCGGGGAACATCGTGAAGTGGGTTGAAATGAAACTTGTTGACTTATTGTGTATTTCACAAACTGGTTTATTTACCGTTGAGGTGGACCACTCTCCTCTGTGCGTCCTTGAGCTGCCTGCTTCAGATCCGTCACTGGTCGCTGCGCCATCTACAGGATAAGTCGGGGAACTTTTCATATGGCGGAGCATTTTCGAAGGGAAACCGAATCTTTTTCTCTGCATTTTATTTCTGAAAATATCTGCGACAATCGGCGAGTTTTGGCCGATTAGTCTCAAACGGGCTAAAATTGGCCGATTTAATTGGCTCGCCAATTAATCGGTCGGGCCCTAATACTGATATCGGATATCTGTCCGAAATCAGCCAAAAAAATATCAGATTATATCCACCTGCGTCTTAAATCTCCGATATATCACTCCAGTACAAGCAGTCTATATCAGACAGATACTTAAGGCTACAATATTGGCATTGTATCGGAAGTAACAGATTTGCATCAGGTACCCCTAGTTTTAAGATTATAAAGTGTGTGACTTACTCAAGAATAACCTGTTTTTATCTGCAGATATATGTTGAGCAGGTGTACAACTTCAAACACTGCTCTTTAGTGTCTGTTTTAAGGTACCCATAACAGTATGAGAGTACGAGAGACGCACGACAATGTCTGGACCTGAAAACACACGTTTAACTTTAAAAGAATTGATTTATCCTCCTTATTCTAGTGTGTTTGAGGGGTTTTTGTACCTGATCCTCTGTCATTGACAGTAATTCTGACTCGGTTTCCTCCTGTCTGTATCTCACTCCCTGCTGTTTTCAGTTTTTCTTCTGTTTTCCAGACTAAATCTCATCGAGCAGCAGCTCACAGTCACATGTTATCACCCTCACAGACAGACTGCTGTCAGATCAAACTGTCCGTCTGCAGCTCTGGGTGGAAAATAATGTGTTTATTTTATTGTATTTCTGTCCCACCTCGTCCCTGCTGTCCCCCTGAGGAAGTCCTGACCGCAGGGCGCTTCAAGGTGCTGGCTTATAAAATTTCATAAAGAATTTTTCCATAAATGGAGGATTTTCCGCCCAGAGGGAGTGAAGATAGGGCCAGTGTCTGAATCTGTTTTCTCACACTGCTTTTACTCTGTTTTTTATTTCAACTTTTCCATCACGGGATCCATTATTTCCCCCCTTAGATAATTGGCTGCAGTAACAGTTTTGACACGAGAACTGCAGGACATCGCATTTTCATTTTCCTGTTTATTGCACACGTTCGTGTCCCTCAGTGACACACCTGAACAGCATGGAAAGATTTTACCGACCACAGACAGAGTCACAGACAGCAGATTAAAATCATGATATGTTTGTACTTTTAACAGACCAAACATGACTGCAGATGTAAGACAGCTGCTCCTCTGTGTCAGCAGGTCTCCTTTGACTCATTCAGTGCATACCAGTACAGTGGCCTTGAGGGCTAAAACACAAAAACATTTCACTGAGAAATACAGACTCTGACAGAATGCAAAAACAATCCAGAAATTTCAATTAATTCTTCAACAAATATAAGACTCTTTATGATAAAGAGTAAAAAAAAAAATCTGGAAACACAGAAATCATGTGAAGCAGGAAAAATCAAAAAACATAAAGTTAAATCTTAAAATGAGAATCAGTGATCCCAGAACACATTCTGAAAAATCACAAAAACAGATTGCAAAAAAACATATCTATAGCAGTCAACAAAATATTCATACAATGGATAAAATCTGACACAACACTTTGCAAATATAAATAAACTTACAGAAAAACACAAAAAAGTGCTCCAAGATATAAGGATTAAAGGGGAAAAACAAACAACAGAACACAAAAAAATGAAACAAAATCAGATTTCACAAAGCCTAACCTTTATTAAAAAGAAAAGTATATTACCAAACCAGAGTTAAAGTGTAAATATTCACACAAAACAAATATTTGTCAAAGAAATAATACCGTTTTTAACAGAGTGCGAAAACAACGTGTCCAAGAATTTTACCAAAAAAAAGCCATTTAAAAACACAAAGTTTTTTTTATTAGAGCGCAAAGAATACAAAAATATAAAAAACAAAAACCGATTTACATATTTCCTAAAACACAGTCCTGAAAACACAAAAACAAGATTATCTGAAAATTTAAAGACATGATCATGTAAAATTAATTGTGACTATTTTACCAAATGAAAGTTACAAAAGAAAAACACAACAACATTCTTTGAAAAATTAAAATACTAATGAAACTGTTTGAGAAACAATAGAGGTGCAATGCAAATTAATCTGTTTAAAAATTACATTTATTTAAATTTAAGCACATTTATGTTACTTAAACAGATATATGAAAGAAAATGAGTTTTTACACGCACAAAAAAAAAAAAAACACAAACATTTGTCCTTTATAGAAAACATCGCTGCATCGAAACAGAGAGAAATTTAAACTGTGTTTGTGTGTGTGTGTGTGTGTGTGTGTGTGCACGTGTGTGTGTGTGCTCTCACAGGTCCAGAAGAGAAGAAGCTGAAGTCAAAGAAAGAGAAGATGAAGGAGCGCAGAGAAAGATGGCTGCACAGTGAGTCTCAGTATTTAAGGAGGAGTAAGAAGACAGATTCAGGCTCATCCTTAAATAATTTGTCATAGTTGAAGTTTTTAACTTTTTATTTAATACCTTTGAACCCCGTCAGGAAAAGGAAACCTCAGGCAGACTGTTATTTATTTGTCAGTTTTCAGGTTTAATCAGATTTATAGTATTTTTATGTTCTGAGATATTTTCAAATCATTTTTTTACAGCAGTTATTGAAAAAAAAAAGATTTTTACTGTTTTTTCTGATGTTAACAATCCAGTGCACTTTTTCTTTTACAGCTGAAATCTCACTCACAGCTGAGTGATTAATCCAATTTTGCTTTCAGTTTCATTTGAAATCATTTTAGCACATTCAAATTCTGCAAGAGTAATAAGAGGATCTACATGGAGGGTTTGAGGAAATCTAGCAAAAAGATGATTTTTTAACATTAAAACAAACTATTGTTGAGAGAGAAGTATTTTAAAGATATAACGTAACATGCACACGAGAAATTCACAGAAACCCTTTCAAAATAAAGTCCTAACCTGCCTGATCTTTGGTTAGCGTCCTTCTCTGATGCACTTCAACTGTCAGCGGAGACAAATGTGTATCCTTCCTCTGTAAAAAAAAATAGTCCCTAAAAGATGCATCATTTTTCCATGCTGTGTTTTCTTCAGCTTTGTTGCTGCTCTTTGATTCTACAGAGGAGAAATAGGAATTGTTAAATCAACTTTGTGAGCTGCAGCTTCTCTGACCTCTGCTTTTCTCAGTCCAGGTAAAACAGAGCGTTAGTTAGATCCAGTAAACTGAGAAGGTTTCATTTTACGAAGCTGCAGGGTTGTCATCGGGATAAATAAACGTCTGAGTTAGCTCTTAAATTCCACTCTAGTCCCTGAGTTTTCACCCATCGCTGAGCATCTCTGTAATTATAACGCCTCTCCCTTTATTGCGCTCAGATCTGAAACCAAACTCCTCTGCTGAGACGATCAATTCCCGGGTAACTGGACACAGATCCTGTCCAGGGGAATAATTAGGCGCTAATGGTCCTGCTGAAACCAGAGAGTGGCTCCACAGCCAACAGTTTCAGGAATTAGAGGAAATTAGAGAGAAATATCAGGATTTATCAGGTCCTGGATACAGAGAGGGGCACTGAGGATTTACAAAAAAATAAGACTGTAAGTGATTTGACTGAATAAAGGACATGAAAAAAGATCTGAAAATGACTTTGATTCAGCAGAGTCGTCGAGATGAATCCTTTTCGCCTTTACTTACCCCCTTTTCCTTCCCTCCTCCTCTTCCTCCTCAGAGATCAGCTCCATCAAACAGGCGAAGGAGCGTCAGGCAGCCGAGGCGCGGCGGCAGGCCACGCCCGTGGTTGGCGACATGAAGCCGCTGGCAGACGCGCTGCCTGAGCTCTCTCAGCTCATTGCTCCTGCCGCCACCGCCACCACAGTTCCCACTGCTCGCCGTAAGAGCAGGAAGAACAAAGTGTGAGTGTATCCTCGATGAGGTGTCGGGTGTTCACAGGACTTTTCTCAGTCAGTCTGAAGACGAAGAGAAAGTTTAAATTCAGACGAAGAGCAGAGACGGCAGACTGAGGAGCTAAAACACACCGACACACTGTGGACCAACAAATACTCTTTATTTCTAGTGAGGGAGAGAAATTTTGTTTATCGGATTTTCAAACAGAAAGGATTTTCATTTGATGTACGCCAGATTGGTCAGTTTTTCAACCGTTCATGCTGTTCTGATAAGTAATTAAAATCCGTCTTGTGTTCTTTAAGGGACAATGTCTTTTATCAGGGGTTATAGGACTACACAGACACAAAAACCACCCTACCTCCTTGTAATCTATCAGCTAGGGGTGTCCTGATACTGTAGCCTTCAATATTGGCCGTTTCCGATATTGATGAACTGTCAGCTGCAGTCTTTAGGTACCCTATACTGTATTTTTCGCACTATAAGGCGCACTTAAATCCTGCACTGCAGCTACCGTAGCCTCGCGGAGTTACTGAATGAGTTAAATAAAGTTGGACTTATCTGACTGTTTTGTTTGGCTTAATGCACTTTATAATCTGGTGTGCCTTATGTATGAAAATACAAGCGAATATGCGCGTTCATTGATGGTGTGCCTTATAATCAGGTGCACCTTATAGTGAAAAATACGGTATAACCTTTTTAAACATGATCTTTGTGGCACTCTTCAGACTATTATCAGTTCCTTTTAATGGCTCACTTTAAAACTAGCAGATGCAACTGTTTTACTTTACATATAAATGACTGGATCTCCTTGAGAATCTATTGTAGGTACTCTAAAAGTCCCCTTTTTGCTTAAACCCCTTTAAAAAAAAAACACCTGTTTAGGTGCCCTTAATCCAGTGGTTCTCAATCCTGTCCTGCATGTTTTGGATGTTTCCCTGCTCCAACACACCTGATTCAAATGATGAGCTCGTTATCAAGCCATTACAGAGCTTGATAACGAGCTGATCATTTGAATCAGGTGTGTTGGAGCAGGGAAACATCCAGAACATGTAGGACAGGGGGGGCTTGAGGACTGGATTGAGAACCACTGCCTTAGCCTGTTGTGGAGAGCTTAATCTGTGAAACAAACCCACTGGAGTCTGTTTGAGGACCCTTTAGTGTCTGTTTGATGTCACTTCCCTAGTGTGATTTAGGTACCCTCCTTTACATTTCAGGGTTTTCAATGGGATCCATTTTAAGTACCTTTTATTATCCATTTTAAGTTACTTTTAAGGACGTTCTTAAAGCTATGGTCTACCATTTGGAAGCTTGGTACTTTTTAATAACACGGTTTATAAGGCCTTTATGGTCCTATGGTCCTATGGTCCGATCAACGCAATTTAAAGATCAAAAAGAACGGAAAAAAAACCCATTCAGTATATCCGCTGCAAAAAGGCATAATAATCGACCAATCCGAACCTCCGTATCCCGGCGGTTCGGATTGGTCTGTGAGTCCATCCAATCCCCTGTCTCCCCTGCTCCGCACCGTCCCGCCTCCTGCCCACTACCACCCTCACGTACATGTGATTAGCGAGCTGTACAGCTACTGGAGTGTAATGGAGCCGGAGAAGACAAACACCGAAACTAGGAGGCCGCTTCTGTTACCCTCCACATCGAAGGGAAGGAAACGTAGAAGTTTCGAGAAAAAGGCTGAAGTAAGGAAGAAATATGAGCGATACAGGTGCCAATGGAGAATCTACATAGGAGAAGTGTACGACCGGTGTTGTGCCGTAAAATGCACCCCTTGAGCCCATCCACCCATTAGCTTGTTAAAGTGGAGGAAAATTATCTCGTATTTAAATAAAAAACGCGAATATTGGATCATGACAGCATGTCAAATGGAGCAGCAAACTTTTGCTCTGTTTTTATATGTCTCAAAAATGCACATACAGAGGTGTACAGTAAGTCACGGTAGAGAACATTCTATTTTCGGGACAGCAAATATCCAGAATCAGAGGGCCATTGTTTTCGGTTTATCTTAATAGCCTGAATGAAATCATTAAAGATGCACGCTCTTGAATGCATCCAACGGTAAGGAATTATTTCGCTTTATGTACTTTTAACCGCGCTCCCGTCAGGGGGGATTTAACGGCAAGGGTGCATTCTACGGCATAACACCTGTTGGAAAAAGCTGCAGAAGGATTTGCGACTGAAAACTGACACTGAGACAGCCGAATTTCTGTTGAACAGATAATTACTTTGTTTAATACAGTGGGAGATGTCTGCTGAATAACTATGGTTAGTCTGTGCTTATACTGGCTCATGACTGAACGTTGTTGGTCGGAATGGGTAGGCTTTAGCATAAGTTAGCCGCGCATCTTTAGCATTGTAAACTGAGCTGGTGAAGACACGCCGAGAAAGGTAAAGCCTCGCCCACACTCGGCTCTGCTCTGACCGGCTAGCAGTGGCGACGCCAGACCCGCTCCGCCCCGCAAATACTGATACTGATATTTTCTGCCGGCCGGCTTCTTGCCATAGACTGTATATACTCTGGACAACTCCGCGCATTCGACCGCGCAGGCTCGGCTCAAACAGCGTAGCCCCCCGGGTGAGCTACGCAATCCCTAAACGCCCATAGGTTGTATCAGGTGTCAATCAAAGAAAACACGAACCCCCTAATAACTTTTAAAAACGGAGCTTCACAGAAAAAAGAGGACTTGAGCACAAACCAGTCTGACAATAACTTATAACAATAGCTGCGTTTTTCAAATCTGTCTCAACAGCCAAACTGGTTTTCAGATGGTAGACCATAGCTATAAGGTATAATTAACTATTTGTTTTGAGGTGCCATTTAATGTCAATTTAAGGTGTCCTGTAGGATCATTAGACTTAAGCATCTCCAGCAGTGTGTCTGTTTTTGGTACCTTTGTAAAGGGCTCTTGTCTTTAGGTACCCATGCATGTTCACATGTTTCCTCTTCTCTTTACAGACCCGTAAAGAGGCCCGAGCCGACAGACTTCAGTCAGATGAAACAGTCACAGAAACGTAAACTCCTGTAAGCGTCCTCTCAGACTAACTCTCCTCTCCTCTGTGTGAATATAAAATCACCCTCTCCGCTCAGTTTACATGACTGACCCCTGAGATTTTTTTTTGTCATTTTAGAGAAGAAGAAACGAGCCATTTCAGCAAGGCGGTGAAGATTCTGTCAGCTCATACCAACCCTCTGGTGGACATCGGAGAGCAGCTGAAGAAGAGGATGAGGCAGGAGGAAGAACAAGGTCCCAGCTAACACCAGCAGTTCATATCTGTGAGAGACTGAAGTATTTCCTCAGAGGAGAAAAGGAAAGTCAAAGTGGGCTTTCTTTTGACGGAGCCATGAGTCTAAATGACTATCAGAGAGAAAGTGCATGTTGAAGCCACCACAGCAGCTGCTTTAAGATGTTTCCTGGAGCAAAAACACAAAAGTTTAGATCCCAAAAGCTGAGAAAATCTGCCCAGGTGGAGAAATGTCAGACCCTCACTCTTAAGGACTGAAAGTACCCATCATAAAAACCACCAATGAGAGGTTGTTGAAAGTGTCGAAAGTGTAATATCTCTCATTTCCTCTTCTGTAATAAATTAAATCAACTTCTACATTTATTCATTTTATATTCTGTGAATTATTTCAAGCCTCAAACCTTCACAGTCAAACAAACCATCCTTGTTTTCATCCACGCCCACACCAGCGCTCCCTCACGTCTATTTCCAGTGTTTTCTCATCACGCTGCTAAAAGAAGATCAGTTCCAAACACGCTGTGACTCATCAGCGATTTCCATAGCAACACCTCTGATCTATGTAAATTAACATCTTGTCGGGGCAACATGGAGACGCCATGAATGAAAATATTTTCAAACTGTCTTACAAGAGACATCAGCGTGTCACACAAATAATCAGAATTATAATCAGATCTCTGCTGGGCCCACTTGTGCTGCCTTAACGTACCCCGACTAAGCTGGACCACCCCAACATTCACAAAAACCCAGAATGTTATAAGATTACATTAATGTCCCTTTTATGGTATCAAGGTCTGTTTCAAGGTACCCCCAAAAATAATCTTTTACCTTTTATTTAAAATATGTGTCAGTATCTGTTTCAGAGTACCCTGTTTTCAGGTTCCATGAACTCTTGGCTTCAATGTTGTTTCCAGATATAACTCCATAAGAAAGCTCCATGTTTAGGTACCTTTTGTGTTTTGTGAACCACTTAGAGTCTATTTTAAGTTGGTCTTATAAAAGATAGTTGCTGTAGTGAGTGTAGGGAGTTTTTACGTTATTTGCACGTCTTGTGTTAAATCCTTTAGTTTCTATTCAAAGATACCCCATTTTATTTTAAAGTCTATTTAAAGGTACCAGTAATTGTTTGTTTTTGGTACCCTAAACCATCCGATTCTGGGCACCCTGTTTAAAGGTCCCACAAACCACTGAAATCACAACTGTCCCCGAAATCTCCTTTCATGTCTCATTTACATATCTGGGTATCTTAAGCATTTGCTTCCTTTTTGTGTTCAATTCAAGTACAGATTGATATTTGTTTTAAGGTACCTTTCAGAGCCTTTATTAAAGGGATATTTTGGTGTAAAATTAGTGCAGCTGAGTTTCGCAGCTCATTTATGATTATTACGTCATGGATATGCAATCAGACCAAGATGCTAAGGCAGAAGAACAGTGTCTGCAGTGCAAAATGATTATTATGATGATTATAGCTTAATGAATATGATCTGCTGCACTCAGTGATCGACTCGTCAGGGCTCCCCCACAAACAAGCGGCTGCTGGAGGAGAGTGGGTGAGTTGTGTTTGGTCTCTTTGCTAAAGAACCTAGACAAAGATAAAAGATGTTTGATGGCTGGGACCCTATATGTACTATTGATGAAGTTAGGTGCTGTGCTGGGGCCTCATTTATAAAACCTGGCGTAGGATCCATACTAAAAGTGTACGTAAGCTGAAAAGTGCGTAGGCAAAAAAAAAATCTGATTTATAAAACCCTGCCTACGCACACCTGCACGCACTTTCCCTTTATAAATCACAGACCAGCTGGAAAGTTGCTCAGCAGGGATTTGATTCTTCCCCGCCCTCTCCACACCCAAAATTCACCATGTATGGTCATGCAAATTACCTCATGAATGTGATTTGCATGTAGATAAGCCTGGTGGATCCACGGCATTTCACGCTTAACCATGGCATCAGCAAGTCGTAGAAAAAGAAACTTTTCAGAGATCGAGGTGGAGGTTCTTGTAAATGAGGTGGCGGCGAGACAGGAGACCTTATTCGGCGGCAATTCGAGTGGCATCACCAATAAAAACGCCGTTGCCGTGGTGGCAATTGCGGCTGGCACTGAGCGCAGCGTTGCCGAATACAGTGTTGTTTTCGTCATATTTCGTCAAATATTTTCGTCAACACCAGCGTCAAAAAGAAATATTTTCATCAACGAGAACAACACTGGTTGTTTTTGTTGACGGAAATATTTCCCTTTTCTTCCACGACGAAGACGTAACGTTGACGAGCTAAACATAAGTCGGAGATGACTAAAATGTGACGAGACGAAAGTGCGTTTACGTTGATGGGACGAGACGAAAATGACGAACAGAGTTGCAAAACTCAGTCAGTTAAACGCTAAACATACAGGAGCAGCTTCTGTCCGCTCTGACAGCTCTCATCAGCCTGCTGTGCTCCTCCAACACACAGACACACACGCACGCGCAAACACGTGGAGTTTTGTTTTCGTTGACGATGACGTAGACGAAAACAAAACTGTGCCGAAATCAAGAAGAAGTGGTCTGATCTAAAGGTGGAGGCAAAGAAAAAAGTGGCTTTGCACCATCAGAGCGTGGCGGCGACAGGTGAGAATAAAAAAAAACATGCACGTGTGACACTCGTGCATGTGTTCAAAAAAAAAAAACGCTCCGTTATCCACCGCTGCTTATGTGGTGAAAGTTCGTAAACCAAAAAGATTTAGTCATATTAATCTTAAAACAAATGCATGTAAATGGAATTTGTTTTTTTGCACATTTGTAAATTCAAATTGGCAAACTATCTACACCGCCACAGTGGGGTCTGCGCTTTCTGCGAGCATCACTGCCTGGTACGGCAGCTGCAGCTCTCAGGACAGAAAGGCTGCATCGAGTCATCCGTTGTGCTGAACGCATCACCCGGACTATTCTCACCTTGCTCCGATTGTCTCCAAAAAGTGCGTAAGCAAGGTGTGGAGTTTGCTTAAAGTTGCGCACATTCCTACACTAGTTTTTCTTTTATAAATCCCAACTCTTGCGTAAGAAGTGGCGTACGCAATTTCTAGCCAGGTTTTGTGCGTAAGCAAGCTTTATAAATGAGGCCCCAGGGCATTATCTGTGGCTATAGAGTGGCTTTTTGGTTGAGGTTTGCACGTGGAGATGTAGACCACTGTGAATTGCTGTTGTGCTGTAGTTACTAAAGTTGGTATAACTAGAGAAGCAAACGGTCGGCAACATTCATCTCTCGAGGGGGTATCGAACTCTGTGTTACAGTGTGTTTGACCATAACTTCAGAGTACTAATCTGTTTCAAGTCACAAACTTCTTTTAGGATTGTTTTTCAGGTACCCAGTTGTGTCTAATAACCCTAAAATATCTATTTAAGTATCCTTGTTTGTTAACTGTCCCATAAAGAATCTGTCCCAATTTAAATATTCATATATAGATACCTTTAAATGTTTGTTGTCTCTGTGTCTACACTCTCTCTGTTTTAAGTCCCCTTTAAGGTTTTTGACATAAACAGTTTGTGGTGTGAACTGTGCTGCACTAACATGTAAGAAGATCTGTCAGAGATAAAGAAACTGAACCTCCTTCACTGGAGGCCTCCGCTATGATTAGATCAGAGGCAAGAAAAACCTAATCAATAGGAGGATCAGTGCCGCTGCAGCCCATTAGGACTCATTAATAATTCACCGTTTGGACAGAGAGCAACCTTCATCATGAACTGAACACACGGAGATATCTCGACTTCCTACCTGAGACAGGTGAGGCCAAACCTCTTCTACCTGCCGCACTGACTGACATGTTGTGTAATTAAATCATCCTGCATTCCTGCCTCTTTACCAGCTGACACTTGGTGACAGAAGAGGATGATCGAAGACAAACACCAGCGGGAAGCGGATTAGAGGACCAAGCTGCTACAAGTCTGCAGAGCCCTGCACAAACAGGAACTAAAGGTGGAGGACAGGTAGTCTTCCTGAACACAGGGTCTCACCTGGTGAAGAGGAGGATGAAAGAAAAAAAAAAGACCCAACTAGATTTTAAAAAGTCCTAGAGCTTTATATATTAGATACACTGTATGTATTCAGTCTTTTGGTATCCATTTTTAGGTACCATGGAGAATCTTTACAAAGGATGAAGGTTTTAAAGATTTTAGTCATTCTTGAGTGTCATCTTGAATTTGGTCAAAGGAAGTCCTTAGCATCCATTTTTAAGTACTTTTTAGTATTTGTTCAAGTGAGCATTTTGTTTTTCTATGATCTTCTATAGGGTGTGTTTTCAGGTACCTTTGGGGTCAATTTTGTAGGAACTTTGTGGCAAAGTTGCTCTTTACCACAATCTTTGCCTTTGGGGTCTGTCTTTGGGTACCTTAAAGCAAATTTTTAAGGGTTCTTCTACATACTTCTAAGGGTCTGTTTTGAGGTACCCTTTTGGTGTCAGTTGTTTTGGTCTATGCTACTGTTCCTCTTCAACATCCTGTTTTAATATTTATTTTTAGGTACCTTTTACAACCCATTTTAAGTTTAATTTTTTTAGGGCAGTTTTAAGTCTGGTTCAGATACCCTCAGGAGTGCGTTTTAAGGTACCTATTTGTATTTGAAGTTGTCTTGCATACTCTTCAGCGTCGGTTAAAAATGTTTGAATTACTCTCCAGGGTTCTGTTTCAAGGAACCCTTTGGAGTCAATTTTTTACAAGCTAACATCTGCCTTTAGCCTTCTGGAGCCATTAGCATCTTTTAAAAAGTGTTGCGCAGGTGTTTCAGTGTGTGTGTGTGTTAGCTGTTTTAAGGTACCTTAAGTTCTGTTTTACTTTTAGGGCCTTACACACTGGGGCCGACGCGAATATAGAACGCAAAATTACGAAATATTCAGAGGCGAATTTTGATGCACCTGACTATACACATCAAGTCTGATGCGATTTTGCGACTTTCCGGGGGGAAAAAAGATGTGTCCCAGGTGGAAGCGAGAAGACAGACACAACAGCAGACTGACTGTATTTCAGTTCTGATTAGACACTAGTGTTGAGATGGCTGTCTGTCATGATAGCATGTACTGAGTCGGGGCCAGTACCAGATAAGGACATTAAACTATAATCCATAAACGTAAGGTAACAACCGAGACCTAATGGTGCTGTGACAGCAACGTGATTGAGTTTGAGACAGTGAAAATATATATGGTATGTTGTATCTGAACAGGTTAGCTTACGAGCTAAAGTTACTTAGCACAGATGAAAGTTAAAACAATGACGTTGAGCAAGCTCTTAATGCACACAAACCATCGTCATATGAGAAAGCCGACGCTATGACTCTTCACAAGTTGTCCTTCAGGTCGTTATCTTTTAATGTTTGTGTCTTTCATCAAAAAGCACTCTGTTCTCCGACACGTAAACAATCAGCCAATCGGCCATGTTGGATATACCGGTGAATCAGACGTCGCAACAAAATGAAATCTGATTGGTCAGAAGTGGACACACAGAATGCAAAACTTAAGAAAAATCGACCATGATCTGAAAAAATAAATGCCGCAATATCGCAGGACAGGTAAACATTGCTGATGTGAACGCTTGTATTGACAGGATAGGGGTTCGAAAAAGCCATTAGCCATTAACACAGTGTTTTTGTTAAAAGTTGTCTTTTATTTTAAAAAAAATTAGATTTCCTCTAATAAGATTTGACTCAAAGCTGCAGTCAGGTGCCCGTTAAATGTATGAAAATGTTTTTACCAGAGCAACTTTCCAGTCAGTGGTATCTCTGTTGAATCTGACCCCAGAGGATGAAAACACCAGCATCCTGTTCATCAGACCATCACAGGATTAGGATCCTCAGGAGGGTCTTTGTCAGATCAAACAGGACCTGAAGGAGACCTTGTGGGAAATCCTTGTGTTGTTAAAGGCTCTGATGAAGTGGATGGAGGAGCGTTACGCAGCGTTTACACCTCAAAGTTTGTTTCTGAGTCTGCAGACGGCTGCAGCTCCTCACAGGTGTTTAAAACAGACACCGATCACTGCAAAGCTGCGGGTATCACAACTTCTAAAGCCTTTTTATGATTTTTTTAAACAAAGAGGCAGAAAGAAATAGTTTGACAACCACAGGAAATTCCTGCTCTCTTATTCTTCTGTGAGAAACTGGGATATTAATTATTTTCTGAGTGCAGTTACTGATAATTATTCCCTCTGCGTCTCTGCTGCAGTGTGTGTGTTTGCAGGGGAAACATAATCAGCTGCAGGGGGTCCATCTCAGTTTGTGTTTTATTAAATATGACTGTGTTTTCACCTTTGGGCCATCGTACCACAGCAGCGACAGGGCTTTAGTTTTAAACTGCTTCTTTAAAGCACACACACACTCACACACACACACACACACACACACACACACACACACACACACATACAGGAGGCGTGAATGGAGAGGAGCTCCTGTGTGTGTTTGTTTTTATCTTCATGACTCTGGAGTGTTTTCACAGCATCTGATTTACAATGACTCATAATCCACACACTCACACACACACCTGAGCTGTGAGTAATAACGGAGGGAAGTGAAACAGCAGTGAGTGTCTCAGCTGTGTGATGTTGTCTAAACCTCAGAGTCATCTCCACAGGTTTTACCGTCTGATTCTTTCATGAGTCACAAAGTGAACTTAAGCTCCAGTCCCAAAAACACTTTTTATTCTTTGCCACAAGACGTTTTAATATTTAACGGCTCTGGCAGATTTTAAAAAATCAGTTCACATTTTTCTGGAGGAGACGGTTCAGACAGGATTTGTTTTTTTATTTTTGGCAGATTAAAAAAATCATTAATAAAAAAAAAAGCTGCATTTAGCTGGAAAGAAGCAAAACATGACATTTAGACAAAATAAAATTGTAATATTCTGCTTTTCTTTGTTAATTTAACATTTCTGACTGTAGATTTTTCTCTGAGGCAAAGTTTTGTTTCTCACATTTCTATAAAGTTGTCCTGATTGTTAAATCTAACTTTGTCTAACTTTGTCTTTGTTTGAAAAAAAAACAAATTTAAAAAAATAAATAAATAAAAATTTATCCTGCACAGAAATTTCCAAGAGAACCAACAGCGACTATGGTGGCTCTGGAGGTCCACTGCAATAACATTTGATGACCACTAAAACAAACAAATTTATACATTATAATCCCCCCAAAAATAGTGTTTTGTGAATCAGTTTATTTAGTGTTTCTTCTGGCTTTTTTTTTATAAGTCACATTCAGTTTTTGTTTTTTAAAACATGTTTATTTCTGCTGTAACATTTTAACATGGGGCTCTATGGGGACTGACTCACTACAGGACTCGCCTCCAGTGGAGAGGAGAGGAACTGCAGATTTTGGACCTCTGATTAAAGGATGGACCTCATTTCAAGCAGAAACATACACTTTACTTAGATTAAACGTCCTTTCACACTGGGACTGTTTTTTAACAAAAACACTGTGTTAATGGCTAAGGGTCCTTACACAGCGGGACCGTTTTTTTCGTGCGAATATTTCAGACGTCAATATTTTTTTTCAAGCCCGTATCCTGTCAATACAAGCGTTCACATCAGCAACGTTTTCCCGTCCTGCGATACTGTGGCATTTATGTTTTTGGATAATTTTTCTAAGGTTTCTTATACTGTGTGTCCACTTCTGCCCAATCAGGTTGTGTGTTGTTGCGACGTCTGATTCACCGGTACATCCAACATGGCTGAACGGCTAATTGTTTATGTGTCGGAGAACAAAGGGTTTTTTGATAAAAGACACAAATATTACAAAGATAATGACCTGAAGGACAACTATGTATTTTCACTGTCTCAAACTCAATCGTGTTGTTGTCACAGCACCATTAGGCCTCGGTTGTTACCTTACGTTTATGGATTATAGTTTAATGTGCTTATCTGGTACTGGCCCCGACTCAGTACATGCTATCATGACAGACAGCCATCTCAACACATCTCAACCCCCCCGGAAAGTCGTAAAATCGCATCAGGCTTGATGTGTATAGTCAGGCGTGTCAAAATTCGTCTCCGAATTTATAATATTGCGTCGTACATTTGCGTTGATCCCGGTGTGGAAGGACCTTTAGCAGTAAAAGAAAGGACAAACTTTAGGTCAGCGCTGATAAAGTTACTTTGAATTCTTTCTCAGTGTGAACTGTCTTTGAATGAAGTTCGTAAAGTTTTAGGAGGCTAATTAGGAAAAAATAAACTTTTTTTTTCCTCTTCTTGTTCCAGCTTCATCTGTTCTTCAGTTCATATTCCTTCTGATAAAACTTAGCCGCACTGAACTCAAACCATGAAACAAGAAGCTGATAGAGGACAGTCCAACAGCATCCTCTCTGTTTCTGTCTCTAAGGCTATGTTCACACTGCAGGTCAATTCCGATTTTTTAACCATATGTGACACACATCTGATTTTTTCATGTAAGTGTGAACAGTGCAATTCTGACTTTTTCAAAACCGACCCAGGACTCTTTTGTATTTGGATATAAATCGGATATGTATCCGATGTGACTGCAGTGTGGACATTCAGGTCGCGTTCATCCGACCTATACGTCATCAATTTGCGACAAACGTCACCATTGTTCGACAACACAAACAGGCGCAGAAAGCAATTTGTGCTTTGTGCACATGTGGGTCACTTCACCGACGCATTCCATTCACATTCGATGCCGCATTCGTTGATGTAATGTGAACGACCGCACAAAAAGATCGGATTTAACAAAAAATCCGAATTGTGCATCATAACCTGCAGTGTGAGCATAGCCTAAGAGTAATGTCTGAACTCTTCATGTGTTACCAGTTTCCCCAGATGTTCACACACCAGTTTGATCCCATTCAGTTAGTGTGGAAAAACAGCCAGAAATACATTTCTAAATTAGCCGATGATTGCAAGCTTTTTCAAGATAGATAAATACTTCATTTTTATTGTATCTTTTATTGTACGTGTTGAATATTTTATCTTTACTTCAGAAAAAGTGAGAAAACAAACCTTGAATTCAAACCAAACTTACAACTTTTTGTTTACAGACCAAAAACCTCTTTCTGGTCCAACTGGCACCAAAATATTCTGAATATTTTAACACATTAATGAAATATTTGTAAGGGCATTTTGAGAGGTTATGTAAGTAAACAGCTACTATTTAGAAAGAACAGTAGATTTCATCTGATACTTAATTTGTCCTGCCATCCTTATTTATAAATTTTCAAAGGAAACTAAGGCTTTAAATTCTCATTCACTCACACTATCAGACAGAATTTTAATAGTAGTGTCACACATGGTGGATAAAAACAGTCTTTTTTCAGTTAGTGTAGATGCGTTGGTGCGTAATGCGCCAATGTGTGTCCTCATTTCTGTGCGCCCACCTCTCCACTCCCGTCCAATCAGAGCGCAGAGCTTTCAGAGCAGCGAGGAAAGACCTCTCCTGGCTCATATTTCTCAGTGATTCCTCTTTTGGTTTTTTCCTCCTCCCTCTTCTCACCCCGCACCGCCCGCACTGCCCCGCTTCTCCATTAGCGTGCTCCACGGACTCCTGACACCGCTACAGCATCACCGGCACCGGCACCGGGGGACGGTCAACGGACTATTCGGACCCTGTGGCTGGAAGCGGGTTCACTCCGCAGCTCACCGTAAGTCCCCGTTAATGGGTCTCTTTCATATTTTTTTCCTGACGAGCCGGAGTTCACACATTGACAGCGACCGTCCACTTACATCTCAAAACCCCGTTTAGAAATTTGTTGATTTTAGACTTTTTCACTTTGCGCTTGAAATACACAGCTCCTGAAACTCTACATGATATTATGTGGATCTACGCAACACAGTGGGTAACACGGCGTGTTTACTGAACTAAAAAAAGCTGTGCTGTTGGCTTAATTAGAACTTAATGAGCGGAGCAACGCGACTCAGCGCAGTGCAGCCGGGGAATTTCTGTCGTAGAAGTGCAACAGATTTCTGATTGTACTGTCAGAGTTGGAGCTGCAGAATGTTTTGTTTGTACGCCGAATTAGTCAACCTGTCAAGATGAAGAAGAAAATCTCTTTAATCATTTCATAAAACAACACTTATTTACCTTTAAGTCAATTCTTCTAAAATTAGTAGAATATTCAATGGCGTTTGGCGTGACTTTGGCTTGACGCGCTGCAAACAGGATTCCATTCGTATCTGCAGCAAAACTCATCACTCGAATGTTTATTTATTATTTTAAAGCTTTAGAGTGAGCAATATTATTACATGATGGTTGCATATGTTTTGTATATTTCAGAATTTTTATGTTTCTATTTTGAACAAATCAGCTGGTTTGGTTAGTGTAAACAAAACCTTGTGGTAAAGCGCCCATTAAGGTTAGGGGTTTTCAGCCTAATGTAAAGCAGAACTTCAACTACTGAATTGATATCTGCCTGTTCGTGCTCTAATAGCAAATATCCCTTCAGAAAATCACCTTGTTGTTTTCCCCATGTTTGATATTGTTGCTGTCTTCTTATATTCCTCCAGACATGTTTCATAAAGCTGGTTTTTCCCTGGTCTGTTTGTCTCCATTAGATCTGCTGTCTCTGTGCTTAGGGTGACAGACAGTGTGAGCTTCAGTTTAATGGACAGTGAGTGTAGAAATCAATAAAACACCACCAGGCAAGTTTGGATGACTCTAATATTCATGATGCAGAACCTGCTGCGCACAGACCGCTGTTCAGAGACCGGTTTTGGATCAGCAAAGAAAACAAAATAATGGGCGTATGAGTTTGTGTTTAAACCTGTTAAAACTTTGACAGTCCGTCCTGCTCCTGCTGCAGGGATGATCATTGAATTCTCACAGTAGGCCTGGGCGATTTGGCAAAAAAAAAAAAAAGATCCCGATATATTTTGTCATATCATCCGAACTCGATTATTATCATGATTTTTTTTTTTTTAGTGCCAGTTTTAAAGCATCTGTACTAAAAACTAAAGAAACTAGAGATTAGTTCAACATTTTATTAACATACAAAGAGGATAACAAAGAATAAGATACACTTAGAAAAATATTAAAACCATTTTAACGCAACAGTACAACAAATGTAGAAAAATACTAAATAATACAGTGAACTAGTTTTACAGTCCTGAGTGTTTTTGCAGGTATGCAAGACCCAAAATAAATCGCCCCCTTAGAGATAAAGAAGATGCCTTAAAATGTCAACATTAGATGATGTAAACGTAGATGATACAACTGATTGCTGCTTTGGTCTGGAGGTGGCACCGCTAGTTGTAGCTAAACTGCTAATGCTAGCTGTGCCGTCAGCAGTGTCAGGCTGTGCAGACTCCACTCGTATTTTCATGCTTTCCACATAATCACTAGGGAAGTGCTTCTTCAAATGATTACACAGATTTGTTGTGTTGCCAGTTTTTGAGGGCATCGACCGCTGACATACCTTACACATCAGCTTAATTACTCAACGTCACTTTGGAGATACCCGAACCACCGCCACACAACCGACGTTGAATAACTTTACTTCTCCTGTTTACTTCTCCGGCAACTTACAGAAGTGAGCAGGAAAAGCTCGACTCTGATTGGCTGTTGTGACGCACATTTCCGCCATGTTTGATATGTTCACAGCTGATCACTGTGATCGAACTGAAATTTATCACAATCATCAATCACGATCATATAATTGAAACTTCAAATCTACAAAGGCTGTCGGATAGGGGATGGGAATCGAGAACTGGTTCCAAATAGTTCAATCCATCAACATCATTAACATTTTATCATTATCATTAACGATTCCCATAACGCTTCCTATCTTCTGGGTGCTTTAAAAAACGGTCTTGCCAGTCTACGCAAACCACAGAAAGAAAAACATGGCGGATGGTACGAAAAGTAGGCAGAAACGATTAGAAGTGTGGCTTCATTTTACTAAGAAAGATGACAACAGCGCAACGTGCAATGTTTGACAAGCAGTGAAAACATGCTTTCAAAACATGTCGCTGGTGTTTCCACCAGCGACATGCTTAAACATTTGTCAACGGGGCACAGCATCAAATATTAAGGAGTCACATGTATTGGCATGCATGCACTGTCTTTGGGAATTTTTGGGAAAACACTCGACCCAACCCCAAAAAAACTCAAAATTTTGCGCACAACGCCACCCCACATAGCAGTGTCCTTTTTTGGGGGGATTTAGAATATGGTCACCCGAACATATGTCCTGTGTTAACATGAGCACAATGCATGCCAGACTTAGCAACGTATGTGTTTGGCGTATGCTGCATTGGAGTTACCTCGGAAGTCAGATGTTGGGTTACTAGCGTTTCAGTTACCAAGTCAGAAAAAAGCAAAATCGGAGGCGGAAACAAGATGTTGCAGAAGGACTGCATATTTGACCAGAGGTTGCTTATATTCAGACAAGGCAAGCGCTAAAAATAACTTTTGTAGATGTAGCCATCTTTTTTCTGCCTCTGATTCTCCAGCGCCGACATCTGACCTCCTTGGTAGCTCGAACAGAGCATTAATAATGACCCAAGTAAATGCTGTAAAAATAGTTTGCTGTTTGATTATTTTCAGACTCTCACAGAAGGTGGCATACATCTTTTTTTCAGTGAAATTTTGAGTTAACAGTGAAAATGTCTACTTGTTTTTTTAAATCAAAGAAAGGCGTTGAAAAGAAAATCATTAAAGAATTGAATCAACAAGCAGAATCGATAACATCAATATCGATAAAATTTCATCAATTCCCTTCCCTACTGTCGGATCATGCTCAGTTTGTCTGTGATCCATCTTAACATGTCAGAACGGGTTTATTCCCCTTTTTTCAGTGTAGGTGCTCCTAATGATGAATTCAGACTCTTTTTGTAGATCAGATCTAAATCTGACTCTGTCGGCTCCTAAAGAGTGACATGCACATCATGCTCCTGCCTCAGTGTAAAAACTGTCTCTGACACAGCACTGCAATCATGCTGAGGAGTTTAGTAATGCTATCGTGATAATGCAATAGTTTGGGGGAATCATTTTTAAAAATAAACGTCCACATTTAACATAAATACTAGGGCCCGACCAATTTATCGGTGAGCCGATTAAATCGTCCAATTTTAGCCCGTGTGAGACTAATCAGTAATCGTCCAAAACTCACAGATTTTCGTCGATATTTTCAGAAATAAAATGCAGAGAATAAGATTCGGTTTCACTTTGAAAATATTCTGCCATTTGAAAAGTTCCCCGACTTATCCTGTAGATGGCGCAGCGACCTCATGACAATCTTCATCCATTAGTGACGGATCTGAAGCAGGCAGCTCAGGGACGCACGGAGGAGAGTGGTCCGCCTCAACGGTAAATAAACCAGTTTGTGAAATACACAATAAGTCAACAAGTTTCAGTTCAACCCACTTCACCATGTTCCCTGCTGTACTGGTCTCGGTCATGCCGAGTTAACGGTGAAGCACCATGTAATATGCAGCTAAAGTTAGAGTTAGCCACCTGCTATTAGCCTTGCTACACTGTTAGCCGTGCCAGTAACGGTAGAATAGACAACAGTACACATTACGTGATCGAGCTACTTCTCTTACTGAGGGAGTTGCATGTCTCCAGATGAGGCTGGACCAAAAATATATAATGTGAGTTAAGACGCGGAGGCACCGATCGGCGTCGGCGGCGGGGGGGTTGAAAACGCTTTTCTGATCCAAGTTTGATCAGTCGGTCTTCCTGTCAGCGTGAGGATATCTACAGTGTGTATACTGTATTTTTTTATAACTTTATGACAATTTTAAAAATCGTCCGATTAATCAGATTTTTTCCTCCCTTAATAATCAGTATTGGCATCGGCCCCAAAAAATCCATATCGGTCGGGCCCTAATAAATACTAACAGACAAACAGACCTGTATCTGCAGAGCTCCTCAGTCCTCCAAAACAAACTCCTAATGACAAACTCAGACACCCTGCTGTCAATAACATGAGCTCATTTTTTAGGTCAGAGTTGGTTCATAATTCAACAAGTTTGTAGAAAGCTTTATTTTTTCTTCTCCCTTTTCTAATTTTTTTCTTAATTATTACATTTATTTAAGTTCTTAATATTAGGACCCTGTTATAACTGCATTTTTGCACTTTTTGTCTTGTCTGTGATGCTGCTGTGACAAAAAAATTTCCCCCATGGGGGATCAATAAAGGAATATTCTATTCTATTCTATTCAGTGTGGTTGAAGTAAGATGCAGTGATTTAAATAACCTTTAAAGAAGCAGGTCCACCTTAATGAAACTCTTATTTTCACTGTATTGATCTTTGGTGATGCTGCAGAGGGCTGCGAGCTGAGCTGCCACAACAAGATGCACAGTAACTTGCTGTCTTTACATTTTTAGATCGATGCATATTGAGTAAAGATTATTAAAACTCCTGAACCACAGCTGTGGTTCTCCAGCATGAATTTGGTGGTTAAACTGTACTTGTTCCCTGTTAAAAAGTCAAAGTGTAGCTCCTTGTTTTCTTGTCCGAGTTTGTGTGTCTCTCAGAGTTCATTAAACTCTGATGTGTTACAGATCAAACCGCCCTCGGCTGCAGCTGAACGCCGACTCTGTGAATTCATTTGAGCTGCGATTACTTCTGGCCTCTGCATGGCTCGCCTCCCTTCGCCTCGACTCGCTGCAGGCTCTTTTTTTACTCGCTCTCGTCTTCCACTTAGCCTACATGCTCAGAAATAGAAGGCAAAAGGCGGAGGACAAAGTTGAGTTCATGCACGAGTATTTAAATTCAGTCAGTGTGACTCGGTCTGTGGAAATATTCAGGAGAATGAATCTATTCTGCTGCTTTTACTGACTTAAAACCCTGAATATACTCCAAACTGAGTGTTTTTGGACTTATCTGAATGGTTATCTAAAACCTTTGATTGGATTGACTGCAGGAATAAAGGACAGAAAGTGATTTAAGTCTCTTTGTGTCTTTGATAAAAGAAGCTCAAAGATGCTCTTCTCTCTGTAGTTTCTCAGACTCAGCTTCAGGTCAAGCCTCAGGGTCTTTTCTCAGGGATCAGCTGAACATTTCCCGGTATCTAAATCCTCTTTTAGAGAATTAACAAGCTTCCAGATTAACCTTTTCTTAAACTAGTCAGTCATTTCTTAAGGAGCTGAACCTTTTTTAAAAAAAAACAGAAACAGGTTTGACATCTTTCTCTACAGAGAATCCAGACTTCATTCATGAAAACTTTGATTTTTCTCCCTGAAAAGAGAAGTTGCTGCTCTGCCTTTGCTGTGGATTGTGGTTGGCTTTATGATAAATCCATGTCAGAAAGAGGAGATTCATATTTAAATGTTAGAAAGCTGTGAGAGATCCTGGTCTCAGTGAGGATCAGCAGATGGTTTCTAAAAATGGGCTGCAATCACGCCTGCTCAGGTGAGAAGGAGCTGAGAGGAGTGAGATTATCTGCGATGTCTGCAGGAGAGCAGAAGTTTAGAGATGACGGTGTCTACTCTAAAGTGAGGATTTAGGAGAGTTTGGAGGAAGTGTTTCTCCAGCAAAAAAAGAAGTGATAACTAGATACTTTTGGCGTGACATATGCAAATGGACAAAATGGGTGAAAACAGCGGAATAACTCTGTAACCGTGCGTCTTGGAAAAAAATCCATGCGTGCAAGTTCAAAGATCTCGTTAAGACACACGTGCCTGTAAAATTTCAGGCAGATCGTAAGAAGTCGACGTTCCTGACGCTCTGTAGGAGGCGCTAGCGAGCCATTTTTTATCGCTTTTTTTGGGGTCACTTTATAACCATGCGATTTTCACCGGGCCTGACCTGCCTGCAAATTTTCATGAGTTTTCGAGGTCGTTCAGGGGTTCAAATTTGCGTTTTGGAGGCAGTAAAATGATAATAATAATAATAATTACAATAATGATAATAATAATAATCAAGAACCCCTTGGATTACAATAGGGCTTCGCTGCAGAGCTGCGATCTCAGCTCGGGCTCTAAAAATAAGAAAGTAACACTGAAGACTGATTCATAACTGTCTAAGAGGATTCTGCAGAAACTTGAGTTAGTTTTACATTTTACTTTTACCGTGGTGCACTTCACAATCTAAGCAGATCGTCTCTCTGCAGTAATACATTTATTTTTATTAATATTGCATCATTAATCATTATTATTATCTATTATTATAAACAAGTCCTAGTGCAGAAGCAAAGTCTGATGAGATCAGGTTGCTACTCTTTAGCCGCAGCTCCACATTCGACTCTTCGACCCCACCTCAGTGCAGCAGATATTTAAAATATTCAGTTCACACCAAAATAACTCTTCTTAAAAATCTATTAAGAATTCATGGAACTCCAAAGACTCATTAAACTAAAAAAAACTTGTCCCTGCAGCTTTATTTCGAAATAATCTGCAGTCTTATTTAGAAATATTGTGCAGTATAAGGACCTCTCTCCTCTCCTCTAACTGAAACATCAGCTGATTAAATTGAGGGTCTGACGTGTAAATTTGTCAGCTCGCCTCACTCAGTTTTCCATCAGATTTCTGCTGCGTCAGACTCTGAGCAGAGATCTAAGTTTAGCGACGTTTCTCCTCCTGTTCCTCCTCCTGTCTCCTTTTTTCTCCCTTCTGGAGGTCAGAGGATGTTGTACTTTCCCCCCCTCTGGTCTCTGGGATGAAGTCGAGCATAGTTACAGAGATTCTGAATCATGTATCGTCACTCTCACCTGCTCTGTTTCACCTGCAGGTTCAGGTGTGAAAGGTTTTTCAGATTTGAACGCAGGTGTTTGAATTCTCAAGAGATGCGACTGAATGAAGAGAGCAGCTTTCATCATTTGACCTCTCAGATTTAAAAATGAGGTGATTTAATCTGAAGGTTTTTTCTTATATCTGTAGCTTCCTGAAATAAAAATCTGCTCTGTGATTATCTTAAACTTGATATGAAAACTTTTGTTAAAAATTCAGATTTTCTTGTTTAATAATTGCAATCAGATAGTTTGATGTTCTTTTTTGCAACACAATGTAAAAAACCAAAAGACTTAAGAAAATCCAGAAACGAAAGTGAAAATAGATTAGAGAATAAATGATAAATCCCTCAATTAAACTTCAGAGGTAGCACTTCAATAATAAAACTCAAATAGATAAACTGTTTAGTAGTGGTGGGAATCACCAGTGGCCCCACAATATGATATTATCATGATGCTTTGGCCACGATACAATATTATTGCGATTTTTGACATTTTGCAGTACAGTGAATATTGCGATATCATATATTGTGAACTGTTTAGCTAATTTAGCATTTGTCTTTCCTTTATGTTTGTCTTATTTACACAGTATTTTATTTTCATGTAGCACATCTTGCAAACCTTCTGTGTCAGGTCCATCTCATTCGTGCTCTGTTTGCATTCCTAATGTCTTTCCCAAGGTGCTGCTATATTTGTTGTACAAACTGTCACCTCTGCCAACCCCACCGGACAAACCTTTGATTTTATTTAGGGCCCAATCGATTTATCGGCAAGCCGATTAAATCAGCTAATTTTAGCCCATTTGAGACGAATCGGTAATCGTCCAAAACTCACAGAGTTTTGCAGATATTTTCAGAAATAAAATGCAGAGAATAAGATTCGGTTTCACTTTGAAAATGTTCTGCCATTTGAAAAGTTCCCCAACTTATCCTGTAGATGGCGCAGAGACCCCATGACAATCATCCACTAACTACCTCGCAGCACAGCAGAGTGACGGATCTGAAGCAGACAGCTCAGGGACGCACGGAGGAGAGTGGTCCACCTCAACGGTAAATAAACCAGTTTGTGAAATACACAATAAGTCAACAAGTTTCAGTTCAACCCACTTCACGATGTTCCCCGCTGTGCTGGTCTCGGTCACGCCGAGTTAACGGTGAAGCACCATGTAATATGCAAGCTGAAGTTAGAGTTAGCCACCTGCTATTAGCCTTGCTACACTGTTAGCCGTGTCAGTAACGGTAGAATAAACAACAGTACACATTACATGATTGAGCTACTTCTCTTACTGAGGCAGCTGCATGTCTCACGGCACAGATTGATGGGGGTAGTTGAAAACGCTTTTCTGGTCCGAGTTTCATCAGTCAGTCTTCCTGTCGGCATGAAGAACAGTAGCCTATCTGCAGTATACCGGATACTGTAGATATCAACAGTAGATATATATTTTTGTAACTTTATCTTAAAATTAAAAAAAATCAGCCGATTAATCAGTTACTGGAATTTTTTCCCCCCTCATAGTCGGTATCGGCCCCCAAAAAATCCATATTGGTCGGGCCCTAATTTTATTTTTTCATTATCATTGATTTGACTTCATATTTACAATTAATTCGTAAAATTGATACTTGGTAAATGAGACGATACGATATATCATCAGAAAAAACATTGTTATACTATGCTGTATCAATATTTTCTCCCACCCCTACTGTTTCTACTCTCTGCATCAGAGACCAGATTTCTTCCTAATTTATCTGAATGTTTTCCTGTTCATTGATAGCATGACTGTGTTGCTCAACTTGGCTTGAATACGGTGGCCCTAAACTGTCAACTGTACAGATCTCAATAATAATAATGAGAAATAAGTAGAATACCAAAAATATAATGGTGGAAATTTTCTTATAACACAAAGAAGATTTCGTTAACAGCAGAAATATTTCATGAAATGCAAAAATATTTCAAAAGGCTGGAAATACTTTGCAAAGCAAAATTGTCAAAAACCAAAAATAATGTTGAGCTATTCGAAAATATTTATATGTGATGTTTTCTCAAATGGGTTTGCTGCAGGTGGGGTAGAGCTTCTTGAGAAATCAAAATCAGATTGAAGCAGGTAAACATTTCCATGACAACACAGAAATCATGGCCCCGTCTTCAACTCTGATAGTTTCCTGCAGTGGTCAGTCAAAAAAAGGACATGTTTGAAAACAGAAGCAGAAATGTCTCTGCACTAAATGCTGATGTTTAAAATGTTTTCTCGGATCTCTGTCCTCCCCATCATGAAGTCACCTTGTCTGTCTCCCTGCAGCAGCATCACCCCCCATCCATCCACCCCCCCACCCCCCACACACGAAATATTCCTCTTCCTCTGGGGAAATACAGACTCTGCTGACGTGTTGTTTCCTTCTGACGTTGAACGCATAATTAAATTTCCGATTAAAACCAGGTTTGTTATCACGTTCAGATGCCCGAACTCTGGACTCTGTTGCTTTTGGCTTTGACTCGACTTTAAATCCAAACATGAGGCATCAGAGGGAGATCCTAGAGAAATCTAGAAAAACCATCCTATGAAGTCTGTTTCTCACCTCCAGCAGCAGCAGATCTGGCTCTGACACTCAGGATCAGCCCTCGTCGCTCTGTCCTCATTTAGTTGTCCTGTCAGGAGCGATCACGGAGAGTCGGGGTCGCCTCTGCAGAGTTTGTATCCTCAGTTAACCTCTACACTCCAACATCCACCTCCAGGCTGCGGCTGCACAGACAGAGAATCAGGTAGAATTAGTGGAGAGTGAGCACGATGATGAAGATTCTGCAGGACAGAAATATCCCAGCAGACCTTAAATGCCACACAAATATACGAGTCTTTTAAATATAGCTGTATAAATTCTCTGAGTACGTGTGTTTGCTGCACAAGTTAAATGAAGACAAGTTTTGCAAGTGACCAAATTTTATTCCTTTTTCAAGTTATGTTATTTTTTGTTTCAAAAATCTGAAACCTGCTTGAGAAGCTAAACATACAAAACCCAATTCCACTGAAGTTGGAAAATTGTGATAAACGTAAATAAAAACAGAATACAATGATTTGCAAATCCTTTTCAACCTATATTCAATTGAATACACTACAAAGACAAGATATTTAATGTTCAAACTCATAAACTTTATTGTTTTTTTTGCAAATAATAACTCAGAATTTGATGGCAGCAACACGGGACAAAGAAGTTGAGAAAGGTGGCAAAAAAAATGAGAAATTTGAGGAATGCTCATCAAACACCTATTTGGAACATCCCACAGGTGAGCAGGCTCATTGGGAGCAGGTTGGTGCCATGATTGGGTATAAAAGCAGCTTCCCCAAAAATTCTTAGTCATTTACAAGCAAGGATGGGGCGAGGTTCACCACTTTGTGAACAAATAGTCAAACAGTTTAGGAACAACGTTTCTCAAAGTACAATTGCAAAGAACTCAGGGATTTCAACATCTACGGTCCATAGTATCATCAAAAGGTTCAGAGAATCTGGAGAAATCACTGCACGTAAGCGGCACGGCTGGTAACCAACATTGAATGCCCGTGACCTTCGATCTCTCAGGCGGCACTGTATCAAAAACCAACATGTGCAAGTTAAAACTCTACTATGCAAAGGGAAAACCATTCATCAACAACATCCAGAAACGCCGCCGGCTTCTCTGGACCTGAGTTCATCTAAGATGGACTGATGCAAAGTGGAAAAGTGTTCTGTGGTCTGACGAGTCCACATTTCAAATTGTTTTTGGAAATAGTGGACATCGTGTCCTCCGGGCCAAAGAGGAAAAGAACCATCCGGACTGTTATCGACGCAAAGTTTAAAAGCCAGCATCTGTGATGGTATGGGGGTGCATTAGTGCCCAAGGCATGGGTAACTTACACATCTGTGAAGGCAACATTAATGCTGAAAGGTACATACAGGTTTTGGAGCAACATATGCTGCCATCCAAGCAACGTCTTTTTCATGGACGCCCCTGTTTATTTCAGCAAGACAATGCCAAGCCACATTCTGCACGTGTTACAACAGCGTGGCTTCGTAGTAAAAGAGTGCGGGTACTCGACTGACCTGCCTGCAGTCCAGACCTGTCTCCCATTGAAAACGTGTGGCGCATTATGAAGCGTAAAATACGACAACGGAGACCCCGGACTGTTGAACAACTGAAGCTGTACATCAAGCAAGAATGGGAAAGAATTCCACCTTCAAAGCTTCAACAATTAGTCTCCTCAGTTCACAAACGTTTATTGAGTGTTGTTAAAAGGAAAGGTGATGTAACACCATGGTAAACATGATCCTGTGCCAACTACTTTGGCACGTGTTGCAGCCATGAAATTCTAAGATTATTATTATTTGCAAAAAAATAAAAATAAAGTTTATGAGTTTGAACATGAAATATCTTGTCTTTCTAGTGTATTCAATTGGAGCTTCAATGGAATTGGGTGTTATAAAATAGTCCAATCAACAATTAAAAGAGAGATCAATATTTAGTTTATGTCAGATTTTGCAAAATAATTACAAAAAAATATATATAACACTAGTAATGTGGAAATATGTTCAAATTGTTTTCTTCACCCTCCTCAGGTTATTTGAGTTCTGAGCATTTTAAAGTTTTTTAATTTTCTTGTTTTTACAAGACTTGAATTCACACGTACTTGAATTCGATGTCTGCTGTTATCCTCCAGAAAGAGAAGCTGCAAAAAGGCTGGGACATATTTCTCATATCCCTCCTTCTTTTGTTTGAGACAATAACACTAATAAACCCAAAGATAAAAGCAGCAACAGATGAGCCACTTTTGTGTTTTATAAGAGATTACTAAAAGAAAAAAAATTATTTCTACAGAAGCATATTGCATTCACTTACAAAAAAAAAAAAAGGAAACTGTTCATTTTGGGTATTTTTTTTCTTTGCTGTCTGTTGGACTAGTTTTTTCTTCTGTTTTTTTTTGTACTATTATATTTTTGCCTCTTTTTCCTCTTTCTTTTTTTCGGGCTATATTTTCCCCTAACTAAGATACTTGAAAATTCCTGCGAGAATCTCATACAATCAGATAATGTTAACCATCGCGGCTTCTCCAAAATAGCAGATTCTCCAGTTCCTGGATAACTACGACTCGGGGGTCAATGAGAGTAAAGCATGTTGTTAGTAAAACATAGGGTATGCAAATCCTGAGGTGCCTGCGCAAAGTAGAAAAACTTATGACAATTCCATCTATCTGACTTAGAGAAAGGAGTATTTCCCAGTGTCTCAAACCCAAAAGAAAGTAAAACTTGATTAAACTAAACAAGTGGGCCATGTTTGCTTCAAATAAATCGAGCAGAGAGGAATGAAAGCACATGTTTTTAAATGATAATGATCCTAGAGACTGGGGAAAAACAAAAAAAAACTGAAAAACAGAAAAAAATAGTCCTAAGAACAGAAGAAATTACTCTGAAAAACAGAGCTTATTTTTCTATCAGTTTATTTTTGTGAATGCAGTTCACCTCTGTAGATTTCAGCACCAGGAGCTGTCCACAAATACACAGAGGAAACTTTCTGTGTTTCCAGAAAATTTCAGGACCTTCAAGGGCTAGTATTTTTAGGACTCAGTAGCTGCGTTTCCATTACCCATAGATTTGCGCAAAACCTAAATATCGCAAAAGAAAACTGGTAATGGAAACACCTAAATTTCGAAAAACCTCTCAAATATCGCAAAAAAAATGTACGCTCTCATGAGGTGGTTTTTCAGACGTGTCGATATAGAAGTATATCGCAATAGTGTAATGGAAACACTATTCGCGCAATTTTACGTCACTGGACGTGACGTAGCGGGTCATGTGATCATGCCTCCGAGTGGGAACTGCCTCCCGGAGGCTTGACATGGCGGGTGCCACAAGAGGCTCAATAGCATCACAGTTCATTGAACATATCCCGGGTCATCCTGAAGTTTTGAATCCACAATTCGTCTGTGGATTCCTCATTAACAATCCTCTCCCAGAAATCCCTCATCCGTGTCCGCTCCCATACATATGTGCCTTGCCTTTCAGTATGCTCTTACATTCATGCAGCACTCTGCAAAGATGGTAAACACATTGTTAGTCCTTCTTCTTCCTCCTTACCATTGTCTGCCATCTTTGACACACACTCCTGTGCCTTCTCCTGCTCATATTTTTGAGAAAAAAATAATTGGACAATAAATTCGTAAATCAGGTGATTTTATTCTTTAATATGAGACTTAAATGAAAAATCAAACACAGTGCGAGCTTGTTTGTTGCATAAATTCTGCTGCAAATTACATTTTCTGCATCAGCACTGCATCAGTATATGTGCATATAAATGAGTTGAAGGTTGCAGACATTTGACCCTTCCTCGCAGCAGAGTGTCCCCTTTGGGGCCTCTGTACTCTGGTTTCACCTCCATGTCAATATAGTAGGACAGTGAGAGTGGGAGGGTAAACGACGTCCAGTTAGTGTGTGTGTGTGTGTGTGTGTGTGTGTGTGTGTGTGTGTGTGTGTGTGTGTGTGTGTGTGTGTGTGTGTGTGAGATGGACGTTTCACCCCACAGAAGGAGACAGCCAATCGAACGGCCTCTGTGCCTCCGTAATTCAAAAACACTCCGGGGACTCGTTCGGTTGAGTGTCTGCTAAGAAAAAAACATGCGACACAAGAGAGGATGCCGATAAGAGGCTTTTATTTTGAAGGATACACTGTATTTGCTGTCATACCAGAAAACAAAAATGACTGAGAAAGAAAAATTTATATATATTTATATATATACATATATGGAGAGAGAGAGAGAGATAGATATACACTATATAGACTAAATAGAGAGTAGGGGGGAAAACGTGCAGCAAGTTATCAATGACTCAAAACCACAACCACTGAGAGGACTATAGCCTCCATACATGTGGTGCACCAACCCGCTAGGCTATTTACATACATTAAGATTTATAAATTGATGAAATGGGGGCCAAATTTTTCAAATTTTGGGGTCAAATGGCTCAAAGAACAAGAGTTTTTAACATTTTTTTCTTCCTTTAAATTTCCTCGTCCTGTGGCAGCAAAAGCTAAAGCAGCTCTGAAGGTCAACTGATTAAAAATTTCTGTGAATGCCAAAAGTGTTTTATCACAACCCAAAATATGTAACTCAATCAAACACACCATTGAGCAGGGGTTGGCAAGTAGGCTTGGCCTGGGGCCAGATTTGATCATAGATGCAATATGAAGAGTCAGAAATGCGCCATCTTTTTTTATTTGGAGAAGTGCCATAATCAAAAACTGCCACAGATGTGGTTTTACTCAGGTCTTCTGAAGCATGGATGTAATGAAAATTTGTTGACTAATCACTGACTGTGTATAAGATAAATTAGCCTTTTTGGACCTTGAAATTATTCAGATAGACCTGATGAAGCTGTGAGAAAAATTCAGGTCCAGATTTGAGGACTGTACCATCCCCAAAGACATCATTGCCTTCATCTGCAATACCTAGTGACAAAACACACTGCGTTGATCTACTGCCATGTCATTAGTTCAATAGCTATTTCTGTTAACAAACAGTTGTAGAAGAAGAAGAGGCAGAAGAAGAAAAAGAAGAAGAAGGAGAAGAAGAAGGGAAAAAAGGAAAGAAAAAAATAACAGGAAAGAAGAAAGAAAGAAAGAAAGAAAGAAAAAGGAGGAAGATGAAATGGGGGGAAAGAAGAAAGAAAAAGAAAATAAAGAACAGGTAGAAGAAGAAGAAAGGGGAAGAAGAAGAAAGAAAAGGGAAGTAGAAAGAAAATGGAAGAAGAAGACATGGGGAAAAAGAAGATAAAAGAAAGAGAAGTGAAAAAAGAAAGAAAAACAGAAGAAGAAAAAAGGGGAAAAAGAAGAAAGGAAAAAAAGAAGAAAGGGGGAAAAAGAAGAGGAAAAGAAAAAACAGGAAGAAGGAGAAAGAAGAAGAAATAAAAAGAAGTCAGAAAAAGGAAGAAGAAAGAAAAAAGAAAAAAAAAGAAAGAAGGAAAGAAAAAAAGAAAAAACAAGAAGAAAGGGGGAAAAGAAGAAGAGGAAAGTAAAAAACAGAAAGAAGAGGAAAGAGAAAGAAATATGAAGAAGAAAAAAAGGAAGAAGTAGACAATTGAAGATAAGGAGGAAGAAATAGGGAAAAAGAAGAAAAGAAAAAGAAAAAAAGAGAAGAAAGAAAGAAAAAACAGAAGAAGAAAGGGGGAAAGAAGAAAGGAAAAAGAAGAAGAGGACAGAAAAAACAGGAAGAAGAAGAAAGAAAATGGAAGAAGACATGGGGAAAAGAACAGAAAAAGAGAAAAAAGAAAGAAAAAAACAAGATGAAAGGGGGAAAAGAAGAAATGAAAAAAGAAGAAAGGGGGAAAAAGAAAAGGGGAAAAAAGAAGAGGAAAGAAAAAACACAGGTAGAAGAAGAAGAAATGGGGAAAAGAAGAAAGAGAAAAAAGAAAGAACGAAAATGCAGAAGAAGAAAGGGAAAAGAAGAAAGGAAAAAAAAGAAAAAAGGAGGAAAAAGAATAAAGGAAAAAAGAAGAAAGAAAAGAAGAACAGGGAGAAGAAAGAAGAAAAAGGAAGAAGATAGAAAATGGAAGAAGAAGAAATGGGGAAATAGAAGAAGAAAAGAAAATAAGGGAAAAAAGAAAGAAAAAAAAGAAAATTCTCTAGGTGTACCTGATAAAGAGGCTGGTATAGTTGTATGTACCAAATAAAACCAAATTTAATCCAAATTAACAGTGAAAATGTTACTTTCACAGAGCTACACAAATAAACATTAAGATGAGTGCAGTGAGCAGCCCCTTGTGATTGACTTAAAAATAACAAGAATGAATTAAACATGTTAACTGAGGAAATGTGATTTCAGCACCAGGAACTGTCCGTGATTTCCTCTTCACACATATGTACAGCACAGTATGAGGTCTTCTGTCATGGATGCATCCTCAGAGCTGGAAGTCCTCTGTCTGGTTTGGTAGTGAGTGCATGAAGCAGGGCTGCAGCTGATGACTGTGATGGTAGAATCTCCTGAGAATCTAATGGAGCTGGTCCAAAACTGTTTACTCTTTGAGTCATTTTGACTGCAAACGAACAAACAAAAAAAAGACTGAGAGCAAGATGTTCCCAAACTTTGAGAGATTTTATACTTGATAAATCAGAGGCTCAGATGTAAAAGTTTTAATGTGCATCATCCTCAGAGCTGCATGATGACATTAACGTTCCTCCACAAGCCAACAGAGACATCTCTGCTCCAAGTTTAACCAGCACATCCTGCTCTGATATATTTATGCTCCTTGTTAGTGGATCTCTGAGGTCTGTTAGCCGTCAGCGTGGGGAAATAAAACGTCTGAGTGTGAAGGAGAGAGAGGAGAGAAGACAGCAGGAAGCAGGATGAACGTTTTCTTTCCTTTCTCTAAATCCCCAGCGCTCAGACGATGAGGAGCAAACAGGAGGGATGTCTGCAGCCTACTTTCATACATTTGCATATTTTTCAGAGGCAGTTTTAGAGGAGGGGGTACGAAGAGGAGAGAAGGGGGGAGGGGGCTTAGGGGTCTTACAAGGACAAGCCTAGATGGTTGGAAAGAGGAAGTTAGCGTTTTACATCCTCCAGAGTCAACATGATGAAAATATCTCAGGGAAAAAGAGAAAGTTTCCTCCTTACAGCCCTTCAGTCCTGCTCTCTTCACTCCTGACTGATGCGCTGCTTCTTAAATACATAATAACCATTAATATTGATCAGGAGGATGATGCAGCTATACTGTCATGTTTACAGGAGTGTCAGAGGGGGAGGGGCTGCAGGGACAGGTGGGGGGGCTGCATCTGTTTCTGAAGTCACCTTCAAAGGAGGCAGGTTAGATAATGGAGTAGCATACCTGCAGTGGAGGAAGGATCTAAGGCCGGAGGAGGAAAAATCAGAGCGACACTGATGCAAGAACACACAGTCAAACCTAAACAGACATGTGTAAACACACAAACACACATGCAAAGATAGGTTCTCATTAATGTTTTTGCAAATTACAAATGTTTTTTTTTTAAAACATATTTTTTTTTACCTTTTGCAAATGCTTTTTTGAATGTGATAAAATATTTTTGTGGGATGTTTTTTTTTTTTTTTTTTTTTTTTTTTTGCAAATCATTTGCATTTTGAGGCTGTGGCTCCATTTCAGAAAAAAACCTCTGCAAACAAAAAAGAAAAAAGAATGAATGAACAAATTAATTTATTTCAAACATGCATGCAAAGGAATAAAATAATAGAGAAAATGTCATTTGCATACAAAGCAGGAAAAAGAATTGAATTATACACGTTCGAAAAGGAGTAGGAAGTAGAGCCTGGCCGATTTATCGGCGAGCTGATTAAAACCACCAGTTTTAGCTTGTTTGAGACTAATCTGTAATCGGCCAAAACTCGCAGATTTTCGATGATATTTTCAGAAATAAAATAGGAATAAGATTCAGTTTCACTTCGAAAATGTTCCACCATTTGAAAAGTTCCCCGACTTATCCTGTAGATGGAGCAGCAACCTCGTGACAATCTACAGGTTTTTGGCAGTATCCCAATAAACTGTAGATTGTTTACTAGTAGGCTAGCCTAGTAAACTGTAGATTTCTACAGTATACATATATTTTTTATAACCTAAAAAAAAGAATTATTTGAATTGGCCGATTAATCGGTAATTGGATTTTCTTTATTCTCATTACTATTTAAATTGTAGATTTTCACTGAGGGCATCAAAGCTATGAATGAACTCATGTGAAATCATGTGCTTAAGAAAAAAGTGTGAAATAACTGAAAACATGTTTTATATTTTAGATTCCTCAAAGTAGCAACCCTTTGCTTTTTTCGCACTGCAAACTTTAGCTGTTCGCTCAATGAGCTTCATGAGGTAGTCATGAAATGGTTTTCAGTTATTTCACACTTTTTTTATAAGTACAGAATTCTACGTGTTCATTCATAGTTTTGATGCCTTCAGTGATAATCTACAATGTAAATAGTCATATAAAAAAATAAAGAAATGACATTGAATGAGAAGGTGTGTTCAAACTTTTGGCCTGTACTGTATATATATAAATTCTACATAATGTAGAGGAATTTTAGCAATAGTAAAATAAAACTTTATTTAATAATTATTAAATTAAACTTACAAACATTGAGTCAAAGGCAAATAAACATAAAATATGTGAAAATAGTTGGAGAAGTGCAAACACATTTTAACAAAACATTAACACATTTTAAGAGCTACAAAAAAATATTAAACATAATGAAGCTATTTAAAAAAGTGAAAAAAAAATTAGTTCAATGCACAAACATCTCACAAATGCAAACAGATATTTCCATAAACCATAAACTTAAATTTACTTTATAAATCACAAAAATCTTCTTTTTTTTTTTTCAAAAATACAAAAAAAGTTTACAAATCATACAATATTTTAGAGAAAAAAAAAACTCCTGAGATGCTAAAAAATTAACACCAAACTTAAAACATTCATGTAAAAACGCTTCCTGTGGCTTCATTTCAGCCAAACATGCTAGGACGCATCTACATTTTCAAAGCCTTTGTCCAAAGTGGTTTCATTCAGTCACTATGTTAGATTTTCTTGGGGTATTTTGGACCTGGTCTCTCTCCTCTTGGGGAGTAGGCTGCAGACTTGGGGTGTATCTGTCTCCTCTCTTATCCAAGGATTAAAAATTTCAGCAGATCAAAAATGCTTTTTACGTGTTTTTTTTTTTTTTTCAATGGCGGAGATGAGCACATCCTGATGAAATGATAGTGTCTGGGCTTTATTTTAATGCACGTTGTGGAGGGTTGGAATAAATCAGTGAAATGCTCAGCACGAATCTGAATTCCTTTTTTGAATTTCTAAATTGAACGTACACGTTGAAATAAAAAGTGTTAGTGTCTTTCAGGGCATTACAATTCAGAGTTTCAGTGTTTTTGTTCCACTTATTTAAATGAAAGAGACTTTGCAGCTCTTCAGCTCACAGCCTATTATTTCTTTTGCTGCTGCAGCTCATCCTGCGAGCTTGGAGCATTTGCTTATTTGCAAACCTGAATGAGGTTTTCCCTGTTAGAGTTTCATACACCTGATTAATCCTCTCCTGAACCGGAAAAAGGAGTGTTTGCAGAGGTAAACCTGAAAGAGACTCAAACGTGAAGTTCGCAGAGGCAGAAAAAGAAACCTCGTCCTCCTGTCCTCCAGTGATCTCCCTCAGAGTTTCCTCTCTCAGCTCTCTGAGAAAAAGCCGTCAGCTGATCTATTTTTAATCCAGAGCGCTCTCCTGATCTGTTCTGCCATCCTGCCTCCTCTGCGTCTGTTTGAGTGTTTGTAAAACTAAATAGAGATGGGTTCCCCTCAGGTCTGTAGAGCACCTGTGGACACGTCTGGTGGGCTACTCTGAGATGGACTCTGAAGAGGCTGCAGAGAACGCAACGCTTCAGATAAAAAGTGCTAGAAGTGATGAAACAAATCCTTTCTTTTCAGGGTCTGAAGCTGCAGGTTGTTGAAAGACTGTATGCACCCTGACAGAAGTGTAAAGGACCATTGCAAAAACGTCTGTGAAAACCCTAGACTCTATATACAGACCATAGACGGTTGACCTGCTGCAAAAAACCTGCAGAGTTAATTCAGCAGTTTTTTTCTGAGGGTTTCAAACCCTGACGCAGAGTCCTGAGGGTCCTGACCCATCAGCTCCTGACCGAGGTGAGCTGCGTGTGATTGACAGCCAGGACTCGACCACAGCGGCGTTTCTTTTGGCTCTGCTTTGTCGTCTTCCATCAGCGCTGTGCTTCATTTGAGGTTTTTCCCATGACAGCCACAGAAATCTGAATCAAAGAGGAGGAAGAGTTTTGGAAATAGAAGCGATGAGGTCATTTCTCTGTCTGTTTCTCATGTCCTCGTCCCCTCACAGACCTGCTCCTCTCTGTTTTCTTTGATTAAAATCTGGAGCTGCTCTTCATCACGACCTCGCTCTGACTGTTTGCTTTGATTTGATTTAATGTGATTAAAGTCAGTGATGAAGCTTCTGCCCTGTGAGAAGACTAATGTCCTCCATGTGCTGGATGTTAATCTTTGATTCTCCTCTATAAGGTTTTAATGAAGCCGCTCCAAAACTTTTAAGTGAAAAAGTTCAGTTTACTCAAGATTTAGATAGAAGATGGCAGCAAAATGGAATGATTTTGAGCCCATGCAGTGATTTCCACTACAGAGTCCTGTCTGTTTTTAATGCAGTGCTGAAGATCAGGTTAGTTTTGGTTTTGGTTAGGGCCAATTTTAGCCTGTTTGAGACTAATCGGTAATCGGCCAAAAGATTCGGTTTCACTAAGAAAATGTTCCGCCATTTAAAAAGTTCCCCGACTTATCCTGTAGATGGCGCAGTTTCAGTTAAACCCACTTCACCACCCGCTGTGCTGGTCTCGGTCATGTTGAGTTAACGGTGAAGCACCATGTAATATGCAAGCTAAAGTTGGAGTTAGCCACCTGTTATTAGCCTTGCTACACTGTTAGCCGTGCCAGTAACGGTAGAATAAACAACAGTACACATTACGTGATGGAGCTACTTCTCTTTCTGAGGCAGCTGCATGACTCCAGAGGAGACTGTACTGGAAATGTGTAACGTGAGTTAAGACGCGGAGGTACCGATCGGCAGGGGGGGGGGTTGTAGTTGAAAACGCTTTTCTGGTCCGAGTTTGATCAGTCGGTCTTCCCGTCTGCGTGAAGAACAGTAGCCTACAGTATATAGTATACTGTAGATATCTACAGTATATATATATATTTTTTATAACTTAATAAAAAAAAATTTAAAAATCGGCTGATTAATCGGTAATCAAACCCCCCCCCCCCTCAATTATCGGTATCGGCCCCAAAAAATCCATATTGGGCCCTAGTTTTGGTCCTTGTCCCTTTAGTACAGAGATTTCTAATGATATTATGTTCTGGTGATGAAATCCACTCATTCTTTCACACTTGACACTCAGGAACATTATTCTCAAACTGTTGAACTATCAGCTCACACAGTCTCTCACAGAGTGGTGAACCTCTACCCATCTTTCCCTCTTGCTCCTCAACCACAACTCTGTATGAGCTGTTGTTGTTGTTGCTGCTGTCCCCTGTCTCACCCTCGTTCTCTATTCTCTCTCCCTCCCTCTCCCCGACTCGTTTTCTCGCTCCTTCCTACTCCCTTGTTCTCTTTCTCTCCGCGTCTACCCTCCCTCCTTCCCCTCTCTCTCTTCCTCCCCCTATCTCTCTGCATTTCTCCCCAACTCAGCAGCGGCCTGGTGGCTGTCTAGCATGAGTCAGGTCCTTCCCAGGGTTTCTGCCTGTTAAAAGGAAGTTTTTCCTTGCCACTGTCACTCATGTTAGATGAGATGGGTCCCATCTTAAGGTTGGGTCTTGATAATTCATCAAACAGTCAGCATGGTTTAAAACCTGCTCTTTGCTTTTTGGAAAGCTTTTTGGGACGACTGTTGTGATTTGGCGCTATATAAATAAAATTTGATTTGATTTGATTCTGAGAGACTCAACCTTTCTGAATGTCGATCTTATACCCAGTTGTGTTCCTAACATGTTAGAAATTATCCTCATTAGTTTGAGATGTTCCTCCAGATGTTTTTTTTTAGCATTAATCAGTTTTTTTTTTTACTTGTGTGGTTGTTCCTCTATAACAGTGGATCTCAAGTCCAGTCCTCGAGCCCCCACTGTCCTGCATGTTTTGGATGTTTCCCTGCTCCAACACACCTGATTCAAATGATCAGCTCGTTATCAAGCTCTGTAATGGCTTAATAACGAGCTGATCATTTGAATCAGGTGTGTTGGAGCAGAGAAACATCCAAAACATGCAGAACAGTGGGCCTCGAGGACTGGACTTGAGAACCACTGCTCTATAACAACATTTTATCTGTCAGGTTGTTTCTTTAAATGAACTTTAACTCACAGCCTCTTTTTCTTACATGATCAAACTTATTTCATGTATTAAGATGACTCTCTGAGGCTCTGAGACTACCATCCTCACTGTGTAAAGGCTCTGGCTGTTTCGTTTCCTTTGTCTATGAGTTGATATGAGACTCCTTTAGCTGTGATGAAGTTTTCTGCGTTACTACAGCTCCTCCTGCAGGCAGCTGACTGTAACCACAATTTTCCCCGTTGATAAACTGCTGTTTTTCTGGACATTTTTCACTTACATAACCGAATAAACTTGATTTTGATTTGATAATCATTACATTTTTAAGAGGTTCAGCAGATAATAATTGCCTCCTTTTTTTCCTTAGGCTTGTTTGTTTTGCTGAATTTTTGTTTTGTTTTGTTTTTCTTCAATTTCCTTATTTTTAAATGGTCAGTTAGTGTTGGCATATTTTGCTTCTATAGAACAGAAGAGGTCTGAAATGGTTCATCAGGGTTGGTTTCATCATCATTTTTATTGATTGCTGTATATCTGGATTATGGATATTGATATTCATCTATTAAAAGGATATTTCTCTTTGTCACTCTGTCTCAGGTCTGTCTGTCTGTGCTGAGAGGTCCAAACTTAATGTGAAGAAGGCAATAATTCAACAGGTTGGTTGACTCTTATTACATCCTCACTACATTTCCCATGATGCACCTTTCACTCCAGCTTCCTCATGCTTTATTTAAACTTTCATGCATATAGCTGTGAACCATTTTTCCGCGGTTTATCTTGCTGTCTTCAGCTCAGGTGAGGTTATGTTTTTGAAACAACAGCACCACCTTGTGGCTCAAACCAGTATTATAGCTCAAGAGCTCTGCACACTTGTACAGGTATTTCCTCCTTAGAGGACCTTCATGTCAGACGGTTGTTAAGCTTTGATGCAGAAACAAACAGGTGCACGTTTGTTTTAGTGCTCTGGAGTTTTAAGAGTGGGTTGCTGCACACTCTGTTGTAGTCTCTGTGATTCTTGCTGCAGTGGAAGATCTAACGGTGAACACCTCAGACAAACAGGAATTTACTATTATCAAATCAATATTGTTTTCTTGTTGTAGAGGTCGTGGGTTTTGGCTGCTCCTCCTCCTTCTTTTCGTACCTTGACTATTGTTGGTACCACTGCAGCTCTTCACAAGTGTTTCCTCACACTGATACTTTTTAAGGAGTGTTTTATAAAGTTCTCATTTTTGATCATTCAACCTCCTCACATTTTCTCTAAAAAATGCAACTCCTGTGTTGTGCTGCACATTAGTTACTGTTATTTAGCCTTCAACATGTCCGCAGTTACATTTGTTCATGTCCCGCCAATCATCAGCTTAAAGGTGGGGTAGGCAGATATCTGTTAAAGAAGCATCTTTTTTTGTGGTGTATTAACAAAAAAAAAATATCAGTCAATAGCTATTAGTTATTGATGACATTTGGTAATATAACGATATCGCTATGTTTCGTTTTGTCTGTGTAGTCAACATTTTAAAATTTCAGAGCGCTCCACTCTTTCTGACTGTAAACAAAGCCATTCCCCGCCTCCCCCAACCTGATTGGTTGTGAGGCAGATGCTGCTCGTTAAGGTCCTTACACACCGGAACCAATGGAAATATACAATGTGAAATTACGAAATATTTGGAGGCGAATTTTGACGCGCCTGACTATACACATCATTAGCCACGACTACAACACAAGCAAGAAAACAAAGTAAATACTGGAGACTCTGGCAGAATAATGGGCGCTTAAAAAGGACTGGACATGAGCTAAAAAGCCGGGTCAACAATGATGGGAGACACTTTGGGATCTTACGGACCCTGTAACCTTTCTGCTGGACAGGTTAATCGCTTTAACAAAGTAACCCAAGTGTCTGTAACAGAGGTGTTTCTTGTCAAACGGGCCCTGCTGCGTGTTGTAGTGCCGCTAAACTGTTGACCTCGGGTCCTGGACTATGTCACTTTATCCTAGTTGTAGAAGTCCTGCAAACGTTGTGTTTGCTGGTAGTCTGTTGGCATCAACAGTAGCACCAATGCTGTTTACTTTCACGCTGACTGGGCCCCATTTGTAATTATTTGAAGTATTTATCTGCATTATATCTGAATTTAATTGAAACGAAATGAGCGAGCAGGAGCGGCTGTTTGTGGGCAGGGCTTGCTGGAGCAGAGAGGGAGGGGAGAGGAGGAGCTAAGGGGGAAAATTGGTTGGGAGGGGTAGAGGATTTCTCCCCAAAACTGGCACTTCCTCAGATCCTGCCTACCCCACCTTTAAACCCGTGTCCTCAGCTGTAGTTTTTCTGTACGCCACCAGGGGGTGATGCTGACTTTTAATATGAGGTTGCATAGGATATGCTGACAATTTTGAATGTTTTGAACCTCATTTTTTATTTCACCAATCTAATTTATGTGCAGGGTTTAAATAGAATAATTTTTGAAAATGTTCTTATTAGTTTTGTAACTCTTGGCAGTTAAATGTTTTCATTAATGGAAGAATTCAAATCATTTTTCTATGGTCATTTTCTCTGATCAGTCCTACTTTGTATGTGAGTTTAATATTATGACTCAACAGCCCTGTTTAAGAAAACACTGGCTTGTCATTTGACCTCATAAGAGACCAAATGTTGGCAGAAACTCCTTAAAAGGGGATCTTAAGTGTCAGAATAGTCTCCAAACTTTTCCAGGAAAATGAAAAGGACGTTTTGAATAGATTAAATACTTTGATGTAGTAGTAGTAGTAGTAGTCATAGTCATTTATTCAGTCATGACAACACCAAATATTGTACACAATATTGACATTTCACACAAAATCACTAAATCAAGAATCTTATAAAAGCCTATCCTGTATTGTCAACCTTTATTAGGTTTCCGACCTCTAGAAAAGCAAAGAAACCACAACAACAGAAAATTAATCGCACTTATAAACTTCAAAAATAGCTTTACAAACCATTTTATTGAAAACCAAAAAAGACGGACATGTTTTTAGATTTTTGTTGTCATCATTTCAGAACTTAACTTCAGTAACAGAAACACATCTCCTTTTCATACCTTATTTAGCTTTTTGTACGGTAAATTTGCAAGCGCCTCTGAGATTATAAGACTGTCCTGAATTGAAAAGAACCTCTGTATTGAGCCAAGGAGCATTCTTGATTTTGCTGTAAACATTATTTGCATTATTTTATAATAAAACAGAACATAAAATTTCATAATGAGAATTTAGAAAAAGTGGCTCCGTGTGATCATAGTAATCAGTCTTATTGATAATACGTATAGCTCGTCTGCAGTTTTATGAGTGAATTTGTAGTGGTTTTAAAGGTTATCAGAAAACTTTTCCAGGTTTATGATATTACAGTTGGCAAAAGTGGCAATAAATGTAAGGAATGCAAATGAAAAATAATAATAAAAAAACTAACACACAGTAATGTGGCCTGGCAACTTTTTCATGAATAAGTCCAAAAAATAATTATAACCAGTGCATCCAAACTGAAATCAAGGACTTTATCTGATCTGATATGAAGACGGAAGACTAACTCTATCAGTCAAGACTAGTCTAGGTCGTCAAATCAGGTTTTAAATGCTAAAATTTAGATGAGCTTCTTTCATAGTTTGAGCACAGAAGTGTTGGTTTTTTGAGTTACTCATTAATTTAGAATTTTTTCGTTTAAAAAAATATAATTTTAGAAGTAAAAAATGTAAAGCTGAAGTAAAGCTTTGCATTGACTATTTTGCTTTTCTTTTTGGCACTTTTGCATCCTCTGTAAAATCCTGCCTGTTATTATTTTTAGTGTCTTTTTTTAAGATCGTTTGTTGAGTTTATCAGGGCTCAGATGGATTTAAAAGAGGAGAAGAAAGCATCAGAAACAGGAGGAGTAGGAAACACACCACAGAGAGCTCCTCCTCCTCCTCCTCCTCCTCCTGCTCCCTGTACAAAGTTAGACAGTCGCTCTCAGTGTCAGGATTTAGTGTCGGACACATCAGAGCCTGCAGGCGAGCTGAAGGGATCGATCTTCATCATCTTCTTCATCATGGCTCTGCTGCTGGACATTTCTCGCTCTGCGGCCACATACTGCTGTCTGATCCGCCGCCGCTTCAAGAGGAGGAGGAAGAAGCGATCTGAGAGGAAAGGTACTCTGCTGTGACACCTGAGGGTCTGCGCTCTGACGCCTGACAGACGGCGTGAGGGGCGCACAGAGCGATGTGTGTGAGGAGTGTTTGCAGCGGGGACAGTTAGTGTTTTCAGGAGGTTTTCTGACTTTGTGCTCTGATGTTTGAGGCTCAGACAGTTTAGTTTAAAACCCCCAGATCTATTCTTTCTTCTTCTGTGGCTCCATGTGTTGAGATTTTTCAGAGATCAGCAACAGTGACTGAAGACAGTCTGAGGCATCTTTGCAGCAAATTTACTGAAGAATTAGAAAAAAAAGAGAATTTAATTGTGACAGAAGCAGCATTTTTGCAATAAGTAAGATTTAAATGAAAGTGTTGAAGGTCTTTGGATTTAGTTTATGTTTGTGGAAGAAATTGAAATCTGAAAAAATGAGTGAATTTCTGGTGGCTGATGATTTCTTTAGAGTGTAGGAAAGGAAAGGAGACGATCCAAAGCTGCAACAGTTTAAAGATTTGTTTGAAAAGTTGATATTCTGCCTTTTTTAAAAGTCTCAAACCTAAACATTAGAGATCAATCTGAAAATGACTCTGAGCAAGCAAAAAAATATAAGTTTAAATCAAAGCACAAAAAAACAATCTGATTCAAAGGCAAAAAGTGCTTTTAAGATGGTTTTAGAGCAGTGGTTCTCAAGTCCTTGAGGCCCACTGTCCTGCATGTTTTGGATGTTTCCCTGCTCCAACACACCTGATTCAAATGATCAGCTCGTTATCAAGCTCTGTAATGGCTTAATAACAAGCTAGTAATTTGAATCAGGTGTGTTGGAGCAGGGAAACATCCAAAACATAGGTTTTCACTGTTAACTCAAAATTTTATTGAGTCTCTGATAAAAGAAAAAGATGTATGCGGAAAATAATCAAACAACAAACTATTTGTACAGCATTTACTTTGGTTGGTTTTTAGTCAAATTAGGGTGACCATATTCTGAATCCCCAAAAAGAGGACACCTCTATGCTGGGAAGAGTCGCGCACAAAATTTTTAGGTTTTTCGGGTTTGTCAGGTTGAGTGGTTTTTACACGCTTCTAACTTAGTTAGTCCACGCTACTTAAACTCAGAACTTCCATAAAAAACCCGTTGTTGTCTTTCGTAGTAAAATGAAGCCACGCTTTAGTTGGTTTCTGCCTACATTTCATACCATCCGCCATGTTTTTTCCTTAAAGGCTCTGTTCTTGTTCATGTAGACTGGCTCACCGTTTTTCAAGGCAACCGTAATAAAGGAATCGTTAAGATATAATGTAAACAATGTCGATGGATTGAACCATTTGGAACCGGTTCTCGATTCCCATCCCTAGACGTCCTGGTTTATTCAATGATGATCTTGACGTTCTGCCGCCTCTCTGCAGATGTAGACCTGATGGTTTTGTGGAGACTGTTGCCCAGTGTGGTTCAGTCAGAAGTTGGTGTTTTAATTCATCTGATCTGGTCTGATCCAGATTTGATTATATTAGGTGTCACTTCAACCCTTTACTGAGAAACTGCAGGGAGAACCTGCACACAAGCTACAGTTTTCTGCAGACAGGGTCGACTCTGCCTCACAATTTATAGACTCTGACGCAAATACTCATTATAGTTGAAGGCTGCCCAATGGGTCCTAAGCTGACAGGCATCCAGTGTGGCTTATAGACCAATAAGTAACCTGTAACTAATTCAACCTTGCTTCAAAACTACAAAAATAAATAAATAAATAATAAATTAAAAAATAAATGAATAAAAACAAAAAATAGATAAATAAAATAAAATTATAAATAAAATTATAAATACATAAATAAATAATAATAAGAAGAATAATAATAATAAGAAGAAGAATAATAAACCTTTAATTTCCCAGAAGCTGAAAAAAGAGACAAGCAAGTTACTTCTTTTACCCAACTGCCCTGGATGCAACAAATCAGCAGAAATGGCACAATAGTATATTTTTCATGCTTGTGATGATCAGCTCGTTAGTAAGCCATTACAGAGCTTGATAACGAGCTGATCATTTGAATCAGGTGTGTTGGAGCAGGGAAACATACATAAGATGCAGGACAGTGGGCCTCGAGGACTGGACTTGAGAACCACTGACTTAAGCAATGTTTATAACACCAAATAACACTTATGTGTCACTGAAACGCACTTTATGTTTTATCAAACAGCTCAGTGGTGACCCCTGGTGGTTGTAGAAGTGATTGCATGAGAAAAAGAATCCAGGTGATGGTGGTTCTGCAGTACAGTGTGACAAATATTTCCTTCTTGTAACCATGTGTACTGTTGTGACTGGATCTTGCAGGAAGAAGTAACCAGACACCTCGGTCCGTAGAGCTTTGTCGTGTTTTCTGCTGTAATGAGGCTGTTTCCAATCCACAGGAATGAATGAGATTGGATTGTTTTGCAGGTAATAGTCAGACCCCCGGGCTTTGCAAGGTGAAAAAATTCAGAAAGTGTTTGCAGAGACCCTGAATTTGAGAAGATAATCCTGTTTTTTTTATGTTTGGTGACTGGCTGTGATAGAATAATGACTCTCCAGGTCTGCATTATCAGGTTTAATGGACTCTTCACAGTCTCTAACTTTGTCACATGTCTGTGTGTGACTCAAAAATGCTGCAGTTTGTTGTGTCTGATGAAAATAATCTTCAGTTTTAATTGTTGCCCTGAAGTTTCCATGTGGTCTGACTGATCCGGAGATGTCTGCAGGATCTTCTTTAAAGTTCCGAGATGATCTGAGTCTGGGCCCCTGAGACTCTGAGCCGCTCTGCTTCATCCTCCCTCTTCCTCTCACTTCATTAGCTCTGTCTGCTAACGTCTGCTAACATTTTCACATGGAGGGCTCTCTCAGCTGCATTAATTCACCTTCAGCGTCAGGAGGCTGTTTTTTCCCTCTCTGTGGAGAGTCAGGTCTACGTGCTTCTCTCTGAGCGGCCTGTAAACACGCTAATGTTTCTAAAGGAGGATCAGCTGATTTGCATGCAGGGCGGGTGAGGAGGGCGAGAGGCCCATCATTCCCGTGTCCCTGCTAAGCGGCGTGTTGTGAGATGAACTGAAGTGTGAGTTTAATCTACTGGGAGCAAAAGTGAATTTCAGACGAGCTATAAGCCGATGTGCTCTGTGAGGCGTGGACGCCACGCCGCCACTGCTCAGGGACCTGTGTGTGTATGTGTGTGTGTGTGTGCGTGTGTGTGTTTGTGTGTGTGTTTCAAAGATCTGTGTCTGTCTGCTCTGTGATGTGGAGGAGCTGATACAGACTCCTCCCCCCTCCTCCACCCTGACTCTCTGCTGATAACCCGGCTCCCCTCTGAAACCTACACACACACACACACACACACACACACACACACACACACACACACACACACACACACACACACACACACACAGGGCTCAGACAGCTGAGGGGAAGGCGTTTTACAAACAGAAATTTTGATCAGATTTCTGCTCTGAGTTTCAGATTAAATCAGCAGCTCTGACAGAAGATCATCTCGTCGACCTCTAATAAAAGGGAAAATATTTGCACACCTTCAGCTCACCTGCCAGCTGTCAAAAGGTGTCAGATTTACAAGGAACCCCTCTTTAAGTATGAGCAGAGAAATGCAAAAGCAGCTGCAGTAAAAATCTTAACCATAAACACAGAAATTAGTTTTTTAATTCAAACCATGAAAAAAACAACAACACATAAAACACAAAAACCATTCAACATCGTGCAAAAACTTGATCAGAAAATACACAAAAACATTGTGACAAAAACACAAAATATTTCAATGAACTCAGAAGATTTGTTTTCTTTTAGTTTTCTGAAATTATTTTTCTATTTCATGAATTCTAAAGAATCATTTTTTGCATTTTGTTGATTGTTTTGTGATCAATGTAAAACTTTGTGGGTAAATTGATTTGTTTTTATTGAGGCCCGACCGATTTATCGGCGACCTGATTAAATCGGCCAATTTTATCCCGTTTGAGACTAGTTGGTAATCGGCCAAAACAAATCGATTTTCGCCGATATTTTCAGAAATAAAATGCGGAGAATAGGATTCGGTTTCTCTTCAACAATGTTCCGCCATTTGAAAAGTTCCCCGACTTATCCTGTAGATGGCGCAGCGACCTCATGACAATCTTCATCCACTAGCTACCTCACAGCACAGCAGAGTGACGGATCTGAAGCAGGCAGCTCAGGGACGCATGGAGGAGAGTGGTAAATAAACCAGTTTGTGAAATACACAATAAGTCAACAAGTTTCAGTTCAACCCACTTCACGATGTTCCCCGCTGTGCTGGTCTCGGTCACGCCGAGTTAACGGTAAAGCACCATGTAATATGCAAGCTAAAGTTAGAGTTAGCCATCTGCTATTAGCCTTGCTACACTGTTAGCCGTGTCAGTAACGGTAGAATAAACAACAGTACACATTATGTGATTGAGTTACTTTTTATAACTTTATTAAAAAAATTTAAAATCAGCCAATTAAAAGCTAATCGGATATTATTTCCCCCTAATAATCAGTATCGGCATTGGACCCAAAAAATCCATATCGTTCAAGCCCTAGTTTTTATGTTTGATTTCAGTTTTAATTCATTTAATTCTTTTGTGATCACATAAACCTTTTCTTGTGTTGCATGTAATATTATTCATCATGTGAATTTCTGAAACGTTTATGTGTCAGTGAAACATTTTTGAGTTTCATGAGCAGCTAAATCTCTGATGACACACAGAAGCGGACTTCTGTGATCTTTAACAGCCTGAACGATCCTCATCAGGAGGAATCTGACGCAAACGCTCAATTGCGTATTACAAAAACATGTTCAGTCAGAGAAATACTGGACATGAAAATTCTGTAAAGACTAAAACAGAAATGCACCATGTTTGCTGTGCAGTGTGGGTTTGTTTGTAGTTTTTTCATCTGCAGCTTGTTTTTCCTGATTGTTCAAACTGTTGCGGATCATCTGCACCGTCTCAAACAGCTCCTCATTATGTACTAAAGTGGGAGTTTACAGATAATCATGCAGGAAAAGATCATCTTTGTCATCATTCAATTTTAAATTAAGAGTTAAGGGTCATGAAAAAATTCTTACATTTTTGATCCCTCCTTTATTTCTACTCTAAAAAGCATGTTTGATAGTTTCAATAGTTTTTGCCTCAAATAGATAGATAGATAGATAGATAGACTTTCAGCAGCAATAAAAACATAAAATTAAATATAAGAAGAAATATGTACAATACAGACTTAATATATACAATAAATACAGACTAAATATACTAAACATCCTAAGAGAAAAACAAAAGAAAAATCGTTTGATTACAGATTTTAAAAACTGCTGCTTTTTAAAAACAAAGTCACACATGTCCTTTCTGATATGATCATCAAACAAAATATAAATTTTTCTTTTCTGAAAATTTAGTTCCATCATATCTCTTCTGTTTTTCTCTGTTCTGTGTCTTAACATCAGAATTAAAATTTTGGAGCATGTAAAACGGATTTTTTTCACATGTACAAACTTAAGAGTTACCTTAGATCACTGGTTCTCAAGTCCAGTCCTCGAGGCCCACTGTCCTGCATGTTTTAGGATGTTTCCCTGCTCCAACACACCTGATTCAAATGATCAGCTCGTTAGTAAGCCATTACAGAGCTTGATAACGAGCTGATCATTTGAATCAGGTGTGTTAGAGCAGGGAAACATCCAAAACATGCAGGACAGTGGGCCTCGAGGACTGGACTTGAGAACTACTGCCTTAGATTTACTCCTGTTGCAGTTAAGATGATGTATTTGCAGAATAAAAAGTTTATCTCTGGTTTTGAATCCATAATCTGCATTCCCAAAGAAGCACCATACATCTTCTTATTTTAGATGTTTTTCAGTTAAAGAAACCATAAAGGGCTGCCCCAGTGCTGAAAGCCTGATGGAATATCATCCGGTATCATCAGAATATTATACACAGTATATTGCATTGTTACCGTTTATTTTATTCATGCTCTTCAGCAAATTTATAAGGGTGATTATAGCTCCGTTATTTATTCATATCCTGGTACTCTACAGAGGAATAAAGAGATTTTTTAGTGCTCACTAAAATAAGAGAAAAAAGGATTTTTATGTGCAGCACTCAAAGTTAGATTTAAACGTTGTACTCTAGTGTCTTTGTAAAAGAAAATGCTCAAAGTTTGTATGACACAAACCTGAACAGCTCCTCCTTCAAGATGGGTCTGCAGTGAGATGTTTCCAGGTCTCTCGCTTCTGTCTTTTCAGTGAATCTTTTGCCAATTTATCCCTGTCCTCCTCCTCTTCCTCCTCCTCTTCTTCCTCACCCCTCCTCTTTGCTCCCCTGGCACACTCTCTCATTTTCATTTAACGCTAGCACAGGTAGCCGGCGCCTCCTGGGCCTGAAAATTGCTGCTGACTACCTGCTGAAAGAGGAGGGGTAAGGAGGACGAGGGGGGAGCAGCAGAGCGGGAATGTTTCCTCATTAGAGAAGCTCCCCTTTTTTTACAGCAGGAATATCGCTGCCAGAGTCTGTTAGACCAAGAAAAAAACTTGACTGTGAAGTCTGCAGAGTTATTTTCTCCAAGCTGCAAACTCCAGGGGCTGAAAAATGAATTTAGAGCTGAAGTCCCAAGAAGTGAAGTTCCTACAATGGCCACTAGAGGCTGCCTATGAAAGTGAGTCAGTTCCCATAGAGCCCCATGTTAAGATATCCAACTTTACATCCTCCCTCTGTATGTTTCTGTTTATTTTGTCTTTTTAAACTGACATTGTCATTTTTACAAAAGCGACATCCATCCAGGAGAATAAAGCCAAATAACCTGATAATAAATGAACAAAAGGGCCAACAGATGAAGAGCACATTCATCATTCAGAGATCAGATTAAAGCAGAAACACGTGTTCATTAACCTGCTCACTGAGAGCAGCCTCAGTGTTTGAGGTTAAGCATCAGCAGGCAGCTCCACCTCCTCCCCCCTTCACCTGCCCGTCAGTCCATCAGTTCCCGGTCTCTCTAATCCCGGGGCCGTGGGGTGTGAAATTCAACATCAGCCCTGAGCCCGCTCTCTGGGGGAGATAGTGGAGGACTCGGCCCTGACGAGGCCGAGGTGAGCGGAGATAACCATCTGTTGTGCTCAGCGAGGCCGCTGATGCAGAGAGAATCGGGAGGAGGAGAGTCAGCGAGGGCAGGAAGAGGGGGTGGGAATTTCTCCTGATGACCTTCTGAGACCATCTGAAGAAAAAAACTGACCCAGCTCAGACAGAGACTAACCTGGACCTCAGATTACCTGAATGATAGATTCAGAAACCAAACAAGTCTCAGGAAGTAAATATCTCAATATTGTGTTTTTTTAAGCCAAACTGACCGAAAAAACAAAAAAAAAACGCAACAGGGTAGAAACAAGTGAGTTTAGACCTAAAGGTCCTCACACACCAGGACGGACGCAAATTTACGACGCGAAATTACGAAATATTTTGATGCGCCTGACTATACAGATCAAGCCCGATGCGATTTTGCGACTTTCCAGGGGGAAAAAAGACACGTCCCGGGTGGAAGCGAGAAGACTGACACAACAGCAGACTGAGTGTTTTTCAGTTCTGATTAGACTCTAGTGTTGAGATGTCTGTCTGTCATGATAGCATGTACTGAGTCGGGGCCAGTACAAGATAAGCACATTAAACTATAATCCATAAACGTAAGGTAACAACCGAGACCTAATGGTGCTGTGACAGCAACATGATTGAGTTTGAGACAGTGAAAATACATATGGTATGTTGTATCTGAACAGGTTAGCTTACGAGCTAAAGTTACTTAGCACAGATGAAAGTTAAAACAAAGACGTCTAGCAAACTGTTAAAGCACACAAACCATCGTCATATGAGAAATCTGACGCTATGACTCTGCACAAGTTGTCCTTCAGGTCGTTATCTTTGTAATGTTTGTGTCTTTTATCAAAAAGCACTCTGTTCTCCGACACGTAAACAATCAGCCGGTCGGCCATGTTGGATATACCGGTGAATCAGACGTCGCAACAACACACAATCTGATTGGTCAGAAGTGGACACACAGTATGCAAAACTTTAGAAAAATCGACCGTGATCCGAAAAAATAAATGCCGCAATATCGCAGGACGGGAAAACGTCGCTGATGTGAACACTTGTATTGACAGGATACAAGTTCGAAAAAAAATATTGACGTCCGAAATAACTGCATGAAAAAACGGTCCCAGTGCGTAAGGACCTTTAATCTGACGTAAACAGTTAAATCTAATCCTGTATCTTTGACATTTTAACATGGGGCTCTATTGGGACTGGTCACAGGCACAGCCTCTAGTGGACTCACTGAGAACAGTATAGATAGAAGTTAAGCTCCATTTTGTTTTCAAAAACCAAAATTATGTCAGCAATGTTTCAGACGAGACAAAGAAAACATTATGCCAGTTGAATCAAGATTAAAGTGTAAATTATTGATAAGAATTATGAATCTCAGATGACCCAGTATAGACCCCTGTGGAACACCGTTTTACATATTTTAAAGCTGAAAGACAAACCACTAATGTAGAGACTTTCAGCTATTTTAGAGCCCTGATGATAAAAGTTTAAGATGAACTTCAGTTTTTAAGATTTCTGCCTTAACATGTATTTTTCAGCTCATGAGTTTTTATATTTTTTTAAATTCAACCAAAATATCCCTAAGTTGGACACTTGCTGTGTCTGTACAGAGTTTATTAGTGTATATGGATCCACTCTTTTCAATGTTTGATAACAGAGGATGAAATGAACATCTTGTAAATGATCATATCAGAAACACCCCACCTCAGATAACCCCTCTTGTTCCTCTGTTAGTGCTTCCTGTGGTCATTTTAGACCTCTATGAGGTGGTTTTCACTGTGTGTCCTCTGCGGTGTGGAAACAGAAAATCCCCTTAATTGCTTTACCTTCAGGACGAACGGTTTGTCTCTTTGCCCCTAGCAGAGAGGACAGTACAGAGGCTTCAATAGCCCGCTGTGAGCGACACAAATGTCTCTGAGAGGGGGGGGCAGTGTGATGGTCTGCATGGACGCCCTGTTGGTTAAGTGAGTCACATTAGCGTGTTGAATTGATACAGCACTGCTCGGCCCCTGCAGCTACAGCCTGACCACACGGCAAATTAAAGCCGTCATAAAGATTTCACAGAGATGCTGTGAGGATGTTCAGAGACGTCTGAGGCCTCCGAGTGTCCTTCAGAGGCAGAGAGGAGTTTATTTTCTGTTGTTCAGCACTAACAGGGACGTTTTCACTCTGTGGAGCAAAGTTTGTCAAACAGACGGAGGAGACAAAACTGACCTGAACTTGAGGACAGGCGGAAAATAATGACTGAAAACAGAAACTGGAGTGAAACATTTGATAATACTTTGACGTCACCATTTTAAGGTTACTTGAACGGACACTACATTTGGACCAGAACAAAAATTAAATGATACTTTAAAGGGATATTCTGGCGTAAAATTAAGTTAGGGTCAAACGCACCGTAGCACTGAGTTAGACACCCCCTTGAGAGATGAATGTTGCCGACTGCTTGCTTCTCGATTATACCAACTTTAGTAACGACCTCATAGCAATACACAGTGGTCTACATCTCCATGCGCATGCCTCCACACACCATTAATTATTCCACACTGCAGACGTGGTGGTTCTTCTGCCTCAGTGTCTCGGTCTGATTGCATTTCCGTGAAGTTATAATTATAAATGTTCTTCCTTGAGCTGCGAAACTCCACCGCACTTGGTGATCGACTCGTCAGGGCTCCCCCACAAACAAGCGGCTGCTGGAGGAGAGTGGGTGAGTTGTGTTTGGTCTCTTTGCTAAAGAAATCAGGCGAAATAAGTGAAAAAGATGTTTGGTGGCTGCTATGGTTAGGACCCTATATATACTGTTGATGAAGTTAGGTGCTGTTTTGCGCTTTATTTGTGGCTATAGAGTGGCTTTTTGGTTCAGGTGTGCATGTGGAGACGTAAACCACTGTGTATTGCTATCGCCCGGTCGTTGCTAAGGTTGGTATAACTAGAGAAACAAACGGTCGGCAACATTCATCTCTCGAGGGGGTGTCTAACTCGGTGTTACGTGTAATTGACCAGAATATCCCTTTAAAATAGAAACTTGGGTGCCACTTTCAACAACTTTTAATGCAAAGTGAATCTTATTAAGTCTATATTTAACATATATGGTAAAGGATTCTTTTAAATAGTCTCTAAACATAATTTTACATAAAATTTACTAAAGAATTGTTAGAGGGTACCTTCAAACAGACAGGAATTAGTTGCTGAAACCAGCATGAAACCAATTTTATAAAAAGATAGAAGTCACGTTTTACAATCTTCAAGGGGTACCTCAAAACAGCAACTGGAGAGTACCTAAAAACAGAAACTAAGTGGCAACACAAACACGTACCTTAAAACAGTTAAGTGGACCATTGAAAATAGCTGCCATATGGTTCATTAGAACAGATACCCAACTGTGTCTAAAGGCCTCTAAGTAATTAGGATATAGAGAGGAAACCTTTTAATGAACTCTGAATCATAGCTCAAGTCAAAGCATACCTAAAAGTAACTCAAAGATATTTTAAGGTGGAGTCCAATGGATACCTTTGAGCATCAAAAAAGATATCTAAACATGAACCAAAAGGGCACTTTTACTTACTCTCACTTTAATTTTACACAACAGTAGACTGACTGTTTTTCAGTTCTGATTAGACACTAGTGTTGAGATGTCTGTCTGTCATGATAGCATGTACTGAGTCAGAGTACCAGATAAGCACATTAAACTATAATCCATGAACGTTAAGGTAACAACTGAGACCAAATGGCGCTGTGACAGCAACGTGACTGAGTTTGAGACAGTGAGAATACATATGATATGTTGTATCTGAACAGGTTAGCTTATGAGCTAAAGTTACTTAGCACAAATGAAAGTTAGAGACGTTTAGCAAACTGTTAAAGCACACAAAACATCGTCATATGAGAAGGATACGGATGCGAAAAAAAAATATTGACGTCTGAAATAATCACATGTAAAAAACGGTCCCGGTGTGAAAGGACCTTCAGGCTGGGGGTACAATTGCTGAGAATGGTCCTGTGCAGCTGAATGAGATGCTAAAGGACTGTGAAAAGCTGCCTGTGTTTGACAGCTAGGATTAGATCATGTACTGTAGGTGTCTATGTAGATTTTTGAGTGTTGATCTCCGTGTCCACCTGATCATACATGTTATTTTTCGCCCATCACGCCTGTTTCCTCTTAGACTGATAAGTTTCACAGTTTTGTGTGTCTTTTGTCATTTGCTGTCTCTTTCCTCTAATCCCTGCTGAGATTTAACTTCGTGGTTTCTGCTGTCACATCAGGCAGATTGTGATCTGATTTCTTGTAATCTATTTGAAATGTCACATTTCCATCCCGCCTCGTAACCTGTAAAAAAAAAAAAAAAAAAAAAAGAGGTGTGAATGTAAAAGAGAAACTTGCAGAAAGGTGCAGGTTAATAAGCTTTCTATTTGTACCCTCAGAGCTGAAAAGGTCAGTAATTATCTTGTTGAACTGAGCAAACTCTCCTGAAATGTCTTAATTTTATGATTCACAGGTAAAATGTCAACCTCTCATACAAACTATTTCCTATAACATTATTATGAGTTCATTATTGGAATGTTTCACTTTTTCTTTCCTGATTTAACACAGAAACTTTCTGCTGTCTCTCCTCCATCCTCCATCTCATCACCTCTCTTCAGCCTGTCGATATGTCACACCTCAGTCCGTCAGGGTCCAATTTCTGCTCGTCTGAAAATATCATTTCATGGGGACAAAATGGAGTTTGTGTATGAGAAAAGCGCATTGCCGCGGGCTGTGTTTCTGTCAGCGTCACATGTCTGAGGCCGTCGTTTTTTCCTCTCCTCGCTGTCTGCTTCTCCTCGGCATCGATCCGTCTACATTAGACCTCTGAGAGAGTCCTCTGACAGATGTTTGCAGCTGTTTTTCCTCCTCAGTTCCGATTGTGACTCGCCTCGAGCTGCAGAAATCCATTTATCCCTGTCTGCTCAATCACCTCTGATGTCCAGACTCTGTTCTTGTTGACGGGGTTTCCTGATGAAGGCTAACACCCCCTCAGGTCCTGTTCCTCACATGTCTACAACCATAGAGAGAGTATTAATTTATGTTCTACCTCCTCAGGAGGCAGAGGGTTCATCAGATACATTGATTTTCCATCCTTTAGCCTATTAATGAAGAATGATTTTCTCAGCTGCCCATCAATTTTCAGATTGATTTTGTTTCCAGGTGGCTCTTAGTTTCCAACAAAATCAGCAAAAACAAAGAGCTCACAGTGAATAATTCATGATATCAGTAAGTGGTAGACAAACAACTCCTCTTTCTTACAATGCAAATTACCGTTTTTTTGTTTTTTTTAACAACCACAGAATTTCACTTTTGTGTTTATCCAAAGTTTTTTTCCCCATAGCTATCAAAAAAAGATGATTAATTTTTGTCCACAAGCAGTGCTGTCACTAAAATCCACCAAATCCCATTAATAAAAACAGTAATTTAATTGCACAGAGCACAGGAGTTTCTCATTAATCTCTATCACCATCAGTTTGTTTGTTCATGCTGTTTTGCTACCCATGAGTTTTTAATGGACTACTTAGGATCAAATGCAAAACTTAAAAGTGAATTACACCAGCTGATGGAGGCCGAGGTGGTCCAGCAACTCCAGCTTTCAGTGAGGGATGATTTTTGTTTTTGTCAATGAAGTCTGGTGGTTTAGTAAAGAAGAAAGAAGAGGGTTTTTGCTGCTGCCCTTCCTTCTCAACCCCTCTTTCTATTTATACTGTGTCTGGTTTTACTGGTGTCCTTTGGATTGTCACTGATATTGCGGTGTTCTATACCTCCAGATCTTTGCTGCTGCTCTACCTGTCTTTGCTTTTAATGTACCCTTATAAAACTGAGGGGAGGTGTGCTCTCCCCTCCTCAGGCTTTGATACTCAACAAGCACAGACAGAGGAGCAGGGAGCAGTCAAAAAACAGGTCTGGTCTTTTCTGCTGCTCTCCCTGTCTTTGCTTTTTATATATGTACATTTAAAGGAGAGGATGTGCTCTCCCTGCCTGGAGCATTGGCATTTCTTCAAATGTGCAAGCTCTCAGAATAGAGCCTTACTACAAAATGTCACTTAATGCATGAACATAATAAAATCTCCCTAATGAGAAAGGTCCTGACTGAAACACAGATTTAACTTTGGAGATGGTGGGAGTTGCTTATCTACTCCTTTCTCAATCAGTTTTAAGTATGATTGTGGGACTTAAGCATTTTCAAGTGATCTCCAAGAACGATTAACAGTTGTTTTTATTTTGCTCTGTGACATCTTTCTTGTTTTTTGTGTTTTAAATGGAGACAAAATTAACCTCATGGACGCACTGCTGTCTGCAGGATCTGTTTGATAATTTTTTTATTATTAATTCTCTGTTTCCTAGAAACATAATATAGAGTATCACATATTCAGCAGTAATACAGAGCGCCATCAACAAACTGAGAGAAAATAAGGTTTTGTGGATAAAGAGGCGGCAGGAATAGAAAGTGTCAGGTACGTTTAGGAAACCGTGTCCACCCGCCTGTGTCGTATGCAGTCTATCTTACAGAGGGGACAAAATGAATAAATCTATTTACTCACTCTCTCTCTCTGCAGATCATGGATCACAGCACACTAACCACAGCAGCCTAGTCTGAAGTAACCACATTTGCACAGCGAGGGTCCACCATGCGTGCAGTTTAGCTGATTTAGGAGCAGACAGAAGAAAAAAAAAATAGAGGATATAAAATCTTTTTAAGTTTTCAACACTTTAGGTTGTCCTATCAAGAAAAAGAGAAAAGCCCTAAAACATAATTTAATAAATATAAATTAGTGTATGCACACAAACAAAATCAAAGGAACATTTTTTATAAAAATGGAGATTTGGAGAACCAAACTTTTTGTGTAACAGTGATTTTTGTGGTTAAAGGAAAACAACATTCCTATCATAAAACAAAACCTTACAATGAAAAAGAGAGTTTTTGATTCGCAAACACTTTTTTGTATATTTTCTACCTGCAGTTGTTTCTCTGTGATGCTGTCGTTGATTTGAGAGGAAATGTTAGTTTGCAAAAACAAGAAATTGTGTTTTCCAAATACTTTACTACACCAGTCCCCTATTTTTTCGTCTCTAAATTTGTATTTGACAACAAAATCTTGTATCTACAAACAAAAAAAAAACGTTGCAAGTTTTTTGATTGGCCTCAATTGAGATTTAAAAGCAAAAATGTTTTAATTTGCAAACACACATTTACATTCTTAAAAAGTTGTTGATTTGTTGATAAAAGGTGACAACATAACAGATAAAAACTCTTCCTTGCTACTTTTTATTACAGGTGTTTAAAATCAAATGTTGCTAATTCCAGTGTTTGACCCGCAGACTAAACTTGATAGCTTGACGTTTGATAACAAAGTTGTACACTTACAAAGTTTTTACCTGCCAAAAAAAGAATAAAAACAACTACTACTATCAAGAACAAAAGTGTTTTATTTGAAATTTTAAAAAAAAAGTTATCTGATTTATCGGCTTAAGATCATATCATTGTTTTAACAGCAGTTTAAAGTTTTTCATGTTGTGTTGTTTCACTTGTAAAATCAGTTCATTGTACATCTGTGAAGTTTTCTTTTTTAACTTCCTCAGTTTGGACATAGAAACTCTAACATCTCTCACTTTTTATGTGTGATTCAGACCGTAAATAATGAGAAAACAAGCTTTCTACAATTTTCCAACCTCCCCAGAAGTTTCTGTTTCTGTCACAAACCGTCCCGATAACTACATTTGTTGACATTTGACTTCCTCTGAGTTAATTTTCTTCTCCTATTATCTCAGGAAAAAGAAACCTAAGCCCTGTTCTCCTCCAGTCGGCTCACACAATGGAGCCTCAGACGTCTGATAACTTTGTCATTTCTAATGTTTGCAGTCACACAGCTGAGTGGCAGCGGCGTGGGGGGCGGTATCTGCACACAGAGCGGCGATTAAAGCCCCGAGTACCGAGTCTTTCCTGTCAATCCCATTGGCTCCTGGTTTGACTGTGTTCTCCCTCCAGAGAAAAGCTGATTAGACTTTTCTTTGGGTCTAATTGAGGTTTGCTCTCATTTGTAGCTGAGAGCAGCAAACAGAGTGAACAAACAGCTTCTTAACATGGATTTAAACACAAAACATCACAGAGTTGCACGAGAAAAGACTCAAATAGAGAGAGAAATAATGCAGACAGAAATAATACTCCGATTTAGAAAAGTTTCTGGGGAGAAAGTTAGCTCACAATTAATTTGATGCTGAATGAACTTCTGTTGTAAAGTTACACATTTTTGGAAAATTTGTTCATACCTTGTTATTCATTTGGCATACTTGTAAATATACTTTTGAAATTAATTAATAAGTTTGTTATTTTTAGAGTGTTTTTTTAAATTATTATTATTATTCATATCAGGCGACAAATTCTAGTATACCTCAGTCCTGTCTCGTTTTTTCAGCTTCGTCATCCGAGTACTTTTGCCTACTCAATTTTCACATACTATCCATACTTTTTTCCATTTTGCGTTGAGTATACTCAAAATTTTAAGTGTTTAGTACTGGAAGTATGCGATTTGGGACACACCATGAGTCTTATTTTTCACATTCTTAAGGGTCTAAATGATGAATATGATCAAGTAATTGTGGAAGCGTGGCAGTAGATTTTCACGTTTCTGTGTTTATGGCTCAAATTGCATTGTAAGTTCACTGAGTCAAAGTGTCGCTGTCTGTGGTGCTTAAACTGAAATTTCATATTTTTTTAAACATGTTTGAACCATCTCAGAATAAAACCTGAAACAGCTTCAGACTTCGTTATTTTTGCAACAGAACACTAAGCCCTCTGTTCTGACACATCTTTATAACGCGTGTTTGTTGATAATTTAAGTTTTTTATTCATGATGTGGTAAAGTTTCTCTGAGCTTAGATTGTAATGGCTTTCCCCTTTCCTCGGTGCTTAGTCACACAGTGTAGCAGTGAGGTCAGTTTTTTTTCTCTGAGATGTAAAAAAGCATAAAGAAAAGCAAGTTTATTAATCAGGTCACAGTGATGAGGACTGAGATGTCATTTCAACAGCGATGACAGTCATCGTCTCATAATTTCTGCGTCCTCAGTTTAGTTGTTTGTGTCAAGTAATGGCGTGCAGAGCAACAGCTTCCTGATTAGAGCTGAAAAATAACAGTACCTCCATATCTGTTATCAGTCAGACGGATGAGAAGGTGAATGAGACAGAGAAAGGAGTAAAAGAGGAGTTCAGGCAGTGAGGATGAGCCTGTTAAAAGGGGGGAAATGTTGGCATGGCTTCTCTAAATCAGTATTGTAGTCAGATTTAGAATCAGGATTATTGCTGAGTGGATTTACATGCACGGTTAGATCCACTTTATTCAAAGAGAATGATTTATGTCATGCAGTAAGTTAGAAATGGCAGTTTGACTCTGCCCTGAGTGCTCCCTGCCCTTTCACGTGCAAATGTTGAACGGCAAAGCTCGTGGCAGGGGGAGCACACCTCCTCTCTGTTTTATGTGCGTACATTAAAAAAAATCTAAGCAGGAAGAGCATCAGCAAAGACCCCCATGGTATGAAACAGCATTGGAGACAATTCACATGGCCTTGGTAAAATCATTAAGAAGGAGCTGGGTGAGGCAGGGAGAGCAGCAGCAAAGCAGTTTGCAAAGGAAGCAGGAATCTTATCTACTGATGTAGGCTGTTCAAATTGTTCTTATTATAAACTAATATCTGCTGGGTCTTTGCGTTATCTTCATTTTCTTTCTTTTGCACTTTCAAAAATCGTCACTTTCTGACCATATTGTGTCTCCTGTGTGTTTCCTCCAGGTCGAGTTGGAGCTCGAGTTCTTCGAAACCAGCAGAGGCTGCTCTCAAGGGAGGGGGACGAAGTAGACGCCATGAGTAAGTCTGTTTTTTCTAAATTCGCTTCAGTCAATAACAGAATCAGATTTTAGTGTATTTTAGCATATTTAAAGGTACAGAGAGGTAGGACTGGGCGATTATAAGATCGGGATTAATGATCGTGATAAATTTCAGTTCGATCACGGTGATCAGCTATGAAAATATTTACTCGATCTAACATGGCGAAAATGTGCGTCACAACAGCCAATCAGAGTCTAGCTTTTACTGCTCACTTCTGTAAGTTGCTGTACAAGTAAACAGAGTAACTGAATGAAGAGCTGAGTGCAGTAAAATAGCTGTCATCCTCCAAAGATGTTATCCTCCAAAGATGTTACTGTAGTATTTATCTATTTATTTTTTAGTTTAAGTACAGATGCTTTAAAACTGGCAGTTACAATAAAATTGTGATAATGATCGAGATTGGACAATATGACAAAGTATATCGTGATCATGTTTTTGGCCGAATCGCCAGAGAGGTATACTGAGCTGAAAACTTTGTGCTGTTTGTTGTCTGTTCGTCTCCTTTAAAACGCCCCGTCCAATCCTCTCTGCCAGCTCAGGAGTTGAATCAGGGTTAAACCTCGAGGTCAGGGTGTATCTCCTGGTATTTCAGTCTATTTCGATGGCTTGCCCCCTTTTCTCTGGACAAAAAGCTTCTTAAAGCCCCTCGAGCCCCTTCTGATTTGGAACCTTGATCTATTTCAGCCCTAAAATCACCCAACCCAAAATAACCTTGAATCAGACTGTTTGGGGGTAAAAATTGGATAAAGCATGGATTTCAGTGAAGGGAAATAAGCAGGGTGAAGAAAGTCGAGTAACTGACTGGTTTCCAGGCCTGATTTTGTTCTTAAATCTGATCAAAAGTCATATATTTGTAAAAATGTATGATTAAAACAATCTAAAAATGAAGGTGTTGTGTTTGCAATGCCTTGAGTCTCAGTAGTATTGTTCTGTCAGTACATTCTATACAGTCAGGACATTGTTATGATTCAGCTTTATTTGTTATCCGTAGCTCCACAGCTGTAGGTTGAATTTCTGGTCTCTACCCATCCGTAAAGAAATGTACTTCCTTGTGTTGGATGTTTGCTCTTGTTGGCCACTGTAGAATTCCTCTCCCTGTTTTCTTTTCTGGAAAGCAAACTGAAATCATTGGGGAGAGTATGTGGATTAGAGAGCCGACATGTAGCATTCAAGGTTATTTGAGGGTGTTTTCCTAAAATCCCAGAGTATCAGACTAACCTGACAGATGGAGAAGAAACATTCAGACCCGCAGATATTTGACCTTGCAGTTCCTGCCTCCTGTACCCTGTCAGAGTTAGTGTCTTTGCTTCATGTGAATATTTCAGCTCGCTCAGTAACAATACGAGGATGTTTCCTCCTCCCGGCAGACCTTTAATCAGCCCCTCTCTTGTTGCTCAGGGTTTTTCAGCCATTGTGTTCTTCCTATTTGAATCCCGTCCTCCTTTAGCTCACTTGTTTTTCCTCTACAGTCGTCAGCCTGGCTCTGTCCATCACTGTGGTTACTCTGTGGTTAGGGGAGTGACTCATGTAGAGTCTTTTTCAGAACGGATGACGCCGACATTTTAATGCACCTTACCAAAACTGAACCCACTGCAGCGCCAGTTTATTGGTAAAACGTCTTTAGGTTGTTTTCAGACTGAATGGATGAGTCCCACGCTGTGATTTGTTGAAGTGTCTCTGCTGTTTTTCTTCAGGCCTTATTCTCTCCTCTCCTCACAAACTCAATAAAGTATAGTATCTATCTATCTAAACCTGCATTTATCGGATGTTTTCTATCCTGAGCACCCAAAGGAGTAACCTATCGAGCTTTTGCTGGAGGATGTTATAAATGGAAATTTACTCTAACTTCCATCGGCTTTGTTAACAGGGTCAGGCGATATGTGTTTCAGCAGCAAGTAAACACTAGAAACTAAAGGATAGAGAGATTTATGAACATAGTTTCTGCTGTTAAGTTTTGCAGCAGCATATCACTGGAATTAAAGAATCGGTTTTACTTTAATCAAAAATGTTTAAAATGTTGTCAACATTTCCACCATGCATAGTAGACCAGTAACCTTGTACTTTGATGCTCAATGAGTCCAGGATGGAGAAACACACATCACTTGTTCAGTTACAAAGAGAGATAAATGAATCTCTAAATTTTACATTTACAAGATCCTGCAACGAAGGCATTGTGAGTTACTCTTTCTGGGCACCGCAGGTTCCTGCAGCACAGATGTTAAGGAAAACCGCAACTTGGACAACCTCTTCTCCAAAGAAGGGGTTGCAGCCGAGGTTGCTCAGCTTCCTAATTGGAGTGCTGGGGGTGGGAGGAAACGCCCCCTGGAGGAGGGCAATAATGGGCACACGCACTCCAAGTACAAACCCAAGAAGCGAAAGAAAGTGGCAGGGCCCGTCCTGCCCAAGAACGCCCTCATGCAGCTGAACGAGATTAAACCGGGGCTGCAGTACAAGCTGCTGTCTCAGACTGGGCCAGTCCATGCACCCGTCTTTGTCATGACCGTGGAGGTCAACGGGCAGCTCTTTGAAGGATCTGGTCCCACCAAGAAGAAGGCTAAATTGAACGCAGCTGAAAAGGCACTGCGATCATTCGTCCAGTTCCCAAACGCCTCAGAGGCCCACATGGCGATGGGTCGGACTCTGTCAGTCCACACAGACTTCACCTCAGACCAGGCTGACTTCCCAGACATGCTCTTTAATGCTTTTGAAACGTCGCCCTCTGTAGACGACCCTTTTTACCTCGCCTCCAACGGTAACGGCTCCTTCTGCTCTCTGGGGATTGAGTACCCGCTGCTTCCCTCCCCTATCCCAAACCTGATCCAGCCCCCCTTACCTCCACCTCCCTCCACCTTTATGCCCCCGACAAGTGGCAAGAACCCTGTCATGATCCTCAACGAGCTTCGGCCGGGCCTAAAATATGACTTTGTGTCTGAGAGTGGGGAGAGCCATGCCAAGAACTTTGTCATGTCGGTGAGGGTTGATGCTCAGAACTTCCAGGGATCAGGACGGAACAAGAAGCTGGCCAAGGCCCGAGCTGCCCAGGCTGCCCTGTCCGCTCTGTTCAATATGCAGCTGGATCAGGCCCCGTCACGGCAACCCATACCCCGAGAGGGACTGCAGCTTCACCTGCCACAGGTAAGAGCACAGGAGGCAAATTACGAGTAAAAGAGTCCACCTGTCCACCATCTGTCTGTCATTTTCCTCCCATCTTGATTAAAGACATGATGGTTGGAAGAGAGACACCACTCTGCTTTGCAACCTGTGGAGTTTTTTATTTTTATTTTTTTAAATCAAAAAATAACAAAGGTGATATTCTCCCTCATTATTTGATCAGAGACAGTCCTTTTTGGCAAGTAAATAATGATGCAAAAGTCTAAACATTAAGGGTTTTTCTTGTAGCTTTAACAAATGCTAGACGGTGTTCCACAGGGGTCGATACTGGGTCCTATGATATTCATTATTCTTGTCAATGACTTATGTAATCTTGTTGCAAATTACATTTTTATGAATACTTTTGCTTTGCAGAATCTTTCTTGATTCATTTTTGTTTCTGAAATTAAGTGATAGCTAAGGTGCCAAAAGCTGCAGTTCCTCCAGAGTCCAGCAGAGGCAATCTCCTGCAATGAGTCAGTTCCTATCAAGAGTCATGTAAAATTGTTACTGCATAAATAAACATGTTCACAGTCTGGTACACAAACAGTTTGGATCTCCTGTAAAGTTGGACATTTTAATATGCGGCTCTATAGGAACTAACTCACTATAGGACACAGCCTCTAGTGGACACAGGAGGAACTGCAGCCTGTAGCGCTTCAGCTTCAATTTTAGCCCTGTAAGTTTCCACTTGACTCAGGTGAAGTCACCTTGGCTGTTACAAAATGCCTTAGTAGACCTAAAGCGTGTACAAACATCACCCGTTATGACCCACCTGTCAGAGTCTGACTAAAGATGGAGAAGCTTCAGGAGAGTGTGACACACTGAGAATCTATTTACACGTAAACTAATCCCTGCCTGTAATCCCTGCACACTGATAACAAAGACGCTATCTTAATTAGCATCTCCCTCTGAGTGCTATTCAAACTCTGCCGTTCATTATAGCAGCCTCTGCGGTCCCTCACAGAGCAGGCAGCCAAGCAGGGATCTGACTGTTTTAAGCTGCTCACATATCTGCCTGTCATTCACACCAGAGCTGCGTTTTTAATTGAAATATTCAGATATAGTTTCAGAGCAGATAAGAGGAGCTTTCACCTGCTTTATATTAGACTGAGGTGTCAATGTTATCCTTTCTTCAACATTTTTACTGTATAATAACAAGGACTGAGAAATACAGTTAGGTGTATACCTAGGCTTAAACACAACCTTACATACAAGCCCAATTTAAGGTGTCCTGTGTGAAATGTCGATAAATGATGAATAAAGAATTTTGATCATTTTCAAATCAGATAATCCCTACAATTGATTGAAAATTGTGCAAAGACAACATATTGGATGTTTGAAAAATATATGTAGGCTATATTCAATATTTAATGCAGTAACACGTTTGTAAAAAGTGGCTCCTGGTTCCCTTTTTCTCTATCACTCTATAAACATTTCTGGAGTTTAAAAGTGAAATGTCCCATTTTTGCCCAATAGAGGATTTCAGCTGCTCAACAGTTCAGGGTCTCCTTTGTTCCATTTTTGGTGTCATGGTGCTTTAAAGGTTTTCAATCGGTGACAAGTCAGGATTACAGGCAGATCAGTTTATCAGCAGGACTCTTCTACTACAGAGCCATGCTGTTGTAATCCCTGCAGAGTGTGGTTTGTCATAGGGTTGGGTGATATGGACCAAAAGTCATATCCCAATATATTTAGGCTGTATATTGATATATGATAAATATCCTGATATGGTTTTTGCAAAGTGAGAGCAAATGTTTAGTCACAGTCAAAGCCAACTATGACACGTCACAAGTAGTTACATTTCCCCCTCTCTTTTTTTACTTTGATAAACAGTTAGTGCTGTCTTCAAGGTAGACATTAGAGGACAGACAAGTGTGTCCTTCTTTGTTTAAAGATTATGTGTGAAAAACACCAGCCTGTCAACTACAGCATCTGATATTTGTATATCGTTATATGCGATTTGGTCCAATTCCATATCTCATTTAAAAATATATTGATATATTTCTTATACCGATATTTTTTGTCTGCGTTCAACATGTTGGTGACATCAAATTTGAACCGGCTGAGATTTTTCACAAACAGTCAGACTAACTTCTGATTTTTTTTCTTTGTACTATTTTAAATAGGCTGGAAATAATTTTAAAGACATCATAAAGAGTCCTGATTTTGGTGGAGTGAAAGGCTTTACAAAATAATATAGTTAAAGCTAAATTAATCAAATAATCCTGCTGAATTAAAACAAATTTTCTCTTGTCTCCCCCTCAGGTCCTGGCAGACGCTGTTTCCCGTCTGGTCGTGGATAAATTCAGTGAACTGACAGAGAACTTTGCATCCCCGCACGCTCGACGGAAAGTTCTGGCAGGCATTGTCATGACAACAGGTAAACCCCAAACTAAGGCCAAGGTGTTTTGAGGCTGCATGTGGAGTAAAAATGGGATTGAATGCTGGAAGCTGCAGAATCAAGTGATGAAGGGATTTTTATTGAGTCTGGATCCTGCTGCAGATTTTCAGTCCCGGGCTGTGATTGTGGAGCTTTTGTGCTTTTATGAAATATATCAGATCTAACCTGACTCTGACCCTGAACCACAATTTTCACACACAAAGGGAGATTACAAACAAATCTCAAGGTTGAAATATTGCTGTTTAAGGTCGCTGGTTTACTTAAAAAGAAGATGTAAATAAATCGCCAGATCAATCTGCCTCAGCTGCAAATATGTGAAAACTTGTATGAGTCATACTTTAGTCGTAGTCGTACTTTGTATGAGTCATGTAACGTCACTGTTAGACTGTTATCTCTGTCCTCTGGGTTCAGGTACAGATGTGAAGGAGGCGGAGGTGATCTGCGTCTCCACAGGGACAAAGTGTATAAATGGTGAATATATGAGTGACAGAGGTTTGGCCCTAAACGACTGTCATGCTGAGATCGTGGCTCGCCGCTCACTCATCAGGTTCCTGTATTCACAGCTGGAGCATTTCCTCAGGTGAGAGCTGACAGGCTCACTCTGTCATCTTTTAGTACAGTGGTTCTCAAGTCCAGTCCTCAAGGCCCACTGTCCTGCATGTATTGGATGTTTCCCTGCTCCAACACACCTGATTCAAATGATCAGCTCGTTATCAAGCTCTGTAATGGCTTAATAACGAGCTCATCATTTGAATCAGGTGTGTTGGAGCAGGGAAACATCCAATACATGCAGGACAGTGGGCCTTGAGGACTGGACTTGAGAACCAATGTTTTAGTATGAATACTGTGGTCTTTATAAGTTCAGTGAAGTTCCTGTCAAGTCAGCGAGGAGAGCAGGCCCATGAAACAGTAAAATAATCTAGATATTTTAAATTTATGTTGGTGTTTCGTTCTGCAGCTGAATAAAACAGAACGTTTTTCCAAATCTACATGGAAAAATTCTGAGAGAAAACTTATCAGTCCAATGAAAGATTTTATAATGCAAGTGAAAATAAATATTTATAAACAAAAATTGTCCGCAACCTAAAATGTTATCCCAAAACTTAGTTTTAGAAAAAAAAAAAAAAAAAAAATCGTTTTTTTTTTCATCTAAAACTTGAATCAAAAGTTTTGTTTCCTAATCCAAAATTTTAGGTGTAAATCAGTTTTGTCATTTCATATCAAAACCTTTCTTAATTTAATTAAAAAATATATCTAAGTTTATTATCAAATGATTTGTTTCGCAAAGACATGTTTAGTTTAAAAAATTCAGTGAACAAATCAAAGTAAAAAATAAGTATTTGGTCAGCTATTTCCCAAAAGTTTGACTGTTAAATACAAACATACATTTAAGTTTTTCTCTTTTGAATCCTTTTATTTTGTTTAAGTAATGTTGACAAAAGTGACTCCATCATTTTTCAGAATTTTGATAAATAACTTTAAACTGAGGCTTATTTTTTTACACAGTGCAGGATTTCTCCCACACAGGTGATAAATCAACACAGACATCTTAAGTCTCCCTTTTAGCCAATCAGAGAGTTTGTGTGCTTGTATTATTAAAATTTAGTATTTACTTTGTGTACCTGTATCAGTAATATTTTGTATTTTCTGTCTCCAGTAATCAGGAGGAGGAGCACCAGCGGTCCATCTTTGTCCGCTGTGATAACAGACAGGGATTCAGACTAAAGGAGAACGTCCAGTTCCACCTTTACATCAGCACCTCGCCCTGCGGAGACGCCCGGATCTTCTCCCCTCATGAAGCCGGGGTGGAAGGTGAGTTCAGGAGAAATTCAGATGTTTACCTGCATAGAAAGGTGTGGCTGACGTTTGTGTCCTTTTTATTGATCCTCTCAGATCAGGGGGATCGACACCCGAACAGGAAAGCTCGCGGTCAGCTCCGCACTAAGATCGAGTCTGGTGAAGGAACCATCCCAGTCCGGTCCAATAACACCATCCAGACCTGGGACGGAGTTCTGCAGGGGGAGAGGCTGCTCACTATGTCCTGCAGCGACAAAATTGCTAGGTCAGTGTGATACCCTGGGGGTCTTTGCTGGTGCTCTCCCTGCCTCAGCTTTTCATATTTATGTATGGAAAGGAAACAAAAGAGAGATGTGCTCTGTCTGCAGCAGGCTTTGTTATTCAACTTACCCATGTGAAAGGACTTGAAGCTTTTAGAGCAGAGTCATACTATGAAATATCCTGGGGTCTTTGCTGGTGCTCTCCCCACCTCAGCTTTTTATATATCCGTATAAAAAGGAAACAAAAGGGAGATGTGCTCTGTCCGCATCAGGCTTTCTTATTCAACTTACCCACGTAGAAGGACTAGAGCAGAGTCATACCATGAAATATCCTGGGGTCTTTGCTAGTGCTCTCCCTGCCTCAGCTTTTCATATTTATGTATGGAAAGGAAACAAAAGGAAGATGAGCTCTGTCCGCATCAGGCTTTCTTATTTAACTTACCCATGTGGAAGGACTGGAAGCTTTAAGGGCAGAGTCATACCATGAAATATCTTGGGGTCTTTGCTAGTGCTCTCCCTGCCTCAGCTTTTCATATTTATGTATGGAAAGGAAACAAAAGAGAGATGTGCTCTGTCTGCAGCAGGCTTTGTCATTCAACTTACCCATGTGAAAGGACTTGAAGCTTTTAGAGCAGAGTCATACTATGAAATATCCTGGGGTCTTTGCTGGTGCTCTCCCCACCTCAGCTTTTTATATATCTGTATAAAAAGGAAACAAAACGGAGATGTGCTCTGTCCGCATCAGGCTTTCTTATTCAACTTACCCACGTAGAAGGACTAGGGCAGAGTCATACCATGAAATACCTTGGGGTCTTTGCTAGTGCTCTCCCTGCCTCAGCTTTTCATATTGATGTATGGAAAGGAAACAAAAGGAAGATGAGCTCTGTCCGCATCAGGCTTTCTTATTCAACTTACCCATGTGGAAGGACTGGAAGCTTTAAGGGCAGAGTCATACCATGAAATATCTTGGGGTCTTTGCTGGTGCTCTCCCTGCCTCAGCTTTTTACATTATTGTATAAAAAGGAAACAAAACGGAGATGTGCTCCGTCCGCATCAGGCTATCTTATTCAACTTATCCACGTAGAAGGACAAGAGCTTGGTGAATTTGGTTGGTTAACATTTGGTTAATTTGCCATGAGAGTTTATTTTATTTATTTTGAATCCAGCCGTTTGTTCATAGCTGCAGATTAAAACATTTTATAGCTACGACATGCAGTGAAAGGGCAAAACTTTATGTTTTTAACCTAAATGTGTAGATTTAAGCCTGGACTCTGAATCTCTGCAGCTGCAGACCAAACTATTATTATTATTATTATTATTTATTAATTTTTATTTTTTTTTATATTATTATTGTTGTTATTATTATTACTATTATTTGCTTTGATTATTGTTACTGTTGTTTTGAATGTTCTCATTTTGTTAGTTTGTTTGTTTGTTTTCAGTTTGCTTTCTTGTGTTGCACGCAGGTTCAAAAAAATATATGTAGTTAAATTAATATACAAATAAATTTAAACAGTTTTCTTATTATGAAACATCACCATCTTATACAGTTTACAGTGGCTCAGGTGGTAAATAAATCAGTGTGATGTATAATCCAGCTTTGACACGAACTGAAGTTTCCCTCTTCACTGTATTAAACACCGCGCTGCAGACCCACTCCAGGCCTGAAGGGTTTTTTTGAGCCGAACAGCAGGATGCCTGGTGATTATGTGCATGTTTGAAGAGGCTGATTTATCTCTGCAATCACTCAGTCAGGTGTCATCGGGCCTGCAGCGCCCTGATTAGGCTGCCTGATGAATCTACAGGAGGCTGCTAACAGCTCGGGACTCCTCTGAGCTCCAATCAGATCCAGAGGCTTAGTTTGAACAGTGAAGGTTTTTGCAGATTTCAATGTTTGTGAACCTCCTTCGACTCGGCTGTTTACTAAAAAATGACCAGAGGACCCTTACGGATGAATCTGTGGTTCTGTCCCTGTTCAGGTGGAACGTGGTGGGCTTTCAGGGCTCTCTGATGAGCTACTTCACTGAGCCCCTCTACTTCTCCAGCATCATCCTGGGCAGCCTGTACCATGCAGACCACCTCTCACGAGCCATGTACCAGAGGATTGCTGAGATCGAGGACCTGCCACCATCCTTCAGCCTCAACAGACCACTGCTCAGCGGTGAGAAAAACGGACATGATGCTTATTCTACACCAGTTTTACACACAGAGGGCCTGATTTATCCAACCCAGGATGCATCTTTATTTCGCCTTCTACAATAGTTCATATCTTATGTACTGTGTCTGTATTTTACAGGAATCAGTAATGCAGAGGCACGTCAGCCTGGGAAAGCTCCAAACTTCAGCGTGAACTGGACTGAAGGGGATCATGGTCTGGAGGTGATCAATGCCACCACGGGAAAAGACGATCTGGGTCGACCGTCCAGACTCTGCAAACATGCTCTGTATAGCCGCTGGATGCGCCTGCACTGCAAGGTAACATGCTGATTTGATCTCAACTGTGGAGTGGATTGATGATTTCAGAAGACTGATCCATATTTAGAAATTCAAATCCCCAACTCGCCGTAAGAAAAATCTTTTCAGAAAGGACACACAAGAAGATTTGAGGTCCTTCTGACAGCCTATTTTGGACTAAAAAGCCACTAAAAAAAACTTAAAAACCTCAAAGCAGAGCCATACCATCAAAAATTACTTCAAATTCATGCAAATAATAATTCTTGGAACTAAAGTGCCTCTTATTGAACTTTTTGATGCTCTTCGCTGTTTTGTTTGCTGTTCTCGTGAAAAATTTCTGTCAAACTTAACAAATATCACTTATCTAATGACAAATTAATAGTAAAATACTGTTTTTTTTCTCAATAGAAACACCTTGTATTAACATAAAGCTGTTATATTAGATTGAGTCACAACTTCTCAGTGGTCTGTAGAGTCTCTCTTAAAGCTCCTGTCAGGATTTTAAGGTTTGAGACAGTTTTGGCGCCCACCTGTGGACAAAGTGTTTATTGCTGATTTTGTCCTGTAAATGTGAAAGTTGTGTTCATTAATGAAACTTTTATTATTCTCTCTTGTTGATGGTCTTGTTGGCTTGAGTTTTAAGGTCCTTACACACCGGGGCCGACACGAATATAGAACGCAAAATCCCAAAATGTTCGGTGGCGAATTTTGACGCGCTTGACTATACACATCAAGCCCGATGCGATTTTGCGACTTTCCAGGGGGAAAAAGACTTTCCGGGCTGGAACTGAACCACGGTCGCTGATTGTTTTCGGTTCTGATTAGACACTAGTGTTGAGATGGCTTTCTGTCATGATAGCATGTACTGAGTCGGGGCCAGTACCAGATAAGCACATGAAACTATGGTAACAACTGTTAGCTTACGTTAGCACAGATGAAAGTTAAAACAAAGACGTTGAGCAAACTGTTAAAGCACGACGCTATGACTCTCCACAAGTTGTCCTTCAGGTCGTTATCTTTGTAATATTTGTGTTTTTTTATCAAAATAGCACTCTGTTTCCGACACGTAAACAAGCAGCCAGTCGGCCATGTTGGATATACCGGTGAATCCGACGTCGCCACAACACGCAATCTGATTGGTCAGAAGTGGACACACAGTATGCGAAACTTTAGAAAAATCGACCATGATCCGAAAAAATAAATGCCGCAATATTGCAGGACGGGAAAATGTCGCTGATGTGAACGCTTGTATTGACAGGATACGGGTTCAAAAAAAAACAATGACGTCCGAAATAATCGCACGACAAAATCGGTCCTGGTGTGAAAGGACCTTCACAGAGGCATTACAATAGTGTTCAGTCTGTTTCATAACCACATAAAAACGTCCTCACAGGAGCTTTAAACTCATGACACTGTTTTTTAAACAGTTTAACTCTTTTATCACCTTCACAGTTCAGTTGTGTGTCTGTGTCTTCGTCCCTCAGCTGTCCTCCACCCTGCGGATCAGGACAGCGAGACCCAGCAGCTACCACGAGGCCAAGCAGGCGGCGGTGGAGTACCACAGCTCCAAGCAGACCCTGTTCAGATCCTTCCAGAAAGCCGGACTGGGAGCATGGGTGAAGAAACCCATCGAGCAGGACCAGTTCACCCTCAACACCTGAGTCGAAACTTCCTGAAACTCTCTGAAACAAGAATAATCCTCTTTTGGATCATCATGAACCGGATTGAAATCTGCAGATTAGAACTCCTCCTTCCTCTCAGCCAGCACTCAAACAGATTATTCAGACAGTTATGCAACTTTTTACACGGACACACATACGAACTGACTTCCTCTAAAGGAGAAGAGTTTACTCATCCAAACCAAACCCATGTCTTTATGTTCACGATCTTCAACTCAGATTATCAGTGTGATGATAAATCTTGAATGTCAGCCTGTTTTCTGCTGCAGCTCTCTGACTGCAGGACGCCGCCACGTTCGTTCAATCATTTGAAACCGAGGTTAACACTGAGCGCGTTTTCGTATTTTTCCAAACAAAAGACAAAAGGAGCTCAGCATGGCGGGCTTCCCTGTGCTGTTTTCTCTCCCATATATCAAACTCATAGCAGCTGTTTTCCTCTAATGTCTTGCTCAGTGAGTCTCATTCATGAAGATTTTGTTACTCTGTGTGACTAACACTTCACCCGATGTATAAGTACGGTAGAAAACTTGAATTTGATTGTAGGCCTGTAAGTATGTTTATGAATGCTGACAAATCACAAATTGACTGCATGTTCCCACTAGTCAGCATGAAGTAAAAATCTCTGCGCACTAATAGTCAATGCCCACCATATAAGGACGTGTGGATATGTTCTTCCTGTGGACCGGTGAACTTTTCAGACGCAAAGATTGAGGATGTTTTGGGTGAAGTGAAATTCAGAGAAAATTTTTTGTCTGCCTCTGTGAGGGGTGATGTGAGTCCCACCTTCAGATCAGAGTTAGTCTGCTCTGTAACAGCTGGAGTCGCTGCGTGGCCTTCATTATAAACTAGGGTCACAGCTTCAGTGGGTGACATCTGTCTGCTTTGGATAAACAGTTAGTTAGAGCCCTACGGTGTCGGGTAAAGAGAAAACTATCATCCACCTGCAAATTTGTGGTTATGGATCACAAGTCCTGCACACGTCTTTTGAAGCTTCATGTTTTTCTTTCTTGAAGAGCATGGCTGGCTCAACACACACGAGGTAGATCAACAGGCTGTATTCTCGTGATCTTTTGATAAACCATCAATCTCTCACCGCTGAATGAGTAACAGTGGATGAAAACCTGTGTGGTTGTGAATGTACACCAGTGGTTTTCAAGTCTAGTCCTCGAGGTCCACTGTCCTGCATGTTTTGGATGTTTCCCTGCTCTAACACACCTGATTCAAATAATCAGCTCATTATAATGGCTTACTAACAAGCTGATCATTTGAATCAGGTGTCTTGGAGCAGGGAAACATCCAAAACATGCAGGACAGTCGGTCTCGAGGACTGGACTTGAGAACCACTGCACTAACGTCATCATAAGTGGAGACTGGGGGAAGCTCTACAGTTTTGCTTCACTTGTAGAGAGCTGTCATGTCCTCCATGTTTTTGTTCAGTTTCGAACCACCTGATATCAGAGGAAAACAGCCGCCATGTTAATTTGGCGAATGGCTTTTGGTCCATATCGGCTCTTCCTTCAGGTTTCTGCCTCCTCTGTCTCCTCGGTCATTTTCTCCAGTCAGACAACACCAAGCAGGAGCAATACTTATAGGTGTCCTGACACAACAGTGTAAGAAACGATTTGTCCCTATTTGAGAAAACAGGTAAAAGTCCTGCAGTGAGTGACTGTTAACTCTCTTTCTGTCATAAACAAGGCCAGTAAAAAATCACCAAAGATGATGTCAGTGTGTGTCAGAGTTTCATATCTACTCTGTTATTGTTTTATTCTTTCATTGTCATAAAAAAAGTTTGTCTTTTTGTGCAGAATCACAGTTTACATCACAAACTCCTGAATTACCTGTTTCTGAACTCTCAGATTTGTAATCTTACTTATTTCTGTTGCTGTGAAAGTCAGAACCTCAATCACACACAAACAGGGTATATTGAACTTTTAATGTATTTATTTTCTTGACATGTTTTGAATTTTTCTCTGTTTTATTTCTAAAATTGTGTCTCTGAGCATGTGCAAACCTGTCTCTGTCTGACAGGGTATAAAAAAAGGAGAATCAGTACAACTCTATAATTCTGTTTTGGAGCAAAGGGAGGCTGTAAATGGAGACAAAGGGACGAGTGAGAGCAGTCTCACTGGTTTAAGATGGACTGTGAGGCCTGATGCATGAGCTGGAGCTGTAAAGCATGAAAATATCGAACATGTAGAAACAGAGACGATTGAATAAAAAGCTGTTCCTGTGATCTGCAGACTTGTCTTTGTGCTGCTTTGAAGCTGACTTTATACTGTTAAACTCTCAGCATCACTTGAAGTGAAAAACGCAGAAAAAGCTGGTGTTGAGACAAATCTAAAGAAGCTGTTCCTCTTTTGTTGTTGTCGACACAAAGACCCGGATGGCTGCCGTTTATCTTCTCGCATCTTAATCTGTCCTCTCCTCCGTCTGCAGCTTTTAGAGGCCGCTCCTCTGAGTCCTATCAGCCTCCTGCACCTGAGCAACATGAGACACAGGTAATCTCACTGGGGATTACCTGTCCTCTCTGCACACACCTGCATGCCTCTGTATCTGAACTGAACTCAGCTCTGAGCAGGATGATGTTTGCAGCTGATTTATGGGCGGTGAGGTTTGAGTTGATGGATCCGGGCTGAAGTGAGAGGAAAGGTGGATTAGTCGTGAAGTTGAAGATTGTCTCTCCTGCTTCAGTTCTTTTTCTCTTCCTTCCAATTAAGTCTGTAAAGTCTGACACACATCAGACTTGTTGGTGGATTACTCATGTTAGATTGATTTGACTCCACAGCGGAGGTTTTGACATCACTTTTCCCCTTTAAATGGTCTGTTTTCAACAGGAAAACAGCCTCACACTCCCTGTGAGATCCTCAGAAACTGAATATTTCAGCTGAAGCAAAACTGGATCCGAGCCGACTGTCCCGTCCTCCTCGTCTCTCTCTGCGGCTCAGTGGCTGAGGTTGTCCGTCTCCTCATTAGTCTCAGCTCAGCTGCTCCCGGAAATCAAACTCCATTAGCAGCTTAATGGACTGAGCGGACTGAGTGCAGGTACAGTACAGCAGCAGATGGTGGAGACACTCAGACCTCAGTTTACTTTAAGATGTAAAACCACCAAATAACTTTATCATCCCACTTTTATATCAGCAGTTTGTCCCACTCTGATTTTAACCATTAGGATAATCTCGCTTTGGTCATCTGACTCAATAAACTCATATTAACAGCAGAGGACCAAGCTCATGGAAAGGCAGCTGTGCCAGAATCAAACAACTTCCTTATTTCCCATTGAGAAGTCTTTTTAGAGGTGTTTTCAGACCTTAAACAAGAGAAATCATCTCTTTTAAATCCATGCGAGTTGAAAACAGTTGAACTGTAAGAAATTGGTGCAACTTTACCAATTGTTTCTTTTCATCTTGCAGACAGGCCTGAAAAGTTGATGCTGACTTTCACAAATCAGCATCCTGATACCGTGATTTTAGCATCATTTCAGCCTGATAACTGTCATCATATCAGATAAATATGTTTGTTATTAAATCACAGTCAAAGGTGTTTATTTTAGAGTATTAAGACTGAAAGAGAGAGTAAAATGAAGACTTGGTTAAAACAGATACAGTGAAACTGAGACTCAGTCGTGACTGTTACAGTGAAACTATGACTGGTAGAGACAATAGGTGAAGCTAAGATAAACAGTACAAAAAAGACCCAAAAGAAACTAGAACAGCCAAACTGACACTCAGTGGTGACAGGTACGGTAAAATAGAACTGGTTCAGCAAAATTCACTCAATCCTAGTCTCAATAAAGTCAGATGCAGTGAAACTGAGATTCTGTAGAGACAAGTAACGTGAAACCAAGATTCATAGTGGATCTCAAAGTAAAGACAAATAAACTGAAACTGAGAGTTTGAAAAGACAGATACAGTTGATTTGAGACGTAGTAGAGACACGTACATGGAAAGAAGGTCTCAGTGGAGACAGATGTAGTGAAACTGTGATTCGGTGAAGATAGTTACAGTAAAACTAAGACTCAGTAGGAATGGAAACAGAAAAAAAACAAGACCTGGTAGAGACACATAAAGTTAATTTGAGACATAGAAGAGACACGTACATAGAAAGTGAGTCAAAGTAGAGACATATATAGTGAAACTATGACTTAGTGAAGATAGTTACAGTAAAACTAACACCCATTAGGAATGCAAACAGAAAATAATGTGACCTGGTAGAAACAGATAGTTAATTTGAGGCATAGAGGCACATACATGGAAAGTAAGTCTCAGTGGAGACAGATATAGTGAAACTATGACTCAGTGAAGATAGTTACAGTAAAACTAAGATTCATTAGGAATGGAAACAGAAAAAAAACATGACCTGGTAGAGATAGATACAGTTCATTTGAGACATTGTAGAGACACGTACATGGAAAGGGAGTCTCAGTGGAGACAGATGTAGTGAAACTATGACTCAGGGCAGACAGTGGTAGTAAAACTGAGACTCTTTAGGGATTAAAATAGAAAAACAAGACCTGGTAGAGATAGATACAGTGAATTTAAGGCATAGTGAAGACATATACAAGGAAACAGAGACTCAGAGGAGATAAATTAGAAATGGCTCTTGGTTGACTGAGAAACAGTGAAAGCGAGACCCATAATGGAAATAGAAAAACAGTACAATAAAGCAGAGTCAATACAGTAGGTACAGACCCTGTAAAACTGAGACTTAGCACAGATTAAATAAAATCGAGACCCAGTCCAGTGTCAATATAATGTACACTTACTATGAGATCATCTTTATTACTCCCAAACATCCAGGGATCCCTGATGAATGCAACAGCACTTGCACTTTTCAGGGGTTCCTGTTTGGTTGCTCCCTCTGTTTCATACTGGTTCTATATGTGACAGAGTAAAGTTCCCTTTGATGATAAAGCATAACTGGTTACAACATGCGGACCTGAAGATGTCCCTTGGATCAGTGTCTTCCTCTGTAGCTGCGTTTCCATTACCCATAGATTTGCGCAAAACGTAAATATCGCAATAGAAAACTGGTAATGGAAACACCTACATTTCGAAAAACCTCCCAAATATCGCTAAAAAGTTTTTACGCTCTCATGAGGTGGTTTTTCAGAAGTGTCGAAGTATATCGCAAAAGTGTAATGGAAACACTTTTCTCGCAATTCTCTGTCACCGGACGTGACGTAGCGGGTCAAGTGACCAGTTCATTTCAAGCGTAGATGGCACGGTATATGTGGACGGGGGAGGAGACGGACTTATTTCTGAAGTTTTTAATTGTATTTGTATTTTTCTGAAGTTTTGAATCCACAATTCGTCTGTGAATTCCTCATTAACGATCCTCTCCCAGAAATCGCTCATCCGTGTTCGCTCCCATACATACGAGCTTTGCCTTTGAATTATCAGCCGCTGCCTTCGTCTTCTGATGACAGCAGCGGCAACAGCAGTAATGGTCACAGAAATAGCTGCTCCAAAACGAAAAATGTTTTGTGTCTCGTCCATGTCGGTGTGCAAAAAGGCTTAAGGAATACGAGGTCGCACGGGCAGGAAGTTTACCTCGTTGCTAGGCAACGGCCATTTAAACACGGCTCGCGAGAGGCAGACGGCTCGCTTATGCACTGAACACCATTCAATGGAAACACCCGCAAATCGCAATTGTACTTTGTCGAAATTTGATAAACATCGCTTTTATTTTGCGAAAAAATGTAATGGAAACGCAGCTAGTGTTCTCAGTGTTCCCCGATGGCCTATGTGATGACCTTAGTGACATCAGTCTGATCAGCTGCACCTGCATAATGAGCTCAAACTCATAGTACTGCTGTAATTTGTTTGACACAAAGTGCAGCTGACTCTGGATGGTCAGTTGTGCCATCAGGGTGGTCGTGGAGCAAAATTAGCCATTCAAAAGTGTAGTGGTTTTGCTATTTCATATAAATAAGCATGTCCATTTCTGAGCATAATTAAGACTTAAGGTGTGAATAACTTTACATTAAAAGAGTATTAACAAAAAGCACGGTAGCATAGAAGAAAGACGAGTAAAAAGGATGAAAAAGAAGAATTAAACCTGACCTGGACATGCTCTTTGAATAATTCATGGTCCTATAAGTACACTGTGAGATATAAACCAATAGAGAAAGACTGCATCATATTCATCATGCTGTGAATAGTCAATATAAAACTTTTAATTAATGTTCTCTGTGTGCCCTAATGCATCACTATCAGTCAGACATTAATAATCAATCAGAGGAGAGTCAGAGTGTTTTTCTAAACCCTCCATATTTGTAACAGATGTTTATGAGGTGGAGTATTGAAGGGTCTTGGTAGTCCAGGTAGCATCACCTGCTATAAATCACAGCTCAGGTCAATGAGACCTTCGACTCAGTTCAAGGCTGGAGTCTGTATTTAAATCTGCTACTGTGTGGAGGTGATGTATGCACAGACACAGAGAGAAGCCACCCTCTTCCTCTTCCTCCTCTCCTTCTTCTTCTTCTTTCAGTGACCTTTACCTCCTCTATCTGTGCAAAGCTGCAGACAGGTGCAGGTGAGAAAATGTCAGACTGAGTGTAAAATGAGATTTTTACTTCCGATGATTGCATGTTTTTATGTCCCTGCATCATAAAGATCAAATCTGACTCTAAATAAAGACTTAAAGCTGGATGATGAGTTTATTGGTAAGAAAAACCTGACCTGAATGAAACCTCAATTTCTGCTCAGTTGACAAACTGCACCCAGATTTTCTCTCAAACTGAAGCTTCACTCTGACAGTCGGATTTCTAATTATCGTCTTTAAACAAAAAGAAAATCCAGATTAGATCATGTTAAAAATAGACAACCTGCATTTGCATTTAAATGCATGTTTGACCTCTCTATCACACACCCGTCCAGCTCTGATTTAAACATCATGAAGTCCAGATAAATGTTGACATGTTAGACAGCAGTGACAGAGTTAAATTCTGTAGGATCCTTTATTTAACTCTACCACACTCTGCTGCAGCTGATAGGATAGATATGAGGACAGCTGTCAGAGGACGTCTTCACCTGTTTCTGCATTACAGTAAAATAATCATGGTTAATACATAATTCATGGGACAGCTCTGACTCCAGCTGTTCACATGATTTAAACAGGTTTAATCTGCACTTTAATGAGCAGTGATAAATGAAATGTCAAAAGTTCAGTCAAGGAATGAAAAAACAGACAAACCACCTGCAGATATCTGCTCATTAAAACACAACACATCACATTAAATTACCATGTGAACATAGAGTATTTTGGTCAATGAAAATCACTACAGGTGTAGTTTTTCTTTCTTTTTTATTCTTACTTTTGATAAATATATATATATATATATATTTTGACATATGAACCTCTTTTAAGGAGGGTTTGAAAAGCATTTAAATTTCTTTTAAATAGTAATGAGTCTATTAAGATTGATATTATCATTTTATTATTAAAATTTGATATATTAAAAAATAACAATAGTGTAGAAGCCCCAGATCGTTTCTGCCATCTAGTGGTCATCTGGGCCTGTTACAGGAACTGTATTACTGTCTGACTCTGCTTTAAGAACTACTATGTACAGTGGATATAAAAAGTCTACACCCGTGTTCAACTGCCATGTTTTTGTCATGTAAAAAAATTAAATCAAAATAAATAATTTCACAACTTCTTCCACCTTTAATGTGACCTATAACCTGTACAACACAATCGAAAAACAAACAGAAATCTTTCAGGGAGGTGAAGTAAAAATAAACAACTGAGATCATGTGGTTGCATAAGTGTGCACACCCTTTAATAACTGGGGATGTGGCTGTGTTCAGATTTAACCAATAACATTCAAACTCAGGTTAAATTGGAGTCAGCACACACCTGTCACCAATTAAAGTGCCTCTGATTAACCCCAAATTAAGTTCAGCTGTTCTAGTTGCTTTTCCTGACATTTTTGTAGCCACATCTTCCAGCACAAGCCATGGTCCACAGAGAGCTTCCAAAGTATCAGAGGGATCTCATTATTCAAAGATATCAGTCAGGTGAGGCTACAAAAGAATTTCCAAGGAATTAAATATACCATGAAATCAAGTGGAGAAAATATGGCACAACGGTAAATTACCGACGTCCGTCCAAAATTGATGATAAGACATCAGGGAGGCTACCAAGAGGCCGACAGCAACACTGAAGGAGCTGCAGGAAGGAGCTGCACTGAAGTATTGGCTGTGTAGTACATGTGACAACAATCTCCTGCTGTCTTCATATGTCTGGGCTATGGGGTAGGGTGGCAAGATGGAAACCTTATCTTACAAAGAAAAACATCAAAGCCCGGTTTAATTTTGCAAAAAGACATTTGAAATCTCCCAAACGCATGTGGGAAATGTGTTATGGTCTGATGAAACCAAAGTTGAACTTTTTGGGCATCATTGCAAAAGGTATATTTGGCACAAAATCAACACTGCTCATCACCAAAAGAACACCATACCTACAGTGAAGCATGGTGGTGGCAGCATCATGCTTTGGGGCTGTTTTTCTTCAGCTGGAACTGGTGCCTTAGTCAGGGTGGAGGGAATTATGAACAGTTCCAAATACCAGTCAGTGTTGGCAGATGAAGATGAAGATGAAGAGGAACTTCATCTTTCAGCACGACAGTGACCCAAAGCACACATCTAAATCAACAAAAGAATGGCTTCACCTGAATAAGATTGAGACTTTGGAATGGCCCAGCCAAAGTCCAGACCTGAATCCCATCGAACATTTGTGGGGTGATCTGAAGAGGGCTGTGCACAGGAGATGCCCTCGCAATCTGTCAGATTTGGAGCGGTTTTGCAAAGAAGAGTGGGAAAATATTTCCACATCAAGATGTGCCACGCTGATAGACTCCTACCCAAAAAGACTGAATGCTGTAATAAAAGCCAAAGGTGCTGCAACAAAGTATTAGTTTAAGGGTGTGCATATTTATGCAACCAGGTCATTTTAACTTTTCTATTTTTAATTTTCCCCTTAAAGGTTTCAGTTTGTTTTTCAATTGCATTGTACAGTTTATAGGTCACATTAAAGGTGGAAAAAGTTGTGAAAAAATGTATCTTGCTGTCATTTTCTTACATCACAAAAACCTGGCAGTTGAACACGGGTGTGTAGACTTTTTATATCCACTGTATATGACAGAAGGCATCAAATGTGTGGGACTTCTCTCGGAGATGCACAGGGAATATTTATAGGATCAGCTTTATTCATTCATTCATTCATTCATTCAAACAAACTGTGACTGACTTTTGTCGACAATGTGGAAGACTTAAAGGTGCTGTAGATGGAAAACATTCAGATAATAAAATAATAACTTGTATGGACAATATAATGGCCTGTGCACATAAAATAATAATCTCGTGGACATAAATTATCTTGTGCACACTCATTAACATTATTGTGAGAAAAGATGACTACATCATACACACAAGTTGTTAAACTTGTGTTTTTTAAGTCATTATCTTGTGTACGCCAGTAGCTATCTTGTCCTGAGAAGTTGTTTTATTGTTTGATACAAGTTATTTAGTATGCACAGGCAATAACTGAGCCTGTAGGAGTTCATATCTTGTGTGCATAAGTTATCATCTTGTCAGGGTCAGGTGTTATCATGTCTGAACAAACTGTTATCCTGTCAGTTTAAGTTATCTTGTGCTCACACGTTAAAATCTTGTCAGTAGAAGTTAATAATATTGAATTTCCCCTTGGGGATCAATAAAGTTATTCTGTTTTTGTTTTTTTTTTTCGATTAATTTGTGTGCACAATGAAATATATTGTCCTAAAAGCCATTTTCTTTCTTATACAAAATAGTATTTTATGTGCACAGGTTACTATGGTGTCTGTATATGTTATTTTGTTGTTACAAATTGATATCTTGGGAGAATGAGTTTTTTAGTGTGTGTGCAAAAGTTGTTTCTCATCTTGTCCAGATATGTTGCTTTCTTGTCTGCAGATAACTTAAGTATCTTTTCTGTACAGGGTTAACTTCTTCACTTGATGAACTTAAGACTTTGAACCACTCACACTTCAATAATGAAAAGTCACATTTAGTTTCTTTTGTGTTGACAGAATGAAGTGAATCACATTTTGTATTTTAATCACATTGAATTTATTATTTTGGGAAAAAAAAAGGGAAAAGAAAAACAGAACATGTTTTTTTTCAGACTTACTGTAAAACACTTGTGGAAAATCCCTCCTCCCTCTTTCATTCTTCTGCATGGGAGGAGCCCCAGAGTCATTAAAGCAGTGGTTCTCAACTGGTGGGTCCCGACCCAAAAGTGGGTCGTGGACATGTTCTGGATGGGTCACAAACAGCTGGTCAAGAAAGGAAATATTTAATGTGATATTTATTAGCTATTCAATATTTTCTGTAAGCAACTTCAGTAGTTGTCCTCCTCATGTTGTCCCCTTCATGTGCTCTGAAATACACTTAACTCAATATAAAAGTGGATTTATGTTAAAGATTAGGGTCTTTAAAGTTTTTTTTTTAACAAAAAATAATTTGCTTGGTTTGAATTCTATAAAAGTGGGTCACGACTTAAGGACCATGGGAAAATGTGGGTCCCAGAGTGAGACCAGTTGAAAACCACTGCATTAAAGGCAGCCAGCTCACCTGCTGCAAACTCTTTCTGGGAACACTGGAGACAATGGAGCTGTCTGACTGAGAGAAACATGACCAGTATCACTCACTGCATGCTTACCCTGTGAGAGTGCTCTGTGTAAATTGTTGTATAACTCATCTCTGATTTATTATCCTCACTTGTACATAATTTTATGCTTAAGAAAGGATGTTTCTTAGTTTTTGAATCATTTAATTAATTTCCTCTCACATTATTGATGGAAATTATGATACTGATCAAGCTTGTATTTAATTTAATTCACATTGTTACTCCTTTCTCACCATCTCCAGAGAAACCAGCTGAATATAATACTGAATAAAAACTCTCCCATGTGCTTATTTGTCCTTGCAGACAAGCCATTGAGTTGAATTCCACCTTAAACCAGCATAACCCTTTACAGTCAACTTTCAACATTTATCATTGTACAAAAGTAAAGATTTGGCCCAGAAAGTAGCAAATAAGGATAATTAAATTAAAACCATGTATCACTGATGTAACATTTTATGTCTTTTGTGTATTTCAGTATACTTTTATATTGTGAACTTTTATAGCCTATTGTGTACTCTGGTATTATGAACTTTTATGTTGTGTACTTTCATATTATACACCTTTTAAATGTATACTTAATTATTGTGTACTTTTATGTTGTATACTTCTATATTGTGTACTGTCTCTGGGACATATCTATTCATTTTCGTGTATTTTTAACGCAAACAGTCATTGGTTTGTAAGACAAAACGGCCACCTCCCATTGGCCGAGTATGATTACGTCATGGCGGACTCGTTTGAAATACGGAAGACCCGGACGTTCTGGAAAGTAAAATACAGCAACTCTAAACGAACTTTATCATCTTGTTTTATTAAAAAAAAAAAAAATTAAGGGAAACTACAAAGTCTGGTAATTTTTCTTTTACTTACATTTGCACTTTTTTCTCTTCCAAGGTTAGCTTGTAGTAACAGCTCGGAGTACCAGTTGCGATGTTGTTGTGTTATTGTTGTTGTTAGCAGCGGTAGCTAACAGAGGTCCAGTTCCAGATAAACTGTCATTTTTGTAGCTTATATGAGCACCAAAGATCCCCCTTGTATGCCGAATGGTCTAGAGGAATCCCAAGAAACTGTAATATTTTAGTTTAGGTAGATAGTGGCCATGTGTCATATTATTGACCGTCTAGAAAGTGTAAATGGAAACATTTTAAAGGTAGTTCGCTGCAGCATTGACGCCACTTGGTGTGTTTGTTCAGTGTTGCGGTATTGAACTGCTTAATTGAGTTATTTGTTGGTTTGCTTGGAATATCCTCAAGATATCGAAGTTAGGTTAGTGATTTCAGGGAGCAAACTGTGTACCGATTTTTCTACAATAACCACAAGAATACACAGTGGTAATTAATTACCTGTTGATATGGTGATTATTGATTAAAAATGCTTAAAGTCGTTACTTTTTCAGAGAAGCGGAGAATAAGGCCTAAAACATTTAACTCTTGATACTAACCTGTGACTCTTGTTCTGTCTCCTGCAGCAGCATCAAACGATGGAACAGGTGAGTCAACAGGAAAGTTATCAGAGGTCTGTATGTGGATAAGGTGGGTGCTGTAGTATATACGGTGGCCCTGAGGTGCAAAACACAACAACAAATCAGAAAACAAACAACATTAACCATTGTGTTTTGTCTTTTTGTGTTGTGTTTTCTCTTTTGCCGTTGTGTTTTCTGTTTTGTTTTTGTATTTTCTGATTTGCCGTTGTTTTTTCTCTTTTTGGGTTTTCTCTTTTTGCATCGTGTTTTCTCTTTTTGCATTATGTTTTCACGTTTTGTGTTTTCTCTTTTTTCGTTGTTTTTATTTGCCGTTGTGTTTTCTCTTTTTGTGTTTTCTCTTTCTTCGTTGTTATATGATTTGCCGTTGTGTTTTCTCTTTTTGTGTTTTCTCTTTTTATGTAGTGTTTTCTGATTTGCCACTGTGTTTCTCTTTTCGCGTTGTGTTTTCTCTTTTTTTGTTTTTCGTTGTTTTCTGATTTGCCATTGTGTTTTCTCTTTTTATGTAGTGTTTTCTCTTTTTGTGTTTTCTCTTTTTGTATTGTGTTTTCTGATTTGCCATAGTGTTTTCTCTTTTTGTGCTGTGTTTTTTCTTTTTGTGTTTTTTTTTGCGTTATGTTTTCTCCTTTTGTGTTTCTCTTTTTTCGTTGTGTTTTCTGATTTGCCGTTGTGTTTTCTCTTTTTGTGTTTTATTTTTTATGTAGTGCTTTCTCCTTTTGTGTTTTCTCTTTTTGTGTTGTGTTTTCTGATTTGCCATTGTGTTTTCTCTTTTTGCGCTGTGTTTCTCTTTTTGTGTTTTCTTTTTTTTGCGTTATGTTCCCTCTTTTTGTGTTTTCTCTCTTTTTTTCTGATTTGCCTTTGTGTTTTCTCCTTTTGTGTTTTCTCTTATTTTCCCCCCTTTTTGGTTGTGTTTTCTCATTTGCCATTGTGTTTTCCCTATTTGTTTTTTCTCTATTTGTGTTGTGTTTTCTGATTTGCCGTCATGTTTTTCTTTTTTTGTAGTGTTTTCTCTTTTTGTATTTTCTCTTTTTTTTATGTTTCCGTATTTGCCGTTGTGTTTTCTCTTTTTTTGTTGTTTTCTCATTTGCCATTGTGTGTTTTCTTTTTTCGTTGTGATTTTTTATTTGCTGTTGTGTTTTCTCTTTTTTCTTTGTGTTTTATGATTTGCCGGTGTGTTTTGCACCTGAGGGCCACTGTAAGTATTGCTGCAGAAACCTGATCACCAGTCTCACCTCAGTGAAAACAGGCACTCAGCTGTGGCAGTTGTTACACTGATGCTTGTGCAGGACAAAGTTAGAGATGGATAACAGGACAACTCATCTTCAACAAGCCAAAAATAAGACATTTGTATATTTGTGGACTTTCGGGCAGTTTCAGGTGGAGCCCACCTTGCTCTGGGATGTTTTTATACTGATTTTAAATATTTTCAAAACTCTTTTTTTGTGTTTTCTCACCGATGATTTCTGTGTGTGTTACAGCAGGAGCAGGTAGAGTGGGATGAAGTGAACAAACTCCTGCAGCATCATGGATTTAAGCCAGTGTATTTCGCAGATCCAGTGGAGAACAAGAGCCTCAATGGTAGGAATTGATATTTTTCAGTCTATTTGGACAGATTGCAGTTGTGTTTTTTCAGGAAAAACTTTTGCACTTGCAGAAAACATGCAACATTTTACAGAAAGTTAAAAGCTTCTGTTGCTTCAGTATTAAACATTAACCCAAAGCTTTTACAGAAAAAAAAAACAGTTTGCAAACCCTGTCTTTTGCACAAACTAACAGTTTGAAAACTGAAACAGCCCTTTTTTTTCAGTATATTTTGTGTGCTTTTTGTAGTACTTTAACTATTTCTTTATTGTATAATCTACACCCACCTCTTTTTAATTGTCTTATACTTGTCCTTGACATTTTCTTGCGCTTGTAATGAACTTTTTAAAGCCTCCTGTGTGCTGCATTTTTGATTTAAATGTGGTCTTCTCACCTTAGACCTGGTTCTGTTGGACAAGAAGTCTGCTGTTGAGATCAGACAGACTCTGAAGACAATGCTCACAGACTCAGAGAGGCGACAGACACTCATTCAGGAGCTCATCAAGACCAACAACCTGCTTAAGTAAGAAGATACAGCATCAGTGTGTTTATCCCCATAAAACTGAGAACCATCATCCTGTTCCTTTAGTTATAATATAATTAAATAATAATTAACCAAAATAAATTCAAAGGTTTTTTTTTTTTTATTATATCAAGAAAAAAGGGACACTAGGATATAAAGGTGCAATTGTGCATCAGTTAGTCAGTTAGTGAATTTGTCAGCAGCTGAAGTGTGAACATGCCTGCAGTGTCTGTAACACTGTGTGGCTGCTATATGTTGGCATCTCTTTAATAATGCATATACCGAGTGTGGACCACCTGTCCTCCTGATCTCATCAGTGTCAGATGAGTATCACAGAGATACACCTGAGTGCAGGTATGAAGAGACAGCCTGAGGGAGTGACGAGAGAGAAACCAGCTGACTGTAGCTCTACTGATCGTGTTTCTTCTGTTGTTATCAGCCTCAGATGGGCTTTGATGGATGTGACATAATTCTCAGACATTTAATCAGTCAGTCTTTATTTATATAACACTTTTCATATACAACATGTAGCACAAAGTGCTTTACACAGAAAAAGGAATAAAAGAAACAAAGGATACCCAAGTCTACCCCAGCCCAACCCCTCATTCCCACCCCACAATCTAATTGCAACAGAAACAGAATTAAAATGCATAAACTTAAAAACAGGAATGTGGAATGTGTGCACTGAGGAAACGTCATTATAAAACTCAAGATAAGGAAACACTGGAGGTTTAGGTTAAAATCTAAAAACAAATAAAGGCAATGAAATTTAAGAAATAATAAATAAAATTAAATAAAAACAACAGTAAAAGATACTAAAATAAGAGCACCAAAATAGCTGAATAAAAGACGAGCCTGTGATTTAAACTAGAATATTTAATTGCTAAAACACTTGAACAAAGTTAATGATATAAAATTTAGTTAAAAGCAAGACTAAAAAGGTATGTTTTCAGTTTACTTTCAAAATCATTAAGATTAGGTGCACTCCTCAGGTCTTCAGGTAAGCTGTGCCTCCTGATGACATTCCCTAAAGGTAACATACAAAGATTAAAAAGAATAGGGCCTAAAATGGAACCTTGGGGAACACCATACTTCATGTCAAAACATTTCGATGAGTGATCCCCAAGGTTCACGTAAAATTGTCTATCACTAAGATAAGATTCAAACCAGTTAAAAACAGTGCCAGAGATGCCATAAAATTACGTGATGGTAGCTTCTTATCCATGTTGGACCTGAAGTCATTTAAATTTTAACTAGAGCAGTCTCTGTACTGTGATTTTTCCTAAAACCAGGTTGATGAATTTCATAAATATTTCTGTGATTGATAAAATCATTTAACTGGTTTAAAGCTATCTTTTCTAAAATTTTACTTAAAAATGGCAAATTGGATACAGTTGTCAGGTACTGATGCATCCAAATTTCTTCTCTTCAGAATAGGTTTAAAAGTAGAAGTTTTAAAAGCAGAAGGGAATACACCTGTCTGAAGAGAGTAGTTTAAAATGGTAAGAAAATCATGCTTGAAAAAGTCATAAAAGCTTTTAAAAGGGATGCTGGGATGGGGTCCAAAAGACAGGTAGTTGGTTTGAGTTGTTTCAAAGCTTTACTTTAAAGAGTATGATTTTGTGTTCAAAGACCCCCAAATTTTAAAAGCAAAAACTAAGCCCAAAGTTGACTAATTGAGTATCTTTTAATCCTGCATCCTTAATCATTTAATCCCATTGCATGAAATATCTTCCAAACTTTAACCAGATAAACTCGCTCCTCCTCCACTCTTAGAGGAGTAAACCATTTCTCACTGCGTTGATTTCCAGGGACGACATTCAGGTACACATAAGCCGGTCAGCTCAGCAGTCTCAGAGGATCTCAGAGCTGGAAGGGCTGCTAGATGTGGTAAAGACCAGAGTCCAGGACCTAGAGGACCGCTGCATCGGGAAGGCCGTCCAGCAGCAGAGCCACCGACAACAGCTGCAGGAGGAGAAACTGGAGGCGCAGGTCTGTCCAAAGATATCTACTCCGACAGAAAGGATGCATCAGGTTTTTTATGCATGTGGATGAAGGATGATGGTTATTTAAGGCTTGAGAACAAATCCATCTGCAGACAAATCAACATTAATATCATCCTCTTTCCAGATACAGAGTCAGGTTCTAGAGCAAAAGCTGACTAAGCAGAGGGTTGAAACAGCTCAGCTCCAGAAGAAACTTTATTTCGCCATCAAAGAAGAAGAGCGACGATTGGCCCGACAGAATCAGACCTTCCAGCTTGTCTGCAACAAAATCAGCCAGCAGGAGTCTCTGACAGAGCAGCAGTACGAACAGAACTGTTTTTATCAAACTATTTAACTTCACGTTAAGTCACAAAAAAAATATTAAGCATATCCTTATTTGCACAAAAATGTGGGAATTATAGTTTATAAAGATATTGACTGTTTTGTGCAGAATTATGGGATTCTTAGAGGTGTGTGTTTCAAAAATCCAGCATATAAAATGTTAACTTTCCTACAATTTAAACATGATGGTTTAACTAAACACGAGTTATTTTTTTCCTGTCTTTTGTATGCAGAGTTTTGGATGTAATCGACTTTTATGAGACTAAGATGAGTCAGCTGCAGGACGAGCTCAGGTATCCCTTCAAACTTACACATCAGATATAATTTTTAGTACATTTTTTACAACATTTTTAGTAGCTGATTACTGAGTTTTGCTTTCTTCATAGGTGTGCCAAAGAAGGACCAGAGGCTACCAGTGATAACAAAATCAAAAAAGCACCGGGTCATGTGTCTAAACCTTTTAAAACTGTCCTGAAGGTAAACCCAGAGCTGGTTATTTTCCCATTACTCTGCCACTAAAGCAGTCGGTGATACTTTTGTATTACCTTACAGGCGTATCAGGAGCAGCAGAGAGCGAGCAAAACTCAAATCCAGGAGCTAAAAAAGGAGGTGGAGAGACTCAAACAAGAACTGGAGGCACGGTGAGTTTGGAGTTATAGGCTATGTTCACACTGCAGGTCAATTCCGATCTTGTAACCATATGTGACACATTTTTTTTCATGTAAGTGTGAACAGTGCAATTCTGATTTTTTCAAATCCGACCCAGGCCTCTTTTGTATGTGGATATAAATCAGATATGTATCTGATGTGACTGCAGTGTGGACGCTCAGGTAGCGTTCATCCGACCTATATGTCATCAATATGCGGCAAACGTCACCATTGTTCAACAACAAAAACAGGCGTGGAAAGCAGTTTGTGCATTGTGCGCATGCAGGGTCACTTCACGGACGCATTCACATTAGATGGCGTATTCGCCGTTGTAATGTGAATGACTGCACAAAAAGATCAGATTTAACAAAAAATCTGAATTGTGCATCATAACCTACAGTATGAACGTAGCCTTAAGGTCCTTACACACCGGGGCCAACACGAATATAGAATGCAAAAGTACAAAATATTCTGAGGCAAATTTTGACGCTCCTGGCTGTACACATCAAGCCCGATGCGATTTTGCGACTTTTCGGGGGGAAAACACGCATCCCGGGGAAGACTTTTCCGGGGGAAAGTCCTGCCTCTTTCACCTCTGATTGGCTAGAAAAGCTGGAAATGTCATCACACGCTCAAGCCAAATGGTCAGCACTTATAGCCAATCAGAGGCGATAAGATAAGCACATGAAACTATGGTAACAACCGTTAGCTTACGTTAGCACAGATGAAAGTTAAAACACAGACGTTTAGCAAACTGTTAAAGCACACAAACCATCGTCAAATGAGAGATTCGACGCTATGACTCTCCAAACATTGTCCTTCAGGTCGTTATCTTTGTAATGTTTGTGTCTTTTATCAAAAAGCACTCTGTTCTCCGACATGTAAACAATCAGCCGGTCGGCCATGTTGGATATACCGGTGAATGTGACGTTGCAACAACACACAATCTTATTAGTCAGAAATGGACACAGTATGCAAAACTTTAGAAAAATCGACCGTGATCCGAAAAAATAAATGCCACAATATCGCAGAACGGGAAAACGTTGCTGATGTGAATGCTTGTATTGACAGGATTCGGGTTTGAAATAAAATATTGAGGTCCGAAATAATCGCACGAAAAAAACAGTTCCGGTGTGTAAGGACCTTTAGTCTCTGGTGTTATTGAAGAAAGCCTGTTTAACATCATCCACTGGTATAGAGGCGAGTTCTCTCTAAATTTAACCTGCACAGTTGTCATGAATAAAGTAAAGAACTTTATAGAGATCCAGGGTCTCCATCGGGCCTAACTTATTGCAAAAGACACCCTCTAGTGTACAGGAGAGGAACTGCATTTTTTGCACTCAAGCTTCGACTTGATTTCATGAACAAAAAGTGAGTCATCAGTGAGTCAGCACAACAGAACGCATACATTACAATCATCATTTACTGTTGGATTATGACATAATCAGATTTATGAATATCACAGGATCCAGTATAGACCCCTGTGGAACACCATTTAGACTTTGGCATCATGTTTTACTGTTAAAAGCTTAAAAAAAACCTTTGTATTTTAAAACATAATGTTAAATATGTCTGTTACCAAAAAATGGTTTTGTGCAGAGACACCTGATGTTTGCATCTATAAGGTCATTTTATTGATTTCTTTGACTGAGTTAAACCTGTTTGAAGCGCTAGCTTTTCCTGCAGCTCCCATGAACACATGCTGGGAAAACCCAAAGCTTTTTTTTGTTCCAGGCTAAACAACTTCTTTATTTCTGGTGCAAAGTTGGACACTTTAACATTGAGCTCTATGAGGACTGACTCCCTTTGGGACACGGCCCCTAGTGGACATTGGAGGAACTGCAGCTTTTGGCACTTTAGTGTTTACTCAGTGTTCATGCCGACTCTGTTTCTCTGTGCAGACCAACTCTTAAAGACGTGAAGTTTTACAAACACAAACTCCGGCAATTGGAGATTTTACACAAACACAACAACTCAAGGTACGACACGTGGTGCATTCAGGTGCTGTTTTGTAATCATGTCAAGATTCTGTTTGATTTGATAAATTCTTTGCAGGTTGCCTAAAGATGACAGCAGGCCTGAGATCAGCCGGGACATGAGCGACAAGTTTTTGAAATATCAGAAGGTCTGCGTGGTTTTATCTTTATCGCGTTCAGTGTATGATGTTTCTGGAATCTGCTTTTCACAACAGAGATAATAAAAATAAAAACTTTTTCCTTTTTCCCGATTTGTAGTTGTTGGGTGACATCAGATCTGTTCTGAACCATCCCAGAGCTCCATTACAGCTGCACAGACAGAAACCCTCTTCTGCAGGTTTGGAGTTGGGTGAGTTTCAGACTCTGCTTCCTACACTGGAGGTCTGGGCTCGGCAGCTCTACCTGCTGAAGGTAAAAACACCTGCACAAACACTTCAGCAGAGAGGGTGAGGGGAAGTGATAAGGGGCTTAAAGTAAAGGATAAACAGACATATAAACACAAACATATTCCCTAGTTTCACCTTCAAGGCTCGGTTCTGGGTGTGCAGGAATTATCTGACAGGGTTGTTTGTGCTTGCAGGATCTGCAGCAGGGTTTGGACAAACTGAGTGTCAGACTGACACCTTGGCAGATGTCTGATGGAGGTCACAGCACTGCAGAGACGGTGAAGGTGGAGGACATGATGCTGCAGGTGGATGTCATGCTGGAAAACACCTCTGCTGAGGATGAAAAGGTATGACTCTGAACTGATTTCAGCCTCATGTTAGAGGTCTCTTACTGCCGTGATGGGCTGCCACTCATGCATTAAAGAAATGTTTGTGTGCCTAAAATTCTTGTTTTTTTTCCTCTAAATGTGGGTGTTGTTGGATCTTCAGGTCCTCAGGAGTCCAACTCGGTTCACTTTGGGCTCCATGGTGTCGCATTTCCAGAAACTGTTCGATGTGACCTCCCTCAGCGGAGTTTATCCCCGGATGACAGAGGTCTACACTCGGCTGGGAGTAATGACCAATGCTATGAGGAACCTTAGGGATGTTCTGGAGCTAGGTGAACTCTAAAGAATTCTCTTTATTCCCTTTTTTTAATACTTTTCTAAAAACATCACTATCTTTTTTTTTTTTTGTCCCAAGTATTTTGTAAAAGTTAACAGATTTGATTCCTGGATATTGAAGGGTTTTGGTTTTGGCAGGATACATCCAGTTTAATTAATTAAAATTGATCTACAAATGATCAAACAGAGAAATAAAAAGAAAAGAATTTCATATTTAATGGCGTCATCTGCATAAAAACCTGTTTTACACTGTTTTAATAATAGAATTGTCAACATACAAATGATTATTCGGCAAATTAAATAGTATTATCTGCATTCATGTGCATTGTTATAAGTACAAATTAGGGCCCGACCGATTTATCGACGAGCCGATTAAATCAGCCAATTTCAGCCCGTTTGAGACTTATCGGTAATTGGCCAAAACTCACCGATTAAAAAATGTAAAAATTGTCTGATTAATCGGTAATCAGATTATTTTCCCCCCTAATAATCGGTATTGGCATCAGCCCCCAAAAATCCATATCGGTCAGGCCCTACTTTTTTTTTTAATATTCAGTTTGTTTGTTTTTTTCTTTAAAAAACAAAACAAAAAAACAGATAAACAGGATGTTTTTTATTGTTTTTCGCTCAGACAGCAGAGCTTCTCCTGCTCAGGTGGTGAACCATGTGTCCAGACTGGTTTCTTCATCTGGGCACACTGCAGGGCTCCATAATCTGCTGGGAGATGATGACATTGATAGGTTAATAAAAATAAAGAACACAACAATAATCAGAATAATCAGCAAGTTGCGTCCACAGAGCTGCAGTAACTGTTTCTGTTTCTATTTCTCAGTATCATTGTCAAAGTGAAGGAGCATGACGAGTTCTTTCCTGCTTTCCACGCCCTCATTGTCAACATTCTGGACATTCTGGGTACGTAAAAAACTGTAAGGACTGATGTATGGTGGCGACTGTTTGACTCAGAGGCCTGCATCTGAGGCATGACGTACACTCAATAACTACTTTAAAAAAAGGCCAGATCAACACGTGTATTACAGGTACATTAGCACTGTTAAAATAATTTTCTAGACACTGAATGGACAATATGTGTGTTAGAGATGTGGTGTTCGCGAACAAGTCAGTAGTTTGAATGGATCTTTTAAGTGAACTATAAGAACCCGTTCACAGTAGCGAGCTTTTTGTTTGCGAGCAGTCCTCATATGCAAATTTCCCACGCTGCCTTCCTGTGTACCCTGTGTGCCCTAAACACCAGGTAGGGTAGTACAATTTCACAGAAACATTTTTATCATGTCTTAATTCTTATCAGTTATTTATAGCCTGTGCAGTTTTTTAGGTGGGGGGAAATTTTTAAATGTCTCACTGTAGAAGTATGGGGATATGGCACCACCTAGTGTTTAAAATAACAACACAAGCACAATGAAATGCAAATCAATATTTCTGAATAATTCCCACCAAGAGAGTGTACATTGATGTAATGTTTACCCCTGGTTGACTTTTAAAACATAAATAAATATAATATTGAGTGTGCCTGGGTTTAAAATATCAGGATCCATACTGAGAATGTCATTTGACAACATAAAGGTTCAGACACTGTTTCTCTATGAACTTTGATCAAGCTTTGACTTTTCTGTACTGACATGAATATATAAACAGCTTTTATACCTTTGTGATGAATTAGAATATCCTATTTGAAGGTACAGTAAATTAATTACTTATAAAACTGTTTTGGTTTGTGTGTTTCTTTCAGGTGTGAGTCACCTGGAGAACATCCTACCTGCCCTAAAGTCTTTGAAACAAACAGCTGAATAAGTGTGTGTGCATGTTGCATGTGTGTGTGTGTGTTTACTGAAAGTTATTGTAAATTTTGTTTTTTTGTTTTAATAAAAAAAAAAGATATTAAAAAAAAAACGATACTCGTGTTTTTGTGTGGTATGAAGTCAAACTCAAATTTTTTCACTGGGTGATGGCTAAAAAAAAAAAAACACAGAAGAGTAAAAAGTGAGGGTGTCTGATGATTTGTGAGATAGATACAGCGTGAGTTTAATTAAAACCAGTATACATTTGATATGTAAAAAATTGAACGAGTCTTTAACCTTAAATACCTGCAGCGTCAAATATCCAACTGTTGAATGTCTTCATTAATCTGTATCAACTTAAATTCATTTGACTCATCTTTTCTCCTGAAGACTGAGCTACCTGCCCAAACACCTCACCCATCTGACACAGGTGGGTGTTGGGTTGAACCTGCTCAGTCTTGTTGAGCAACACAGCAACCAATCCAGGTGCCCACAACAAACAATTCAGTTTAACCTTGACAAGCTGTAACAGCATGAAATCTCTCAGTGATGAATAATGTTGGAGATCTGAAAGTGAATGCAAGAAAACAGGAACGTCATTAAAGATTAAATTAATTAAAAAAAAAAAAAAATTTCATGAACAGACAATGCATAAAATTTTACTGAAGCGCTAGAATATTGGCAAAATGGTGACAGGATTTTACAACAAAAATGAATGACAAAAACTTTTCAAAATAAAAATAACTCATGAAACAAAAATATTTGGCAAGTTTTCTCCTTTTTGAGAAATTTTTGATTTCAGAGATTTTGTTTGTGTATTATTTTTATTTGGGGGGATGAGAGTGGGTGTGACTTAAATGAGTGATAAGCTTTTTTTTTTTTGTAACAAGAGTTCAGCACCTCAACCACATTTACCTTGGATGATAGGCTTTTCTTGGTTCATACACTGTGTGAACAATTATTGGGCAAGTGAGTATTTTGATCATATCATTTTTATGCATATTTTCCAACTCCAAGCTGTATAAACTTGAATGCTTATTGGATATAAGCAGATCAGGTAATGTGTACTAGTGTAATGAAGGAGGCTGGGGCCTAAGGAGATCAAAACCCTATATCAAGGTGTGCATAATTATTAGGCAGCTTTTTTTTCCTCAGGAAAAATGGGCCAAAAAAGAGATTTAAGTGACTTTGAAAAGTCAAAAAATGTAAAAAGTCTTTCAGAGGGATGCAGCACTCTTGAAATTGCTTAGATATTTGGGCGTGATCACAGAATCAGCAAACATTTTGATGCAAATAGTCAACAGGGTCGCAAGAAATGTGTTAAGAAAAAAAGACGCAAATTAACTGCCAAAGATTTGAGAAGACTCAAACGTAAAGCTACCAGGAATCGCTTATCCTCCGGTGCTGTCATATTCCAGAACTGCAACCTACCTGGAGTACCCAGAAGTACAAGATGATCAGTGCTCAGAGACATGGCCAAATCAGCCTCTTTGGAAAAGAATGAAAAAGCTGAAATGAAGAAATAAACCGACAGTTTTTGGTGAGACTGATCCACAAACATTTACAAACCAGAACATTTCAAGAGTTCAATGATCTCTTTTACATGTTTTTGGTCTGATTGACTCAAAATTCTCTTTCTTTCACTTCAATAAACTCAGCAGAGTATCCATAGGGTAACCACAGTCCAGCATGTAGTGGCTGAGTGAATGTGGTCTGGACTCTGTGGAGGAGAGTCATGGTTTCAGAGACGCTGTAGAAGGACAGAATACCTGCTCTGTGATCCAGGTACACTCCTACTCTGGAGGACTGAGGACCTGAGACATCAGTGCGGACTTTGTTGTGCACAAATTCATACGTGTCTTTATAACAGTCTAACCTCCAAGATTTGTCATTGTTTCCAAATAAACAATCATCTGATCCTCCTGCTCTGCTGATAGTCTTGTATGCGACTGCTACACGAACGCTGCCCCCTCTACGCTCCACCTCCCAGTAACAACGTCCAGTCAGACTCTCTCTACTCAGGACCTGAGTATAAAAGGTGAATCTGTCTGGGTGATCAGGATAAGACTGTCGTTGAGGTGAACATGTTGCTCTTCTGTATCCGTCAGATAATGACAGACGTCTTTCTGCTGTGTTTGGATCCAGTGTGATTCTTTGTAAATATCTTAAGAAACCAGCTCTGGTCTTGGGTTCTGGTTCTGGTGGTTCTGACAGTAAAACATCCACTTCAGTCACTGCCTGTGAGACGTTTGTCCACGTCTCTGTCAGAAGATCCTGGAGTTTATCTCTGACCTCTGACACAGCTGCTGTCACCTCCTCAAAGTATCTCTGAGGACGGATGTTGATCCTGGATGAGTCTGCAGGTTGACCCGGTCCTGACAGTGAGGGGTAGCTGTGCAGAAACTGGTTGTGGTCCTCTGTGAGTGAGAGCTTCTGCAGATCAGCGTCTTTCCTCTTCAGCTCAGTGATCTCCTGCTCCAGTTTCTCCTGAAGATCTTTGACTCGACTCACTTCACGTTTCTGCTGGGATCTGACCTGCTGCTCCACGTCAGAGCGACGTTTCTCCATGAGACAGATCAGCTGGTTGAAGATCTCCTGGCTGTGCTCCACAGCTTTATCAGCAGAGCCGTTGATAGCCTCCACCTCCTGTTGGAGCAGCTTCACATCTTCCTCTCTGTCCTGGATTCTCTGCTGGATGTTTTCTCGACTCTTCTCCAGATCTTTCTGCCTCTCAGCTCTTTCTGCTGCAGCTGAGACTGTGTCATGGCCTTTGTGTTGGTCCACAGGGCAGAGATAACATATAGACTGTTGATCAGTGCGGCAGAAGATCTTCATCACCTCGTCATGAAGAGAGCAGTTGTTCTCCTGGAGCTTCTTGGAGGGCTCCACCAGCTTGTGTTTCTTAAATGTTTTTGATTCAAAATGAGGCTGGAGGTGAATCTGGCAGTAAGAAGCCAGACATTGCAGACAGGACTTGACAGCTTTCAGTTTTCTGTCACTGCAGAAATCACAGGCCACATCTTCAGGTCCAGCATCAGAGGGATCATCAGGAGCAGCTTGGAGTCCGCTCTTCTTCAGTTCCTCCACTAAACCTGCTAACAGGGTGCTTTTCATCAGGACAGGCCTCGGTGTGAAGGTCTGTCTGCACTGAGGACAGCTGTAGATCTTCTTCTCATCCTCAGTGTCCCAGTAGGATTGAATACAGCTCATGCAGAAGCTGTGTCCACAGGTAACAGTCACCGGATCCTTCAGTAGATCCAAACAGATGGGACAAGAGAAAGATTCACGGTCCAGATGAACTCCTTTCTGCGCCATTTCAACACTCACTGTCAACAACGACCGAGTGACTGAGTTTTATTTCCTCAGAAGTCAAACTAGTCTGAGCTCTGATCTCAACAACATGTGTGAGTCAGCAATATCAGCTCAACACATGCTGGTTACACCCAACCTCAGACTGTAGATCTAAAGGGGAGGGAACAAGGAAGTGAGTGTGCAGAGTGGAGCGTGCTGTGTGAGAGACGGGGGAGGGGAAATCCAGCTCTTGTATAATCCAGGAAGAGTAGCGGCGATGTGAACTTTAGACTCTCAAACTCCAACAAGCAGAGGTTATTAAAGCGGCAGCCGTCCTGAAGATCAACTGCACCAACATTTATTCACCTCATATAAACCTCATGATCACAGAAAGACTTCCACTGGTTTATATCCACACATATTTAAAGATACACCACATATAAACACACTCTTTCTTTCTTTCTTTCTTTCTTTCTTTCTTTCTTTCTTTCTTTCTTTCTTTCTTTCTTTCTCTCTCTCTCTTTGGCTTGTTGACTTCTGAGGGAATGTTAGTTTTCAAACTCTTTTTCTATGGAGCCAGATCAGGCTCAAAAGTATTGAAAAAGTAGTGTAAGTGAAAAAATAAAAAGTGAAGTGAAAAAATAAGATTTGAACCTGAAAATAGTAAAATGGTACCTGAAAGTCTTGAATTTCGAAATTGAACTTTGAAAAATCCCAGAATGCATGAAAAAAATCTGTTCAAATGTAACTTTGATTCTATTTTTTTAATACTTTTGAATAAATTACTTATTTCTATTTTTCACTTCAATGTATATTTTGATCTTTGAGTACTTTTTTTTCGATTGAATTTTATTTATTTATTTCCGATTCAGATCTTATTTTTACGGATTCAAAACTTTTTTTTCGGTTTCAGATTTTTTTTTTTCAGATTCAACTTGAAAAGTTTCAGGTTGACTTTTGAGCCTGTTTTTCCGTGGGGGCGGGCCTCGACTGAGAGGGGCGCGGTCTGCCATGAGTGACAGGCCTCCCCCTCCTTCCCCACCCCATCACCCTGCGTTCAGGAAGTGGCATGAATACACATTAGCTTAGCCTACAATTAGGCTGTATTGGCTGAATAAGATCGTGTTGGTTCGTTCCACTTTAGTGGTGCGATATAAACTGTGATTCATTAAAAAGCTCTATTGATAGTGAGTACTAAAAAAATATATATCTACTCATGCCATCCTGTCGATTTTTAGTAATCATGAGCTGCGTCCGAATTGCCAAGTAGTAGTCGAAGTAGTAGTCGAAGTAGTATCTAGCATGTCCGAATTGGCCACCGGAGCGAGTAGCATGCTACTTCAGATACTACTTCAGATGCTAGACACGCCCACATTGTAGGTTGGTCTCGGTGCATCCTACGGACATGCTACTGACCCAAAATGCACCGCGGGCTTCTTCTTCGTCCTCTTAAAAGTTGTAGAAGCGCATGTGATGCTAGCGCCACCAGCTGCTCTGCCTATTTAAAAGTGTCGCGAACGCCGGCTGGCCACAGCAGCGCGCACCATGTCGGAGCAGCAGCAGCAGCAGGCGGGACCGCAGCAGTACAGATGTAAGTTTCATGTAACTTCACACACTGTCCTAAAAAATGTGCGGTTGTATCTCTTTGTCATGTCATGGTGTCATATTTGCCCAAGTAATCATTTTATGAGCAAATATGTGGCGACATCATGGAGGTAAAGCTCACTTATTCCATCATTAAACTGCACAGCTGCAGTACTACAGCCAGGCCCGCAGATGAGGAGCTTCAGTTACCACTGTCTGCACGGGCGCAGTACCTACTCTCTGCCTGCGGGGGTCGTCTTTCCCCACCGCTCGTCTAGTGTGTCCGAATTGGGCCAACGTTTTTAGTATGTAGGAGTAGGATCTAGCAGTAGCACGTAGCAGTAGCATGTAGTATCCGAGCGGGCAGTTCGGACGCAGCAAGTGTTTCGGTGTCGAACTATTTCCCCTCTGCGGCGTAGTAATACTTGCACACACGCGCAATCGAATATGCAGGGGGTGAAGCGATTTTTGTCACGTGGACCAATAGGAGCCGAGTCTCGTTGCCATAGTATCAGAAATACACAAACATGGCGACGACCGCATCTCGCAGCGAGACAAGCGAAGAGGAAGTAAAGAAAAGGAACAAAAGAAAACAGCCTTCAAAAGTGCATAAAAAGGAGCGAAACGATGTTATATGCATCTTTCATCTGTCCAGAGTGAAGACGTTCTCGACTTTATAAGGACACGTCGGGAAACTTACAGAACTAGTATTAGAAATTGGCTTTCTCACAGGGTGAGACAAAGGACCTTGTAGAAACTTATAAACTTTGCGTTTATATCGACTTTGACAATGTTCCTGATGACACTGAGTTTCACATAACATGCTACAAGCGATTTATTTGCAAAAGGGGTTTGAGAAACAATAACGTGATGCAGTCGCGGATGGTATGAATGAATGGTATTGTCTATGCAAAAATGCATTGAACAAGTAGCACCAGCGTATTTGAACGAAATTCACTTTCTAGGCAATTTTTCCTTTGTCCCAATACAGCCTAAAACCTCGAGCCAAGTTTCTTTCGCGGAGTTTCAGATGCCGTGGACGTGGATGCATCGGCGATGCTGCGTTAAGGGTTTGACTGGCCCGCGGCTGCATCACGTTCTTGTTTCTCAAACCCCTTTTGCAAATAAATCGCTTGTAGCATGTTGTGTGAAACCCAGTGTCATCAGGAACATTGTCAAAGTCGATATCAACGCAAAGTTTCTGCAAGGTCCTTTGTCTCACCCTGTAGAGAAAGCCACTTTCTAATACTAGTTCTGTAAGTTTCCCAACGTGTTCTTGTAAAGTCGAGAACGTCTTCACTCTGGACAGATGATAGATGCATATAACATCGTTTCGCTCCTTTTTATGCACTTTTGAAGGCTGTTTTCTTTTGTTACTTTTCTTTTCTTCCTCTTCGCTTGTCTCGCTGCGAGATGCGGTCGTCGCCATGTTTGTGTATTTCTGATGCTATGGCAATGAGACTCGGCTCCTATTGGTCCACGTGACAAAAATCGCTTCACCCCCTGCATATTCGATTGCGCGTGTGCAAGTATTACTACGCCGCAGAGGGGAAATAGTTCGACACCGAAACACTGATTACTAAAAATCGACAGGATGGCATGAGTAGATATATATTTTTTTAGTACTCACTATCAATACAGCTTTTTAATGAATCACAGTTTATATCGCACCCTAAAGTGGAACGAACCAACACGATCTTATTCAGCCAAGACAGCCTAATTGTAGGCTAAGCTAATGTGTATTCATGCCACTTCCTGAACGCAGGGTGATGGGGTGGGGAAGGAGGGGGAGGCCTGTCACTCATGGCAGACCGCGCCCCTCTCAGTCGAGGCCCGCCCCCACGGAAAAACAGGCTCAAAAGTCAACCTGAAACTTTTCAAGTTGAATCTGAAATAAATAATAAAATTCAATCGAAAAAAAAAGTACTCAAAGATCAAAATATACATTGAAGTGAATAATAGAAATAAGTAATTTATTCAAAAGTATTAAAAAACAGAATCAAAGTTACATTTGAACAGATTTTTTTCATGCATTCTGGGATTTTTCAAAGTTCAATTTCGAAATTCAAGACTTTCAGGTACCATTTTACTATTTTCAGGTTCAAATCTTATTTTTTCACTTCACTTTTTATTTTTTCACTTACACTACTTTTTCAATACTTTTGAGCCTGATCTGGCTCCATATTTTTCTTTCTTTATGTGTTGTTTGGTTTGTGCTCGTTGTTTATTCTCCATTTACCCTTCTCCTAATCCTTTCTCAAATCTGTGTCTCCTCTTTCTCTGCCGTCCAGAAAGGTGATCTTCTCCAGTGTACCCAGCTGAGCCATGTGGTCTCTCACTGATGTCAGGTCTAGATGATCCTAAACAAGAGGAATGAGGAGCTCAATCTGGTGTGATCTGAGGGTTGATGACTTTGACTGTCATTGATGTCACCTCTGAAAATAGGAAATGTCTGCACTGTAAGAGGGAGGGCCGTCTGATTAGAGCCTGTCCAATTAATGGAGAAGCTGCCTTCTTTCTTTTTTTGAAACCCTGATTTTTGCTTTTTGGGCAGCAAGATGTCTAACCCCCAGGTCATTCAGTCTGGTCTCACTCACTGACATTACACTTGTCGTCAGTCGCTGTCAGGTGGACTAAACCATCAAGAAAAACATTCGAGGTGCTTTCAGTGACTCAGTTTGATGATTTTTATTTTTTTCACCCACACAATCAAAAACCCATAATTGAAAAGCTCATAACATGTTAATGTACCAAAAGTCTCGTTATAGATGTCTTTACAAACACACTGATCCAACAGAAGCAGACAGAAATATCCATCAATGACATTCATACAAATATTGAGCAAACAGAGAAAGCACAGATCATTGGAAGTGTTTTTGGGGCGGACTGGAAAGACTTTAGATGGTTGGATTTTGGGACAAGAAATAAGATTGTGCTTTTTCATCTTTCTTTCCTTTTTGACGTCACTTTTTACTAAAGTCTCAGACCTTCAACATCTGCACCAGCTGGAGGTGATTTGGACAAATGATCATCTTGATGTTTTTGTCATCAAACTTTTATGAAGATTTTTCAAGATGAGAAATACAAACAATGAATCACTGTCCTTTAAGCTGCGAATAAATCAGCCTCTTTGGAAAAGAATGAAAAAGCTAGAATGAAGAAATAAATTGACAGTTTTTGGTGAGACTGATCCACAAAGATTTACAAACCAGAACATTTCAAGAGTTCAATGATCTCATTTACATGTTTTTGGTCTGATTGACTCAAAATTCTCTTTATTTCACTTCAATAAACTCAGCAGAGTCTCCATATAATAACAACAGTCCAGCATGTAGAGGCTGAGTGAATGTGGTCTGGACTCTGTGGAGGAGAGTCATGGTTTCAGAGACGCTGTAGAAGGACAGAATACCTGCTCTGTGATCCAGGTACACTCCTACTCTGGGGGACTGAGGACCAGGGACATTAGTGAAGACTTTGTTGTGCACAAATTCATACGTGTCTTTATAACAGCCTAACCTCCAAGATTTGTCATTGTTTCCAAATACACAATCATCTGATTTTCCTGCTCTGCTGATAGACTTGTATGCGACTGCTACAAGAACCCTGTCCCCTCTACGCTCCACCTCCCAGTAACAACGTCCAGTCAGACTCTCTCTACTCAAGACCTGAGGATAAAAGGTAAATCTGTCTGGGTGATCAGGATAAGACTGTTGTTGTTCTGTCCGTGTTGCTCTTCTGTATCCATCAGATAATAACAGATCTCTGCTTGCTGTGTTTGGATCCAGTGTGATTCTTTGTGAATATCTTAAGAAACCAGCTCTGGTCTTGAGTTCTGGTTCTGACAGTAAAACATCCACTTCAGTCACTGCCTGTGAGACGTTTGTCCACGTCTCTGTCAGAAGATCCTGGAGTTTATCTCTGACCTCTGACACAGCTGCTGTCACCTCCTCAAAGTATCTCAGAGGACGGATGTTGATCCTGGATGAGTCTGCAGGTTGACCCGGTCCTGACAGTGAGGGGTAGCTGTGCAGAAACTGGTTGTGGTCCTCTGTGAGTGAGAGCTTCTGCAGATCAGCATCTTTCCTCTTCAGCTCAGTGATCTCCTGCTCCAGTTTCTCCTGAAGATCTTTGACTCGACTCACTTCATGTTCCTGCTGGGATCTGACCTGCTGCTCCACGTCAGAGCGGCGTTTCTCCATGAGACGGATCAGCTGGCTGAAGATCTCCTGGCTGTGCTCCACAGCTTTATCAGCAGAGCCGTTGATAGCCTCCACCTCCTGTTGGAGCAGCTTCACATCTTCCTCTCTGTCCTGGATTCTCTGCTGGATGTTTTCTCGACTCTCCTCCAGATCTTTCTGCCTCTCAGCTCTTTCTGCTGCAGCTGAGACTGTGTCGTGGCCTTTGTGTTGGTCCACAGGGCAGAGATAACATATAGACTGTTGATCAGTGCGGCAAAACATCTTCATCACCTCATCATGAAGAGAGCAGATGTTCTCCTGGAGCTTATTGGAGGGCTCCACCAGCTTGTGTTTCTTAAATGGAGCCACTTCAAAATGAGGCTGGAGGTGAATCTGGCAGTAAGAAGCCAGACATTGCAGACAGGACTTGACAGCTTTCAGTTTTCTGTCACTGCAGAAATCACAGGCCACATCTTCAGGTCCAGCATCAGAGGGATCATCAGGAGCAGCTTGGAGTCCGCTCTTCTTCAGTTCCTCCACTAAACCTGCTAACAGGGTGCTTTTCATCAGGACAGGCCTCGGTGTGAAGGTCTGTCTGCACTGAGGACAGCTGTAGATCTTCTTCTCATCCTCTTTATCCCAGTAGGTTTGAATACAGCTCATGCAGAAGCTGTGTCCACAGGTAACAGTCACCGGATCCTTCAGTAGATCCAAACAGATGGGACAAGAGAAAGATTCACGGTCCAGATGAACTCCTTTCTGCGCCATTTCAACACTCACTGTCAACAACGACCGAGTGACTGAGTTTTATTTCCTCAGAAGTCAAACTAGTCTGAGCTCTGATCTCAACAACATGTGTGAGTCAACAGGATCAGCTCAGCACCTGTGGTTACACCCAACCTCAGACTGTAGATCTAAAGGGGAGGGAACAAGGAAGTGAGTGTGCAGAGTGGAGCGTGCTGTGTGAGAGACGAGGGAGGGGAAATCCAGCTCTTGTATAATCCAGGAAGAGGAGTGGCGATGTGAACTTTAGACTCTCAAACTCCAACAAGCAGAGGTTATTAAAGCTGCAGCCGTCCTGAAGATCAACTGCACCAACATTTATTCACCTCATATAAACCTCATGATCACAGAAAGACTTCCACTGTTTTATATCCAAACATATTTAAAGATACACCACATATAAACACACTCTCTTTCTTTCTTTCTCTCTTTCTCTTTGGCTTGTTGACCTTTGAGGGAATGTTAGATTTTGTAACTTTTTTTTTTCTTTCTGTGTCTCCTCTTTCTCTGCTGTCCAGAAAGGTGATCTTCTCTAGTGTACCCAGCTGAGCCATGCGGTCTCTCACTGATGTCAGGTCTAAATGATCCTGAGGGTTGATGACTTTGACTGTCATTGATGTCACCTCTGAATATAGAAAATGTCTGCACTGTAAGAGAGAGGGCCTTCTGATTAGAGCCTGTCCATTTACACTGTGTGCACAATTATTGGGCAAGTGATTATTTTGATCATATCATCATTTTTATGCATATTTTCCAACTCCAAGCTGTATAAACTTGAATGTTTATTGGATATAAACATATCAGCTAATGTGTATTAGTGTAATCAGGGAGGCTAGGGCCTAAGGAGATCAAAACCCTATATCAAGGTGTGCATAATTATTAGGCAGCTTCTTTTCCTCAGGTAAAATGGGCCAAAAAAGAGATTTAAGGGACTCTGAAAAGTCAAAAATTGTAAAAGGTCTTTCAGAGGGATGCAGCACTCTTGAAATTGCTTAGATATTTGGGCGTGATCACAGAATCAGCAAACATTTTGATGCAAATAGTCAACAGGGTCGCAAGAAATGTGTTAAGACAAAAAGATGCAAATTAACTGCCAAAGATTTGAGAAGACTCAAACGTAAAGCTACCAGGAACCGCTTATCCTCCGGTGCGGTCATATTCCAGAACTGCAACCTACCTGGAGTGCCCAGAGGTACAAGGTGTTCAGTGCTCAGAGACATGGCCAAGGTAAGGAAGGCTGAAATCTGACCACCACTGAACAAGACTCACAAGTCGAAACGTCAAGACTGGGCCAAGAAATATCTGAAGAGAGATTTTTCAAAGGTTTTATGGACTGATGGGATGAGAGTGACTCTTGACGGACCAGATGGATGGACCCGTGGCTGGATCGGTAATGGGCACAGAGCTCCACTTCGAATCAGACGCCAGCAAGGTGGAGGCGGGGTACTGGTATGGGCTGGTATTATTAAAGATGAGCTAGCTGGACCTTTTCGGGTTGAAGATGGACTTAAAATCAACTCCCAAACCTACTGCCAGTTTTGAGAAGACACTTTCTTCAAGCAGTGGTACAGGAAAAAGTCTGCCTCTTTCAAGAAAACCATGATTTTTATGCAGGACAATGCTCCATTGCATGCAACAAAGTACTCCACTATGTGGCTCGCCAGTAAAGGCCTTAAAAACGAAAGAATAATGACGTGGCCTCCTTCTTCACCTGACCTAAACCCTGTTGAGAACTTGTGAGCCCTTCTTAAACGGGAAATTTACAGTGAAGGAAGACAGTACACCTCTCTGAACAGTGTCTGGAAGGCTTTGGTTACTGCAACACAAAAAGTTGATTGTCAACAGATCAAGAAACTGAAAGACTCCATGAATGGAAGGCTTATGACTGTTATTGAAAAGAAGGGTAGTTAGATTGGTCACTGATTTTTTTTTTTTTTTAAATTTCAACAATTTTTATTTGTAAATTGAGTTGTTTTTTAATCATTCTCACTTTAACAAGTGAAAATAAACAAGTGAGATGGAAAATTTTTCATTTTTGATTTAGTTGCATAATAATTCTGCACACTTTAGCTGCCCCCAATAATTGTGCACACATAGATATTCTCCTAAGGAAGTCAAAATCTCACTTTTACTCCCTTAAATATTAAGGTTTGAGGTTTTATTAACATTTTGGATTGACCGAGAGCACTGCAGTTGTTCAAAAGTAAAATTTATCCTCAAAAATACAACTTGCCTAATAATTGTGCACACAGTGTACATCACACCTAGACCTAAAAAAAACAATGTTCACAGCACCCATTTTGTAAAATTACTGAGGTGCACTGCATTCACTGGATTAAAAAAATGGGGGAAAAAATCAGTAAAATTTTCTCATAGTTATGGGATACTAATCCTGTAATTTTAAACAATTGTGTCTATTTTTTAATTTATTAATACCATGTGTTTCTGTATTTAAAAAAAAAAAAGCAGGAGATCAGGAAACTTCCATTTTTGGTCGAATCAGGCTGATTTTCCCAGGGACCCTCTGGAATCTACTGCTCCTCTAAGGTTTGCGAACCATGTCATCTTTTTTAACAGTTAGTAACATGCAAATGAAATCCATTTACTTATTGGGAAAATAAATCAAAGGCTGATGCCAAAGTAACTCATCAAAGTTTGACATCAGGAAAACAAAGTATGTTTCCACCTGATTATTTTGAGTAACATTTGGATGAATCTCTCCTATGCGCTTAAATCCAATCCACTCTAATTTCACGTAGTGCAGCCAGAAGGCTTTTCAACACAGAAATATCATTTTGCTTGTGGAAAATATTCAATGAGTGTGGCTGTGGCAGCTGATCATAGGTTGGTGTCTCATAACAGCCGCTCATGATCATGGTGTGTGCCCAGATAATAAAACACAAGATGTTAAGGTATATCATCTTGTTCATGAATACTTACTTATTCACACTGGGTAAACTCTTGTGCAACCATGACATTAATTATTCATACAATATTTTGTATGAATTAGGGCTGCAACCTTACATCATTTTGATCATTGGCTGACCTATTGATTACTTTCTACAGGTATTGATTAGTAGATCAATCTATAAAAACATTGAGTCTTGAAATGTATCCATCAAAGTTTCCTAAACTTAAATGTGATGTCTTGAAATATTTTGTGTTATCTCAATATGTTAGGTTCATTTTTTTTTTATTTCTCAAGCAAGTGCAGGCACATCATTCATCCTACTGTGCAGGTACAGAGAGCGGGCCCCTTCATTAACAACACAACACTAATCAGTGTTGTTTTATCGACAGTGTATTTATTGCTCTGTTTTGCAGTGTTGTTTTATTAAAGAGTGTTTTTTGATTTAAGTGTCAATCCCAAATTTTCAATTTCCCTTAGAGCAGTCTATTACAAAAGTTCAGTTCAGTTCAGAGCTTTTATTGTCCCTCCAGAGGAAATTTGATTCGCAGTGGCAGGACAACAACAATAAATAAATTTAGGTGCAGAACAACATGCAGTTCACAAGAAAACCAACTTGACAGGAACAACCCAGAAGTACAAATGGAGGTATCTAAGGCTACAAAAGAATCAAAGGAGTACAAGAGAGTGAAAGAGTAAAGAAGAATATAAAGAGTATAAAAGAATAGAGGTGAAGGAGAGTAAAAAAGTGGTATAAAGGAACATTTATACCTATTTGTCTGTTCCCTAGGCACTTTATATCTCTTTCTGGATAGGAAAGAAATAAATTCCTCTGAAAGAGAGGGATCAGAGCTGGACAGAATTGACTCTGCCGTCTGTGGGAGTCTGTCATAGATGTCTGAGACAGAGATTGGAGCAATTGGAGCATCTACCGTTTACACTTTTATCATAACTGTAAAAAGCTACTGTAATATAATGCACTTTGAGGATAAAATGTTCACTTGTAAATAGTTATTATACTTGCATGAAATCTGTTTTGTATTATGAAAGTCACATGATTGTTTGTTGCAATACATTTACCGTTATCACTTTAAACTGGACCCAGATTTCTTTTGCTCACCTAATTTTCTCTCAGAATGACCACATTATGTACAAGAAACCTCAACAGTTCTGTGAAATAAACGTTTTACAGAACAATAGCTCTGTATCTGGACCTCTGATTCACTAAGTAAGTGAAACGATGGCAAACTAACACAGGGAACATACTGTAAATGGGGGTCCTACCCCAGGAGTTTTCCATAACATGCAGCAAAATCTACTGTCCATCTTTTTGTTCCAGGGGTCTTCAGTAAACGGAGTTCAAGTTTTAGCGTAAACCATTCATACACAGGACGGACGCTGTTCACCCGGTTAAACCATTTTCGGTCAAACTTTTGTAAAAGGCGAAGATAGATGTGTTGAATAATGTGAATATTTTTAAAAACACACTTGTGAGGGTTTTTTTGTGACAAAAATTCAGCTTTGGTTGTTCCTGTGCCTCCTCCCACAGGCTTTAATGGTACGGTCCTGCACTGCCCGTCTCCTGCCCTCGGTTGCTAGGAGACAGAGAACGCCTCGAGCATAGAAATAGAGCACTCAGAGAGGCTCTGAGTCACTCTTGTATTCACAGAGCGTCGTCACCGGCTCTGTTCTAGCAGGCTCTGTACCGGAGGATCAGTTCGGGGATAAGTGGGTGTGTGACGGTGGGGAGGGCAGCATGCAGACTCCGTTATCCCGCCGATAGAGCCCGTGCACCGTCAGAGTCCGGTCAACATGGCGGTGGAGTGCTCACAGGAGGCAGTTTTGGACTTTCTGAAAGAGAAAGGAGGGAAGGTGAAGAACTCGGAGCTCATTGAACACTTTAAAACGGTTTTTTCAGAGGACCCTCAGAGGAGAGCGGCTTTACGGAACCGCTTTAAGGAGTACGTGGACACCGTGGCGTACGTGAAGACCGAGGATGGAGTAAAGTACGTGTGCATGAAGAAGAAGTTCCGCGGGTCCGTAAAATTAACAGAGAAAAAAGAGCCTCCGTCCGCAGGTGAGGCGCGAGACTGTGTGCAGGTGAGCGCTGATGACGTCGCGGAGGACCCAGCCCCGCGCTCACCTGGCTCAGGTTACGGAAGTGACTGTCAGGTGAGAGTTCCGCATGTTTTCGTCCCTGACAATAGAGAGGACAGGGGTGAGAGTGACGGCTCTGTTAGTACCCCACAAAGGGAGAAGTGCGGGTCAGAAGAGATGGGGAACAGGGTAAGCTTCCACAGGACGGAGTCCAAGAAGGAGCGGACTGAAAGAGCACGAGACATCCCGGAAATATCGGTGATACAAGCGTCACCGCTTCCCGCAGATGGATCCATGTTTAACCTGCCCGGACCTGCAGAGACCGCTCCTTCAGGACAGGTAGAGCCGGGCGAACCGGTGGAGACTCTGACCTTAGAGGGTCTTAGGGAGGTGGAGGTGGTGATGAGGCGGGGTAGACGGGAGGAGGAGGAGGAGGAGGAGGAGGAGGAGGACGACGCTCACAGTCTATCGGGGAGCGAGGGCAGCAGCTCCCCGATAGGCAGCAGGAAGCACTTCATCCAGGTGATGATGAGCAGCTCCCCTCAGGTGAGGCGCAGCATGGTGATACGGGGTTCCGTGCACCTGTCCTCTAGGAGCGACAGTGACACCGCCTCCATGCTGTCCGGGCTGGACGAGGACCGGAACTCTGTGACCTTGGACCCGCTGGAGCATCAGTGGATGATGTGCGCGTCAGACGGGGAGTGGGGTAGTTTATTCCCGCTGCTCGCTGAAGAGCCGAGTCTAATCCTGAGGAAGGACTTCATCACCGGGTTCACCTGCCTGCACTGGGCCGCCAAACACGGCAAACCCGAACTCATCGCCATGATCATCAACTTCGCCAAGCAGCACAACGTCCCCATCAGCGTGGACGCGCGATCCAACACCGGGTACACGCCGCTGCACGTCGCCGCAATGCACAACCACATGGAGGTGGTGAAGCTGCTGGTGGGGGCGTACGGGGCCGACGTGGAGATCCGGGACTACAGCGGGAGGAAGGCCTGTCAATACCTGACAGACAGCGTCAGCGTGGACATCAGGGACATCATCGGGGCCTACGACTCACGCTCCCAGTCCGAGAACGCGCAATCCAGCGAGGGGGCCCGCTGGAAGTTCTCCAAGGTTCTTCAGACCAACCTGAAGCCGCGCAGGCTGCTCCAGCCCGAGGACTGCGACTCTTTGGACGGAGAAGACCGTCCCCCCAGAGAGAAACCGCTCAGGAGGAAGTCCTCCCTCAGCAGGATGAGGCCCAAACTTCAGCGACTCCGAGTCAGGACGTCCCAGATCATACACAGCACGTCCTTCGGGGGCCACGACGAGCTGGAGATCTCCACAAGGGGGTCCTTTAGATCCAGACCCAAGACCAGTTTCTTTGGGTGAAACCAGGACTTACAATTAAAAGGTTATTCTGGTGTTTCATGCAACTTTAGGCCACTTTTACAGATTTTTGGGGTCAATCTACAAACAAACCTCATGGAAACACTGCACACAACAGACCGGAAACAGGACTTTCTGGTTCTGGTACTGCTTTGACTGCTTTGTTTATTACTCTGATGTTCTGAATGTTTACTTCCAGACCTATGATGTTCCTTCAACACACAAAAGCATGATAGTGGTAGAGGCAGAACAGCAACTTCTGAGTACAAAGAGGTTTAATTCCTGGCAAGTTTGGAAAGAGTGACCTAACAGCTGTTTCTGTTTTGAAATAATCAGGTAATGTTTTCTTTTTAGGCAAAAGCAGCTGTGGCATTACTGTCTACAACAAGTTTAGCTATTAAATATTAGGAGTTGTTGATCTACTGCTGCCATCATCTTTAAGATCATATATCACTCTACAAACAAACGTCATGCAAAACACTGCACACAACAGACCGGAAACAGGACTTTCTGGTCTGGTACTGCTTTGTTTATTACTCTGATGTTCAGAATGTTTACTTCCAGACCAATGATGTTTCTTCAACACACAAAAGCATGATAGAGGTAAAGGTAGAACAGCAACTTCTGAGTACAGTGAGGTTTAATTCCTGGCAAGTTTGGAAAGCGTGACCTAACAGCTGTTTCTGCTGCGGCATTACTTTCTACAACAACACCAGAATCCATCTCTAAAAAAACCACAAGTTTAGCTTATAAATATTAGGAGTTGTTGATCTACCGCTGCCATCATCTTTAAGATCATTCATGTTTTTGTGTGTATAACAGTTATTGTGCTGCATCTGGGTTTACTTGTTCAACAATATTGTCACACAATAACAAACAAACCAAATTTTGAAGGCAAAGGCAGATCATCAACCCCACTGTGCTGCAGATAAAATTCATGTTTTTGTCTGTGGGCTCTGGAAGTTGAAGAAAGAGTGGTAGCAGCCGTGTTTGGTTAAAAACACAAGTGTGAGATGGCCTTCTTTAAAACCAAACAAATCTGTCATATCCATCTCTTCAAAGACACCAGACTCCAGTGGTCAAAACAATAACTTTAACATGTAAACCATAGGAGTTGTTGGTCTACCTCTGCCTGTATGAGTTGGTGTTTTTGTGCCCTAGAAATATCATTCTGGATTAAACTGAGTATCACAAACACTGCAGTCTCAGATTTGACGAACAGATGATCATGTGAGAACTCAGTGTAGTCAGCAGTGTTTGTAGAGAGGGATGGGTAGAAATCCTCTTTCACCAGAGAGGTCTTTTTGTGACTCTGGATACTTCATGTAACATCTAAATTACATGATATCTTTATAGTTACATATGTTGTACACATTCTGGATCCGTTATTGTAGAAAATTCCTCCAGTTATCGTCTGCTTTTGTAGTTTGTTTTGCGAACTGTTCGATAGTGGTGATATTTTCAACCTCAGGAATGTTAGCCAGGCTAAAAGTTATCGTTATTGATCAGTTATCAATGCTACCTTCTTCATCTGGGTCTTTAAATGTTTAAAACGGGAGTTTACACAGTTTTATTTGCTTAAAAAAAAAAAAAACTTCAACGTATTCTTTCTATTTGGTTAATTTTCTGTTTTATAACCCAAAAACTCCTCAGGAGCTGAGGGAAAGGAAAAAGGTCAAAGTCTCTGAAAGCAGCCTCTTTAAGTTTAGTTTCTTTCCTTCTTTATAACACTAATCTGAAAATTTTCACCTTTTTTAGTGACCCAATTAACGAACTGAGAAAACTATAATAGTAAGAAAAGTAGCCTATGTAACATTCACAGTCCCTGCATTGATGCCTCTTTTTGTTCCTGCTTGTCAGAGGCTCTTATTTTGAAAGGATGACTCAGATTAGATGTCCAGCACTCTGAACACGCTGACATTCCTCTTGTTTTGGCTGCAGGTCAGCCTGCGTCTCTTTATCCGCATACAGCTGACGTTAAATCCTCGACCTTCAGCCCGTAATCTGAACAAAGCCGCAGGTTTCTGTAACACAGCACGCCGATTATGAGCGCTTTCAGGCCCAGCAGAGCGCACAGAGCCACGTTTGTTAACATGTTTACTGGGGTTTCATACTGGAATTTTTTTTTTCAAATACATTCCTGGACTCTGTGCGGCCTCAACTCAAGTCTGACACATGCTCATGGAACCTAAACAGCTGATGAACGTGTTGAAGTGTACTGCTACCATTTAAAAAAACAAAAGAAAACAAAAAAAAGGCCCAGTACTATCATGAAATAATGTGATAGTTATCATGCTGTGTCACGGCTCATGAATTAACCTGATCAGTATCGCCATACTTATCATGTTATTTCACGATACTGAGCCTTTTTCCCGAATCAGTGGGATCAGCCTGTTGTTCGAGCTGAAATCCTGAAAACAGTCTTTGTTTGAATGTTACATCATTTATTGGGTTACCAGCAGGATAATCCCAAACACTGGGCTGCGTGTCAGGACTCGAGTTATTGCTCAACTTCCTCCTGTCAGGTGGAGTTAAGATCTACCTGGAGGAATGTGCAGGTGACTTTCCATGAGGTCACACCTTCAGAGCGGCTCAGGCAGAGGTTGAACTGTACTCTGGGGTTGTTTTAGATGTTTTTCCGATGAAATCATGGACTAACTTTAAACGGTTTCTGCGCACTGACACTCCTTACTCTTGTTTGAAATCCAAGCCACAGACAGGCAGGCTCTGTGTGTCTGCAGAAATGCTGATATACAGGGGTAAGAAGAAGACTACATTATTCGGCATTTGCTTTTTAAGAAGAAAATCCAGGTTTAGGTCAACCTGCAAAGTATTAAACTGAAAATGGATTTAAATTAAATAAAACCTCTTCAGCTTTGACTATATTTTAAAGAAAAATCAAGTTTAAACGTCGACTTGAACACATCAAGAAAGACAGATATTAACATGTAGCTGCATCATGTTTGCTGCATCATTTATTTCTGTGTTTTTTATTTACTACAGAGATCTTTACAGTCAAATGATTTAATCAAACCTTTGTTATAAAGCCTTTGCACCTTTAAAACCAGCTCTTAGATAAGAATTTGCACAAAATGATCAGTCAAAAGTTTATTTTTTTACATACTGTATTATATACTTTGAAGGATAACTTGTTATAGAGGCATTCAATGTTGAATTATTTTACTGATTCAATAAAAAAAATCTGTATTTGTTAAAAAACATAATGTGTCTGGTTTGAATGATGTGAAAATAAGAATATCTCTCCTGTTTCCATTCATGTTTTTTTCAGGCTGCTGCTTAAGTGTCATCCTGCCATCGTGTGGACAACATTAGTAACTGCCTTTTTATTTTTGTGCTGTGGGAAAGCCCTGCGATATGCTTTACTTTGATTTACAGTATTTTACTGCACAACTTCAAAATCAGACCTCAAACCCTGTCAGAGCGCTGTAAGCTCAGTCTCTGACAAAACCTCATTCAAACTCCTTTTTTTTAAAAAAAAATTTCCAGAATCTTTACAAATCTTCCGTCTCCCTGCTCTATATTCATCAAACCCTCTGAAACTCTGCACCATTCTCCATCATCTTATCAAACTCTAAACTCCTCTGAAATTCTCAACTTTCTTATTATTGTGTAAATATTTTTGGACTTAAACTCTGAATCTGAAAACTAGACTTCCAAACGTCCCATGTCCTTACTTTTTGAAACTCTCTGAAAAATAAGCAGTTTCTGTTTTTGCTTAGTTTTGTTTAGGAAGCCATCTTCCAGCCAAATGAAGAGCAGTTGTCTGTAGAAAGAATTTTCAAGACCTTTTTACATTTTTTGTTCCTGCTGGGGCTCTGACAGAAGTTTGATGCAGGAGGATTTTTTGAGGTTTCTGTTTTGTGAGCAGCATCCAAATACAGTGGATATAAAAAGTCTACACACCCCTGTTTCCTGACATTTTTGTAGCCACATCTTCCAGCACAAGCCATGGTCCACAGAGAGCTTCCAAAGCATCAGAGGGATCTCATTATTCAAAGATATCAGTCAGGTGAGGCTACAAAAGAATTTCCAAGGAATTAAATATACCATGGAACACAGTAAAGACCGTCATCATCAAGTGGAGAAAATATGGCACAACAGTGACATTACCAAGAACAGGACGTCCGTCCAAAATTGATGATAAGACAAGAAGAAAACTGGTCAGGGAGGCTACCAAGAGGCAGACAGCAACACTGAAGGAGCTGCAGGAATTTCTGGCACGCACTGGTTGTGTAGTACATGTGACAACAATCTCCTGCTGTCTTCATATATCTGGGCTGTGGGGTAGGGTGGCAAGATAGAAGTCTTATCTTACAAAGAAAAACATCAAAGCCCGGCTTAATTTTGCAAAAAGACATCTGAAATCTCCCAAACGCATGTGGGAAAATGTGTTATGGTCTGATGAAACCAAAGTTGAACTTTTTGGGCATCACTGCAAAAGGTATATTTGGTGCAAAATCAACACTGCTCATCACCAAAAGAACACCATACCCACAGTGAAGCATGGTGGTGGCAGCATCATGCTTTGGGGCTGTTTTTCTTCAGCTGGAACTGGTGCCTTAGTCAGGGTGGAGGGAATTATGAACAGTTCCAAATACCAGTCAGTGTTGGCACAAAACCTTCGGCCTTCTGCTAGAAAGCTGAAGATGAACAGGAACAATTCACCGGAATAAGATTGTGGGGTGATCTAAAGAGAGCTGTGTACAGGAGATGCCCTCACAATCTGTCAGATTTGGAGCGGTTTTGCAAAGAAGAGTGGGCAAATATTTCCACATCAAGATGTGCCACACTGATAGAGTCCTACCCAAAAAGACTGAGTGCTGTAATAAAAGCCAAAGGTGCTGCAACAAAGTATTAGTTTAAGGGTGTGCATATTTATGCAACCAGGTTATTTTAACTTTTCTACTTTTTTTTTCCCCTTTAAAGGTTTCAGTTTGTTTTTCAATTGCATTGTACAGGTTATAGGTCACATTAAAGGTGGAAAAAGTTGTGAAAATATTTATCTTGCTATCATTTTCTTTCATCACTAAAACCTGGCAGTTAAGCAGGGGTGTGTAGACTTTTTATATCTATATCTGTACATAAAAGCAGGTCTGGCTTCCTCAAAAGTTGCCCCCCTTCCGTGTCAGGCCTCCCTGTGTTATTAACACTGAGCTGTAACTGTGGATCCTATAACACAGTCTATTAATACACATTTACTGTATGGTGTCCTGCAAACATGCAGAGGGTCATCTAGAGTTAAAATACAGATATCAACAGATAGATTTCACTCTGATATTTCTTTTAATGCAGCTGCTCTACACTGCTTTGATTTTCAAGGTTAAGGTTAAAGTACCTTTTGAAAAAAAAAATCAATATTATTCTCTATGCTCAGTCTGAAAGCCAATCATGACTTCACAGCAGAAAACTGTGATCACAGCAGACTTCCAGAGATCTGAGCACCTTTTAGAAATAAAGAGACAATACGCATGAGATTAAAAAACAAATTTCAAACAAACTGAGAGAGAGAGAAAGCCACTTGTTTATTTTTATTTGTGCCCACTTTTCACAGGTCATAGAAAAACCAAAACACAGATTTAAGTTCAGTTTTAAAATTTTTCAAACATTTTAAACTGAAAGCAAAGAAAATGCATCTTAATCCTGAATTACCGTACACAAAAGCTGTTTTATTTTGTTTAAAACTAATCCAGATTTTGTTCCATCTGACTAAAACTACAACAGAAGAGAAAATACTTTACACAACCACTCCTCTTTTTTACAGATAGAAACTGGCAGAGTCAGCTGTAAACATGATAAAACCTGTAAAACTGCTCAGATTAGTCTGAAATCTGATATTCTAGTAATGTAAACTTTGGTAAACATGTTTTTGTATCTGCATGGGAAGTAAAAATGTAATGTGACAGCTGGAGAGCCTTACACCTCTGTGAGAGCTCAGCGTGGAAGTCTGAGGTCACGTGATCGGGTGTTAACTGCTGAAGATTAAAGTCAGGTTGACATTGAACTTATACACAGGACTAAAATATTTCATAAATAACACAGTTGAACATTTAATCGTGGGGCAAAGCCATTTTTTTTTTAACGGTCTATAAAGTCTGGATTATAAGATGTCTCGTACAGCAGAGTTTGGCACACAGTCACCTCTAGATTCAATTTCAAATCTGAGCTTTAAGCACCTGTTCTTCATTCCCAACCACAGAGTCACCCTGTCCTCTGTCTGCAGAGACTCTGTCCTCCCTGCAGAGACAAACTCTCTCTGAGTAAACCTCTGAACTAGCAGCTTGTTTTCAGTGGAAATGGTAAAATATCTGTAATATTATTATTTAACAGAAATATACAGAAGTTAAGCACCACAGACTGGATCTCATTTACGAAACAGGAGCACGATCAATTTTGTGTATGTTTTTCAGATATGGAAATTTTAAGGCTTTTTGCGTTTTAGCACAGCACTGTGTGGAGCTGTTTGTGTAGGTAAAGAAAGCACATAAATATTGTGAATTATCTGCTCTGTTTACAATAAGAATCTACCTTTAAAACCATATGATTCAAACTTTACAAAAATAGAAATATAAAATATTTAGCTTATTTAGTTGACAGGTAGCCATGTGTGCACGGATTGTTGTTTTGTACATGGTTAATAGTTTTTTCTTGACATGGCACTAGGGGGCTCTGAGTTTGTGAAGCTCATATCCACATGTGCTTATATGGTGGTATTAGTTATCTATGGGCGAGGTTTATGTAGTAATTTGGTGTGTAGATGTTTCCTAGTGAGGACTTTAAGGTGCAACTTTACAATCAGATTTGATAATGTTTCATAAATGAGACCCAATATCTTCAAGAAGTCAACGTACATGTGCATTCTCTCTTATGTCCAGTAGGAGGTGACACCATCAGTTTGATTGCACAGAAGAATATGAGAAAATGGTCCCCCACCTCAGTACATCCTTTCCTCATGAGTTTATGGTCACAGTCCTCCTCAAACACAGTATGATGTTCATGTAGTAAATAATGGTCCCACCAAGAGTCATAATCTAGAATATTAGGGCCACATTGAGTAAAAATTTCTAAGATAGTTGAAGGGTGAAGATCAAAAGAGCCTGATACCAAAAACCTGAGGAACACAGATCCTTGGTAAAGTTATGCTTTGGTAAAGGTTTCAGAGGTAACAAAGTATGAGGACTTAAACAGATACTGAATAGCTGAGCCTTTTTAAAACCCTAGAGCTCTTCTTTCTTGACAAATACAGTCTCCTATGGGTCCTGGAAGCCCACAATGTTGATGCAAAAAATCTCCAAATAGAGGCTTTAAAATGGTAAACCAAGAAACAGCATTTGACAGTGATTTTGTACACTTTTTAAATACATCCGTACACAAAAAAAGGCTCCTCCAAAGATTTATCTGAACCAAAGCTGAGGCCTTCAGATATGTTGGTGTTGTAGCTTCTATGTTGTCAAACTACAGTTCACAATCTTGCCTTTGGAGGAGCCAACCATCATAAGCACCTTTTGTGAAAACAGGGAAGATCAAGATCCAGCAGGAGAGGAAATCTTTAGTTTAGATTTTCTGCAGAGATTTTAGGACACACAGGACGATGGCTGTGACCAGTAAGACTCCGGCGATCAGTCCGATCCGAATCCACGGCAGGTTTTCCCACTGCACAGACTCAGATGTGGTCTCTGAGAGAGACAGCACACTGTTAAGGCTGCAGAAATGCACTGTGAAATATGAATAACCTTTTTGTGTCACTCTACTTTATAGTTTCTTATGGTGGCACGAACAACATTCATCCTGAACTGTGCCTTTTAAAGTACTTGTTTATTCTTTAGTTCACCAGATATCCTGATGAACCATTATGAGAATAATTATCAATTATCACCGGTAAACATCTTGTGAAGTCCATGTATGAGGTATTATACCAAATCATACCATGCTGTAAATAGTATGAAACATTTCCCTGGTATTTCCCCCACAGTCTAGTTTCTCATATCTGTAGTGAAATAATCATGTCTTTGTGGTTTTTGTGGTGTCTTTTCCTCTTTTTTTTCTGTATTAAGGATTGTTTTGGTTATTTATAAATTGAAACATTTACACTCAATGAGGTGGCATTAAATAAAATTCCCCAGAACCATCTGGCCTCCTGATTAACTTCCCACTCATAGTTGTTTGAAGGCGGTCTCATGATTTGGTTTGCCACTCACCTTCTCCTGGGAATGATGTCACCATCTCTTTAAGGGCCTCCATTGGCTGTGACTCTGTCAACACTATAAAAAACATCATTATCTTCATCTCACAAGTATGGTGGGCCTAATATCTTCACAACACTGAAACATGCAAAAGGCAAAAAAAAAAAAAAAAAAGCACATCACATAATATTATAATACACACACACACACACACACACACATATATATATAAATATATATATATATATATATATATATATATATACACACACACATACAGTCAAGCCCGAAATTCTTCATACCCCTTGCAAATTTTGACCTAAAGTTACTTTTATTCAACCAGCAAGTTTTTTATTAACTGGAAATGACACAGGCATCTCCCAGAAGATGATAAGATGATGTACAAGAGGCATCATTGTGGAAAGAAATATTTCAAAGCTTTTATTTACATTTGAACAAAAAGGGTCATGTCCAAAACCCTTCTCAATAATCAATAGAAAAGCCTTTATTGGCTATGACAGCAATCAAGCACTCCCTTATAATTGCTGAGCAGCTTTTTGCATGTCTCTACTGGTATTTTCGCCCATTCATCTTTAGCGATGAGCTCCAACTCTGTCAGGTTGGAGGGCCTCCTTGCCATCACCCTGATTTTAAGCTCCCTCCACAGATTCTCTATTGGATTCAAGTCAGGCTGGGCCACTGCAAAACGTTCATGTTTTTGTCTGCTAACCATTTCTTTACTACTTTTGCTGCAATGTGTTTTGGGTTGTTGTCGTGCTGAAATGTCCACTGGTGCCCAAGGCCAAGTTTTTCTGCAGACTGCTTGATGTTGTTGTTGAGAATCTTGATGTATTCTTCTTTTTTCATGATGCCATTTACTGTGATTAGGTTCCCCGGTCCATTGGCTGAAAAACACCCCCAAAGCATTAGGTTTCCACCACCATGTTTGACAGTGGGGATTGTGTTCTTAGGGTTGAAGGCTTCTCCTTTTTTACGCCAAATGAAGGCTACATCATTGTGGCCAAACAAGTCAATTTTTGTTTAATCTGACCACAAAACAGAAGACCAGAAGTCTTCTTCTTTGTCCAGATGAGCTTTTGCAAAGGCCAAGCAGGCTTTTGTGCGCCTTATCTGGAGAAGTGGCGTCCTCCTTGGTCTGCGCCCGTGGAACCCAGCAGTGTGCAGTGTCCGTTGGTCTGTCTGCCTTGACATGTTGCCACCAGCAGAGCCCAGATTCACCACGATGGCCTTGGCGGTGATCCTTGGATTCTTTTTCACCTCTCTCACTATCCTCCTGGCCAGCACAGGTGTCACTTTAGGCTTCCAACCACGTCCTCTGAGCTTTTCCACAGTGCAGAATGTCTTGTATTTTTTAATAACACTTTGCACTGTAGCCACTGGAACTTGAAAACATTTAGATTAGGGGTGTGAATCTCAGCACTGAGGACGATTCGATACGCATCTCGATGCACTGCCAGCGATACGACACTTTAACGATACATGGAATTTTCTGGCGATACGATGCGATACGATTCACCCTCTTCACGATGCGATACGATACGATAATCATTTAGTTCAAATCAATGCGATCCGATACGATATGATGCAATTTGTTGTGATATGATGCAATTCAACATGATGCAAATAAGCAAAGAAAAAAAAGAAATTAAAATAAAAGATGGAATTCAGTATGGTACTACAAAAATGATTTGGCTTTATTCCTTAAAGGCACTTGGCAGTAAATTCAACAAAAGTGCTTTTTTTCTTTTTTCTATGCTCCTTTGGGTTCCATTTTGTACAGTTACACAGATTAGACAGACCTCATGCAACTGTTAAGGAATCTGAATCAATAAAATCAAAAAAAAAAACAAAAAAAAACCCTACATCACACAAGTGCATCACACACTTGTTGGGTAATATTACAGTACACATTATTAAACAACTAATGCACTGCCTAACATGGTGCAAATAAACCATTCAATGTCCATACTACTGTCTGCCAAACCGATGTGCTAGAGTTGACTTTCTAACTGGCCACTGAAAATCAGTGATTTGAGTGAGTTCTGCAATAATAAAAGAGTAAAACAATTTAACAATAATTACTGCTGTAAAAAGTACAGTAAACAGCAACAACAAAACACTCTCAATGAGTAACCTAAAGTGACACTTTCATCAGTGCAATCAATGTTAAGGGAGGGGAGGTGGCGTTAGACTTGTCGGTGATGTGGTGTACTCTTTTTAAGTGGGTCTGCATGTTTGTCGTGCTGCCGTTGTACGGCTTCTTAACGCGGCATTCTTTGCAAATGACGGACGTTTTGTCGAGCTTTCCGTCTTTCTTTGCAAATCCGTTGTGTTTCCAAACATATGATTTAAACGTAGCGGGTGCATTCCATATAAGCTCTTCCTCGCTGCTGCTCACTTGAATGTGGTCCATGCTGTTTTACTAGTAGTGCGTTGTATGTCCCTCACGGCTTCCGTCCGTATTCAATACAAAACGCGAAATAATGATGGTGCATTCAATGCGCCTGGGGAACAGCAGATGGGGTGAAGTTTAACATGAATAAAACGGCGCTTGCATCGGATTTTACCGGTACCCACCAACGCATCTAGATGAATCTAGATTTAACCCGTCAATTGCATCGATACCCAGTGAATGAGCCGACGCAGTCGCATCGCGCACATGCGCATCGATGCATCGATTAATTTAGATTATTTTCCACACCCTTAATTTAGATATGGCCTTAAAGCCCTTTCCTGACTTGTGAGCAGCCACAATGTGCAGCCGCAGGTCCTCAGTGAGCTCCTTTGTCTTAGTCATGACTGTCCAAAACCCAACTGCAGAGAGCTGTTTTTCACCTGTTGAGTTGATTAAAACAGCTGTTCCCAATCAATCAGGGTAATTAGGATGATTTAGAACAGCTTGGACTATTTGGAATGGTATGGCCATTACAGAGCTTGATAACGAGCTGATCATCTGAATCAGGTGTGTTGGAGCAGGGAAACATCCAAAACATGCAGGACAGTGGGCCTCAAGGACTGGACTTGAGAACCACTGGTATAGAACTTTGGATTCTCCCATAGACTGTGACAGTTTGCAGAGGGTATGAATAATTTTGGACATGCCACTTTTCATTCAAATGTAAATAAAAGCTTTGAAATATTTCTTTCCACAATGATGCCTCTTGTACATCATCTTATTATCCTCTGGGAGATGCTTGTGTCATTTCCAGTTAATAAAACTTGCTGGTTGAATAAAAGTAACTTCAAGTCAAAATTTGCCAGGGGTATGAAGAATTTTGGACTTGGCTGTGTGTATATATATAATTTATATAATATTACACAAACATTCTGCAATACAAGTGTGCAAGTTCATGAAATTTCAGATATTATTGAAGTCTAGAATTCACTTTTTGTTCTGTCATCCTGCCGTCACTCCACTGAGCTTCATGCATGTGAGAGCAGCATCCAAGATCCGCCTACAGCAAGCACACAGTTTTAATAAGCCGTACAAACGTTATTGTTTTTCTATCCATGCGGCTAACTTGGTAAAGTTTACCTTTTGGTGGCTGAGTGGAATCTTCCAGAAACACAGGGATAACATCAGGGGATGATGTGGTGCTTTCGGTCCACTCTTTATTTAGAAATACTGTGGGACTATTTGAGGAACTAAGCCAGTCGTCTGTCACTGCGGCTGTGGCTAAAACACAGAGGAAATGACTCACTTTGTATTAACTGTTACAGATTTATTAGCATGATGACACAGCTGACTCCTGTTTGACTAACTTAAAGGGTATTTCAATATTGTATAATATAAGTTAGGTTATTTGAGTTACATGTCACTGTTATGGCTGTATATTTGCGTTTTTTTCCCCCTTTGGCCTAACCTAGATCTGCCCAGGTGAAATCACTAATTGGCAATCAGCGTCACCTGCTCTGTAGAGTTTAAAGGTCCAGAGCTGGCTGGAGGGTGACTGCTGCCCTATTGCCTCTCATCTGTGTTTTTTTTTTTTTGTTTTATCTTATTTATTTATTTTTCTGTGCGTGTTAAGTTGATTTATAAAATTTGTTCTTTAGTTAAGCTTCAGTTGAGTAATTTATTCTTTTGTTACCATAAATCTATGGTGACCTTTTGAGGGCATTTTTTTCATTGTTAATGGGTCAATATGTGGATAGTTGTTAGCCACACATGGTCGCCTCGGGATGTGGCATTAGTGCAGTGGTTCTCAAGTCCAGTCCTCAAGTCCCCCCTGTCCTGCATGTTTTGGATGTTTCCCTGCTCCAACACACCTGATTCAAATGATCAGCTCATTATCAAGCTCTGTAATGGCTTACTAACGAGCTGATCATTTGAATCAGGTGTGTCGGAGCAGGGAAACATCCAAAACATGCAACAGTGGGCCTCAAGGAATGGACTTGAAAACCACTGCACTAGTAACAGGGTTTTTCCTGGCTCAAATTGAGGCAGAGGTGGCACCATCCTGACCATGCGCCACGACGTGCATGTATTTGTAAATTCAACCGATTCACTTTCTTTTACAGGCAACATACTTTAAGTTAAGAGTTCAAAAAAAGAGTGTGACCATTATTATGTTAAAGCATTCATTTATTAAAACTATATACATACACAAATCAGCTGGCAACTTTAAATTGAAAGAACACTTCATCCACACATCTCGCAACCAGACAGAACATTTCAGCCTCCTCTTTTTCATTCTGTAGAACCTCCTCATGCACTCCTTGTAGTCCAAGGCCTCCTGGTCTGGTCCATCAACGGCCACCTTACAACAGACATCCAAGTGCCTCTCCTTCAGTCTGTTCCACAGAGGTGTCTTCACCTTAAACAAAACAATTCATCATGCATTAAGTATTTTTGTTTTTATTCTGATACAGACATGAAGAGTGATAGTGTTTTCAATCATATATATGTATACGCTGCAGTGTCCTCCCTAAAAAAAAAAACGACAACCAATTATTTCTTAAACTATCTAAACTATGTTATTTATTTTTTGTAACTTAATTAGTTGAGTTTTTTTTAGGTACTACCATCTTTGATATATTTTTCCTTCTCTTCTGCTGCTTTGTGAATGGCTGTCACCTCATGTCTTTTTAATGTGTCCAGCCTGTAGTTGGATGATGGCTGTCTCACTAAGGAGGCAGCAATTGCCTGCTGTGTTGGGGCACAGTGCTTTTGGCATAAACAGCAGTGCATGCCTTCCTCAGTATGCCTGAGCCAGGTAAATTGATTGAGCCACTGCTTGTCAAAGCCACTGGCTCTGTGTTTTTGAGAAGATCTGGAAAGAGGAATAAAAACCACGTACACGTCGGCTTTGCTTTGTTATGCTCCTAATTGGAAACTAATTAATTAATTACCCTCGCCTCGCCGACTCGTCCTGTCCTGCATTCTGACCCTCGCGATCACCAGTCCCTTGTGAAGTACTTTCAGACCTGACACAAATTTCCACGTTGTCACCAACATGAATTATAGCATTTTAACTGCCTGTTACGTTTTTTTCTCTGCTGTGTTTCACCTGGACTCTTGACTTTCCTCCTCACGAGGTCGCTTTTTAAAGTACTGGCTGATTTTGCCTGTCATAACTGCAACGCTAAAAACGGAGTAAACTTTTTTTTTTTTAAATAAACACGACATGCTTGGATGCAAAAAAGAGAAGCAGTATTTACCTGTTTGTACCATCCGCCAGGGAAAATCAGGACGCCGATAGCACCAACTAGCGGGAAAAAAACTTGAAAAAACATGATTCGATCCGTTTCTTCTTCAGTAGATGCTTCAGGTCTCTCCGGTGCACTGCTGTTGATATAGCGCCTCTATAGTGGCGCAACGCTGCAACTGCAGTTAAAATACGTTGCTGCTGCATCGGGACATCAATCGCTCAATCAACACAGCTGGAGCTTTACGCTGTGTTGAGCGAAATCAATCGCTCTGGCCGGGGGCGGCACAAAATTAAGTGGAGGCGGCCGCCACGCAATTTTGAACGCAGGAAAAACCCTGAGTAAGTGTTTTGGCCACAGTAGATGTTTGTTGGCTCAGCCCCTTCAAGAGAAACTGTTGAGAGAACCTGCATGCAAGCAAGACTCTGACCCACAGACAGTTTGGTTCCATGCTCTACTGAGAAATTTTTGTTTTTAATGACAGAAAATGAGAGAAAAAAAATGTTGTTTTATGACATTCAGTTACCTGTAGAGACTTTTTCCAGCACAGTCAGTCTGATTCTATCCGGTAACCCTGGCCGAGGAGACTCGAAGTCCCTGAAAGCATCATAAATAAAGGTTATTATTAAAGACAAATGATGCACAAACACGACATGGAACTTTGTATGAGCCCTGACATGATGAAGTTCAAGGCAAAGGGCTGAGTTTTTTTTCAGCCCTGCATCAGAGGTGAGTTTGTTGGTGCATGCATGAATATTTTTCTATATTGTGATGCTTCACTGACCCTGTTCTATACCAGCAGCGATATTCTCCGTTGTCATACAGCAGTGTGGGGCTGATACTGAGATGAAACTCTTCCAAAGTGCCAAATGGGACTTTAAAACGGTAAAGACTGTCCAAAGGGAGGTCAGCCTGTGAGAGACAAGACCAGGTCAGACAGTCAGAGATAGATGATAACATCCAGCAGACTGTTTGCAGTGATCAGAACCTCCGGCTCTGTTGACAACACAGTCTCTCCATTCCTGGTCCACCAGGTCTGCAGGCTGCTGAGCGTCTGGCTTCTGGAGATCAGCAGGAAGCAGTTCAACATCACTGTTTCTCCCTCGTAGCTCGTCAGTTGGCGCTCAGTGGGTGGCTCTTTGGGATGGTGGGGTATAAATAAGAACGAACAGATGAGAGTTTTAACATTTCGTGACTCATCATTGTGTTTCTGCAGCTTCACCTCATGTTTTTTTTTAATTTTCTCTCCTCTGCGATTGTCCATCCAGTCCCCGATTGTCCCTGACCTGCCTGAACCCGCCTTTGGTCTCTTTCTCACATCCTAGCATGTTTTGAGAGTGAGTATCTGATTTATTCATTTCTGAGGGTTTGGGGACTTTTGAATGCTGCTTTCTTGCTTTGTTGAATTGGACTAATTTTTAGTTGGGTTCTTACCTGACTCAGTACGCCCTTTTCTTTCAACAAATCATGTCAGACTAAACCAGCTCTCCAGAGGTGGTCCTTTTCCTGTGTTTCTGTTCAAATGTGATACCTACAGTGGCTATAAAAAGTCTACACACCCCTGTTCAGGTTTTTGCCATATAAAAAATTAAATCAAGATAAATAATTTCACAACTTCTTCCACCTTCAATGTGACCTATAACCTGCACAACACAACTGAAAAACAAACAAAAATCTTTGTTGTTCTGTTCAGTGTTTCCTAACTTCCTTACCGGTCACTGAGAGCCACACTGTGGACACGATGCCCTGCCTTTGTCCCTCCCAGATGCACTGGTAGGTCCCTGAGTCTCTCAGCATGGTGTGCCGGAGAAGCAGAGACCAGTCTCCTCTCCTGAGCTGCTCCTCTGACGGCAGCTCCACCTGAACCTGGAGGACAAACACCACTGTCAGTCAGAAGTAACTGTCCCTGACCTCATTTTGAATGCAAAGTTGGCACAGTGCAAAACTAACATGACTCTGAGCCCGGCAGCTCCCTTTTTATTTGGTACATGTAATTAAACTTGTCAGGACTGAAGAAAAATACCCAAAAACATTGTGCACAGATCTAACCTTTGAACTTTCTCCCCCTATGTGCTCCCCTATCTGCAGATGCGCCACCTCCTCCCCCATACTCGTCTCCCAATGGATGCTCCCCTCCTCCCCCAGGTATGCGGAGCCATTACAGGGCAAGATGGCTGACTCCCCATACTCCACTTTGAGGTTCAACGTCTGCACGTCAGGAGCGGCTGCAGGAAAAAAGGACAACTTGAAAAAAGTGAAAACAAGTATTTCACATAAAGCAGGTAACTGCAGTTCCTGTCATGCCCACTAGAGGTTGGATCCTGCAGCGAGTCAGCCCTCATAGAGCCCCATGTTGACAGCCTAATCTGTTAAACTAACAGACCATTAAACTGAGCAAAATTTACTACAAAGTATCTGTGAGAAATTAGCCAGAAAATGCAAAAAAATACAAATGTTTCTTTGGCAGGCTAAATCTATAAAAGAATAACTTTGGTTAAAAATAAATAATCTTTTAATCTCATGAATTTACACCTGTTTCATTTAACATTTAATAGTTACACTTCAGTTCTTCTACATTTGTGGCTTTTTCACTTGCAAAATTATTCTCAAAATTCCCTTTTGTTAAAATTCTCTAACTTGGGGGCACTGCTGGCCTGGTGGTCCATGCTTGCCCCCCTTATATGGATGTTTTGCCCCGAGTGGTCGGCTCAGGTTTGCTTCCAGCCAGTGGCTCCTTTCCCACATGTCGCTCCCTGCTCTCTCTCCCTGTTTTCTCACACTGTTCCTCCTTTGCTGTAGGTGTTTCATGAAACACGTGTACTCATATATCAGTCAGCTGTTTGTTTTAAAAATAAGAACAATAATTTTTTGTTAATGATGTCAAAACTGTGCAAAATAAGGATCAATAACTCACCTTACAGAAGTAGAAAGAACAGATATTTGCACCTGCCATACTGCCCATTTTTATATACTCGTCTTAAAACCCATTTTTATTCATTGGCTTTCAACCCTGCATGAGACTCGGCTCCTGTTTTAGCGTTTTATGGTTTGTTTTTATTTATGTGTTTCTATGTTTTTAAATTACTTTTTAAAAACATTGAAACTATATTTTACTTTTTAATATCTGCTTTTATTTTATCCATTGTTTTAAATGCTTTTTGATCGTTTTTTATGCCTGCGTTGTTTTGACTATTTATGTACAGCACTTTGTTTAGCTGTGGTTGTTTTAAAGTGCTTTTCAAATAAAGTTGAGTTGAGCCGAGGTCCTAATTTTCCTGAAATATTGTATTTTAGAAGATTCTAAAACTGCTTTTTTGTTGCTTTGGTTTTTTAAGCTCTAAAATATAAAGTCCAGCTTAATTTCAGCTAATAATTGTGACTTTTATGGTACTAAACTAAGCTTCAATATTTGGGTAAAACTGTATATTTACATTGTTTCCCCACTAGAGGGTACCCTGAGTTTGTAGTTTGTTTGTAGCACAGGGTGCACAGCAGAAAGAGACACATAGCCTATGCATCAACAGAGGTGTTAGTTTAATAAAGCAGCATGCCATATTGATCATGAAATTCCTGATTTACGTTTCAGCTCAGTGGGAGCATCAGCTGCAGTTTCAGAATCCAGTATTTAAACTTTTCCCTCCAAAACCAGCATTAAACTAGTACTTTCAGCATACTCACCTCTGCAGAACCGTGCACTCTGCAGACACACAAACATTAGCAGGACAAGTTCAGGAGACATCATGTCCTCTCTCTGCTTTCAAACAGAAATGCTGCGTTCAGGGTCCGACCTAGTAAGGACTGAAAAGATGAAGACATGCAGGCTCAGACTGAAAACATAAACATTTAAGTGTCCTTACAAGCCCTTTGAGTGTGAATGAAGAAACTTTTTCAACTCTCTTCCACACCTGATTTAAGGTGCACTAAAGTCAGCATGGGAAAAATACAATTTAAAAAACACAGCAGAGAAAATGTCACGAATTGATTATTGCTGAATAGTTTCAGCTCAAACTGTTCTTTTTGCCACTCTTTATAGGCTGAACTCAGATTAAAACTCTTTAAAAAGTCCAATTTAAAGAGTTTAATTGAACTCTGATTTATTGACCAAACTTTAAACTCCTTTTTTATTAAAAATTAAATTAAAATATTAAGATAATCAAACTTTTCTCACCGTTAAAAGGTCCAGGTTTATCGATCCTCCGAGCTGTGTGTGTGTTTAAAATAAGCGCAGGTGCCTCCGGTGCTCTCAGCTCTCCCGTTACAGGACAGGCGTTAAATCTCCACGGCACCGAGTGATGCCTTCAGGCGCTGTGGGAAATATCTCAACTACACACTGAGAACTGGAACACATGGTGGTAGACTATTAAGTGGGTTATCATTACAGAGACTAAAATACTCTTTATCTGGTGCACAGATACGCAGGCCTGAAAGAATAGAGACAACCTCTCTGACTCAAAAAAAAAAGAATAAAATATGGGCAAATACACAAACTAGCACATGAATAACCAAAAAAAATAGGTTAAATTGTAATTGTAAAATTTAAAAAAAATCAATAAATGACAACGAGAAAAAAAAACCTGAATACAGAGAGCACAAGCAACAGGAGAGACAACATTAAAAAAAAGCATATTTCAACTAACAGCTTTAAGTTTTATACATTTTAATTTGTATTATTTGGTTGTAATTTGTGCATTTTATTTCATTTCTGTCATTTCTATTTCCTTAATTTGATTTATTCAAAATATAATTTAATCAAATGAGATTTTGTTTAAATCTTTATTTGATTTGATCTTATTTTGATTTGTTTTATGTATTTTATGATATCAATTTTCAATTTAACCAAGATTATTTCATCATTATTATTATTATTATTTATTTATTATTATTATTAGTATTTTTTTTATTTTTTTTTTATTTTGAGTTTGTGGCTCATTAACTTATCTGAGATTTTTTTTTTTAAGTTAGTCCTTCATTTGGCAGGTTTCATCCCCCATATGTTTGAGTGTTTTCTTCAATTACTTTAAATCAAAATATATTTTACTCAACATTGAAAAACTTGTTGCTGCGCCGTAGTGAATGGTTTTCACCCTCACATTTTTCAAAGTGAAACAAATCAATTTTAATATTATTGATCATCATTCACCTGAAAATTTTGATTAAGAAAAAATAGGTGCAGGTGTTCGAAATTTCTAATGATAGCTTTATTGTCATATGGTCAATGTAACGAACGTTGGCTTAAAGCAGTGGTTCTCAAGTCCGGTCCTTGAGGCCCCCTGTCCTGCATGTTTTGGATGTTTCCCTGCTCCAACACACCTGATTCAAATGATGAGCTCGTTATCAAGCTCTGTTATGGCTTAATAACGAGCTGATCATTTGAATCAGGTGTGTTGGAGCAGGGAAACATCCAAAATATGCAGGACAGTGGGCCTCCAGGATTGGACTTGAGAACCACTGGCTTAAAACATAAAAAAAATGAATTTCTGTGACATTTGAGAGGAATAATCTCTTTCTGTGTCTGCAGGCTGGTTTCTGGTTTAAACTGTTTGTGTCTCTGTGTGAATACTGACTTTTCTTTATATTTTTGTTAAGTTTTAATGTTCATATTTTTGAATTCTCAAGAACAACTCTTTTTTAACAGCATGAGACATGCAGAGAGAACTGGACACCAAGAGGCACGAGGCTGAGCTCTGACAGGTCGGACTGTGGTGTGTGAGGTTCATGGGTGGCACGTGGAGGGCAGATTAACAGCAGAGTGTGTTCACACACTGAGGGGGGGATACAGCTGCGCTTTACCACACACGCAGAGAGAGAGAGAGAGAGAGTGAGAGAGAGAGGTATAACACAGATTTACTTAGAGAAAAAAAGCATGAAGCTCTTTTCATTTAAGCAACTCTTTAGTAAAAGTTTTGGTAAAGATGTCTGAATGAAGTCTCAACAACCATTAAAAATAAAATAAAGTCATATTCCCCTCCAGTTTGTCTCAGAAGACAGCAGATTAATTCCTGTTTACAGTGGAGCAGCTGAATGTACATAGATCAGATCAGTTTCCTGTCATTCTAGACGCCACAGGCCAGTGCTGCCTTCAAGTTCAATCACACTCTATGTAAATTAGAGTCACACTCTGATGATGCATTAAGGTACCGTAGGAAAAACAGTTTGAGCCCCCAGCTCTGCAGTTGTGTTGTTGTTCTTTTCATGAAACTTATAAAGAGAGTGTAATGTTTATCCTCACAGTCACCTTATATCATAATTTTTTTTATTTTTGCACATGATCCCTGTATGAGACTACCAGGATTTATTCATCAATGATGGTGAAAGTTGCCTCAAATTTGTACAAACCTCTTTTCCCTTTTTCCAATTTTTTTTATTATTGATTATTGATTATTATTATAATTATTATTATTATTAACTTCTATCATTATCGTTGTTGTTATTATGATCTTTTATTATTATATTATTATTGATTATTATTATTATTATTATTATTATTGTTTTTATTATCATTATTATTAATTATTATCATTTTTAGGGCCCGAGCGTAGCTGCTAAGCAGCTGCGAGAGCCCTCTTGTTCCTGTAGTTTCCTTCTTTTGTTATTATTAGGGCCCGAGCGTAGCTGCTAAGCAGCTGCGAGAGCCCTATTATTCCTGATGGATTCTTTAGGGCCCGAGCGTAGCTGCTAAGCAGCTGCGAGAGCCCTATTATTCCTGATGGATTCTTCTTTCTTTAGGGCCCGAGCGTAGCTGCTAAGCAGCTGCGAGAGCCCTATTATTCCTGATGGATTCTTCTTTCTTCTTCTTTAGGGCCCGAGCGTAGCTGCTAAGCAGCTGCGAGAGCCCTCTTGTTCCTGCATGTTTCCTTCTTTTGTTATTATTATTATTTTTCCTCCCCTTTGAACTGGAAAATGGCCCACTTCCCACTGGCGAAAACTCATGAAATTTGGCAGGACGACCGGGCCTGGTGAAAAATTTGATATTCCGAAGTCGCCCAAACAAGAAAATGCAAAATGGCTCCATAGCGCCCCCTAAGGTGAAAATTCACACTATTGACTGTCACGCCTGTACGCTTTGTCAAAATGACACAAAAATTGACACACACATGTATCTCAATAAGATCTACAAAAAAGTCAGTGCGGGCGTATCTGTCAAATGTACGGTTAAAGGGTTATTTCGCATTTTTTGCCTATCCGCACACATTGCAATTTCGCTAACTCCTCCGAAGGCTTTCGTTCCACCGGCACCACATTTGCTCAGACCAATCTACACCCCATGGCCATTAAAAGTTATTCAAATCATGATGCTGCACCCCACGGTTTAGGTTCTAGGGGGCGCCAAAGATAACCCTAAGATCCACATATTTAAAAGTCTTATAACTTTTTATTTTTGCCCTCACTGGCCTCCAAGTTTTCTAGGATGATGCAATGTCCAGCCATCAACACATTTGTGAAGGAATTTTTACTCCCCAAAAGAGCGCCCCCCCATGGCAGGAGAAAAAAGTCCATTTTTTCTTGTCCCCTAAGGTGAAAATACACATTGTTGAGTGTAACACCTGTACGCTTTGGCAAAATGACACAAAAATTGACACACACATGTATCTCAATAAGATCTACGAAAAAGTCAATGCGCGCGTATCTGTCAAATGTACGGTTAAAGGGTTATTCCGCATTTTTTGCCGATCCGCACACATTGGAATTTCGCTAACTCCTCCGAAGGCTTTCGTTCCACCGGCACCACATTTGCTCAGGCCAATCTACACCCCATGGCCATTAAAAGTTATTCAAATCATGACGCTGCACCCCACGGTTTAGGTTCTAGGGGGCGCCAAAGATAACCGTAAAATCCACATATTTAAAAGTCTTATAACTTTTTATTTTTGTCCCCACTGGCCTCCAAGTTTTCTAGGATGATGCAATGTCCAGCCATCAACACATTTGTGAAGGAATTTTTACTCGCCAAAAGAGCGCCCCCCCATGGCAGGAGAAAAAAGTCCATTTTTTCTTGTCCACTAAGGTGAAAATACACATTGTTGAGTGCTACGCCTGTATGTTTTGTCGTATTGACACAAAATTTTACATACACGTGTATTTCAATAAGATCTTCGAAAAAGTCAATGGCCACGTATCTGTAAAATGTACGGTTAAAGGGTTATTTCGCATTTTTTGCAGATTCGCACACATTGGAATTTCGCTAAATCCTCCGAAGGCTTTCGTTCCACCGGCACCACATTTGCTCAGGCCAATCTACACCCCATGGCCATTAAAAGTTATTCAAATCATGACGCTGCACCCCACGGTTTAGGTTCTAGGGGGCGCCAAAGATAACCCTAAAATCCACATATTTAAAAGTCTTATAACTTTTTATTTTTGTCCTCACTGGCCTCCATGTTTTCTAGGATGATGCAATGTCCAGCCATCAACACATTTGTGAAGGAGTTTTTTCTCGTTAAAAGAGCGCCCCCCCATGGCAGGAGAATAAAGTCAAGTTTTTCCTGTTCATCATTCAATGGCTCAAACGCACTGCTCTCTCGGCAAAAGCGAAAGGAGGAGCAACTTGCCATTTGGATATATCTTAGCTGTGTTTGTGCCCTCACTCATGGTCCAGACTTTTTTCAAATAGGACATGGAGTTTTTCTGCAGCGAGCGTTTTGGTAGAAACTGCGCCTCCCGTTCATTATAATGGTAAATGACCACAAACAAGTGCGCACACCATCTTTGGACCTTGAGTGTGACGCGATCGGGTGGGGGAGG